AAAACCCTACATACTATACAGAAGAGAGTTTTTACCACACTATTCTTTAACAAAGTTAATTCTAGTAAGTTAAATTATAATATTAAGATAAAGATACTATTTAAAGTATTATAGTCATTTTAAATTTTAAAAAAGTAGTAAAGAACACTACTCTAACTTATACTTTAGCTTAATGTATATAAGAGGCGCGAGAGTTATATATATTCTCTTGGTAGGCTTAGTAAGCTCTAGTAGCTATTCTTAATAATTACTCTCTATAAGTAAACTTACTTAAACTATAAACTACCTTATATAAAGTAATTTATAATAAAGATTACCCTTTAGAAGGCTTAGCCTAGCTTAGTACTAAGTATACTAAGCTACCCTAAGCTAACTAAGCTAAGGTAAGTTATATATATATAGGTAGTACTTACCTCTATAGCACTATAGTTAACTTTATTAATACTCTAACCCCTACCTTTAGACTAAGAGTGTTGTTCCACCATCACGCCGTTACAAGTGACCGCGTGCCCTTCACCCTCAGCAGACATACAGTTGTTACTCCCCACAAGTAAACCTACTTGGACCGCAGACCGCCTCACGTGGAGCGATTCATAACACGTAGATCAAGAGAGATTGCTGATATTTCACCCGTTCAATGCATCCTACGTCCACGAGCTATGGAAAGCTCTATTGAATCATCCCCTGGCTCAAATTGACCACCTTCGCGCTGTCCTACTCTCTCTCCCCCAATTTTCTGCTTCCCGTCGTCTTAGTCTCTCCAAGCCGGCCTCTGGTCGTACCTGACCGCCGTATGCCAAGAATTGTCTGCGTGCCAGCGATGGCTCAGACAATAGGCGCAGCTGGGCAGCTGGGAGTTCCTCATTGCGAACGTCGGCGATCATGAGGCCGACATACGCAAGAACACCTTGTTGGTCCGGGCTTTCTAAGTCGTAAGAGTGGACAGTCTACACACCATTAGTAATTGCCATGACCCAGCTACACACCATTAGTAATTGCCATGACCCAGCTACACACCATTAGTAATTGCCATGACCCAGCGAGGTGGAGGAACAACTCACGGGCCCGCCGCGCATCAGGCACAGAAGCTCAGCCTTCACGACGGCCTCGGTCTCACCGTTCAACATCCCGTTTCTGAGCGCAGCACTAGCTCCGACCTTGACAGACACTTCCAGCCTACGATTTTCCCGCTTCTGGATCCTTTCCAGGGCGGCATCGGCCTCCTGAACTGCACGTATTCGGGGCTCGTTATAGCTGGCGCTCGGTCATGTAACTCTCACGTTGAAGATTTGCAATCGACCTGGCTAGGTAGGCTGAGGTGAACTCTTCGAACTACTGGAGGGTCGGGCCAACCCGAAAAGCTAGAAGACCAAGGCCATGTGGCATGCGGAGCTCCTTGGCTGGGCAAACGGCCATCCGAACGAAGCGATCCGCGAGAGCGTCAGACGCCAGGTGCAGAAAGGTCAAGACACGAAAGCGAGGAAGAAGGCCGAGAAGAAAGAAAGGAAGAAAGCCAAACGAGATGCACTGCAGTATGACATGTAACCATTGGCGAGATCGGAGTGACCAGTAGGCACAAAGACGTGATTGGCCCTCATCGAGGCGTATCCATTGCGTTGATGTTCAGTCTCTCTCGATTTGGGTGTTGCGAACCGCCTTTGGCATACATTGATATACTCCAATGACAAGTGTTGACCCTTCCTGTCATGACTTCGGCAACGACAAGCTACAAGACCACGAGGTTCCAATATCTATTCATGTTGCTGGTGAGTTGCTATATACGATATATCCAGCGAGTCTATTAATTCTTTTGTATCATCAATGGTACATGTGCTTCCACCGCTAGCCCAGCCTCCCTATCCCGTGTACGTCATGTGAAGAGTAAAAAAGTACCCGCTCTCAGAAAGTAAACTGCATCAACCCTGGATTCAACACCAATGGCAGAAGGAAGTGGAATGCAACGACAAGTGCCATCGGCCAAATTGCCGTAAAGTCCTTGATTTGCCAATCGTGAGGAACCAAATGACCGAGCGGCCCCACGCCGGCAAGCACAATCATGCCGAAAACCATGAGGAAGCAGAAGAGGAAGGTGAACTTGAACCGGCGCAAGATGGTCGGAACCTCTTCAAAGAACGAGGTGCGAGTAGCCTCTTTTGCCGTTGCGCCCCAGGTCATATTGATAGAGAGCATGTGGCAGGCAATGGCTTGTGAGACGTGGATGGAAATGCCGCCGAGGAAGATCGTCAAAAGCGGTAACCAAGTGAGGTTCTCGAGGAAAGCGCCGATGAGAGAGCGACCAGCAACGCGCTAAAGACAGGTCAGCATCCGACAGAAGCGGCAGTGGAGTTATCTCACATATCGCAGAACAGCCAGCGACACAGTGCCCAAAGCTTGGAAGACCACAACGATGGAGAAGTAGATCTTAAATGAGTCCGTGTAGTAGTGGTCAAGGTAGCCGTTGAACCAGCCGATGAGAAAATAGTTCAGAGCGGTAAGCACCCTGAGGTGGAAGTCAGACAAGCACGAGCAAGAGCCACGACGTGACTTACCAAGCTGAACCAATGGCGTAGTATGTGCCGATATAAGACATGATGGTGATCTTGGCCATGACAGACATGTTTGAGGTTCTGGAGCAAAGCAGGGTAAGTAACCATTTCAATGGTTGATCAACGGTGGATTACTGACATGAACTTGCGGAACAGCGGAGTCACCGGGCCTCGAGTCGGCCAGTAGATCAGTGGGTTGAAGATGAGTTCAGAACAACCTGAAGAAGTGAGTCTCGTGAAACTTGCGGGAGCGACATGCACTTACCGTATGCATACTTTTCCCAACGCGCCAGTTCATCATACACTGTCAGAGACACACCTTCCTGGAAGCCTTCGGAGCCAAAGTATGTGCTGAAGCGGAGATCATAGCCCTTGGATTGCAGCCTCAACGCCATGTCAAAATCTTCCGACACAGTCGTCTCTGCCCAGTACTTCTCAACACCGTCCTCCTCGTAGGCAATGTCCTGCAAAGCAGACCACCGCAAGACAGCATTGTGGCCGACAAAAGGTGCAATGTCGCCGTTTGCAACAGCGAACTGGATGGCAGTGTACACCAGGTTGGTGAAGAATGTGATACCTTTCTCGAAGAAGCTCGTCGTGACGTTCATCACCCCTGAGCTGAATTGGATGATGGCAACCTGGGGTGAAGCTTCCATTTCGCTTACCATGTCAAGAAAGCAGTCGGCAGGCACTCGGGTATCGGAGTCAATGATGAGAATGTAGTCGCCAATGCGGACATCGCCCTGCGCCCAAGTTCTGCCTTCATCCTCCTCAATAATCTGCTGGAGGATGCGTTGGTATACTTCATCCTCATCTTGTTGCGTCCAAGCATCGTGGCGAGGTATCGCGGCAAGCCTGTCCTCAACTCGCGCGGAGACGTTCATCGCATAGTTCATGTTCGAGGCTTTCTTGAACTTTCCCGCACGAGTGAACGCTCTCTCTCCGCTGTCAGGCTTCGGGTTGGGATTGTGCTTGGGGCGGGCGACCCAGCCAATGTTGTGTTCTTCGTAGTACTCGCGGCGTTCCTTGGCTTCATTGTCCTTGATGAGCTGCATGCCATCGTCATTGACAAAAATGTTCACTGTCCCGCCCTGCATTTCATAGGTAGAGATGGCTTCGCGGATGGAGACCATTGTCGGATCAATGACACTCCAGAGACTGCTCACGCATTAGTGCTGGGCTCAAGGAGCTTATGTTTGAGACTCACCCTTCTTTGTAGACCGGGCACTGAACCGTCACATGCGGAAGCGTATCCGTTTCCAGCCTTTTGCTTCTGATACCGGAGAACGTTCGAGAATTGGAGTCCAGTTGATTGACAGGACCAAACAGCTGCGAGATGCCGTTGACCAGTGTCTGAAAGAAGAACCAACCGAGCCAGATCTGAGGCAGGATGACGGCTGCGAGAGCAAGGCGAACATAAGTGCTGTCGGTCTTCACTTCAATGGCAACCTTACGCCACCCGACACCGATAGTCAAGATGACAAGTAATCCGGCCAGTCCCATCAAAACAGCCTGGTAAAGAATAGTCCTTCTCGGGCTGTCGTCAAAGCGACGTGCGTCTTCCACGTCGGCATTATCTGCCTTCTCCCGGATGCTCGGAGCAGCACTGGCATTTTCACTCTTCGGGATGACGAGGTTCTCGTCCTTCCAGAGAAGAGACACGAGATGTTGTTCGATCTTCTCGGCTCTGTTGATGACCTGTTCCGGATCATCGTGCCATACCACGAGATAGCCTGGATTTTGAATGAATGCGGCAAAGTGGTGCTTTTTGCCGGTTGACAGAAAGCTGATGTCTGGGAGCACCTGAATCCGCAGACCATCGACGTACGGAACGTACGGAAGCTGTGATGTTCGCAAGAATGTCTCGATGACATCGGTCTTCACTGTCATGGCAACCTGATCTGCTTAGCACAAGCTCGTTCGTCACGTATCTGTCCACTCACTTTAACATTGAGCTGACAGACTTGGTGGAAAAGTCCATTGTTCTCGAATAAAAGCTCCGAGGGTTGACAGACAAAGTCGTTCTTGCCTCGCTTCAGGATTACACCTTCCCCATCCACGCTATTGGACCAGAGTTTCTCCATTTGCCGCTGCCGGAGAAACTTGACCATGATGTCGCACTTGAAGGCACCAGCCGATCCGAGCGGAGCCATTGAGTCGGCGTGAGAAGCGAAAGACATCTGAGACGGCGACCGGGTCGGGAACTGAGGGGCATCGAAGTCGAAGTCGTCGTTATGGTAGGCCATCGGAGGCCTTTGCGGCATCCGGGAAATCTCGTCCATTTCCATGAAATTCAGTCGAACCGTGGAGCTGAGTTGTATTGATGCTGGTTAAGAAGAGACTGAGGGCATAGATGCCCAGAAACGCAGAATGAATGTGAGGAACTGTTGTCGAGTGGTTTCAGATACGTCCGGTATACTTAACTGGAGAGTGACTGTTGTGATAGCAGAGCGAATGGATGGTAAACGAGTGACCTGAAGTGATAATAAAGCGAATGTGGGCAAACGAGTGACTGTTGCGAAAGCAAGGCGAATGAATGGCAAACGAGTGTGGTGTGCTCAAGAACGAGCGTAGAGAAGAACAATTGAAAGAAAGGACAATGGGCCAGAGAACGAAAGGAGAGAGGAGGCGAGCAGGGAGAAGAATCAGGGACCTGATGTCCCTCGATCCAGGTTGCTATCTTGCTGTATCCACAAATAGTTCACCTCATTCTGGACTCAGCCGTTATCGCTGGGGGGCTCTGCCTTTGAACTCGATAAGTGACGACATGGTTCTTCCGGGTGAGGCTGTCTGCGAACATGGCATACTGGTCCACACGCAGGAAACCGTCTCGAATGCGTTGGACGCTAGGAGAAACGAGAGGAGAGGGGTCCTGCAGTGTGAGGCCAATCTCGCTCATGCATGTTCCAAGATGAGTCTGCGAATGTCCAATCGAGCGCTCGGCTTCCGGCATGGTCGCGACAGCCCTTTTCCCACAGGTGAAGCCACCAAAGCCGAAGTGAAAGGCGCTGCTGACATTATACCAAAGGGTATGAGATCCGAGTAGCGTGTACTGCGTCGAGCTATTCAGGCGTTGTGCGGTGCCCGAAAGGGAAGCGGGACTCTGGTTTTCGATAGATGAGCATCTCAGTCATGTTTCAGTGGGTCGTGGGCAGCCTAGCCCAACCATCCGGTCAGCGTGAGAAAAACGTGTCGCTGCTCTCCAGATGCAGGCGTGCCAGGATCTTCCTGGACGGCAACAAGAGGTCTCCATCAACTGCCATGGGCGCTACCGTTTTTTCTGACTTATCTGCGGCGCTGCTGCCCGTGCTGTGGGTGGTGAACTTGCATTCGACACGAGTAATGGGCAAGGATGGAGGACGTTCAAAGAACCTCACCATCCTCATTCGTTTCAGAAAACTCGTTTAGGCGCTTGGCAAGCCACGCTTGCTACTTCCGGCCCACATCCACGCCACTGGTGGCCGTGGTGGCTGCCCCTTTCAAACTGCTTCGCGAAACATATTGGGTTTTCGCCCAGAATAGTACGGGGCAGGCTAAAACCGTGGACGTGGTTGTCGATCACGGCCGTTCATTCGCACATCATCTTGAGCGCCAACAGGGATTCTGACAAGATCGGCGAACGGTAAACACGGTCCAAGCCCACCTTTCCAGACCACGGCCGCTCATTTGCCGAGCTTGTCACCTCGCTTCTGGCTGCAGTAACAGTACACAGTAATATCGCCGATACCAAACTGCCGTCTTTCGTTATCTGGCTCCACTATCAATCAACGACCATGTGCATACTGCATGGACGGAGATGATTCGCTGCGCTCCCACCAACGGCGATACACGCTGCCCGAAGAAAACTTCTCAAGACCCGATAGTCCAATTCAGCGGTCTCACTATGAGTCGTGCACTTCGTCCTTGGCTGCGCGTGGTGTATAGTGCCTTGACCAGTCTTCAGTGAGAAACCGAATCTCTGTGGGTTGGAGGCTCGAGTGCAGGCCAGCTTCATCAGTGCGCCTATGCACAGAGTGCCACACAAATGGCTACAAGAGGGTGCCCTGTCACAAAACGCGACTAAGGACCCTTGTTCCCTGTCACGTCCCGTCTTGCTCACATGCAAAAGCTCACGAAGGATCCCTGCTAAGATCACTTTTCTGTCATATGCTAGCGCAGGTACTCCCGCTCTAACGCGTATCTTATCGCCAGGTCCAACGGCTGGAAGCTCATATCCGCCCAATGACACAATGGTTGCACCCGGGATTGCGCCGGGCGCAAGTACAGAACTTGGTTCTTCTACCAGAATACCAAGCTCGATGCCGCTCAATTTGCGTCCTCCACCACGGCAAAGATGGCATCACATGCTCTAGCGCCCGCAGAAGACGAGACTCCCCTGCATCGGTTAATTTGCTGAATGTCCAACATTTCACCCGGGCACCGAAAATGGATGACTTCAGGCTGGAAAGGAGATTTGCTCTTCGTCAGAATGCCTCGATGGGACTTTTGAGACACAAGGGCAGGTGCGAGGCAGATGCAGATGTTACTGGTGCGCTTCCGCGAACTGTTCACACAAGTCCAGTGCCCCGTTCGGCAAACCACTCCCCCTACATTTCGACCTATCGACAAATTGCAGCAACTTCTACGTCAGCTGTCTCAGCCCTCAGGAGACGACCCTACCGTCCAAGAGTGTGTGGGAGCCCCTGAACCTCTTCCTCAGCCTGACGTGAAGCCTTCTCCGACCGGACGCTGTCACTCCAGACTTTCTTGACTTCCGGTGCGCTGGTCATTGCTTGCCCATATTCTTCCGGAAGAGGCTCAAGCAGGCCCAAGCAACCGCCGCCATGAGCCAAGCTATACAGGAGAAGTCTGCTCAAGAGCACGAATATTCCACGCCGCCCACAGCACCTCGGTTCAAGTTCAACGACTCTAGGAATGCTTCTTCGGTAGCCATTCATCAACAAAGCCTGGCGAACAGGTACTTTCGTTCTCGCCGGATAGGCAACGACAAGATCGAAAAGCCTTGGCTTGAAAAGAAAGATCCTCGACAGCGATGGCTCAGCATCTTCCCATTGATCGGCCTTCTTATTGGGCTCGCACTTTCAGGATATTTGGTTTACGACGGCCTTGCTTCCGTGGAAACACCGGTTTACTGCTCCGTCTACGAAGATGATTTCACCAACGGCTTCGACGACAGGATCTGGACAAAGGAAGTCGAAGTCGGCGGGTACGGCAATGGACAGTTCGAAGAGACAACCGACACAGACGAGAATGTCTTCGTCAAGGACGGAATCCTGACCATCAAACCGACGCTACAGGATGCTCATCTCATTGAGACCAACAACATCATCAATCTGACAGCCAGTGGTCTTTGCACCTCCGACAGCTGGAGTAGCTGTGTGACAAGTACCAACACCACCAACGGAACGATTGTCAATCCCGTCAAGAGTGCCAGAATCAACACAAAGAAGGGTGCCTCGATCCAGTTCGGGCGCATAGAAGTTGTTGCGAAGTTGCCCGAGGGTGACTGGCTGTGGCCGGCAATCTGGATGCTTCCAGTCAACGACACGTATGGTCCTTGGCCATCGAGCGGAGAGGTTGGTCATTCACTATGGCTTGTCATCTCCGCAAAGCTGACGAGGACCACAGATCGACCTTGCGGAGTCGCGGGGCAACAACTGGACGTACGGTATGGGTGGTAACAACATCGTCAGTTCCACCTTGCATTGGGGACCAGATGGCGCCAATGATGCCTGGTGGCGGACCAACAACCGTCAACATGCTTTGCACACCACTTATGCCGAGGGCTTCCGTAAGTGTATGCCTCCCCATGCTGGAGCTGCAGCTAATACTCGCAGACACCTACGGTCTTGAATGGACACCGACTCATCTTTACACCTACATCGATACCCGCCTCATGCAAGTTCTGTACACGAACTTTAAGACACCCTTCTGGCAGCGCGGCAAGTTTCCCGTCTCCGACACCAACGGCACGGCTTTTGTGGACCCATGGTCGCAAACAGGCAATCCCGCAACACCGTTCGACAAGCCATTCTACCTCATACTGAACGTCGCAGTTGGTGGGAAGAATGGGTGGTTCGAAGATGGCAAAGCTGGCAAGCCCTGGGTGGATGCCTCTCCCACAGCACGAAAGGATTTCTGGGACGCCAAAGACCAGTGGTACACAACGTGGCAGGACAATAGCGAGATGCAAGTGAAAAGTGTCCGGATGTGGCAGAGAAAAGGTTACGGAAGCTGCAAATGATCGCAATGTGACAGGTATGGAGTTGCATAGAGTCGACGAGTTCGAAATCGCTTTTGATTGGGTTGTGGGTTGTACTCCGTACATGTGGCAACAAGAAGGTTTTTCTAGAGGGAGGCACAAGGACAGGATTACGGCGGACCATACGGAGTAATTTAACGGGCGTCTCAATTCCGACGTCTGGCGTTAGTGCAAAGTTCAAGTGAGGAAGGTTACTGCCGAAGCTTGAAGGCGGCAAACGCTCCTCAAGCCACTATGTTGACAGTCGAGATTTTGGTCAGACAAGCCGCTTACCCTTTTGACCTCCACCAGGTACTCTCAACTAACCAAGTCAGCTCTGGGTATTTTGCAAGTGACCTCGGCTATGTCCAGCTCATATATATCTTACAAGCATGTATCCGATACCACCTATCATCCTAATCTATGCTTGAAACCGGCCGTCTGTGGAATCAGGGGAATACCGCATTTATCGGAAACAAGGCATCTGCCGTGAATCCGATCTTCGTCACAACAGCGGCAATCTGACCACAATGGCCGCTTCTCCACCACCGACGAACTTTGCACAACTCTCGTATCCAGCACCCGGCGTTCTCCTTGTGACCTTTGCACGTCCCGAAAAGCTAAACTGCATGGGCGGAGCGGATGTTGTTGAGTTGACGAATGTCTTTCGTTGGTTTGACGATGAACCGTCCCTCATAGTGGCCATCATCACCGGAGCCGGCAAGAAGGCCTTCTCCACCGGCGCTGATCTCAAGGAATGGCAGTCGAATGTATCTACCGCAGCCAAACCTGGCGCTGGTCCTGGCGATGTGCCCGGCGCAATGCCGCTATCGAATCGAATCGGGAAGAAGCCTATAATCGCGGCAGTCAATGGCTTGGCGCTAGGTGGTGGATGCGAGACAGTGGTGAACTGCGATCTTGTCATCGCCGCCGACACAGCGTCGTTCGGTTTGGTCGAGGTCATACGCGGTGTTGCACCTTACGCTGGTGCGCTGCCACGACTGATCAGGACTCTGGGTCTGCAAAGAGCAAGTGAGATGGCTTTGACCGGAAAGTACTACTCTGCTCAGCAAATGAGGGACTGGGGGATTGTCAACAAGGTCGTGCCTCAGGCGGACGTTGTTAAGGAAGCAGTTAAGTATGCCAAGGTCATCGCTGAAAACAGTCCAGACTCGGTCATCTGTACCAGAGCAGGATTGAGGCAGGGTTGGGAAACTGCAAGCGTTGTGGAGGCAACCGCTCTAACGGGCAGGACTCAGTGGACTGAGCTCCAGAAGGGAGAGAACATTCAGGAGGGATTGAAGGCATTCAAGGAGAGGAGGCAGCCTGTCTGGAAGCCGTCAAGGCTGTGATCCGTCAATTTGGACGATGTCCTCGTCCGTATGGGCTACGACGACACCTTCAAGTTCTTCCCGTCGCAGTCTGAGCTTTTCCGATCTCTTGTTGCAACCGCGTATGAATCCATCTGTTGCTATCGAGCCATTGCCTTCCACACCAAATTCCAGTTCGGTATTGTCAAGCTCTTCATGTGTCCAAGCGGCAACGGAAGTTAGAAATGTTGCGGAAGGAACGGGGGCGAAGTGCAGGCACGTCGGCCTCGTATCGGGCAGGTGATGAAATTGTCAGGCTGGCGATCCTAACCGCAAGGGAATCAGTTGCCCCTCATGGTTGCCAATGCGGATAATGCCGGCTCGGTTACCATCTCGTCGGCAATGGCTGGGACGGACTTTGGTCGGCTCAGAAATGTCAATTGTAATCTGTAAAGCGCGTTGGCAAACGCGAATGAGACCGGAGCAGTTTGGCGGAAAATGTGCTTTGATGATGATGTTGACGATGATGTCATGAAGTCACAGCATTTCTGCCGATAAGGGACGCAACTGAAGTTGATGGCTTCCATGATACAAGATTCGGAATGTCTGCTCCCGAGATAGCGGTCAGGTTGCTTGAAAATATGTTCTTGGGCGAGTATCTGCCAGGCTTCCACCGCCCTAGGCAGCTTGAAATGGGGAAGAACAACTTGATGATGATGCTCACGCTTTCCTGTGCAGCTGCTGCAACAAAGTCAGGGCGCGATCGTGATTCACATCATGGGGGAAAGTCCAACAACGAAATTCAGCAGGATCCGCGGAGTCCGCCACATTTGTTCACCGGTCTGCTCAGACTCCTGGCTGGCGATAATAAGTTTCTGCCCTGTCGACCACAAACTCGATAGTCTCGGAGTTCTCAGAATAGCTGTAGTGATGCCACGTCGGACCTGGGTGGGAGTGCCATGGCAACATCGAACAAAGGTGGAGGTAACGTACTGACTCTTGGTCCGACGCCTGACTGTCTCAAACCAGTAGCTCAACAGGCTTTCCGGTTCTCGCACGTTGTTGCCATGCTGAGCGACGGCGATCCTCTCGACGAGTTCGCATAGCACAGTTCTTGCATCGACATTGAGGAGAATGATGGGCCAATCCAGGGAGCGCACAGATGATTAGTATATTGTGGCTCGATCGCTCCACGTTTGATGGTTTGTGGTTAGCAGAATGTTAGAATCGGTTGAAGCCACTGTGCCCTGGTCCGCAAATATCATTCATTCACTACCGAATCTCTTTCATAAGACTGAGGAATTCGGAAGCATCTCGAAGGGCAAGTCTCGCAGAGGTAGTCCCCTATGTAGGAAGAGAGTCTGTCACGTCAAAATACGTCGACCAGGCCACCCATCGGCCATAAGCAAGGACCAGACAGTGGGGGGTTTTCCAGCCAGCAGGGCAATGTTGTCTCCGATATAGAGCTCTACCCATTCTCGCCAGAAAGGGAGTCGAGCGCATGATCTGTCACCATGGGCGCAGCTTGAATGAAGGAGAGACGCACAATGGTGTGCAGAGGTGCGGCTACGGAACCACGCGCTCTTCTTGGCAGAAAGGCAAGAGTCAGTCGCCGTGCACCGCTATCACTGGCTATTGTGTCGAAGTTTATGTCTGCCTTTTGGTAAATCATTGAGAGATTGTGGTCATTGCTCTGGAAATCAGCATCAGAGTGACCCTGCTTCAACGACGATTATGCTGGTTCCAATCTTGGAAGAATGCGTACAGACACGACAGAGTGCGGAGTAATAATCAATGCAGCGAAGGAGAAAGATGGAAGCGACAGCAGAAACGTCCTGCGGCCGCGTTTTCCCCATGTTCAAGTGCGCAGCACCGAGGACTCTGTGTTGCATCACTTACGTACATGACGCTACCGGACAGCCATCTGGTTAGCCGCATAAAGAGCGTCTCGGCATGATGCGCGTCGGCTCTATCTTTGGTAGAACACTCTGGAGTTACTCTGTCTCAGCCTGACCGCATACCCTCGAGACACCGTTCACAGGCAATTTATGGCCCAAGCACGCATTGAATCAAGCTTGAATATAGTGTTCATACTGTGTATGCTGGTTCCCGGGAATGCTTGCAAAGCTGCCCCAGAAAGCGCTAATTGCAGCAATCTATGGTTTGGCCCAGGCAGCACGTTCAAATGTGCAGCGCCTGTCGCATTAGGCATCCATCCCCGCTGCGCCGCCCCCAATTTCTTCGTCTGTCGCCATCCCGCTATGAGTTGCCAAGCGCGCAACCATCTTCCACGACGATCATTTCCACTTGTCCATCCGCCCAGCATGCACAGTGGACCGAACTTGTTGTTCTGTGCGACGCATCTGTGCTATCAGTGCACGAAGCGGAGAGACCTGACTGTTCAAATGCAGCAATTGGAGCTGTCATGATGCTCTTTGTTTGCTTATCGCAACCAAGACATCGACGGGAGCTGCGCCCGTTTCCTCCCACAAGAGCAAGCCACCGACCCATTCTGCTTTCCGCGCGTGCATAAGTCTGTGTGCTGTGGCGTGCGCCCGGTCTCTCACAGGCTGCCAGATGGCACCTTTCCAGAACACCCTGGGCAGGAGAGCCCAAATACCGAGCACTCGACTCCATCTAGCGCATCTCGGCTAGAGCGAGGAAGCGGGCGCTGTCAGCGTGGTACATATCTTCGTCATCGCCGATGTTGAGAGACATGGAATATTCTTGAGCCTCAATCTCCGCAGGCCCACCATGTAAGGCTCTTGCTCCTGAAAACAGCCAACAGCCTCCACTGTCGCGACCACCTGCTGATCCTGATGGAAGGTAAACACAGCGGAACTTTCTTCCACCCAAGGCGGTCCTTTCGACGACAGGACTCGTCTCTGGTCCCAGAAAGCTACGAACAAGCGCCACAAGAAGATCATGAGTTCCAGACATACAACTCGCCAGAATGGGAAGACGCGCCGGTAGGACTGAACATCTCCGGCATCCCGAAGGTGAAGCGTGTCCCTGTCGGCTCCAAATCCTCATCTTACACGAGCAAAGATGGCCTATCTGCAACCCTTGTCACGACTCCCGAACCATTGCTCCCTGGCATGACTCGTGATAGTCCTCGCCAGGAATATCACTCCAGGCCTGAAGATGCAAGATCATGGACGTCAGATCGATCCTCCTACAGCCGACTCAACCAGCAAACCTCACAAGACTTCTCGGCAGAAGCGGGACTCATTCATACCCACAGTCATTTTGATGAGATCTGTCCAACGCACGGTGACATTCTGACGAGCCCATGGTCCTGGTGGACCATTTCCGTACTGGCGCTGGCGGTCTATTCCACCGTATTCTCTGGGGTGTTCCTCGGTATCGCGTTTGCAAAGCCCAGATGGGGCGAATCAATCGGTACACGTGGACACATCTCTTTCGCAAACGCTACTCTTCTCAGCGCCCTTATGTCGAAGACGGTCGAACTGTCGTTCGTCACCATCTTCGTGGCACTACTTGGTCAGATGTTGAGTCGACGGGCATTCGCCAAGGAGAACAAGAACGGTGGCATCAGTATTGCCGAGATGACCATGAGATCGTGGGTCATGCAACCTGGAACGTTGATTACGAATTGGATAGCAGTCCGATATGCCGCTTCTACCATTGTCGGCATTCTGGTCTTGATCGCCGCACTTGCGGCCACTTTCTATACTACAGCAGCTGAAGCTCTTGTAGCACCCAAACCAAAGTTTGGCCGCCTCGAGCATCGGACCCTCTTCGGGAGGGTCGCCGCATCCTACGCTAATGCTCCATACCTCGCTGGCAGGTGTCAGAGTCCCATCCACGGCGAAGGTATCGACCCCAACTTGGGTTATGATGTCGAAGGAGACACTTGTCTCCAAATCGATTATGCGGGTCAAAGCTATCACAACCTCAAAACCTTCCTGGCAGACTGGTCCCAGCGGCTCGACGTCGGCAATATGAGCTCTGACCTCAGTTCTATTGTTGGCCGCCCTCCCCCCATCAGCACCCTCTTTGACAACACGACATTGCTCGGTCAATGGATTACCCCGAGTCACGAGAACGTCACTGCCGATTCCTTCAAGCACCAGCGGATCGTCCAGAACGTCACGCTAGCGATGCCGCATGCAAACCTCTTCAATGCCGCTCGGGATCCAAAGAACCACATCTTGCAACCCGAGGACCTCCAGGGCAACGGCGAGTACTCTATTCGAGCCGCGATCCCAGCACCCATGATCAACGTCCTATGTGTGGGTATGGATGAGACGGAGGTGGAGCCTATGATTGTCGACCCTTCCAATATCACTGACCCTGCAACATTTTACGTGGGCCCAACAGTGGTTGACGACATATTTGGCTTTGGGAACGGGACTGCGCCTCAAGTACAACAGCCGCCTTTCTTCCCAAAGTTGCCTTTGCCATATAACATCCTGGGCTTTATATCGAGCGCCTATGGGTACCCTGCAGTGTACGTCCTTGCTGCGCCCCCTCCCCAGGGCGCGAGAGAGTCATATTTGCCTTACATGGATTACATGCTGTGCTCCGTCCGATCTGCACAGTATCGCAATTGCACCACCTACTACCACGTCGCACAGTCTGGCGGTCAGATGTCTGTTGAATGCGACAACAGCACGGGGAACACATTCTCCTATTTCAAATCGGTCCCAGGTGCAACAATCGGTCACTGGGAGACAGATTGGAAAGACATGGGCTCAGAATGGCTGCGCTCTGTCTCCTTGAATTCCGGAGTGTACAATGCCAATGCTTCCAACGCCCGCATTCTCACGCAATTTATTCCCCCGTACTCCAATGCTACGGGCGCTGACGCATACACGTACCTGCCCATCAACTTGCCTACGCTGGGAGAAGCCTTAGCCGTCTTGGCCAGCAGCACCGCTGTTTTAGCATCTTCCACAGCACCATTCGTTCACTTTTGGAACTACTCAGAACAGATGCTTGAGGAGCCACAGTATGAGGAATTCCGAGCGATGCTCAGCTACAAAGATTATGCTTCGGGTGGGACGCAGGAATGGCAAGGTCTATTCTACGTGGTACTCGTCGCCGTCTTCCTGCTCAGTCTCTTCAGCCTGGTTTACCTGTTGTGGACTTTCTGCTTGCTCGGCAGAGTCACTGACTACACGGAGCCACAAAATCTGTTCGCGCTGGCCATCAATTCTCCGCCTTCCAGCACCATGTCTGGAACTTGTGGAGCAGGACCGAGTGGTGGGCTTTTGGCGAAAAAGTGGGAAGTTGATATGCAAAAGTCAGGCAGCAGTCCGACGGATCGGAATATGCATCCTCACTTCTACGTGAGATGCAAAGATGAAACGGGCCCAGCGACTACTAAAATCCGAGGGAAGAGGCGCAGCAGACCACCTACGATTGCATCTTTCTCAATTGCCGAGTCACCAGCAGTCGAGCAGTACATGCGGTTATCAGGGAAATGATGTGTGAGCGTTTATGAATTGGATATGTCCTTGGCAAATACCTGGCTCATAACTTGTGCGAATTAATAAGTAATGGTAATGATGGTATAGAGAATCTTAAGCTATGGTTCACGTTCGTCTTCGAGCATTCCCGCCTCCCTTGCTGCTTGCCGGCAATTGCCAAAGCAACCTTCCATCGGCCTTCTTCGCAGAAGGGCAGCAGCCGGGCCCTGAAGGAGCAATGCCTTAGGTTAAGGTGGGCTGGATGGGCTTTCCATCCGGGGAGCCTCTGAGTCTCGCTAGCGAGAGACTCCCCGCTCCCCGCGCGCCCTCCGTCACATCAGTTGAGGCTCCGCTGGCTGCCCAAAGGCGACTGCGGGGGACGCTCGAGCCCTTCGGCGGTATTCGTGCCGAGACGAGCGGAGCTTTTGTCTCCGCAGGCTTCATGAGCTTCCTTTTTCAATCATAGATCTGGGGTTCTGTGCCTGAATATTGACAATGCCCTCGCTCGATCATGGAGATGTGCAGCAAGAGCATCACTTTTCCCAGACTCTGGGGCAACTCTGCACCGCGCTCGATGTCATGGGTGAGGACACATATAGGCGCCTTCGCCTCGCCCTCCTGCGCAAGCAACTCTTTTACACGTCTATGATCGAGACATCTGGAATTACTTGGCAACATGTTGAGAACCGTGCTTGCTTGTTGTTTCCTTCAGCTTGCGTCCTTGGCAACCTCTTTGAGTGTTCGCCAAAGCGGTGAGCAAAACACCTGCACGATTCCTTCCCAGTTCAAGTCTTCGGGTGGGGAAGCGGACGACTCGCCGGCAATCTCCTCGGCCTTTGCACGATGCGCTCGAGACTCGACGATCATCTTCAGCGAGGGCGTCGACTACAACGTCCTTCAGCCCATTTCTGCGACCAACCTGTCCAACGTCACCATTCGGATGCAGGGAACGCTTCATCTTCCAAAGAACATCACGGCAGTCCAAGCACTCGTGAACAAGACCACCGCTGCTACAAATGCGTCTGCGCTTTACTGGTAACTTGACTTTCTTCCTTGTGGCACGTCTCCGCTAACAAGCATCAGGTTCACACTCTCAGGTCCATCGATCGATTACGTCGGCACGTCAAACGTCACCACAGGCTGGATCAACAGCTACGGTCAAGCCTGGTGGGATTCCAACCCCAAGAACGGCAGTGGCGCGCCCTCGCGACCGCATCTCATGAGCTTCAATACGACCAATGGCTCTGTCAGATATTTCAAGTCCCGTAAACCGATCGCGTGGGGCATGCAAGTCAGTGGCAAGAACATCACCATTTCAGACACGGTCATCGATGCTGTGTCCGACAGCCACGGATTTCCATTCAACACTGATGGCTTCGACGTAGGCGGTAGCGACATTCGAATCCTTAACAGCGTCATCTTCAACGGTGACGACGCCATCGCGGTCCAAGCTGGAGCCGACAACGTCTTGTTCCAGGGCGGCACCATCGGCTATCAGAGCCACGGGATGAGCATCGGCTCACTGGGACAGAATCAAGCCAAGTGGGCTAACGTGTCAAACATCAGGTTCGACGATATCACCGTCATCAACGCCGTGTATGCTGCACGGTTCAAGTCTTGGGTCGGAGGTAAAGGCCTGGCCAAGAACATCACCTGGTCCAACATCAGAGTCTACAATGTCACATTTCCAATCTTCGTGACGCAGACGTACATCAATCAAGGGTCCGCCCAGACTCAACTGGAGAACGGAACCACCGTTGGGAGACCGAACAACTCGACGGTGAACATGGAAGACTTTACCTGGGCCAACTTCACCGGAACAATCAACACGTTTAATCCCGGCGATGGTTCTTGTGTCAGTGATGTGAGTATTTGGCCGCTTCCGAGTGAGTGCAAACAACTGACTTGAGACAGCCATGTTGGTACGACGTTGGTCTGCCGGATCTGCGACACACGGAAGCCGTCATCATCGAGTGCAACACCAACAGATCCTGCAAGAATTTCGCGCTTGAAAATATTCAGGTCTTCCCAGAGACTTTGACTCCACCGACAGTCATTTGCATCGATGCCAGCGCCGCGTTGAATCCGAATTTGGGCTTCCAGTGCGCGAATGGGACGTATACGCCCATTTGATTTCTGTAGCAAAGATGGTCGCCATCGAGGATGCACTGTGGAGCAATGGATAGCTTCAAAAGGCAAGGCAAAGAGGCAGGGCCAGGCAGGCAATGAGGACTTGTTTTCAGGTAGTTTCTATGCGGTTTCCATCATCCTCCACACAAGAGTCTAGGAGAGACATGCCAACAAGAGGAAGGAGAGAATCACTTTGCTCAAACAACAGACACGGCGACCTTGCTACCGTCTGCATTTCAATCAGTCCTCCGTCGACTTTGCAGAAGAGCGCCCACTCACAAAACGCGACATGATCCTTGATATGTGCGGCCTTTTCCTTCGGCTCCGGATAGTACCAAGCCGCATCCTTCAAAGTGGTTCCATTAGCGTTGATGTTGTAGTAGCTTGCTTTCCCCTTCCACGGGCACGTCGAGTGAGTGTTCGATGGTGAGAGGACTGATTGGTCCAGGGAGCTGGGCGGAAAATAGATATTGCCTTCCACGGTCTGATAGTCGTTTGTGGAGGCGATGACTTTGTCGTTAACTCTGGCAGTGGCGGTAGGCATCTTGGTTCGATGGCAGCGGAGAATAGGTAGAGAGCAGAGATCGTAGACAGTGATTGAATGTTTGATGAGGAGATTGGCATGCGGTTGTGCTTGAATATAAAGTATACCGACCGGGGAGATGTCATGGTCATCGAGCCGCATCATTCGAGGCTGGCTGGCGAAGTGTAAGCGCCGATGACAAATGCAGGACCGGGCCAATCATTGATTGAGCGAGCATAGACCCCTGAAAACTTTCAAAGTATTGAGCGGAGTAGCTCATGTTTGATCTGTCAACAGATAATATCGCTCAGACCTGAGCTACCTTGTGCAGAATAGCCGGAGGAATCTGCCCCCAATCGAGTGAAGATTATGTCAACGCGACGCCTAAGGACGGATGGATGCTTGTGCGGCAATTGCAGCAAGAAACTCGAGTCGAATCATCCTCCCCATCCGCTTTGGAACCAGCGGTCGTGGTTGGAAGCAGGCTGGTCCTGATTTGCAATTTTCAGAACCCGTACGACATGAAGCTTCGAGGTTCATGTTCCAGCGCGGCCGACGTGAACTGAGGATCTGGTTGAGACTTTCGCAGGGACCAGAGCACGGCCCTGCATGCTGAGAACGCAGTAGCAACCATCGCAGTCTACATGGCGGAGATGCACCGATATTGTAAGAGGCTCGAGAGGACCCGGCACGGTCTTCACTGATGATGATCGGTGGGGTTGGGGTTAGGGTTAGGTGAATAACGGACTGCGGCTTCACCTTCTCGTTGGACAACAGGATCCCGCCATGGCTCTTTCCCAACCTGTGAATTATCGCTGTCACTTCACTGCTCATTACGCCAAGCATCGCGAAGTCTTCTCCTGCTGCATCCTCAAAGCGGTGCAAGTCTCCTTCAACTGTCGCTTCCAGCCAGGCCTTTATCGCTCTACTCTCCTCTCATAACCCGCTCATTTCTCGAAGACAATCTCAAATCAAAGAAGCGCAATGGAAGAACTCGACGTAGCGAGACGGGAAACACACTGCGAGCCATACTTGGATCGCCTTGTAAATTCATGTCCATCTCTGCTTGAAACGTTGCTAATATGACTTCACAGGGTCATGCCATCAAGGCTATTGCCATGGAGTATGCCACTATCCTTGCCAGGGAGTATGCCGACGATTCCAACGACGCAGCCATCTTCACTCACTGCTTGGCCATCGCTCGGGGCGAAGTTAAGAAACTGGCGAACTTTGCCCGTAATCGAGAGCGGGCTCCCAGCATGACAAGTACCACCAAGATTGGCACAACCACCTTTACTGTGACATACCTTTTCGATGGCCATGATGTGGAGGCTGAGTTGATCGACAATCCTCTCAAACAGAAGCTCTGAACTTGACGGGGCTGAGGAATAAAGGTCCAAAGGCGGAGAGTCAAGATGTCTGAGAGGTAGAGCATGGAGACGGAGTGCTGGAGTCACATCGAGTTGAAATCGAACCTCATCATAGAAGCGGGAGGCACGATATGTATGAAAGCCAAACAATGACCTGGTTTCGGTGTGCTGCGGCTTGGTGGATATGCTGGTTTACCAGCTCTTCAAACCTCAACGTGTATGCCGACAGAGAGAGCCACCAATTAAAACATGAAACCAGTTATGCCAGAGAATCAAGAGTCTAAAAGACTTCGTTTGCCGCATCAGTGTCTCTTCTTCGCGCTGAATGATTTGAGAGGATCAACCTTGCCCTTTGATCGTCCACCAAATCGAGTCTTTCGGCCACCTCGTCTCTTGTCGTCTTTCCGTTTCTTCTCGTTCCTGAATCCGACAAACCCAATCTCATCAGTACTGAGTGCTTTCCGTCCCGCTGCTGGCAGCAAATAGTCAGGAACGTGCTTTAGGTGTGCTTGTTGTCTGACGATTGCGCCATGCTCGCCATCATGCCTTAGGTGGTGCAAATCTTCCGGGTTCTCTTCAAAATGCTTCCTGAGCTTCTCGGACTTGACCAGTTCCTGCTTGATCTCCCTTGCACGCGCCTCGTGCACTGCAGCCCCAGTAACAGCTCGCAGCGCATCATTCATGCGATATCGGAACGCATCGACTTGTGACATATCGAATCGATACGGCTTGACTTCATTCCCTTTCTTTTCCTGCCGGGCAACAATCTTCTCGAGCACTCTTTCATCGTTCTTGGCCGAGATAATGCTCGTCGGTTTGTGCTTGCCAAACTTGTCACTGGGAATCACAAATGACAACGCCATTCCTGCCTTTCCTGCTCGTGCGGTCCGGCCTATGCGATGGGTGTATGATTTTGAAGTTGCGGGTAAGTCAAAGTTGATCACGCAGGAGACCTCTTGAAAGTCAATGCCCCTAGACACTCCGAAGTCCTTGTCGTTCTTCGATACCTTGGCTTTCTTCACCGGCCTCTTCTCGTCCTCATCGTCCTCGTCGCTCATCTCGTTGGTCTCATCCTCTAGCAGTACACGTGACTTTCGCCTTTTCATAACTCCGCCGAGGACTTCTTGGTCATCAGCCGCGATGAGGATTTCATACAGTCCCTTGTTAAATTCCTGAACGACGTGCAACCGAGAGTTTACGGGCAACTCCGCATTCAGCACGCACGACTTGATACCAAATTGTTCGAGATACAGCTTCAGTCGATAGCTCCTGTCGACGTCCGCCACGAAGACAAGGCATTTCCCCTTGACAAGACGCAGTTTGAAGAGCACGTATATCAGCAAGAACTTCTCATCTTCTCCACAGCGCACCACGTATTGTGTGACGCCCTCGCCCTTCTCTTCAGCTTGGTCTATTTTGACCACCGCTGCGTCACGGCAGAAGATAGACTTGAGCTCCTCGACCTCCGAGGTGAGGGTGGCGCTGGTTAGAAACGTTTGCACCCCGCGAGGAAGTGCCGCGGCAATGACATTGATATCGTCTTCATAGCCGTACGAGAGGACAATATCGGCTTCATCAATAACAAGGTGCTGGATGCTGTCGATTGATAGTCTCCCAGAGCTGAGGTACTGTGTCGCTCTGCTCGGAGTCGTGACAATGACATCGGGAGAGTCCTGCAATACCGCACTCAGAACTGCATCAGACACTCGTTGGGTCAGGTTCAGGGACTGAACATCTTTCGAGCAGAACGCGGCAAAGGTTCCGAACGCCCTGTGGACTTGGTCTGCCAGCTCGCGCGTAGGTACGAGGACGAGAGCAGTGGTCGCCCTAATGCTGAGCGGAGAGGATTTGCGGCGTAGAATTGCTTGTAGGATCGGAATAACATAGGCTGCAGTCTTGCCTGACCCTGTCTTCGACTTCGCAAGCACGTCTTTGCCATCGAGCGCCAGGGGTATGGCTTTGGCTTGTACAGGGGTCGGATGGGAGAAGTTGGATTTGGCAATGGCCTGCGTCAGGCGAGGATCGAGGCCGAATGAGTCAAAGGACTCGCCGCCGTCTTCGTCGCTCCGTGGCACTTCGACAGTAGGCGCATCATTAGAGTCCAGTTTCCGCTTCATTTTGAGGCAGACGTGGGCTAATGTGGTTCAAGCAGTAATTGAAAGTTGTTCGCAACAAAAGGTGCCCAAAATCCGTCCAGACTTTTCTTGCGGTCGCGGTTCAACTTCGGGTGCGACTTGAAGTTGGAGCAAAATTTCTGGAAAGCCACTTGAGCATTCTCCGCACCAAGCCATCCACCAGATTGTGCTGTTGCCTTGTGGGAAAAAGTTCAGCGCAGGTCGACCGCGACCTTTTCCTTCCTCCCGTCCATTGACGATCCCGCCCCTACACTCATGATGCCAGCACCTACGAGGGCGGTGAACCAGAAGAAGGGTAATCCAACGGATGTGCTGCCGAAGGATGATGTTGAACTGCGATTGGAAAAAGAGTTGTTTGGCGACGATGCGGGCTTCCTCGAGTCCTTGAAGAGAGCCCAAGTCCAGGAGGAGTGGTCACTAGCAAAACACGAGGGCGATGAAGAAGATCTGCATGGAGTCGACGAGCCAGATGGAGAACCGGGTGATGTCGCAGACGATGATGTGAGTACTTGCGCCGACTATGCTTCCAAAATTGACCTGACCTGACCTTCGCGCCAGTTGTTCTTCCTCGACACTGGTGCGACCCAACTGCCAGCATCTATTGTGCATGAGCTTGACCAGACAGAGCAGGAGCATGTCTCCTCTGTCCGGCAGCCTGCTTGGTACGACAGCGATGACGACCGGCTCACCGTTTCTCTGGCCTCAAATACACGACTGCGCAAGCTGCGGGATACCGAAGACGACGATGTCGTGAACGGTAGAGAGTATATACAGAGACTACGGCGCCAGTACGAACGACTTCACCCAACGCCCGAATGGGTCACGTATGCTAGGAAGAGGAGGAAGCTATCTCAGCTGGGCGATCGAGATGCGGCGTCCGACTCTGATGTGTCAATGGATGATGAAGACTCCCTTCCTTCAGCCCGGCCGCTCGCTGAGCTGCTGCGGACAGCTGGGTCTTTGACTCGAACGGGCGCGAAGCCCAGCACGAAAGAATTGAGAAAACTCCGACCTGAAGTCGTTGATATTCAGCGATGTAAGGATGTTGCTGGCTCCAGTCCTTCTTCCATCGACGCTCTGCAATTTCATGCTTACTACCCGCTCTTGCTTGCCGCCGGACCGAGCTCAACCGTCACGCTTTATCACGTCTCCCCTGAACCCCCCAATCCGAACCCGATCCTGACGTCGCTGCACCTGAAGGGCAACCCTCTACACACCGCTGCGTTTTGCCGGCCACGGGAGGGACCAAGTGGCGAAGAAGCGAATGACCAGACTCGCGTCCTTCTCTCCTCCCGCCGCCGATACTTCCACACCTGGTCACTGTCCACGGGCGTCGTGTCCAAAGTCACACGAGCACTCTATGGCCCAGCTCGGAAGGAACAGCGGACGATGGAGTCTATGAAGCCTTCACCCTGCGGCCGTTACGTGGGGCTTGTTGGGTCTTCCAAAAAAGGTGGCGGAAGTATCAACGTGCTGTCGACAGACAGTATGCAATGGGTGTGCAGTTGTCGAATCGATTCGAGAGGCGGTGTTGCTGACTTTTCATGGTGGCGTGATGGCAATGGATTTGCCGTAGTGGGAAAGAACGGTGAGGTCAGCGAGTATGACATTGAGACGAGGAGCGTGGTGATGAGATGGGTCGATGAAGGCGCTGTTGGTACAACCGTCATTTCTCTTGGTGGGGACGACACGCGGCAATGTCCTGGCCGAAGCCGTTGGGTTGCGATTGGCTCGTCAAGTGGAGTGGTGAATTTGTACGATCGACGCGGGTGGATGGTCAGGCCAGCTTCACTCGAGGGACAGCAGAGGGACCAGAGACCGAGGTCGGCCAGGATGTTCGACCAGCTGACGACGCCGATTTCACATCTCGTATTCTCCGAAGACGGTCAGATGCTGGTCATGTCATCACGCTGGAAGAAAAATGCTCTGAGGCTGGTTCACCTTCCCAGTTGCACGCTGTACAGGAATTGGCCCACGGACAAGACGCCTCTAGGCAGGATCAGTGCCGTTGCCCTTTCTCCCGATGGAGGCTACCTGGCCGTGGGGAATGAGCAAGGGAAGATCAGACTGTGGGAGATTCGCGAGTAGCATATCCCCGGTCTAACTCGTGTCTCCCGGGGGTTCGTATATCAAGCACAACATGTCTCTGGGTCAACCATTAGCCGGACGTCATGTCCCTTTAGTCCCTTCAGTACCTGATTCTAATCGCCCGGGTCAGGCTGATCCTCACATGCATAGGCTCCCCGTTCCGACTTCGCTATTAGCATTACCCCCTTCGACATTGCGTACTATGCAATGCCTTTGAAACTGTCAAGATCTTTCACCCCCACGGTGTTGCCCTCCTTGATCCTCTTGATGGTCAACGCCGCAATGAGAGCGGCGCCCACGCCGCTGCCGTCTTCTGCACTGAGCAGTGAAATGGGGTCCTTCTTGCCCTTTGGCCAATCCAGGATCTCGCGCAGAGCCAATGCTCCCCGCGCCTTGAAATGTGGGTATTTGTTGAAAACCGATCCATCTGCGCCGACGTGACAGGATTGATAGTTCTTCTTCTTGCAAATCGCGGCAACCCCGCAGGCTGAGAGACGAGCGGCGCGTGTACCGATCAGCTCCGACAGCCGGCGGCAGAGCTCGAGCTCCGGCTTAGTAGCATTTATCTTGAGCTTCTCTTGAAACATGTCGTGCGTCTCCTGCAAGTTCTCGAATGGGTCTTCTTCAATGAAGGAAAGAAAGGAGGCGTCGAGGGTATATGGCTTCTTGAGGGCTGAAATATCCTGGCCCTCGAAGAGCAAGTTCTTGTTTTCGTGCAGGTCGACCAGCACGAGCCGAAAGATCTCGCCCAAGTAGAGTCCCGCAATCATCTTCTCGAACGCTTGTTGCCCTGGTCTCGGCGATGTCTCGTCGATGATTGTGTCGTATTTTGTTATAGGAAGGACTTTGTGTTCGTTGTCAAAGGCGCCATACTCGCAGTTGATGGCCATGGGCATATCTTCGGGCAAGTTTAGGTGCTTGAGCTTCGGTATCGAGCCGCAGTTCTCCATGTATGCAGCATTGCAGCCCGTGCCGAAGATGCATCCGATTCTTATGGTTTGGTCGGTATATGCGGACGCAATCAGAGTGCCGGTCGTGTCGTTTATGATGGCGACGAGTTTGATGGGCAGGTTCTGGTGAACATCAGTCATTGTAAGGTCTCTCTAGGGGCAATCCCACCCTTGATTGCAAGGCTTTTTGAAATTGAGGGACGACATCCTGGCCCTCAACGCCTGAGATGTCAAACCCCTTTGTCCATCGCTGCAACACTCCATGATCGATGTAATCTTGCGTGGCAGGATATGAGAAGGTAAAGCCGAGTGGGAGGTGGGTAAGGTCCTCGTCTTCATGATGGTACTCGATGAACTGTTGCAAGCAATCTGCAATGTATTCCCAAAGCTCTTCCGCAGTTCCGGTTTTCAATTCTTCTGGCATTTTGTACTTGCTCTGGATGATATCGAACTCGCCCTTTTCTTCTGTGAGGGTAATCTCGCACACCCGCAAGTTGGTGCCGCCCATATCGAGAGCAAGAAATGTGCCTTGTTCGTCGCCGTCCGGAAAAGCCATGACCCATGTCGGGTTCATGGGGATGTTACCTCCTTCTTTCTCTAGACCGGCTTGCAGTTCGCTCACGAAATGCTCCGTGATCTGCTTGAGTTTTGAGGCGTCCACCGTAAAGAGCTTCTCGAGTGTCGCGATCTCATCGAGCAAGCTCTTTGGCACATCGGCCATAGATCCTGGGGTTGAACAGAGTCAGTCCCGTCTAACAAGCAGCTATCATTCTGGTAACTAACCCTTGCGGGACGGCTTTCGCTTGGGACCCAACCCGACCATTTTGGCAGATGCTCAATCGCGGGGTTAATGACAGCAGAAGGTAAGGGAACCGTGGAGTGACAGGCAAGTATTGAGGATTGAGCCTGGAGGAAGTGCAAGCTTAAGTATGAGCAGAAGCCGGCAGGAGAGGTACTCCAGCAGAGACCTCAACGGGCCCAGCTGCGGCAAGAAACGGAGACCAAAATGTTGTTGCAGCAAATGTTCGGCGGGGTATTGTTTCCCAAAGGAACGGTCGCCGACAAGGGTTCTTAGCTATGAGAATTGCCCCACTTGATTCAAAGTGCGGTTCAACGAGCTTTGTCGAATGTGATCTCATTTGGGGATCTCCCTCAAGCTCGTCAACTATCCTGGTGTGCTTCATATCCGTGGTAAAGCTCATTGCAGACAAATCGCCGTGCTTCTTGTTTAGAAGACTTTCAGCTCAGGTCTTTTCTTCCGGTCCCATGATCCCCTCGAGGTCTCCTCTTCTGACAAACATTTCCTTGCTGACTCACAGCACTATCTCCCATGACCATCACCGTGTGTGTCTATTGACAAGGCAAGTCCATAGCCTCTTGGCTATTGCTCTGAGCTTTCCTTCGCAGTAATTAATCGTCAATATCGATGACCTCAACTGAATGCTCCGTAGATGCATTCGGATCGTATTGAGGCCAATCCTGGACCTTCCACTGGTTGAGGCCAAGCGCAGGATCCGGTGCATGCTCCGCCATAGCAATTCTGGTCATCGCCTTGAAGAGTTCAAACCTGAGAGAGCTGTTTCCGTTCCTAAGAAACCCTTGGAAGCCCGGGCTATGGTGCTGAAAGGAGTCGTGTCCTTCGCGGTAGATCTCGTAGGCACATTGCTCAACCAAATATTGGATGATAGGTACTTGACAAACAACGGCTTCATCGCCACTGATGCGCCTTGCGAGCCAGAGGAGGTCGTCAAAGTGTACATTGTAGATGGCGTGAAAGTTTCGGAAGCAGTCAACAATGTCATCCTGAAGCCTGCTCATTCTGTATTGTAACGCCAAACAATATGCCTTACGAAAATTGCGTAAGGCAGACCGGTGCGATGGAGTTTGAGGGGAAACGTGGTACAAAGAGTTCACGACGATCTCAAAGGCTTCGGGTTCGTAAATTATCCCCTTCAGCGTATAAGACGTGCTTGTCACTGATGTCGCTTGGTTGTTTTCAATACGTTCATCTTCATTCAGTTCTTCTTTGATTTCGACTTCGTCTGCAACCACTGTATTCTCGCTAGGCGTAGGAGAATTCTCTGACGCTGGCGTTGAAGGACCAGAAGGCCGATGTATAGCTGGATGGCCGTGAATCTGGAAGAAGTGCGTCTTTGCCAGGAAAGAGTAGTGGACATGGAATGGCTCTTGTCGGTCCCCAACAAGGATCTGGATGGTAGGCTCGGCATACTTCCGAGTGGAATGTGATCGCGGTGTGGTTGGCGTCATCGTTATGTCGAGCTATTCGCACCCAGTTCGAGTGAGGACTGTGAAGCTTTCCTTGAGGTGCCGAAAGCCTAGAAGAAGGTCAGTCTAAAGTAAGGAATAAACCAAGAAGTTCTTACTCAAGAGAAAGGACACAAAGATTCGTAATCCACAGTGAAGTTGAGCTGAGGCCTCCCAGTATGAACCTGGATTGCAATACAGGTTGAGTTCAGTCTGATCCTTTCGCGCCAGGAATTTGTGAAACAGTCCGGATTGTCTAGAGCGACGGCTTCTCGGGTTTATCCTCTCTTAGATGAGGATACACATGATTGAGTGTGGATGAGCTTGTGGATGTAGTGGTTTGTGGAGTGGTGAGAACATTAGAAGGTTTGGTTGAGGAAGAGGTTGAAATCGGTCGCGATGAAGGTGAAGTGCCTTTCTCAATTTCTGCTCTGATCCTGTCGCTTGCCTCACCCGAAAGTTTCAGTGAAGTATCAATGTCCTTGGTCAACTTCTCCACTTCCTCGTCCAGTTTCTCTTGTCGGCTCTTTGCAGAGGCTTCTGGTTGCTTCTTTTCGACGCTTCGAGGGTTCGTTCTGGCCCATTCCTGTTCTAATTCTTCTCGCCAACCCAATGCATCGGCAAACTTACGAACGCCCTCATCGCAGTCCTGCAACAGAAGGACATCATCAGGTCTAGAACCGAGGCCACCGACCCTCTCGAAGTTGATTAGTACACGCGGCGTCTCCTCCTTCACGAACGATGGCAAGCTGGCAAAAGGCTGTACGGTCAAACTGGTTCCCATGATGATTGCGAGATCTGCTTTCGCTGGGAGGCTTCGGTTGCGGTGGAAGGCCTCCGGAAGCGCCTCTCCGAAGAACACGATATCTGGCTTCACAAGTCCATTGCAGGTCTTCCTGATGCAGCGCGGAACCTCCATCTTCTCAACCTTATCTTTCATTTCGTCATCAGGGTATTCCGTCTGGCAATCGATGCATCGTTGAGTAGCAAAAGACCCGTGCGCATACACAATCTTGTCCCCCGGGACCCCAGCCTCTTGCTCAAGACAGTCGATATTTTGAGTGAAGAGTTTCAACAAGCGGCCCTTCTTGTTAAGAAGACTGATGAACGAATGGCTCACGGTCGGTCGGTATTTGCCCGGATAGAGCTCGTGGGCCAATGTGTAGAAAGGCAATGGGTTCTTTCGGAAGTATGCGATGTCGAAGACGGCTTCGGCATACGGTAGGTTGAGTCGGGCGAGATTGGCGTACAGACCAGTGTCAGGCGATCGGAAGTCTGGGATACCGGCAGAGGTGCTGATACCGGCACCGGTCTGTGCCTTGTCAGACACTTGTCTCTGAGGGCCGTGGAGGGGCTTACCATGACGACAATCTTCCTGACATCTTTCTCCTTGATATACTGAGCCACTGCCTCGATATTGCGCACATGGAGTGTGGTAGGAGGGGTGGCCTCGTCGACCGGAGTGGAGTTCTCGTTGCCCATGTTGAAGATATTCCAGCGCCCCACACGCTGGTTGGACTGGCGGTCTCGTCGCCGGCGACCTATGGCTGCTAGGAATTTACGAAACACCCTGGGATCTAGGTATCTAAGAGACTCTGGGATGATATGACAATAACGATGGGGATATACGAGCCACTGTAGAAACAAGCAGACGAGCAAACCGTTCTGGAAGTGGAAGACCACTTGCAGTCCCATGCCCCGCGTCATACCTGGGTACTCAGTACGTTCGAGTATACATAGCGGAACCGCATTGCGGGAACGTGGTGGGACCGCCCGCGACGTTCTTTAACGGGTTAGTTAGCCCGCTATTTTGACGCTCCAGAAACTTGTCGTTAGGCGCCGAGAAATGTAGAACCCATGCAGGCCGGGAATAGGTGGTGCGCGACACACTCGTTCCTCCTATGTAAACGGCTATTCTACAGATATGAATACGAATGGCCGCGTTTCCGACCTCGAACATGATAATCAGTCTGTCGGCATCTATAACGCAAAGTCTGTTGGCGAAATACGCTCCGCGCTGACCGAACTGCACAGCAAAGAGGCCAGCGTGACCTCCCGACTCGATGCTCTCATCAATGCACAAAAGGATCTTCAGCGCGAACTCTCCCGGCTCGATTTGTTTCGCGCAAATGTTACTGCGCAGGCGTCAAGGGCAAGAGCTGTCAGCAATGGCATACTCTCCGATGCCGCCGCAAATTCGAAACGCATTTCCAATTCTGTCAGGAAACTTGACCTTGAACAAGAACGGGTCAAGGCTACGCTTACTGTGGTTGAACAAGTCGGCGAGCTGAAAGCGTGTGTTCTGGGTGTTTCAGGTTCAATGGGAGCTGCGCAAGACTGGGAAACCGCCGCCAGCTACCTAAGCCGTGCATCGAAGATTCCCAGCGCCGTCATAAATGGCGAATTCGCGGCGAGAATTGTCCCTACCGCAGAGGTTCCCGACGCTCCAGCCGTCACATTGGAGAATGCATCGGAGTCTCTATGCAGCTTGTTCTTGCGAGAGTTTGACAAAGCAGTCAAGGACAACGATGGTGCCAGGATCACTCGTTTCTTCAAGCTGTTCCCCCTTATCAATCGTTCCGACGTCGGTCTGGACGTCTATGGTCGCTACGTCTGTCAGGGTGTTGCTGCGCGAGCCCGAACCAATCTCAATGCTGGCACCGGCGGCAATCAAAGCAAAGATGGCTTCTTCTACGCCAACGCCCTGACGAAGCTGTTCGAACATATTGCACAGATCATCGAAGGACACGGCGGACTGGTTGAGCGTCACTACGGGCCAGGAAAGATGACACGAGTGATAGAACGGCTGCAGGTCGAAGCTGACCTTCAAGGAGGAATCATCCTCGATACGTGGGCTGATGAGCGGAGGATCGATCGCCAACTGACCGACATCAAAGCGTACGCCTTTACATTCCTCGTCCAGAGCTTTATGCCCACACAACGGGGATCAATAGGCACCCCCCGCGCTGGATCTCCAACACCAGGAAGGCCGAGCGAGGATGAGTCAGTCGACATGAAACAGGTGGATGCTATGCTGAATGAGATGACTTCGATGCTGAGCAAATGGTCGCTCTACACCAGGTTCATTACCGAGAAGTGTCATGATTCCACCGCGAGTGACGACGCGACGATACCACCATTTCTGGTCAGCTCAAGCTTGATGAAAAAGGTCCAGGACAAGCTTCTTACCCCATTCAACACGATGACTACCTTCTTCTTCCGACGTTCAGTCGAGAAGGCGTTCCAGCTAGACGAACAACCACCGGACCTTTCCCTCAACCCGCACAAACCACTGAACTCGAATCCGCCTCATGTGACCTCCGCTATCGAAGACATCATGTACATTGTCAACAAGGTTCTGCAACAATCGCTTGCCACCTCCCAGAAGCAAGTCGTTTTTGGTGTCATCCCGACCTTGGGCAGAGTCCTTGGCTCGGACTTCATCGGCATGCAACAGCGTAAGATGCGGGACGAGAGCTATCCAAAAGCAGCAATGCAAGGACAGCTTCCTCCTGAATCCACCATCGTCTCATTTCTTGTCCTTGTCAACAACCTCGACGTAGCTAAAGACTACATCGACCAAATTGTCCATGCCAGACTCGAGCCGGTTCCTGGATCTCCGCATCGGACCCTGGACGAACTCTTCCCCGAGCCCGGCGAGGCCGCAGCCGTAGCAGCCACTTTGACTTCGTTCCGCACCACATTCTCTGAGAAGACCAATGAACTGATTTCCGATGGTGTCAACGTCGTCTTCTACAATGTGATGAAGCCCCGTCTGCGACCGATTCTGACGGATGCCTTTCGGGACACGGATTATCAACTCACACGTGAACAGCTGCGAGAGCTTGCACAGGAATTGGATGCAGATGGCGACTCCGAAGGCTTCTCCGACGAAGTCCGCCTGCGGTTCCAACTCGGGTGGGACGCCTTGACCAAACCCATCGGACGGCTCATGACAGAGCGCACGTTTGACCAGCTGCTGACTATGGCGGTCACCTACTTGAGTAAGATGATCGAGAAGCGACTGTGGACATACCAAGAACGGGTGAACGACGTGGGAGCAGCTCGACTCGAACATGACATCAATGAGATCATCAAAGTGGTGGTCAAGGGTCAGAAATACAGCTTCCGCGAGGCATTTGTGAGATGCAGTCAGATATGCATGATCATGAACATGGATGAAGAGGAATGGGAGGAATTGCAGAGTTCCGGAGGAGAAGTGGCTGACAAGCTGAAGCCGGAGGAGAGAGTCCGAGCAAGGAATATGGTGATCAACTGAGAGAATGAAGCATGTTGAAGGTTTTGAGTCTTGATCATTTTCATATCTTGTGTCATCCCGTAGAGACAAAGCGCGCCTCGAACGCGGCGTGTCTCAACCATGATCAGGATGAGTATGGGCTTACATTGATTCTGGTAGTCGCTTTCGTACGACTGGGCTGCCGAAAACACTCCCTGCCCTCCTCGCGTTGCGCGGCATCGGAATGCATTCCCAGACGCCCTTCTCCATAGACTGCTTCCTTCTCTACCGTTGTCTATGCACGAGACATGACACCCCATGCGCGGATCTTGTTGTCGGTGTAGCCAGAGAACAATGTCTGACCATCCGCACTCCAGGTCAAGCTCACACAGTATGGCTCCTGCGACTTCTTGCCCTTCTCAACGTAATCCGGCTTCAGCTCGTCAACCTTGCTCTTCTTCTCAAGGTCGAAAATGGTGATGGAGGAAGTAGTGGCAGCACACAGCCAGTATCGGTTCGGCGAGAAAACAAGAGCGTGGATTTCGTCACCAGCTTGAAGAGAGTACAAATGCTTGGATTCGTTCAAGTCCCAGAGCATCGTGGTGCCATCCTTGCCGCCAGACGCACAGAGAGAGCCATCGGGTGAAATGGTAACCGTGTTGATATAGCCGGTGTGGCCGATGTGGTCGGTTTGGATTCGGCAGGACGCGAGTTCCCAGACCTGTCAAAGAAGTTGTCAGTTGAAGACGACCACCAATCTCAGAGTACGCAGTGGGATATGGTCGCCTCAGTCCGCCGGTGAATGTTTGTCTCATAGCCAGTAGGCTCTGAAGTAGCAAATACTTTTGAATACGCGTAGCATCTTCGGCAAAGGGTATGAAGTGGATATCTCGTACCTTGACCAACTTGTCCCAACCGCAGCTCACAATCACGGGGTTCTGAGGATTCGGGGAGAATCGCACGCAAGAGATCCAGTCGGTGTGCCCCTTGTCGGTGATAGTGTATTTGCAGTCTCCGAGAGTGTTCCAAAGCTTGATGGTTCGGTCTCGCGATCCCGAGACAATTTGTCTGTTATCTGCTGAGAAAGAAACTGAAAGAACATCGTTGGTGTGGCCGACGAAGGTGCGGGTGGTGTTGCCTGTAGACAGCTCCCACAGTCGGAGAGTCTTGTCCCAGGATGAGGAGAGCGCGTAGGCACCGTCAGATGAAATGACGCAGTCGGAGACAATGTGCGAGTGACCGTGGAGTGATCGCTTCGGGTATCCGTAGGCGGATTCATCGCGGGTCAGGTTCCAGATGATGAGAGTCTTGTCTCTTGAGGCAGACAGCAGCATGTTAGGGCTAGAACCGCTGTTAGCGAGCTTGCGCCAGTTGCAGCAACATTTTGAGGACTGACTTCTCCAAGCTGGTCGCAAGGGCGGTGACCCAGCCGCTGTGGCCTTCCAGGGTACCACGTTGAATGAGTTGCTCAGCCATGGTGACTTGATAATAGGAAGTGAGAATAGGCTGAGGTGGTGGTCGTCGAAGATCGCCGGTTCACTGCGGTCTCAACTGTGTGCTCCAAAATTCGATGTCAGTCTTGGCGACGGCTACGGCAGGGCAGAACTCAGCTTGAAGCTTTTCCATGCTCAGACGTACAGTAGCTCGAGTAGCTTCCATTCTTTTCGCTAGCCGCATTTGCGGCTCAACCTCGGCGGCATTTCCATTGAACATGGATTCCTTCTTTCCACAAATCTTTCCCTGAAGCCTTTGTGGATTATATCATCAGTGTCTTCTACCAAAGTGTTTCAACATACGAGTTCTGGGTACCTAGATATGGTCTCTGCTAATCCATTTCCGGCTTGTAACATGTCTTCTCCGCAATAGTTGCAAGCGCTTCACGTATACGCATGCCGGCCAACATGTCAGTTAACTGACCGGCTAAATGCGACCGGTCCCTGCAACGAGATATGCCGGCAGCACCACAACACGAAGTACAATGATATAATTCGAGAATTATCCGCTCCATCTCTCGTCGCTCTTCTAGCATCTATTGCCTCTGCTACATCATCTTCTCTTGCACACATTATACCTAGGGATAGATTCACCTGTGTTGTGGGCCATGGCTTCTTCTGATTCACCCAAAATGCAATACCGTTTCCTTGGACGTTCAGGACTCCAAGTCTCAGCCATCTCCCTAGGTGGATGGTACGGTCTACTATGAGAGTTCGCCGCTCTTCAACTGACTGTCTTCTCAGGGTCACTTATGGCGACGCCGTCGGCGACGGTGAGTATTGATCCGCAGTTATCTCCTCAGTATCTGATTGTGCAGAGGCGACTTTTGCGTGCATGAAGGCCGCGTATGATGCTGGAATCAACTTCTTCGACTGTGCAGAGGGATATGCGGATGGCAAGTCTGAGATCGTCATGGGGAAAGCAATCAAGCATTTCGGCTGGAAGCGCAATGACCTCGTCATTTCGACAAAGATCTACTGGGGTCAGGCCTACGGTGACAACATCGTCAACAATCAAGGTCTTTCGCGAAAGCATATCGTTGAAGGTGTCGCCGGGTCACTCAAAAGACTGCAGCTGGACTATGTGGACTTGATCTACTGCCATCGCCCCGACAGACACACTCCGATCGAAGAGACAGTCCGAGCTATGAACCACATCATCGACACCGGAAAGGCGTTCTACTGGGGCACAAGTGAGTGGAACAGCGAGGAAATCGCAATGGCCTGGGCGGCGGCTGAGAGACTTGGCCTCATTGGACCGGTGATGGAGCAGCCAGAGTACAGCATGATTTCTCGTGATCGTGTCGAGCGGGAATACGCTCTTCTCTACGAGAAGTATGGACTCGGCCTCACTATCTTCAGTCCCTTGAAGCAGGGTATTCTGACTGGCAAATACAATGACGGTATTCCGGAAGACAGCAGAATTGCAAAAGCCGCCGATGGGTATACAACAAGCCAAAGGAAGAGCTATGGAGACGAGAAGTGGCAGAAGACGATAGCCCAGGTCAAGAAGCTGAAGCCGGTGGCAGAGAAGCTGGGTACAGATCAAGCAACTCTGGCATTGGCTTGGGTCTTGAAGAATCCCAATGTGAGCTCGGCTATTACCGGTGCCTCAAAGATCGAGCAAATCCAAAGATCTGTCAAGGCGTTGGACCTGATAGGCAAGTTGGATGACACGGTCATGGCTGAGATTGATACAATCCTGGACAACAAGCCTACACTACCCTACAGGCGGTTGTAGTGGTGCCATACAGCGATCATTGCTGTCGGTTAGCTAGGGTGACCGTGTTAGTTAAGTTCAGCGAGCAACATTCGGCATGCGCCAAACATGACAGTATCAGGTTTTGCAGGGAGGGAGCTCTGGAGTCCATACCAAAAGCCCAGCGTTTTGTAATAGGCGGGGATGGATCGTTGGACCAGTGGCTTTCGATGAAAGACGGCTCGCGCAGGTGTGTTTCTTGGGCCACCATCTGGTGCCTTCCGGATGACTCCCAAGAAGAGGAGTGTTGAGAGGAGCTTCGTCCTTTAGTGGTAGAGGAAGATTTTGATGCGCATTGGGTTGTGGACGAATTTGATTTGTTCTCGGGCAAAGTATGTACCTGGTACGTAGTAGTTGATACGATCGAGGCAAGCAGAACCGGTGATGTCATGACCGAAGCACACCTGCATCCACTGCATCGTCTGCGTATTTCGGACTCCATGTCTTTCGGTTAACTAACAACAAGTCATTCTTCCTCTTTGGTCGTGCAGCCAGCTACCATGAATTGCTCACGGGTCATAATCAGGTGCCTCGCCACGCGCCCTCTGATGGCTTCCGCATCTCGACGCTGCATCTCCTCCAGCTCAGGTCGCCTGGCGGATGCCGGTGACAAGCAAAGATATCACAGCAACGTCGAGGAGTACCGCAAGTACCAGATTGAGCGTGCGGATAACCCACATATGACCAACACGAATACTACGATTCACAATGAGATGCCGTCATTGGGCAAGGACGCGTCTCCGCCAGAGATGCTCAGCGCCACCGATGCCGACTTTGTGCCCAAAGACAGAATACCCGAGAATACAGACAAGATGACAGGAGGAACTCAGCCAGGAGATCCCAACAAAGTAAGCCAATCAGAATATGCTGTTGGTGAAATGGAGGGCATCTCTTTCAGAGTCGAGCCTCTGCGCCGTACAGGAGAAGACCTTCCTACCATGAGAGCCAGATTACTATGTTGGTGTTCACCCGAGGAGGTCGCATGGTGGAAGAGCTTTCGTTCGAGCGGATGCTGACTTCTTTTCTTAGACCAAAGCAGGAAGCGAGGGACATTAGAGTCTGACCTCCTACTCTCCACTTTCGCGGCAGAAAACTTGTCCTCCATGAGCCGATCCCAGCTTGAGCAGTACGACCGTTTCCTGGATGAGAACGACTGGGATATCTACTACTGGGCAACCCAATCCGAAGCAAACACGCCCACATCGCTAGAGTATGCGGAAGGCGCAACGACGGAGACGAAGAACCAAACAACCGAATATTTCTCACCCGCAACGCCAGGACAAGCTCAAGAAACAGATGCGTGGAGGCAAGGAGCTCCGCGAAGTGGAGAGTGGGCTCAGACTGTTGGTACGTTCAAGCCGGCATACAGGCCAGTTCCTCAACGATGGAAGGACAGCGAGGTTCTTAGCTTGCTGCGGAGACATGTCAAGGCACGCAGTGCTGGTGGAGTTCTTGAAAATGTCGAGGATGCTGCGAATACTAAGCCCAGCGGAAGTGGCCTCGGGAGAATGCCTGAGGTTCAGACCTTCGATTGATCTTGTACATAAGTGCTACACCAAAAGTGAATGCTCACAGTTGTGTTCGAGGCCTTCTTGTTGAAGTCATGCCTTGTCCGAATGATCTCTCGATGTTGAAATGTACAAATGAGCTGGACCGGTTGGTGCCTTCTACCGATCTTCTGGCTGAAAGATACCCAGGCGCCCTCTGCTGAAGCTGGGGTTCCGGTCAATTGTAGGACCCAGACAGGGTATGCCCTATTACGTCGGTCAAACTCAGTCGCGAGAAGTCCTTGGCATCCTCTCCACGGAAGTTGACTGCCACCAGCAGGGCAAGGACTTTATCCTTCGTACATTGATCGTTACCGCAACTGAAATTTCCAACGCAGAGGGCCTAGTCTTTCGTACTCCGTACAAGTACACCGCTTAGCAATTATCCGGGCCGTCCATCTGCACCATCTAAGTGGGGATTCTGCAAGCCGATCCTCGCATCCTCAATACCACACTCTGCCGGCCCGTTCGTCATGACATGGCCGGCACAGCAATTCCGAGTGACTCATTCCCGGTTGAGCTCGCGCATCTGCCCGTGGCGGGCGAGGCGGGATAACACCCACTCTCGTACTCCGTACATCCCCACCACATTTGTGGCCACGGCGATAGTGCAGCGCATTTCGAGTCTTTGAAATCAATTCCAGCTGCGCGTTCGTCGTCACAGCCATTTTCTCCTCAAGATGGATCCCAGTTCTGGCTCGAATTTTCTTTCCCACTCCTACCTTCTCAGGTGACAGAGTACTATCGGAGTTTGGCGCGGCTATGTCCAGCCTATACTTGTATCTAACACCTCTCCTATACTAATGCGGCCTTGATACCTTTACCGACTACTTCTGGGAGTCCCTTACACCAGGGCAGCGGGAAGCCATGGCCGACCCTGATGTGGCTGATGCCGAGAAGAAGGAGATGTTCCTGGCCGTTCCAAATGGCCGTCCAACCTCGTTGAGCCCTGTGTCGACGAACCAATCTCAACCACGAAGTCGGAGTCGGAGTCAGAGTCGCCCTCGTGGGAGCCTGCATTCTACTCGATCCTATGTGGACGGGCACGGCACTTACTTCACGGAGCCAGAGGCTGAACCTGCTCCCAAAGACCAGCACTTGGACGTTGAGAACTCCCCGGAGAAAGACTTCGAAGTGGGGTGGGACGGACCGGACGATCCTATGAATCCGAAGAACATGACGCCGACGAGGAAATGGCTCGTAGTCGTCACATTAGCATTCGGCTCCTTGTGCGTGACGTGCACATCCTCATTGTACACAATCACCTATGGTAAGTTGGGGCCCATGCTGGGGAATCGACCGATGCTGACTGGTACAAGAGCAAATGGACGCTGAGTTCGGGAACTCGAGGATAGTCGCAACACTCGGACTGTCTCTTTTCGTCTTTGGCCTGGGCCTGTCCCCGATGATACTCGGGCCCCTGTCTGAGTTCTATGGCCGCCGGCCTATATACATTTTTGGATATATCTTCTTCACCGTCTGGCTGTTTCCATGCGCCTTCGCCCAGAACATTCAGACCGTACTGATTGCGCGATTTCTCGATGGCTTTTCCGGAAGCGCCTTCTTGTCAGTTGCCGGCGGTACCGTCGGGGACATGTTCAATCGAGATCAGCTGCAGGCGCCCATGATGATATACACCGCTTCGCCGTTCATAGGCCCAGGGCTTGGCCCCATTATCGGCGGATTCATCAACTACAACACCTCTTGGCGGTGGTCATATTACGTCCTTCTCATCTGGTCGGGAGTCATGTTGCTCGTCATCACCTTGTTCGTCCCGGAGACGTACATGCCTGTGGTCTTGAGGAAGAAGGCACAGATCAAGCGGAGGGAGACGGGCGATGATCGATGGAAAGCTCCGATTGAGATCCACGAGAAATCAATCTTCTGGACGGTCGTCAGGTCTCTGTACCGGCCCTTCATACTATTGTTCTTGGAACCCATGTGCTTTAACCTGTGTCTGTTCTCCGCGATTCTGCTGGGCATTCTGTACCTGTTCTTCGGCGCGTTCAACCTGGTCTTCACCGAGGTCTACAACTTTAAGCTCTGGCAGATCGGCCTCTCCTTTCTCGGTCTCATGATCGGCATGATTTTGGCGATATTGTCCGATCCGATCTGGCACAAAAATTATATGCGACTGCTCGATAAACACGAAGCGAACACGGGTGAACGCAAGTCGGAGCCCGAATATCGATTACCGCCTTCAGTCTTCGGTGGCTGGTTCGCTGTGGTCGGACTGTTTTGGTTCGCATGGACTATATACCCGGGCATTCACCCGATTGTGCCCATTATCGGTAGTGGCTTCTTTGGATTCGGCATCATCCTCGTGTTTACGGGCGTGTTCACCTTCCTGGTGGAAGCGTACCCCCTTTATGCAGCCAGCGCATTGTCGGCCAACTCATTTGCGCGAAGCTCCTTTGCTGGAGCATTTCCACTCTTTGGCGTTCAGATGTACAACAAACTCGGCTTTCACTGGGCCACGTCGTTCCTGGCATTTCTTTGCTTGGTCATGGCTCCGTTCCCCTATCTGTTCTTCATTTATGGGGAAAGGTTGCGTCGGAAGAGCAGATTCAGCAACCTATCTTGAGACAGAACGTTTGCAACTCGTCCGATTCTGGGAATATCATCCAAGTCAACTGGCACACGGCGTCAAATGTGATTGGGCGGACAATCTTTTCCCGACACCATCTTGAAGTGGGAGGCACGACACGGTCGGTGGCTTGACTTGTCCCCCATGAATCTGTCAGAATTACTGAGGACGTTCGTGTCTGCGGTCAACATTTCCGAGCGTGTATCGGAACACGCAAACAGGAGACCGGGCATATATCTTAATTTCAGGAGCAAGACAACTTTTGTGCAACTGCGGTCCAGTGCGCAGCAGTCTGCGTTGGAATAGGAGCGGGCCAGGTAGCTGTCGACTAGACAGCTTTATCTTGTGATGCGGAAGAATTGTCAACCGCCGACCATCAATGCAGCCGGAATTGCAATCAAGCCGGGCGATCAAGCCAGGCATTCATGGATCCTACTGTTTGTCATGTTGTGCAATGCTGCAAGGGCGGGTCTTGCAAGTCAACCAACCAGTCTTGGGAGATACGCGCGAGGCGAATGGACAAAGACAGAGCCTAGGAATTGCAGGTGCACTGCCTGGCCAAACTGTCGTTGCTTGTACCGCCAGTCGACGCTGTGAGTGCTTCAGAATGATTGCACCACGTTTGCCACAAACGCGTGTCGCGTCCGTCTGTCCGTGACGTGCACGTCTCCACGAGTATGTATGCGAGATAGTGCGGCGTTCGAAGCAGGTTCCGGAGGGTGGATAGTTCACTATTGCGACATGCAGTAGGGGGGGGGGGTTCCGATACGGAGCAAACGCCATCGTACAGTACCTCGTTCGGGCCCGTGGCTACTGAGAGCGACAGGCCGTGGAATTCCGATCAGCTCGGATGAAGTCGGGCAGCCTCGTGAGAAATTTTTGGAAAGAGGGTTGGCGATCCCCCGCTACCCAGTACCAGGACAAGGCAGAGGCGCTGCCACGCCTGGTCAGTGACTGGAGTATCGTTTAACCAGCAGTAGCTTCCCCTGGGCCTCTGTTGTTGGATCTACCATGAAAGCCGCGCCGCGACAAGGCGGGGGTGGCTGTTTAAGCACACAGCAGGAAAATTACAACGACTGGATTTGGACAGCTACTGTATCCTCAGGGCGTCGACTCAGTCGCACGCAGCTCGCTTTAGGTAGTAGCTGGAGATGCCGAGGGACAGATTTTGCTTCCAGTTTCAGGCTTCACAAGTCAGGCAGCACCGGTCCCTGTCTGGAGCGTTGCGGCCCCTCACTAGCTTAGGTGCTCGTGCTCACCGGCGAAGGTTTTGTGGGGTCGCTTAGTGAAGGGCAACAGCAAATGATTGCTCAACTAATATTACACCCTTGCGGCCACAATTCAAGAACCCCTCTTGTCTGGGTTGGCTCGGGGCTCGTCATCTCTCTCCTTCGGCGTGATCCAAACTCAGCACTGCATGCATGACAGCGCCACATATTGGGTGGCTCTGAGATCTCCAACGTTCAAGGTTCATAGTGACTCCGCACCCGAGGTGTGCTTCAACTAATTAGGCCGGGAACTGACTCTGAACTCTCGCAGCTGCGCACACGAATCCTGCCCGCATTCACAAATCCGCAGTTCAACAGCTCACGACAACCGCGCACCCTCTCCTGGGTCAACTTCAGCCGTACTGGAGCTGCTCCGACTCGATATCGCTTCCTCAGACGACCCCTCGTACTGCTCCTGAAGAACACTTCTTCCGCTATCCGTGACCACCAGCGCGCATCCGCTGACCCCGAGCCACCCGCATATCCTTGCGTCCTACTCAGTGCCCACAGGCGAACCATCAGGGAGACCACTCCTTTGTCATACCTGAACAGTGTCGCACGGCATCTGTGTTGACCTCATCATCCATTTCGACTGGGGAACTGGCCATTTCCCGCCTCATTAGATCTGGCGCCGATTGCGGAACCATCGACTCATGCGAACTCGCTTCACAGAGCCGCCTTCCGCGAATCAAGAGCCTGGTCCCCATTGGGGGCTTGCGGACCAAGTAGCTGAGACGGTGAATTTCTGCAAGGCACAGGAGATCTGCCTCTGAGAATTATCAGCCGGTCGTCGTTCCGTACCTGGCAGAGGGAGTTCGGAATCGTGTGACCGTGGTTGTTCCTGTGCGAGCCACCTCCTGCGTTCCTGCGTGTTTTGACATCCCATTGATGGTTTGCTTATAACGACATGGCGGCCTCAGATGCTGAGGATGGCCACTCTCGTTCGGCCTCCCCCGAGGACAGTGGAACCGAACAGGTGCAGGAGAACATGGCAGAAGGTCCGGGCAAGGACACGAAGCAGCAGAACGGAGCCAAGTCGACCAATCCCAAGGATCCTTCTCGCCCTCGTAGGAAAAAGGCACGCAGAGCATGCTTCGCCTGTCAGCGTGCTCATCTGACTTGTGGTAGGTGAACCTCAACTCCGCACCCTCTGTTATTCTCCGCTGCTGACACTTTCTCCAGGCGACGAGAGACCGTGTCAGAGATGTATCAAGCGAGGCCTACAGGATGCTTGCCAGGATGGAGTCAGGAAAAAGGCAAAATATCTGCACGATGCGCCAAACGAAGCTCTCATGCCTGGAGTCGGCTCAAACCTATTCAACCATTCCGCAAAGTTATCCTCCTCCGTGAGCGGAGAAACCCCATCACATCAGCAGTTCTTCCCACAGCCGCAGAATTTCACCAACTTTCAGACTCCTTCGCAAATGCCTCCTCCGCTAATCGCCGAGCGAAGCATGAGCGCCAACAGTTTTCCCCAGCAGTCACCTTTGGGCACGAATTTTCCAAGCGTCGCATCACAGGTCCCAATGCAGAGTCCTGTCATTGGTGCTGACCAGAGTGTTACGAGCAATTTGGGTGGTACCGGTTGGCCAGGGCCGATATTCGACGAACCCGTGATGAATTTCGATCTCGCCAGCATGAATTTTGGGAATCACTATGGTGCGCTTGAGTTTGGAATGCTGGGCCATATGGCAACCAACGCGGGCGAAACCCCACCGTCCGATACCGCGACACGGAGCGGTTCGATAACGCAGCAGTACCGCATGCCGTTCGGTAGCTTCAGCGAGAGTCCGACGGCCCGACAGCAGATTTACAACGAGACTATTTTGCCAGATTGGTCTAATGGGCCTGACCCGTACGGTGCGCATGGTCGGCATATGGCGCCGAATGCATTTGCCATAGAGTCTAATGCCACTCATTGGACTTCTCCGGACACCAATGGCACACCGGGCAATGCCGTCAAATTCGAGGATTCACCGCTACTGACCAGTCAAGGGCTACAGGTACCTCCTTCTGCGATAGAAGGCGGCCCCGTCAATCAATCATCTGGAACATCAGAACACCGCAATATTCGTCAACTCCCTCCAATTTCCACGCCCCAATTGAAAGCGAAATCCCAGCTGCCGGTCAAGGCTTTGAAGCGGCCTAGAGATCCGTCTTCAATCTATACTATTGTCACCCAGCCATATCCCTACACCTCGGGCTTCCACAGTTTCATTGCCTATCTCCAGAAGCGATTCGCCGCACATCCTTCCAAGACTCTTGCCATAGCCAAGTCGCTGGCATCCATCCGGCCGTCATTCATTGCGACCACGAAGACTCTCAACAGGGAGGATCTGATATTCATGGAAAAGTGCTTTCAGCGGACTTTGTGGGAATACGAAGGGTTTATCGAAGGTGTCGGAACGCCCACCATCGTCGCGAGGCGAACTGGGGAAGTTGCTGCCGTGGGCAAAGAGTTCCAGATCTTGACCGGGTGGACGAAGAATGTGCTGCTGGGCCGGGCGCCCAACCTCAACGTCAACAGAGGCCATTCCGGCCAAACGCCTGCTGCTGGATCCGGCACCAATACAGCACGCCAGACCGGGACGAACACTCCGACGCAACGAACAGCGCCGGAAAGTGAAAATGGCGAGAAACGGCAGCAGCCTGTATTCCTTGCCGAGCTGCTCGACGACGACTCGGTAGTCCAATTCTACGAGGATTTCGCCCGACTTGCGTTCGGAGACAGTCGAGGCAGTGTGAGTGGCAGAGGGAAACTGCTAAAGTACCGCACCAAGGATGATGAGATTACACAGAACCTCAATGCGGAGGCCGACGCGCGTGACCCGGACGGTCGAAATGCGGAGCTGCGCCGGCAAGAGAGCGCCATCTCACGGCGTGACCTGAAGCGCGAACGTGATGGCATCTCCGGCGAAAAGGGAATGCAGAAGCTTGGTTCCGCGGACGGCAAAGTCGATTGCACGTACTGCTGGACGGTCAAGCGGGACGTGTTTGATATACCCATGCTGATTGTTATGAATGTAAGTCTTCCTGGGAGCGCAGCCTGATCGTGCTAATCTGAAGCAGTTCTTGCCTTGTATATAGGCGGCCAAAAGTTTGTGCGTTCTCGTGACTGTCCGTGTACGAGTCGGAAATTGGCGTGGAAAAGGATATTGCATGGGGAAAAGGGGTTGCGAAGTTTCCGTCAGTCTCGTACTGAGGACGGAATGCTGGGGAGGTTCTTTGGTTCAAGAACATCGCCAGCGGTATGGCAGCACAAAACTTGTACAAGTCGAGGTCTCCATTGAGAAATCTATCGGGAGATTGCCACTAGTTTGGAAACCACCGGCTGCCTCTAGAAGCAGGATCCTTGGGCTGGCGATCCGTGAGAAGAATCATGGTGCACACGCGTCAACCCTGAGGAGCCAAACGAGGTGGCTCGTGCTCTGTACCCGAGTCATTGCCGGGCATCCATCGTGCTTCAATCTTTCTCAGTCTTTGTTCAAGACCTCCTTCTCCACCTGCTTCGTATCGACGCTTTCCATCCACTTGAAATCCGTCAGCCACGCTGTCCATTCGCCGTCCTCCTTGTACCTCGCATACGCCTCGCGGTCCAGGCTCCGCCTCGCCACGTCGCAGTCGATCTTGATATCGTCCACCAGGGCTTCCAAACTGACGTAATCGTACTCTGGCCGTATGTAGCCCAAGACGAGCAAGTTCAGGGCCGCGCCGTAGAAGTCATGCGCAAACTCGTGCAAGATGTGGATCTCGACGGAGCGGACGGTGTTCTTGTAGAACGGGTTGTAGCCGATACTCAGCACGGCCGGGTGGATCTCGATCGACGTCGACGTCGTGTCCGGAGAGGGCGAGAGCGAGAGGCCGACGAAGCCGTAGTACACGCCGCTGGGAAGGTCCGGGTAGGCCGCCAGTCCTTCGGGCGGGATGTTGGCAGTGGGGATGCCGAGCTAAAAAGTTAAGGAAAGCCGGGTTAGTGAGCTGACTTGTACTGTATACGATGGGCTGGGCTGAGAGGAGAGGAGAGCTGTCGCGGAGAGAGCCATTCAAAAAAGCCATTCTGCTGGAGAGGAAAAAACGTCCTGATGGTAAGCCTGCCCAGCGGAACCGACTTTGGTCAAGAAGGAGCAGATCCCAGCGCGCCGTCGCGCGACCACCGAGAGGAAGAAGAAGACGAGGTCCAAATTTCAGCAGGACTCGAGTCTACCAGCTGAAGTGATACCCTCGCAGTATCTTTCTGTCACCGGCCCCATCCATCCATGTGTGGTCGGCAGAACATGTCCTTCCACCATCGAGCAAGTCGTGCGTACTGGCTGCGTGCTCTGATCGCAGAGGCGCCCCCCCTCTTTCTCGGTCACAGCAAGGACAGTGCAAGAGCAGATCAGGCCAAATGGAATATATCACAGAGGGTTAACACTCACCTCTTTACTTCCCCGTCCGAAGCCTTTTATTACCGGCCCGGACAGTTTGATGGGAAAGGGCGTTTCGGGACCGGACTCTGGCCCGGCATACGGGTCGCGAGGGCCGTCTGGTCGCATCTCTCGTCCGGGGAGAAGCTGCTTCTCTTGATATCTCGCCTGTATAAGCTAATTCCGTTGGTGCGACCTTATGATGTACGAATTTGGACGATAAAGTTTCAGGGTTTCTGCCTTCAGGACTCTGTCGGGCGGTTCCGTCTAGTTCCGGATGATGTGGTCGTATTCGGTCAGAAGCGACTTTCCAATGTGTCATGAAAGACAGAAGGTTTTCGATATCGGTTCCCCTGAGATCGTCCAATCGGAGCACGTCAACTATCGCAGCCTTGCTTGTTTCCACGATGACATCGTTGGCAATGTATGCGGTATTCAATGAGGACCGTTTGAGTCTATAATCTATACACAGCCCCATGCAGCCGGCCATACAGAGGCTTACTCGGCCGTCGCCTATACATTTGCCGAATACCCAACACTCGGCAAGCGTCCCGAACTCCTTCTCCTTTCAGCCCACTTCCTGACCTCGTCCGCCAACCAGACAGTGCTGGTCATGCACACCAGGGAGAATAGGTCCCACGGACTTAGGGCCTCGGTCTGAAACACCCGCTGTAGAAACGGCAAATATATAACACAGAGTTGGCCCGCGAGGCTGCCGGCCACGGCGTAGTTGAACATTTTGTTTCCAAAAAGTTTGATTTCGCCGAACAGGACGGACTTGGTCTCCGAGCGGCACGTGAGAGCGTTGAACATGTCGAAAAGTACGAATGTCGTGAACGTCATGGTGGTGTCACGCTTTGTGACCGTGCGGACGCGGAGAGGCGTCGAGTTGATAAGCGTGGGGTCCACATTTGGATCGTCGATATCAACCATTTCTCGCAGATATATGAACAGAGTGCCCATCATGATGATGGAAGCTGAAGTGAGGACACGGCGGATGAGGCGTTTGGTGAGCACGTTCGCATTGCGAGGGCGTGGTGGCTGCGTCATGACTCGAGGATCCACGGGTTCGACTCCGAGGGACTGCGCAGGAGGGCCATCCATGAGAATGTCTAGACTGGTCAGCGACGGACACGTGGGTTAGATCCAGGATGTGACTTACTGATCCAAAGAATCTGCATGGCGTTCAGCGGATTCTTAAACCCAAACATCGTGCTCAGGAGGACCAAGCTCAGAGCGGCAACGCTCGTGCTCAGTTGAAACGTGATGAAGTTCTGGATGTTGAAGAAGATGCCCTTCCCCTGTTCGATGGCTCGCAGGATTGTCGAGAAGTCGTCGTCGGTAAGGATCATGTCGGCGGCTTCCTTGGCCACGTCGGTTCCCAGCATCCCCATCGCGATTCCAATGTCAGCCTTCTTCAGTGCAGGCGCATCATTGACTCCGTCGCCCGTCATGGCAACCACATCTCCTCGAGCCTGAAGTGCACGAATGATCTTCATCTTGTGGTCAGGGCTGGTACGAGCAAAAATGGTTGTCTTGACAATGGCTTCTGACAGTTCCTGCTCCGACATTCGGTCCAGCTCATCACCACGCAAGACGGATCTTGAGCTTGATGATGCTGGATTGATGGGCATCCCAAGGCTCTTTGCGATCGCCACCGCGGTGGTCTCAGCATCACCAGTGATCATGATGACCTTGACGCCGCCGTTCATCAGCCGCCGAATGGACCTGTTAACATCCTTTCTCGGCGGGTCGTTCATGCCCACCAGACCCGCAAAGCATAGACCGGTGAAGGCGTCTGTCTGCGGCTCGCTCGGTCTCTTAGCCCCAAGACCTGGTGTAGAACTTCGGCTGCCTTGCCGCGCCTGGTTCCTCAACACGCCACTCGCAAAAGCGATGACTCGGAGTCCTTCCTCCGCCATTGCCTGAGCGGCCGCATGGACCTCTTTCCGGCCACGCTCGTCTAGCACAACTTCTCGCCCGTCCTTGGTCAAGTATGTGTCTGATCGGCTCAAGATTTGCTCGATCGAGCCTTTGATGTAGGCAGTCTCCGAACCAAGCCCATAACCATTGGTCATCTCGCCAAGAGCACTGCCAATGACCACGCCCATCCACTTTCTCTCCGAGCTGAATGGGGTCTCGCTTGTACGGGGACCGATCTGCTCACGAATATCATCCTCCCCATAGGCGTCCATCAAATCTAGCATAGCGATGTCGGTTGGCTGACCAAGCCATCTGCTCTTTGTCACTGTGGAGGACCTATCTCTAGTAGAGGAAAGCACTGCAGCAGAGGCGGCTGTTGCTGGCGTTCCGGACGCGTTTTGTGCGAGACGGCCGTTGTTCGCGATATTCCCGATGCGCAGAATGGTCTTTGTGGCTGTCGTGAGCTCTGCGGTCGGATCCACAGGGGCCGGCCTGCTGATGTCAAAATGCCACAGTTTTGTCACCGTCATATGATTGAGGGTCAGGGTCCCGGTTTTATCGCTGCAAACCACGTTGACCGAGCCGAGTGTTTCAACGCTGGGAAGCTTGCGGACAATAGCTCCTCTCTTTGCCATTCGCAGCACACCAAGTGCAAGTGTGACTGTGACAATGATGGGGAGGCCCTCAGGGATTGCCGCAACCGCCAGAGACACTCCAATAGTGAAGAGGTCCAACAGCTGCTTGCCCTGCATCAGACCGATTATGATGATAACGCCAATGACAACGAACGACATGTAGCTGAGTTGCTTCCCAAGCAAATCCATTGACTGTTGCAGAGGCGTGCGTGGAGCTTCGATCTCTTGAAGCGACAGCGAGATTGTTCCGAACTCGGTATTTCCCCCAGTCGCAATCACGATCCCTTCGCCGTGGCCTGACCTGACTAATGTACCCATGAACGCGATGTTGTGTTGCTCATTCAAGCGCACATCAGCACCAACCGTGCCTGCGGCGTTATACGGCTCGGGTGTGCCGTGGTGTTCATGATGAGCCTTGTTCCGCTCAAGAGCAGCGGCATGTTTTTCCACCGGCTCGTTCTCGCCTGTCAGGTTCGACTCGTCGATGGTCAGTTCGGCGGAATGCGTGATTCGAATGTCGGCAGGGATGCGGTCACCGGTGGAGAAAATGACTAGGTCGCCAGGGACAAGCTGAGAGGCTGGAATTGTGGTAGACGTCTTCTCTTCGGGCGGAATCGCACTCCCATTTCCCAGTGGTTCCATCTCGATCGCTCCATTCTCACTAGCAAGACTCCTGGTCGTGTGCCTGGGGGCCGAGCGTCTGACATGGGCGAAATGGGGGACCAATTTGTTCAAGGCTTCCAATGACTTCTCGGACCGGTACTCCTGCACAAAGCCGACCGTCACGACAATCGTGACAGCAAGGGCGATACTGACAGCATCATCCTTGTTCCCGATGAAAAGGGAAATGGCGGCCGAGGCGAGAAGAAGGAGTATAAGGGTTTCCTTGAACTGTTTCAAGAACCTCAACCATAGTGGCTCCTCCTCTTCATGTGGAAGCTCATTGGGTCCATCTTTTGCTAATCGCGCATGGGCCTCAGTCTGCAGTAGACCTTGTGTGGTAGAGGTCTGTAAGCGTTCGGCAGTCTGCTGGGGGGTGAGGAGAGAGTAAGAGGAGGTTATCGACGAAGATGTGGAAGCATAGTGCGGAACCGGACTACGCGGTCTGTTCGCTTGAGGTTCTGCGTTGAACACCGGTAGTAATGATGACATGATTGCATCGTAACTATATCAGCGAGCGCGACCCCATCCTCCACCAAGGATGCAATCCGAAAGAGAGTCGTGTAAATGATGGGCGAGCAGAGGACGCGCTGAGGAACGCCGGCAAGTCGACTGGTCCAGTAGCGACGACGCGGCTGTTATAATAAGAGGAAGTCTACTAATCCGCCTTGTAAGCTTCACCAAGAGAGCGATCTTCTGCAGCGGCGCGTGTTCGGGTAGCAGAGGACGGAGAAGGCTGTTGTGAGATTATTGAGATTGCGCTTCTCGCTGCGCAGCCGCTGGCACATCGAAATCTTGCGGGTTCCGCTTCCGGGGGTTTCATTGTGGAGTTTGCTGGGCGCGGAAGGTCGGCCGAGGCGCGACCGTTTGGCACCGTGCACCCGAAACTGGCTGCGAACCACATCATCGAGCAGCAGCGGCGCCGCCCAGCCACTCTGCCACTCTGCCACTCACTCCTTGCGTCCGCTCCTCTTCCAATCATTTCATAACATGAACCACCACCAACCTCCCTCCCCGTTGACTGTATCACCACCCTCGCATTCCTCCTTCGGCCTCCGCGCGCGGTCTCTGTCGTGCTGATATTCCGCTCAGCATCTTTTTGGATCTTCTTGATATCACTTCCGCTTCAGACATCGCGCGCGCCGCAAAAACAAAGCATCCCACTTTCGACGCGTCGTCCTTCCTTCCAACCGCCACCTCTCGCCCGTTTCACCTGCTTCCCACCTCGTCCCAATGTCAATCTGATCGATCGCAAGATTCGACAGCTCCCCTCCCGCCCATCATGTTTTATTCAGAACAACTCCTAGCCAAGACCGGGCCGCTGGCGCGGGTCTGGCTCGCGGCGAACGTTGAGCGCAAGCTCTCCAAGTCACAGATCCTGCAGTCGGATATCCAGAGCAGCGTAGGCGCAATCGTGGATCGAGGCCATGAACCTATGGCGCTGCGCCTGAGCGGCCAGCTCATGCTGGGTGTTGTGCGCATCTACGGGCGAAAGGCGCGGTATCTGCTCGACGACTGCAATGAGGCGCTTATCAAGATTCGCATGGTATTTTACCTGCCTCCGTATGATGTCGCATTCTAACCGGGCTACAGACCTTCAAATCGACTAATAATCACGACCTTCCGGCCCACGCTACTGCCGCGGTTGATCTCAACTTACCAGAGTTACTCACCATTGATGACTTGTTCTCTAGCATGGATTTCACATTCAATATGACCCAACAGCCAGCCATTACCGATGGCCAGACCCAAGACCTGGGGGAAGACTGGACCAGCTCGCTGAACCCTCAGCAGACCAGCACGCAATCGATGCTCACTCCAGGCGAAGAGCCCTTGTACAATGATGACGATCTCAACCTCGACTTCACGGGCGGCGATGACATGGCCATGAATGATACTACTGTCAGCATCAACGTCGGGCGAAACGCTGCAACCCCCAAACCTGCTGATGATGAGATCTTCGGTGAAGAAGGGCTGCTGCACGATGATGAAGACGGCCTCAACCTGGATTTTGACCAAGATGTCCCCATGCTAGATCAGCCCGATGTACAGATGGCTGATGATACGCTTCCACCCGTTGGCGAGGAGGAGCCTCTGGTGTCGGGAGATGACGAGACCCTGCAACTACGACAGACGGCTGAAGACGCAAGGGAACGGAGAGAGACAGAGTCTCCGCTATCGGAGGCAAACCCAGAACTCCTTGACGAGCTTGATCGAAGTTTTCAGGTCCAGCTGGCGGAGGAAGAAGAGATCGAAGAGGTGGCCGCGCAGCAACGACAAAGAATCCGAAAGCAGAAGCCCATTGCTCCGGATGCCGAGACTGTCCTTCACAACAAACAGATTAAGGCTCAAGCAGAGGATCGGTCCAAGATTCTCCGCGCTCCATCTTTTCTCCCTCGGGACCCTCTTCTCCTGACGCTTATGAGCATGCAGAAGAACGGCGATTTCGTCACCAATGCCATGAATGATGGCCGCTCAATGCACTGGGCTTCTGAACTACAGGGTCTGCTATCTTTCGAAACGGTTATGAGATCTGGAGAGCGGAAGCGAAAGCGAGATAGCGGTATTGGTGGGTTGAGCGAGGACGAGCACAGTGAGAAGTCGCCGCGGCTGGAAGGTCCTGAGGACGCAGTCGAGGACGAGGCTGTTCATCTTGACGAGGCTCAACCATTAACACCAGCTCCTGATGACCTTCTGCTACAACCTATGAGCGAGGGAGGCCCTGCTTTGGAAGACGTCGTCCAAGGCGAAGATGACGAAGGCATCCACGGCGGCGACGACACGTTTGACGACACCACCATGCCTCTTGTACATCCCGCTGACAGTGGTCCAATCTCGCTCGGCACGAAGCATGCAGTTCATCTTCTGCGTGACCAACTTGGCGATGCTGGAGGAGCTCATCCTTCTTCACCAGCCAGGAAGTCAGTGCTTCTGCAGGATCTCGTTCCAGAAGGACGCACCAGCAAGGAAGATGCGACCAAAATGTTCTTCGAGGTGCTAGTCCTGGCAACCAAAGACGCAATCAAAGTCGACCAGGGCAATACGGCAATAGGTCTTCCTCTGCGGATCAGAGCAAAGAGAGGTCTGTGGGGTTCCTGGGCCGAGACCAGTCCTGGTGATGACCCAACCACAAACACAGCTTCTCAGCAAGTAGCTGCGGCGGCATAGGCAGTTGGTTATCGCACGAGTTGGATATGGTTAACGTCTCGAGTTTTGGGTATGCTGGCAACAACTGGGACCGCCCGAGGTGATATGGGCGGACTATGACTGTATTTCTAGCAGCCTGGGGGCGTGAGACGCGCAGATATGTTGTTGAACGGTCTGCTTGTTGGAAAGCAAGGCGGCTACAGTATCTTGGAAAAGCGAAGGCGCCACTAGTCGGCAGGCGTTCAATTACCACAGATACCCCCAGAGGCTGCAGGTAGGGCCGCTTTGGTCGATGACACAGCCCATAGCTTTTGAATGAAGTTTGTGCTTTCGCAAATGCCTCTTATACCTTCAATGGAGCGTAGGTACTTTTGCGAGCACATGGCGTCTGCCAGTGAGTGGCGTTCGCAACAGCTGTAGCTACGTCTTGGACCAGCATCCTCTCCCGCCCTTGGGCAAATTATGATCTGGACGTGTTCACGGCCAATATCTCGGCAGCTCTAACGTATCTCTGTCTTCATGGAAACTCTAGTGACAGCTCTGTCTTACATCGATGAGTTCACAGGAACGGCCTTTACCGACGCAAGATGTTCGTCGTCGGACGTATAGTACGATGCGGATATCAGGCAGATCAGCGCACCGAGTCCGTAGAACTACCAAACTCCTCCCTTGATCAGGTGTCTTTTACCCATGTGCCATCATCCATCAAGCCTTCGCGCTTGGGCCCTTCTCTCAACCACGTCTCAACAACTCCATTCTTGGGGTCCTCATCAGGTAGACCTCTCGACCTCCTCACCTCTAGAACTGCCTCGCGAACGCGTTTTGTACACTCTTTCCTTAACTCGAGGGCCTCTGGGTGGTTCGCCAGGTTTTCTGGCACAAGACCCAGGATTGCCTCGTCCCAACCCGACAGTCCTGCCTCTCTTGCATGGCGATCCGCCAGATCCCGCCACCGTTTGCGCAGATCGCCAAAGACAGCCTCAACATCCAGCTCCTTCCCAAACGCGACCGAGATCTTGTTGCCGATTCTAGGTATGAAGCGCGGAAAGGTGCGACTCTCGTGCATCACTTGATCCGTCCCTTCGATGAACATGGGCACCACATCAGGACATTCCGGTGGTTCGAGGATCAGGCGAGCCACACCCCATTTGAAGTAGCGCATTGTCTTGTCCGCCGCTTGGTGGATCATGCCTTCGGGGAAGATATGTACCCAGCTGTACGAATTGCTCGCATAGCGCGAAGGGGAGAGATACCACCTGACATCGTTCGGTTGCGATGGGTACGAAGGTGGAAGACTGATATCGGAGAAAGGGTCGACACAGTCCCACGGCCACTGCGGGGTTTTGTAGTCCTTGTGGAAGCTAGGATGATTGACTGGACATAATGCCTGCTTCGTCGCAGAGATTTTAGAGAGTAACCGCACGGCTTCGGTCATGGTGGCCTGGTAGGGGCCACCGAATGGGGAGTGTGCACTTCGATGAGTAGGCAGAGTTTGGCCCAGGGTGAAGAAGTGCGACGTGAAGGCATTTTTGAAGCAGATGTCATGACTGCCGAGACTCCAACGGTGGTTCATGTAGCCGTGAAAGGCGGCGAAGGAAAGAGGAAGGACGCCCCATATCAGTGGTTCGTCCATTACCGAGATGTGGTTGGAGACGGTAAGCAGACCGCGCCGGCGCGTTTTGTAGTCGGCGCGCGACTTGAGCAGGTCGAGGAAGCGTGGGAGTCCATGGACTTCCGTTCTGTTCAGCGCATAGATGAAGAAGCGCGAGAAAGCCGACACGGCAAGGATGGTCTGGTACGAGGCACTGCGCCAGAACAAGCTTGGGGCTTCGAGGTTTGGGTAGAGGTTGAGGTCATCGCGAAGGAGGCGCATTGGGTGCTGTAGAGGAGACGAACGCGTCGGAGCATAGACATGATCAAAAGGCTCTCGTAGGAGGTGAAAGCCCGTCGACAATTGAGGCTCAACAGTCTGACCGCGGTGGAGGCGTGCCGCAGTTGTTGGCTGTCAATAAATTTGCGGAGGAATCTTGGGAGAAACCCGGGGATCCACATGTTCCAGTCCGCAGTTCGTTGTCCGCAGTCTTCGTCCATCTGCACCTTGACTCGGCGTGAACCACATTCAAGCCATTGGCCTTCTCGTCACATCTGTGTCGACCATGTTCAGACCAACCGCCCCTCTGTCGGGAGGTTTACTATGGTAGGTCGCCAGGATCTCGAGCTATCCTTGGCCGGACGACGCTAATCCTTTGCGACTGCAGGAAAATCCCGTGGCGCATCTCGTCCATGCAAAAAGCGCGTCAACGAAAACGACTAAGAGCAGTCGATAAAGTCGTCGACACAGTCAGCATGGCTTTACAGAAGAACGGCTGCGTGACAGCGAAAGCCGTGGAGAGATGGTACCAGGAGATGCCTCGAGAGGAAGAGATGCTGCCAAAGGACAAATACACCATCTTTGATCGCAAGGAGAAGAAATACAGGAAGGGCATCCACAGTAAGGCGCATCACGTAATTGCTGCTTGGATCACGATTGACAAGGCCTCAGAACTGCCCAAATGGACGAGAGTTAGCCAGCGACTCAACCCACCAGGTTTCTAATCCCCGACCGAAAACTACATATACTACGCCCCGTCCCTGGTCGTAATCCTTCTGAACAACTCTCCTCGAAGCTTCATCACGCCCCGAGCTTGGGGTTCCGCAGGTGATGAGATTGCTGCCAGGAGGTGGCTATCCCCGGTTCCGGCAAAGAGGACATTGGTGCCGTGCTCAACAACAAGGACGGAAGCTCGGAGACCTTGTGGGAGCGCGATAGTCGGTAGAGAACCACTTCAAATACTTTTGCCAAAGCAAGAGCGGTATGATGAGACGGCTGCGCGATGAAGTTGAGGTTAGAGGCACGCTTAGTCTGCCTCCTGTCGTTCGCCAAAGCGCGGGAAGAGTGTGAAATCACCCCAGTATCACGCCGAAGGGGAAGCGTTCTGATGTTGTATCAAAGTCTAAGGGATCAAGGCAAGCATTGTAACATCAGTCAGCGGCATAAGGCAGGGTAATGGTACGGGACACTGGGCAGCTATGAGTCAATATCTTACCTAGTTAAAGCAGCCGGATTTGGGTCAAGAAGCAAAGTGACATCAGACTCCTCAGTCTCGATGTGTTGCCTTCGACACTGTGACTTCAAACATCCACATCTCACCTGTCCACTTCCCTCTACTTTCTCATTCCCTTCCTCCTCATACTTCTTCCTCCGCTCCAGTCGCTGCCGCGGACTTCATACATGCCCAAGAAGCACCAGCAGCGAGCGCTCCAGATCAAACCGCAGTCGAGCAGTCCCCATACTCTCTCATTGTCCAAGTCCCCCCGGCCTCAACATGAGGGGTCTTCGCAACGCTCGGTCAATGACCTAATCCGAGAGTCTCGCCGACTGCAGTTGAGAAGTGAGGCCCGCACTCCTCCCGTGCTTGACAATGCGCACTCTTTACACCCTTCGGTAAGAGCAGTTCTTGACCTGCCACCGCCACCCTCGCCAGTACCAAGGTACGCATCTGGTTCTCGCCCCGGCGGTTCTAGTTCTGGGCCGAGCCGCCTTCGCCGTATTCCTGGACCGCCTCCGCCGCGAAGCTGGCTCACAGATAGCATTCATGCTCCTCCCTCTGTGCGGTCTTCACATAGTCCCGCTGATGGCGAAAATCGTCGCATTCAGGTCCGCACGAGTAACCTTCCAGATGGAGCATTTCCACCACCGGGATCCCTGCAGCACCTTGTGCTGAAAAAGATTGCATCGGAGTGGGAGTGGCATGCCGAGAATGATCTGGAATACTTCAACTACTTGCCTGTCAGACTACGAGAGACTTTGCTCAGTTATATCGCCGTTTTTGGCGACCATGTGAGGAGTGACCCGTTGAGGATATTGCTCTTGCATGAGACAGAGATTGAAGAGAAGAACGAAGTCCGGCGCTTGGATCTAAGCAATGCAATCGGTCACTGGACTACATTCAGACAGCTGGAAAGGGATCTGGTGGCAAAGAACGCCGGTCCCGTTACAGGTTCGGTGGCATTTGTCCAAGCTCCCCCGATAGAGTATGCTCCAGAGAGCTGGGATGCTGAGAGCGACGGCGACGAGGTCTCGAATGCGACAATGATTCCTCCAGTACCCAAGACTGCCCCCAATTTCGTCAACCTAAAACATCTTTCTCTCGCCATTCCATCAGGTAGTGCAAAAGCCGCTTCCTGGTCATCTTTGCTTTCGCTTGCAACGGAATTGCGGACCCTGACCTCCCTTTCGCTGGCATACTGGTCTCAGCCTACCTTCACACCGAACGCCGCCTCTACGCGGGTAGTCATTCAGACCCCGGGTCCCGGCCCTGTCGTCTACGGCGGCTCAGACATATACATCTCGCATGATAACAACTGGCGAGAAGCGGCTGGCATCTTGCGCACCTTGAGTCGCTCCTTGTATTGTCTGAAGTGGCTGGATCTCACAGGCTGTGGAGATTGGTTTGCCGCTTTGCAGTGGGTTCCTTCACCTTCTTCCTCTCCATCGTCGTCGCCAACCAGCGGCTCGTTGTCTGTTCCTCATAGAGAATATCTTGCTCCTGAGTGGAATGGCGGCTGGCGAGGGCTAGAGGAATTGATCCTTGAGGTCGGATGGAGACCTGTCGCTCCGCCTGCGATCGAAGACTATCGGTTATTCACGTCCGAGACATCCAGCTGGAATGTTGAGAACGAGCGTCGGCTCTATCGATACAGGAAAGATCGAGAACGCTTTGCTGATATCCGGAGTACTGCGCAATCTGTGGCGCGGCACTTGCGTGCGGTTCGCAAGAACGCCGGAGGCAAGTGGATTGATGTTGAATTTGGGGAAGATCTAGAACCGCTGCTTGACTCGAAGTGGTAGAGATGAAGCTAATTCCACGCAAGAGTCAGAGTTCGCTTAACCTATCACTTGGTGAAGAAGTTTGTGATGCGCTGCGTCCCGGACTCGGTTTTCCTTGCTGGGCTGCTTTTGAGCGTCATATTCTTGTTGCTTGTCGCACTCTTTGGCTTCTTGCCTGCAACGGCTTTCGGAGGGGACCTCACGGGAGATGGCGGAGAGGAAATCTTTGCAACTTTCTTGGTTGGACTTTCTTCGGCCTCGTCCTCGTGTGTTCGCTTGTGTCCGTGCTTTTCCTCTACCGGGCTGGCTGTTGCAGGCAAGGGTGCCTTGTTTTCAGTCCCATTGTGCTCGACTGTCTGTGTGTCTTCCTCCGGCTCTTCTTCGACCTTGTCTTTGGGTTTCTTCGTGGGAGCATTCTTGAAGAAGTTTGCGATATTCTTCTTGTTCTCCTTGCTGTCGATCGGCACAATGAAGCTGGGCGAGTTGTTGCCCACTTTGCCTACAGCTTGGTCGACGGGATAGCATTCTAATTCTCCCTGGTACGGTTTCAGCAGAGCCTGGAGTTCCTTGGACCACTTGTTTCTCGTTGGATCCAACCAGAGCTTGACTTCTTCTGTACCTGGATCGAGAATCACCGGCATTCGATCGTGCAAGAACGATAGCTGCTTGTTCGAGTCCGTGGTGATGATCGTGTATGTGTACAATTTCTCCTCCGTATCCTCATACTTGACGCAATCCCACAGACCAGCAAAACACATCAACTGCCCGTCTTTCCTCTTGACGAAGTGTGGGATCTTCTCTTTGCCACCTGGCCCCTTCTTCAACCACTCGTAGAATCCCTGCGCGATCACCAGACACCGTTTCTTCTGCTTCATCGTATTCCACATGCCCTTGTTTTCGAGCAGAGAATCGTCGCGACAGTTTATTGTGCGCAGCATCGAGCCGTAGTCAGGGGCCCGTTTCGTCCAGAAAGGGATCAATCCCCACTTCATGACCTTGATCTGGTAGTTGTAGTGTTTCGGCTGGCTGGCTGCAGGCGCCGTTGACTCTTGAGCTCCATCGTGCTGCTGCCGCTGTTCCTCATTTTGTTCGTCTTGTGGTGCACTACTGCTGGGTTCAGACTCTTCTGTGTTTCTTACACCTTGATCTGGGACATCTGCTCGGTATACGAGGCCGTATGAACCCGGGGGGAAGTTGTACGTCTCCCGGGCTTCGTCGTCTTCTGGTGCTTCGTCAACGGGCATACCTTGCTGCTGAAGCTGGTAGCGGATGAAGGAGGCACGAATGCCCAATGCATATCGTCCACACATGATTACGATGAGCAAGCGGTGCGGTAGAGCACGACCGGTTGCTCTGCCATTATTGCCAGAGGCAAATACGAAGGAGATACGAAGCCCTGGCTGGGCGGCGCGGGATGGTGAAGCAGATGCATGACGTCGACGCGACCAGCGAAATCCGGGTCGAACTTACTTTTACTTTTCGCGTTTGTGCTGCGCTTTGCCTCTCGACAACATCACCTACCTTGTACGCTTTCTTGCCAATTCTGAGGATTCCGGAGGCTCATCCACATACTTCTTATCATGGCCACAAAGTCCGGTGTGCTCACAATGCAGCTTCTAGGCAGCCTCAAGCCTGCAAGAGCGAGCTCATCGAGAACTTTTGTCAATGGCTTTCACAGCCTTCCGAAGAATCGACCTCAGATTCGAGCTATGCCTACAGTCAACACCCGGTTTCAGACCCGGAATGCCAGAAGATACCCCCGCCCACCGAATCGACTCGAGCAAGCGGTCATCGACGCCCGGCTCAAGCATCCAATCCTCTTCCCGTTCATGCTCTTCGGCTCCACGGCGTCGGTGGTACTGCTCATAATCATGGCCTATGACCAATGGCGCAGAGAGAATAAAGGGACGTCGGCATATCCTCCCGCAGTTGAAGACCAGCTTCGGCTGGCCCTGCACTATACCCATATCTCCCCGGACCCAGAGACGGCATCGCAATACTTCTTGGGGGCGATCAAGAAGGCAGAAGAGGTAGGCATGGACCCCTACAGCAAGGAGACGGTGGGCATTCGAGTCCGTTTCTCTCAGATGCTCGAGGAGTTTGGACATGTCAAGGCGGCTATCGAGATCTTGGACGGCATCGCAAACGACCTGCAACAGAAGCTGGATGAACTCGATCAAGCGCTTTCTCTGAGGACTGATACGTCAATTCAATCTGGCCCTGAGTCTGCTAATCTGCGGGCGAATATGATCAAAGGCATCGTGAAGCTGAAGATCAAGATATCCTCTCTATATGAAAGCGACTATCTCCAGAATCCATCCATGGCTAAGCAGGTTTTGTCTGATGCGGTAGGCATGGTGGTCAAGGAGACGAAAAACCCCCAGCAAGGGCTGACCGACGACAATGGAGCGGGGTTGACAGCTGGTGAAATTGCTGCCATGCTGTCGCAAATGGGCGACCTATATGCCACATCGGGCGAGGAGGAAAACGCCGTGCAATTATACATGCTCACTTTGCAACCGCTTAGAGCATCATGCAATGGCACTAGATCCTGCAAGGAAGCCCAGGTTCTCAGCAACATCGCTTCCACCATGGACATGGCGTTGAAGAAGCCGAAGCCTCTCATCAACGGGAAGCCGGCGACGAAAGACTCCCTCGCCGCAGCCCGGCGGGCGGCATTGAGATGGGCAGATCAAGCGATCGCCACCGGTGATGCTGTCAAGCCTGAGGACAGAGATGAAATCTGCGCTGCAGCTTCTCTGTCTGCGAAGATGACACGAGCGGACCTGTTGGTCGACAATGGCGAGAAGGCGATGGCAAAAGAGGCATTCCTGAATTTGCTGCCGATCTTGAGGGAGCATAATCTCCTGCCGTTGATCGAGACAGCAGAGCAGGGATTGAAGAAGGCTAGCAGCTGAGCACCTATGATTCGACATGTTGACCGAAGCGACTGTGGTGACGCTTGCACAAAATTATCAAGCGAGAAGTCCATCATCAAGCGCAGTTAGTTACGTTCAGTAATGAGATATAGCCCACATCCGAGATCCACTCTCTCCGTTCATTTACGGTGCACGAGAAACAGCTTTCCTGGGTTGCCGGACTGTCATGCGCTACGGTACGCATTTTCGGGTATTGGACCGCTTTCTTCAGCTCATTTTCAAAGACGTCTCGTGCAAATAACGATCATTGGCCAGAATGAGGTGCAACCGCAGGCCAAAGTACAGTCGACGCAGGGAAAGTGCTCAACCTCGAACTCCAGCACGACCTTGCAAGACTAACGGAGATAAGTAGATATGAATCATCAACTCGAGATCACGAAATGGTGCTCTGGTCTGCTGTCGTGGTGGTCGGTCGCACTCGCGCGGCTGACCAATGACGCTTCAAACAGCGAAACGGGTCCAATGTTTCAACAACCGCCCAACATCCATTTTTAGGCAGATGGCCATCTGGGCCCACGTCTGCAATTCGATCCATGTCAGGAAATCTCCGACCATAGCTGAAGCACTGGCAGCAGTCCGTGTAACTATTCGTCCTCAGTCCGGGTCTTCTCCAGCTGTCAACCTCGCGGCAATCGCGCGCCATATCGATCGAATATGTGCACTCTGCTGCGCCCGTCAGATCATGCGTTGATGAAGCGCCGGGCAGATTATTGGCCATGGTTGAAACCATAGCTGCAGCTCGCCGTCGGCTGTGGCATATTCGCCATGGTAGACAAATACTCTGTATACCTACCACGTTACGCCCAGTGATTTCAAAGAGCCACATGCGCCTTCACTTCTGGGCGTACGATCTAAATCAGAATGCTTAACGGGTTTCGGGAATCGACGTCGCGTTATCTCGGTGGCAACATATTTGGCTTCTTACGTCGGCCGCTCAAAGTCGGTCGAACACAGTTTGTCCAAGATAAACATGGACTAGCAATCACTGTCGACGAGGTTCCTGCAAACTCGGAGGAGAGTCGGCTCGGAAAGCCTTCTGCGTCGATGAAGTCGACCTCTGGATGGCTCTCCGCAATCAGCCTACTTCTGAACGCTCTGTTGTTCCTTCTCCTAGGTCTTGCACTTCTTCTCGTGTGGCACTTCAATACTAGGAGGAATGGCTTCAGTCTGGTCACGGAAAACCACTACTCTTGGACCTACGGCCCTACAGCTATTCTCGTTTTCGTCGTTGCTATCTGGCGGCAGTTGGACTATCACTTCAAAGCTGCCGCCCCATGGATCGCGCTTCATCACGGCGACGCAGATGGCAACGACACTCTTCTCCTGGACTTGACCTCCCCCATGCAGCCCGTCAGTTTCTGGCTGGCTCTGAGGCGTCGCCATTTTGGTGTGCTTCTCACGATCGTTGGATTTGTTCTTCTGAAGATTATCACACTGGCGTCGACCGGTCTCCTGGTGGAAGATTTGACGGATTTTCCTGACCGAAGTGTCACCCTGAATCGCAATACAAAGTTCAACGGCTCCTTTTGGAACATCACGCAACCGTTCGGGAGCCAAGATGCTTCAATAGCATACGCGGCCTACGGTGTTCTTGCCCGCGGTGTCCTAGTGCAGGATCAGGGAACTACTGCCGACCTTGCCTATGAAAGGATCGATCTGCCTGAGGAACTTCGGAACCGTTCTCGACTTGTGGAAACGCAGATGAATGCTTTTATACCGAGTTTCAACTGTCAGCAGGCTACAGTCTCAATAAATCCCGGCCCGTACGGTACCAACAATGAACAGACCGGCGACACAATCGCAATAGTGTCTCCCCAATGTCAGCTCATGGGCGGTGCCCAGCCAGTTTTCGTCATCGATGCAAGTTTTCAGCTATGTCCAAAAACCCAATACAGAGGAAACATGGTACGGGTAAATTGTTCGACTACCCCTGAAGACGGGACGAATTGGCAACTTCTTACGCTAGCAAAGGTCGCTTACGACCAAGTTCTGAACGGATCAACCACAGAGTCGGCCTTGGCCGCCGATGATTCAAACGTTGATATCTTGTCTTGGCAAGTAGGAATTGAGCAAGTCACAAGCCTTTTGTGTCGACCCTCGTACACCATGGGCAAGGTTAACGTTTCCTATGATTTCAGCGAAAATCCGCCTATAATCACTGCAGGCACTCCTATCCCAACCAATGCAAGTCTCCCCGGCTTTGAAGATGGAGATCTGGCCTCTCGATTTACATCCTCGTTAGTTGCAGGTGCAAATATGTTTGGCGATCTCACTGCACAATCTGATTTGGAAGAGGATTTTCCAAACACGATGTTCAAGATTATGGCTGCGTCTATCTCCGACCAAGGTCGGTATGAAGCTCTCATGGGTGGGGCTACAATGCAAAGCGCTGCCGAAAGGACATTCCAGCAGTTTGCCATCCAGTTTGCAGACAAATACCTGTTGGAAAAGGACGCTTCAGAAATTGATGGAATTGCTATCTCGATCGCCAACAGGTTGAAAGTTGCCGCTCTGCCTTTCTGGGTCATGACCGCAGGCTTCGCTTGTATGACCGTGCTCGCACTTGGTGCCTTCATCTTACGACCCCGAATCGGGCTGCCTCCGGAGTATCAGACGATCTGCGGAATTGCTATGATTTTGAACCAGAGCCCGGCCTTCAACAGCCTCATTGGACGTCTCCGAGGCTTGAGAGAAAAGGAAGTCGCTCGCAAGCTCTCGAGTTACGCCTTTTCTGCTATCCCCGACAAAGAATCTCACGGCGCATCCCGCATCGTCGTCGAAGCATCCTTGCGTGGCGATATTCGTCCTTCGTCAGAACAAACTTCCAACGACGACCCTTCAGAGGAGGGCAAGGCAGTATGGTGGCATCCATTCCTCGCCCGCAAGCCTGTTGTTGTCTTGGTCCTGAGTCTACTCCTCTCTATGATTGGGGTTTTGGAACTCCTCCAGCATCGCTCAGATACCAACCAAGGGATATTAACTTTGCCTGGAGTAGATGATACAACCAAGGCAGTGTACACACGTCTGCTACCAGCATTGGTGATCCTCATCGTTGCGACGTCTGTGAATGCCATAGACTTCAACATTATGGTTCTAGCACCTTTCAGTGCGCTAAGATCGGGAGAGGTCTCTGCTAAAAGGAGCTTGGCCAGCTCCCTGGTAAACCAGCTTCCACCGGTAGGGATTCTCAAGGCCGCCAAGAATCGACACTACGCAGCATTCTGCTCGTCAACCGCTGCAATCGTTGGTAGTGTCCTGACGATTCTCGTATCCGGGCTTTACACTCCTGAAGCTTTCCCGGGCGTGGTGACTCAGCTCGGGCTCGCGACGAGCGATATGTTCAACACCCAATGGAACAATAGTGCCACCGATGATGGCACTGCAGCTCTTATCGTCAGCTTGATAGAGAGCTTGAATACCAGTTATCCCTCGTTCACATATGACGAGCTTGCTTTGCCATCACTAGCGAAACCGAATATTCCGGGAGCCACCGCTGGATTACTGTTGCAAACGACATATCCCGCTCTCCGAGCCTCATTGAACTGCACTGCTCAGGATGCCAGCTCATTCAACGTGAGCGTTCAATACAACTCCAGAATCGACACTACAAGTGTCACTGTCGATGCAAGCATGCCGCTGCCGCCAAACTGTCGTCGTGGAGGTCCGAGTGGAAACCTCAGCACGATAGACGTCACATACCGCGCCGGCTTCCAGACCAATTCGTCCTACTTTGGCAAAGTGCTTGACCTCCACGTCGGACCTTACGATGCGATCCAAGGGGACGCTTTCGGCGAAAGCGATCCGGGCGCCCAGCCCGACAATCCTCCTGGTTGTCCATCCTTGGCGTTCGTCTATGGATATGCTGACCTTGATCGCCCTGAACAAAATGCTATCACTGTTTTGATGTGTTATCAGGAGATGCAGACCGTCGAGACGGTGGCGACTTTCGATCTTGCCTCGATGTCTATCTCGACAACTGCTCCGCCATTCTCACAGCGACCTTTTCCGAACGAGAACACTGTCCAGCTCCTTCAGTCCGGACCTGGTGGAGAGACCGCATTTTCCTACCGTATCCAGCAGCACATGGACCAATCTCTCTCAGTGTTCAACCAAACACAATTCGCCTCTGCAAATCTGGCCGAAGCTCCTGTCGACAACTTTTTCCAGGCAGTCTTGTTCGGCAAGAAACCACTCCCGATCTCGACGCTCGTCGGCGAAGAGAACAAAGCTGTCATGCTCAAGGGCATCAACGCATTTTACAGGAGGTATATGGCACAAGCCATCTCGAGCAAGATGCGTGTCCCTGTCGACCCCAACGACCCAGCTGCAAATCAATCATATCCAGGCGCGGTCTACAATGTGTCACAGGTGGTTCGCCTCGTCCAGCACAACCGTGCCAAACTCGCGTTGCAGATATCCCTTGGCATTATGACTGTGTTGACAGCAGTGGCGTGTTATCTGACGAAGCAGGACAGGCTGGTGCCGCATAATCCGTGCACGGTCTTTGGAGTCGCGGCCTTGCTTGCGAACAGTAGGATGTGTAGTCCAGGGACATTCGACGCACTGAAACAAGAAGGTGAGAGTGTAAAGTACAGAATGGGATGGTGGGATGAAAATCAGGGTGTTGGATATCCATCCGTGCGTGATGAGGCGTCAGGGGTCCGGAAGAGGTACGGCATCGATGTTGTCAGAGATATTGGCTAATGAACTTGTTTTGCCCTGCATCTGGGTGTGCAGTTGTTGACATGATGATATCCAGATATTTTGTACTGTCTGAAGAGGATCTAATGTTGCGACCGCTATGTTTGATAGATCAGGTTGCTCATATGCATTTCGTAACATTTCGTGATCTTTCCGATTCCTTTGCAAGAAGCCAAATACCTTTAGCATTTCCACTCTATCTATGAGCCTGAAGTCTCTGTTTTGCCCAAAAATCGTTTCCAAAGAATCCATTGTACAACGAGCCAACATCGTTTCCAGAAATGGTCCCACCCAAGAATGCGTGACAAGTGCCACTTTGCACCGTCCAAACGCTCATACGAATACGATAGACGATCCACTCTTATAGTCTTACGAGTATGCGGCGCCGACTGGGCTTGATATCGAATTGCCTTTGACAAGAATGCCATCCGCGCACATGAAGTAGGCATATCTCTCGACAGCGTCAGTTGAGTCGAGGAAGGCAGTTGCCTCTGTGATGAAGTTGGCAACATCCGAGTCCGAACCGCTGGCGCCAAACTCAGTAAGCCACACCTTGCCAATACCGTTCTGCTGGGCAGTGGCAATAACGTCGTTGACGTGATTCTTGAAGTAGTCCAAGTTGCTGGCCGAGTCGTACCAATGGAAGGCAACGAAGTCGACTTTGCATTGGCCCGCGCAAGCCTTGAAGAAAGCGTTGAGCCAGTCAATGCCCATGAGCGGGTTAGTGCCAGCACCATTGGTGACAGCTGGAGATCCGATCGAGACTTGACCGGCGAGAGGATTCATGTTCTCAATGTGCAACTTGGCTGCAGTGGCGGGATCAACGTTGGCTTGGGAGTTGAGATCCGGCTCGTTCAGAGACAAGGCGTGCTTAGAACCACTGGCAATAGCCGATGCCGCCGCATTTGCCCATCCAGATACAGAGTTTGGACCCCAGAACATAGGAACATACTCGGCCCCAGAGACGATTGAACCATCTGGTGACGCACCCCAATTGTATGCCCAGCTGATACCCTTGCCAGCGAAGGCGTTGGTCAGAGAGGCGGTGTTGTAGGAAAGACCCTTCTTGCCGCTAGTCGACCCACCGGTGCTTGGGGAAGAGCTAGGAGTTGAGGATGGTGATACAGAAGAGGCACTAGGAGCCGCGCTGGAGGATGGAGCACTGCTGGGGATGGTTGCGAAGGTAGTCGGGACGACTGAAGGTGCACCGCCGCCATAAGATGGCAAAGCCGCAGAAGAGCTGCTGTCAAAGACTGGGACTGAGCTCTGTTGGCCAGGATGGGGGAAGAACTCCCCGGCAGTGGGAGCACCGGCGGAGATGCTACCTGAGGTAGAAGGAAGGCTACCAGCACCACTGGTCGTCATAGAGGACGCGCTCTCCGGAGCGGGGAAGAACTCGCCTGGACCGCCGGTTGGGGCGAGAACGGATGTTGAGCTTGAAGCAGCATCGGTGGGTCCAGCAGCTAGCGAGGTGGGACTAGAAGCGCCATAGAATCCGCCGGCACCACCAGTGGGAGCAACTTCTGAGGCTGAATCTCCTGAATTGGCTGTGACGGTGATGTACTGGATGGATGTAGAGGTGATAGTCGACGTCAAGACAGAGCATGAACCTTCGGCTGAGCCTGGGACAGGGGCCGGGGCAGGAGCCGGGACTGGTGCCGGCGAGGCCGCTGGAGAGTCTGCCGCTGGTGCAACCTCGGTGTTGGACGGGATGGCAATTGCGGCGGGCACACTTGAGACGTCCTTGCCAGTATCTGGGGAAGAGGACTCGGCAGGGACAGGGACGACTGTGACTGTCATAGCGCCGGTAGCTGTGGGTAGAACCGAGGTAGCTTCGACAGATGACGGTGACTCAATAGGGGAGCCGCCAAAGTCTGTGCCATTGTGTGGTGCCGTGCCATTGGTGATGGGATAGGCCCCACCGGTAGGCATTGCCAAACCGTTACCGGTACCGGTGCCATGGTGGAAGCGATTGTGTCTCTTGTGGTTAGGGTGAGCCAAAACGGATGTGGCGAGACCAACGACGAAAAGGAGTTTGGCAACCATGGTGAGATGGGTTGTTGATGGGGATAGACTCTGACAATTGCTTCTTGCAGAAAGGGGTAGCTGTATATGGGATGTATAAGCCCGCCTGGGGTTATCGGTATCAGGCTTCAATCAATGAAGGACCTGGTTGGCTCAAAGAGTGACCTGGAGCGAAGCTCTGCTCTTTGCGAATGAGAGGACGAAGGACTAGCCTTGTTGAAGGAAAGACGAAGTGCAGTGTGTCGCACAAACGTGTCAGCGAGCTCAGCAAGAAGGAGGAAAGCTGGTGGAAACAGAAAAGAAGGGGATGCAAATGAAACGACAAGAACCTCAGAGTTATACCTCTGCCAGCAGAGCCGGTGGATGGAGAAGCTCCTTCGAGGGGCAAAGAGCACGAGTTGTGATCAGGATAGCAGAACGGGTTGGCACGTTTCATCGTGGTCGTTTGTGTGATGGTGATCCTGGTCGATATCTGTCCAGGTCGGGCTCTGTCTCTGTAAAAAGGCCGTCATTTCAAGGCCACCACAGACCAAAGGCTCGCCAACAGCAGGTATACCGTGTAATGGTAGCGTTCTCTTACCGGTTCCTGACCGGACCTGGGCAAACTTGGCCATCCTTGGTGCTGGCTCGGGCTGAGACTGGTTCAGGATGCCAAAAAGGAGACAGTGGAGTGATAGGCGAGGGTTGCCCCCGGTCCGACTGTGGATTCGCAACGAGGCTACCGTTGCAGGGCCTTGTGCACCCGAAGCCAGTCAGCATCCAGAGTGGCAAAGACTGGGGTTTGAAACGGCCAACTAGGGGCGGCAATGCAGGGGAAAGTCCACAACAGCAGTCCGAAGGGCCAGCGATGCCGTTGATTCTCGATAAGCGTTGGCTTGGCCACGCTACTGTCAAGGAAACACGCCCGACTGTGCGTGCCTTGCAGAATTCAGAGCCAAGTTCCAGAGAGTCGGAGATTCTGCCATCTGGGTGAGAATCCTTCGGAAGAGAGTTTCGGGCCGATAGTATACAATTGATGCGTCCGGCAAGCATCTTTTGCTGTGCGTGGTGTCGGCATTGTGAAGCTGAAGAGTGCAGAAAGAAGAGCCATGGAAACAGCTTCAGCCTGCAGGCGACCTGGAGGCTTGACTTGTCTCGCTCTTTCCCCACCACAACGACACGTCACCTGCAGCCACCTTGAAGCAGCCTGTGTAAGTTTGTCAGGAGCCGTTGAGGAGCAAGTGAGCAGCAGGTCAAATGCGGGTCAGGAGGCAGCGTGGATGCAATTCCTAGGATTTGTATCTCATCCTCGCCATCTCCACCGAATCACTTCCTAGCCACCAAGCCACCATCTCGTCGCCGTCGCCTTGAAACAGGACTCCGGCAATCCGCAGTGTGTCATAAATTTTATCCCAGAACGGAGTCCACGGACATCCAAACGCTTACGTAGCGAGATCAAGGATATTCACAGTACGGAGTATGCTTGAGAAGTTGATTCTCGTGGTCATCTTCCAGATCAAACTAGCACCGTCAGATAATTCCGCATGTCCGATTCACGAATGTCATGCAGAAGCGAAAGCATGGATTCGGCGGACGAGGTTCTTTCTGAACCCAGCTTCAAGAGGCATAAATGCATATGCTGGTCTAACTAGGACTTCCTGTCGCGGCCTCGCATCACCGCCATCACATCATTGACATTGTCTTTGTCACCCTTGCGTTTCTTCGGCCCACGTTTTCGTCCACTCTTCTTCGATGACCCTTCACCATCCTCCCACACAGACCCATCTTCATCCTCGTCATCTCCGAATCGGCTCTCCCCGAAACCAAGGTCCAGGTCCGCAGCATCTGCCCGGTTCTGTTCTTTGAGCCGCTCCAGCAATTGCTGCTGCTTGGCCACTCGGGTGGGATCTGAGTCAAGGGCTTGATTACTGCCGGAGTCGTCGTGCCTCTTCAGGCCCGCTGCCCGTTTGAGGGCAGAAAGGAGCGTGGGGTCTTTCAAGATCGGATTGGTGCGGTCCTCAGCCTCCCCTTCTTGACCGCTTGTCGCAAAGTAATTTCGTGGCTTGCTAGTCGTCGACGCGGTGTCCTTCTCCGCCCTTGCTGCTGGTTTCGACTTGTCGTGGTCCTCGTCCTCGGAATCACTATTGATTCCAGCAAGGGGGTTGTAATCAGAGACTCCCTGGAAGATGTCGTCGTCTTCATCTTCGGCTTCGGCTTGGGTCGAGAGCACTTGTTGCTTCGCGACAAATTCAGCCGGCACTTCCATTCCAAGAGGTTGTTTCTGTGCGCTGTCCGGAGTGTCCTCCTCCACGTCTATCCATCTAGTTTTTCTCTTCGTCGTGCCGTCCTTGTTCGTAATGAGCAAGACTTCCCGACGCCGCCCATTGACCACCTCGGTGAATTTCCTCTTGTTCGGTTTGTCCGAGGTCACCTTTTTGAAGCGGTTACCAAGCACTGGCTCGGGAGGAACGCCCTGTTGCTTTTGTGCTCGACTCTCCTTCAGCCGCCGCAAAATCTCATCGCGCGTCATGGGCTGGTCCTCCTCCATGCCGGCATCGTCTTGCTGCTTTCCTAAGCTGTGATCCACGGCCTGAACCTCCTTCTCAAGCAGATGATCGAGCTCTTCGTCAACATCCACCTTGGCTTTCTCTTCGTTCTCCTCTGGTTGCGGAGCGCTATTCAGATCATCTCCACGTCGAACCCTGTCCAGCAATTTCCAGTCCAGACCTTTGACTAAATGAGTGCTGCTGAGATCTCCTCCAATGCCAATCTCGCTCTTGAGGTGCTCAAACGTAGCTTCATCAATCTGTTGTAGTTTGTACATCTCCTCCAGAGCCTTCAATCGCTTCTGTTTGTCATCCGTTGTCTCGGCATCGTCTGCACCCTCCCTCCGAGCAAGCGTGCGATCCTCGTAGCCCGAACCCAGTTTCGTGCCTTTGGGTGCGCTCGATTTGAACTTCTTCTTCGGCGGTTGCCCATCGTGCTCCTTCCGGTAGTCTGCGACCTGCTGTGCGAACATTCTGGAGGCGCTGTGGCCGGCTATCGAGCGAGGTGTCATGGGAATTGATGCGCGGCTTCTGGAACCAAGTGCGGGCTTCTTGAAGCCTGGCGGGGAGGCCGCCGCACCTTGCGCGCTTGCATTTTCGTTGCTTTGTAGGAGTGTTCGGAACTGAGAGTTGTCCATTTTGGACCTGAGTCAGTTTATCACTCGAAGGGGACCGTAAAGACAGTCATGGGCTCTTTGGCTGCGCAGACGTGAAACGTGACGCGGAGTGTCGGCGACTTTTCGCTTAGGGCCGAGGTGCCTCTATCAATGGCAAACAACTTTGTCTCCGTCAATCAGTTTTGAATTCGGTCTCACAGCTTGTATGGCATCAGAAACACTGTTCACACCTAGAGCAATCGCGATGGGAAAGAAAAGAAAGCGAGTCGAGCGGGTAGAGGCAACAATTGAGCCTGCTCCCAAAAAGCAGAATTCCTCGACCGATCTGCCGCCCGGAGTACATCATTATCAGTCGATCGAAGAGGTTCCATGGGACATCCAAAAGTAAGAACTCGCGTCCCCAATACTCGGGTGCGCTAATACATGATAGATACTGGAATCAAGGATATTCGATCTTTTCCAAATACGATGATGGGATCTGGATGACCGACGACTCGTGGTACGAAGTTACGCACGAGTCCGTCGCTAAGTACGTCTTCGTCAACTTCCAGACTCTAGCATGTGCTTTCTGACCCCCTCAAGCACGATTGCACAGCATGTGGCAGAAGCTGTACCACCAGGCAGACCGATCATCTTCGATGTAATGTGTGGAGTGGGTGGAAACACCATCGCTTTTGCACTCTCCGGAAAGTGGAAGCGAGTGTATGCCATTGAGAAAGATGAAGCGACCCTCAGATGCGCCCAGCACAATGCAGAGATCTACGGCGTTGCTGATCGGATTACCTGGTTGAAAGGCGACTGCTTGAAGCTTCTCGGGCTCGATGGCGGCGAAATGGACGAGCAGGCGAGAAGTTTCAATACTCTGGCAAGCAAGCTGGGCGTTATTTTTGCCAGTCCGCCCTGGGGAGGTCAGCTGCCTCGATATCGACTGAGAATTTCGCTGACATGTTGAGATAGGTCCTGGCTATCGAGACGCGGAAGTCTTTGATCTCGAATTAATGCAACCCTATTCGTTCAGCTACCTGTACGAGGCTTTCAAGAAGCTATCGCCGAGTGTAGCCCTCTACTTGCCGAGAACAAGCGATCTGAGACAAATCGCAAAGCTGGTTGGCGAGGACAAGAAGACTCAGATTGTACATTATTGCACTAGGGGAAGCAGCCGCGCCTTATGTGCGTATTTGGGAGACTGGAGTCCGCTCAAGCTGGGAAATCTCTGATGACGGGTTGTTCACCTGTCTATTTGCTATAGCGTTGGGCTTATGATACCCTGTTAATGAATGGAATGACATGACCAGAGATTTTATTTAAAGCGAGAGTACCATTTCCGGCCCCCAGCGGCAAGGCTGCACAAGGCTGTGCCGCGTGTCATGCCGGTCCCGAATTGCACTAAAGCGCGAGTCAAGCGCCTGCGATTGCTGCCTCCTCCGAATTTGAACCTGATCTGTATCTGGCAACTTTCCTCCCGGCACGATTACACAAGCGCAACACTTCGTTGTTGAACGCGTTAGACATCACCAAACCTTGACCGGATGACGCGAATTCCCAAGATCACTGCCAGGGTCTGATTGCGATGCGTGGTCAGAGTGATCAACAACTCAGTCCTGCGGGGTGATCGCAGGCGACCTTTTACCTCCACCTTACTCTTCCTTCAAAGACCGCCGCCATGGCTACCGACATCTACCAGCAGGCTAATGGCCTCGACGATCTCTTCGATAACGACGATGAGGACATGAGAGAACTGGCAGATATGGCGGACATGGCGGATATGGCGGAGTTGGCAGACGCGACAGCTAACACACCTTTTGACCAAAGTTTCAACGTCCCCGCCGATGGCAACGATGAGTTGAGTGCGCTATTAAACGAAGGCGGTGCGGAAGGGTTTAACCTAGACGAGCTGAATGAAAGAGAACTGGAACAAGGGGAAAAGGCGGATGATGCGGTCGACTACGAAGACATCGGTGATGATGAGTTGCTACCGGACGAAGAACCTGCCCAAGACCCTCGAGTAGACATACCGACTGACTTGCTGCCTGGTATCGGAGAGAGCGCCCTCGATGGTCTCGATGACGACGATGATCTCTTCGGCCCTTCCAGTCCCATCCTGACCAGCGCTCCTCCGCCCGTGACCGCTGCTTCAAAGCCACCTGATAAACCACTGAGAGATGGAGATCAAGAGTCAGATCTCGCTTCGGACCACGGGGAGGATGTCACACAAGATCTCTCTATGCTCGAGCCGGATCTGGACGAGATAGAAGATGCCCAGTATAGGATTCAATTGGCACTGTTCGCACAATCAGGAAAGGGCTTCGCTCCCACGACTGCGCAGGAGAACATCGACGAGTGGCTGAAGCTCGAATTTCCTGACTTCAGGCGCGACGAGGCACCCTACTTCAACAAACTCTTCCCCCCGAGACCGTTCAAATGGCAGGGCAAAACGCCCCTGAAGCCTCCGAGACAAGTCCGGCCCACCAAAGTCAACCTAGAAATTGAGCAAGATCAGAAGGTGGCCTTCAACTCAATAGTGCCAATTTCTGCACCAGAAGTGGCAACTGACTTTGTGAGAACTCGGGAGCATGCGGCTGTCCAGGAAGTGGAGGAGTCTTCGGACGAGTCCGATCCAGACGAACCCCTACCGAATGGTCTCTCCACGCAAGACCTGGAGTTTATGTGCACGGACTTTGATACCTTGTCTCATCTCGCGCTCTCGGAAGACGAAGTGGTTGAGATCAGACCACGGATCGTCGAAGCCGATGAAGATATGTTTGATTTCGACGAGTTCAACGACTTCGAACAGCCTCGTAAGAAGCGCCGACTCGGCCTAGATCCTCAAGACATTGTCACGATTCATCAGATCGACGTACCGTCACTTGACGACCCTGAGAAACTTACACAGAGACTCGCTGCCAAGGTTATCCTGGATTTGAATGATACGGGTCTGCTGGTCGAAGAAGTTGATCTTGAAGCCGCTCGGGCCAAGGCTCGTCCAGGCGACAAGACGACTACTGTCAAGACACTGAAGGACCGCCTGCAACAGCGCTTCAAGACTTCGAACGATGCTGAATATGACCTTCTTAAGCAGAATCATCAACACAAAGTTCGAGGCCAGCTCACCAATTTGACCATCGAGCACTCGCTGCCTGCCATCCGTCTCCAGTACCCATATTTCCAGGTGCGTCTGTCGTTGCAAGAACTGCGCAATTTTCACCGCAAAAGAATGCATTTCAGACACCCGATTACATTCCGACAACCCGTCAAAATCAAGAGGAAGCACCAAAAGAACCGATCGGCGAAGGAACTCTATCCAACGACGAAAGAAATCTCCTTAGCTGATAACTCCTCGACGATACTGCTCGAATACTCAGAAGAACACCCTCTGATGATGTCCCAAGCTGGGATGGGCAACAAGATCATCAACTACTATCGCAAGAAGTCGAAAGATGACAATTTCCGGCCCAAGCATGACATCGGCGAGACGTCAGTGTTGTTACCCGAGGACAAGTCCCCATTCCACATCTTCGGCCACATTGATCCGGGCGAGACCATGACTGCACTCTATAATTCAATGTACAGGGCACCAATTTTTTCTCAAGACCCCAACCCCACAGACTTCTTGGTCATCAGAGAGAGCACCGGCGTACACGGTCAAACTCACTACTTGCGTAACCTGGAGAATGTTTACGTGGTGGGGCAGGAACTGCCTTCAGTCACCATTCCCGGGACACACTCTCGCATGGTGACCACCGCCGCCAAGAATCGTCTCAAAGCCATCTCGTACCGTATCGCCCGCAAGAAGAAGAGCCAACGAATCCGCGTGGAGGAGGTGACCAAGCATTTCCCAGATACTACAGACATGCAGAACCGGCAGAAAATGAAAGAGTTCATGGTCTTCAACAAAGAACACAAGGAGTGGGAGATGCGGCCGGGTGATAAAATACCCACCGAAGATCAAATCCAAGCCTTGATCCGACCAGAGGACATTTGTCTGCTGGAGTCAATGCAAGTTGGTGCCCAATACCTCCAAGATGCTGGCTACGCCGACGTCGATGACGAAGATGATACCAAAGAGAATGAGGCCGACAGTATCGAGCAACAACTTGCGCCGTGGAGAACGACGAAAAACTTCATGCAGGCCACCCAAGGCAAAGCTATGCTGAAGTTGTTCGGTGAAGGCGATCCATCAGGCCGTGGAGAGGCGTTCTCATTCATCAAGACCAGTATGAAGGGTGGATTCAGGCCGATCGGCGGCTCTGCTATGGATGCCATCGCTCTGAAGAAGGAACTGGGCGGGCACAGCTACAACGTTGCCCGCCAGCAGAAATCATACGAAGAGTCCATCCGTGGGATTTGGGAGAAGCAAAAGGCCAGCCTTGGATCCAAGATTGAGCCGTCGGATCTGGATATGGATGGCGATGTCGACGCACAAGAAGACAAGCATGCCAATGGTCGATCAAACATCAGAGCTACTTCAGTTTCCGGAACGCAGACACCGTCCATGTCGCGGCGCGGTCGTGACGATGAGACGGCCACGTCGTTCAGCAGACGCAGCGTGGGTAGTCAGACCCAGAAAGTGCTGCGGATTGTTCGTCAAGTCAAGACGAAGGATGGTGAAACGGTCGAGCAAGAGTACATTGAGACTGACCCTGCCGTCATCAAGAAGTACATGAAGATCAAGGAGGCGGAAGAGATTGAAAATACAAGGTTTGCTCGCGCCCATATGGTTTCAATCGAATGCTTACATTACACTAGTATCATGGACATCGCGCCGACAGGTGACGCTGAGCAGGATGCTCGTAATCGGAAACGGCAAGAAGAACTCCTACCACGACAGCAGCTCGTACGTCTGCTAACACTTCGGCAGAATCGAAGAAGCCCTCGCGCAACTCGAGAAGAACAAGGCCCGCCGCCAAAAGCGAAACAAGAACAAAGAAGCCGCCCTGGGAGGAGCCACTTCCCCAGGTGGCACCGCGATGTCTCCCGACGCCGATGGCTCCTTCACTGGCGGTGGAAAGAATACACAACCCACCCAGAGGAAGTGTGCAAACTGTGGCCAGGTGGGACATATCAAGACCAACAAAAAGTCAGTCAAGTCCAATGCATTATGCAAACATTGTGATCTCCCCTTTGACCGCAAGGTCGGATCGCTGTTGATACAGACGCCTGATTTCTCGAGTCGATAAGGCGCCATCTGCCCTTCATCCCATGGCTCGAGAAGTATGGCGCAAACTCGACATCATTTCTGGTCGAGGAGCCCCTTGTATTTTGTCTGATTACTGTCCGACTCGAGGACAAGTGTCCGAGTGACCACTGCTTGCTTCTCCATGCGAGCACATCCCGTGGCTCGTTGTGCAGAAGCAATGATGGTACAAAGAACGATCGCCCCCATCGAAGTCCGTCCGCTCATTGCAACCTCCCAATATCCTACCGCCATGCCTAGCATCCTTTGTGCTCCTGAAGTTAATGGACCAGATTGCTGACAATATCTCTTGAAGATTATGTCCTCTCCTCAACGGGACAATCAAGCAGGAGGACGCGTTCAACAACGCTGCCTTTATGAACGCGCCTCCGGGGCATTGAGAGAAACAGACCCTGTTTGTTTCTGGCACGAGTTTGGGCGGCAGGGCGGCATGTTCTCAGGACTCGAGGCGAGTGCTACTGTGACTGGGGACCGGTCTTTTGGCATCGGCATCGGCATCGGCATCAACATCAGCATCAGCGGAGAATTTCATCGCATCATGCATACATTGGGCGGGACACATTTGTTGCATAGCGTGGTCTCACGGGAGCAAAAAGCAGAGGCAGAGGCAGAAGCTAGCCGGCTAGCTAGCTACTGTAGCTACCTAGTTACTGTGGCCGTCTTTCAAGCCCGACAGAAGGCACGGCACGGCAACGGCAACAGCAACAGCGATCGTGCCTCGTGCCACATGCCACCCGTACTAATATCATCATTCACATCAACATCTTGGGATGAACATGGTCCACCTGCTTACGGTGCAGTCTCTTTCTCTAGCCTTGCTAGTTGCAGGGATGAGAGTAGAGCTAGTGATCGGAAATATATCTCCCTTGTCTTCACTACTGTACGTGGCCGGAATACACAGACTCCTTGAATAATCATTATGGTTTCATTAGACCTCGTCACGGATTTCTGTCCCGTTTCCTACCTACCTACCTAGGCCATCCCACGCCAAGTTTAATCTTTGTCCTGTACAACACAATACAAATATAAGTACATTCTCGAGGGAGTTCAAAACCCCAGGCTCAATTCCAAGCTGCTCTTTGAATCCCTTCACTGCCTCTTCGGTCCTTGTTCGGGGACCATGAGACAGCCGGGCAGTCGCCGTATCCGAGCGAGTATGGTACGATATCGATTATAACGCTCGAGGGTCAGAGGTCAGCAGAGGAGAATTGAGTCCATATTCTGTTCTACGGCGACAGCGACAGCGACAGTCGTATCCGCGCCCAACGCCGCGGTCGTGAAATCTCTGGTCTCTGGCCACTACAGCCAGTTCCATTCCGGCGCATCCCTCCTGCAGGAGTGCCGGGTGCTCGCTTTCAGTGGCCCGTCGAGACCTTTCATTTCAAGGTAGGCCGCCGACCTGGACGTTTTGGGCGGGCTTGGCTGGGTTGACTGTCCTCAATTCATGGCTCACTTTATGGGAGGAATGATGCGCGCCTTCCCCGTAGTCGTGCGCGACCTTCTGTAACCATGTTTGGGGCCGGTTCTGTCAGACGGAGGCACTGAGGTTCGGCCGGCTGTGTGAGCGCCGATTGGTTCGGAGAGTCAAAGGTTGCCAAATTTGGCCCTGTCCTTGCTGGCCGACACACAAAGTCGGGCGAATTCTGGGCATGGCCATTGCGATGCGATATAATGTATCGTGTTCAGACCTCCCTGAAGCTTCCTTGGACAGGCTTTCTTCCTACCTGCAGGAAACTTGGAGGTCGGATGTCACGTGGCGATGCTTCTGATGGTGGATATAGTGCTTGCGGTTGGGCTGTTGGGCCAGGATTATACGGCATGGGCATGCTGAGTCTGTTGGACTCCGACATGTAGTCTTGCTGTGATGGCTCGTACCGTGTGCTGCTTGGAGCGTAAGAGTCTTGGTAGCTGGGTTGGCGCTGCGGTAGGTGCTGTTGTTGACCGTGATTATAAGCGTTAGGGCCCGGCATGGCTGCGCCGGCGCCGCCAAACTGACTGCCGGCAAGGGACGGAGCACTGGAGTTCGAACGATAAGTGGGAGGTGGGCTCAGAGGGACGGCCTGGAAGCCGTGAGTTTCGTTATGGCTGAGTAATCTTTGGTCGCCCAGGTCGGAGTTGTAAGCGTGGTTCATGCCCGAGTCGTTGTGTAAGTATTCTGACTGGGTCGGGTTCGGTGAGACCGCAGGGTTGGGGACGCTGTTGTAGCCCCCTCTCATCCTTTGCGGCTGCGAGTCTAGCCTGCCCATCTCGAGGTCACCGTTCTTAGCCTCGGGCGGTGCACTGGTGTCCTCGACTCGCCTCTTCACAGCGGTATCCCAGCTTGGCATGTGCGGGAGACTGTCTTCGTTGACCATTCTCTTGCTACTCGGGTCGTCAAAGGTCGCAAACTGTGGGGCGCTGGGATTGCCAACGCCACCATAGACCATCGGGCTCGGGGCTGGCTGGTATCCCTGGTAGGGAGTAGGAGGCATGCGACTATAGTCGTCTGTGTATTTCGAAGGACGGTCCCGACTTCGACCCCCTCCCTTACAGCAACCTCCGCAGCAGCTTCCGCAGCAGGTAAAGCAGCTCACACAACAGGAACACAGCTCAACGCCGCAGCAAATGCATCGAGCAACGCAGAAGAGGACGGAGAACAGGATTAGACAACCGACGATGATTGCGACAATGACAGGCCATCTTGAGACAGTCAGAGCATTTCCCATGCAGTCGGGTATTTCGCCACATACTTGCAGTAGTCCTTGTCCATGCACTTGTCCCAGCTAGATAATGTGTCTTTGGCGTCGGACACCACGTCACGCCTGTAGAGATAGGATGCCATGCTGAGCGGTGGAAAGGTGGAATATCGTCGGCGGTGAGCGAGGGTCGCCAATGTCCAGGTGTACGTATCCGAGTGCAAAGACGTTCAACGGTGAATTCTAAAACGTATTGTTCGCGAGTCCCCTAGACCAGCTGGTGGACAGTGCTGTGGCGATGAATGAATGCAATTACCGACAACGTGACGTGACCACAGGACGTGGTGCTACAGGGTCGATTGAGCGTGAGGGCAATGCGCATGTAATTAGAGAAAGACGTGTGAAGGAAAGGACCGAACGACAAAGAATGAGACTCGCCGATGTCCTGTACGGAGAGTGCTATGAAAAGAACCTGAAGTGAGCATGAGGGACGAGGCACGTCTAACCAGGAGGCGGAGCAAGGCCACGGGGAGTTAAGGGCTGGGGGGGCCGGTGCCTATAAGGCCAATCACACCTCTCGGGCGGCGCTGTGGCGGATACTTGCATGCGATCGGACTCCTGAGATGCATCTCCAGGCCAGCTGAAACACGCCGCCACCCATCCGAACCAGCCACCAAACAGGGATCCATATCCGCGGCGGGAGCTGCCCAAATACGTACGAGGTACGAGTATCCTCCGTCTGGCTGTTCGCATGGCTTGCATGGAGCTACTTGAGGTATTTCCCAATGCTTCCATTCTGTCATGTCGCCTGGAAGAGTTTGAGCCTGGCTCGGTAGGGCAGTTTGGAATGAGCAGAGCGAGAAAGTAACAAACATTCGAGATAGGAATACGCTGGGTTGCGGTTGTGTTGCAGTGCTAATTACTTTCATACTCATGGCAATAAATATATTCATGCGGCTTTTCCTTGCGCCATGTTTCCAAAGCCTGACCAAATCTACGGTCACCGTCGTTATCGTACAACCGTCCCAACCCTGCACCCACCAACTCGAACATTCGACCGAATCTCTTTATCGCATCAGCTGACTCCCAGTCACGACAGTGGACATATTTCTATCTCCCTGCAATTGATCCTAATCATTTCTTCGCTGGAGGAGGACCTTCTGGCGCTGAATAAACTGGCGAGCCACCACCAGCGTAGGTATTTTGCGGTGGTTGCATCTCGTGGTCGGTCTGTCTTCCACCGAAGTATCCTTGGTTTTGCCCGTAGTAGCCTCCCGCATTCTGTTGGTTGTATGCCGGAGGGGGTTGATAGGATTGTTGCGTCTGTTGGTAGTTCGGGTTGTATTGAGGAGCGTTGTGGCCGAAAGGAGTTCGTCCAGCCCAACCCGTGCCGTACAATGGCTGTCTACCAAGGCGGCGTCGTCGGCGAGAGCTGAAGAAGCTGCGTTCCGAGTCAGTGTCACGCGGTCTCTTGCAGGTGTCGCAAAACTCACCTGAAGAGGAAGAAGATGAGGAATGCGCCGAAGATGATTATGCCAAGGGCAACCCATCTACCCCAATCGTACCAGGCACTGTTACACCGATAGGCGCGGTTACCATCGTAGCATCTGGCCATAGCGAAGAAAGAATGTTAGTAGGAATGATCTAACTTGGTGTGACTTGGACTGGGAGGTGGAAGGGTGACGTGTAGAATATAAATGATTCGGGGGAACTGACACGTCGCCGCCGTAGTATTGTCTTGCGAAAAGCGTGGGACTCATAACTGCTCGGTGTGGTGTTGCGTATTCAGCAGCCACGCCTCAAAGTGTGAGAGGATGACGGTGATGTCAATACGCTGGAGGTGCCTTCCCTTGGGTCTCTCTCGCCGCGGTGGTTGGCCGATGAGCCTCAGGCGCAATCGAGTGTTAGACAAATCAACAACGAGGCTCAGATGGGTTTGAGAGCAGGAGTTTGGGATTAAGTTGTTGATGATGAGATCGCGGGTGACTGAGTTTAGATAGATGTCGCAAGAAAGAAGGCAGCGAGAAAATGCATGATGCTTCACAAGTACTCGTAGGCGCAGCCAACACAATCAACGACGCCATGGTGCCGAAGCCTGCAGAAGCATCCCTCTAGCGCCTTGACGGTGGCGCAGTGTCTACTTCATCATTGGCCGATGACGCCTCGAGCCAACTCTCCTGGGATCTGGCAGACAGGCGTCACCTGTATCCACTCGGCAGCTATTTGGCATCGTATCTGCGCTTCGAACCTTGCATGGGTGCTCGGGATGCATTCTGCACATACAATGGTGGCAGGAGCAGCATTCGTGGACCGCCCGTCGACATAACTGTCATGCTTTGGAGAGAGATGAGCGAAACAATCTGACTGTCCAGGCACTCAGGCCCGCGTATCCATCACAGCTTGGCAGCTCCAGTAGCAGAGCTTGGCTACGCGTCATTCCGGGCTGTGGTTCGATGGCACGGATTTGGCGGCGCCGTGATGGATGTCAGGCGAAGGCGTCTCTTGGTCTCGTGCTCGCCACCTGAGTTGCAGGCGCTCGCAGGGTTACTGGAATTGCTCTTTCTTCGCGGGAACCACCCGCAGCTATCGAAGCAACATGGAACGTTCTTTGGCGAGATGCTTCCAGATATGGCTTCGGCAATCATTTTGCCTAGCCAGATAGAACAATTGGGCCAGCGATGGTCCAGCTGAAGATGCCGATGCGTATGCGTGTTCATGCCAGTTCTGTAGTCCAACATTACGCCAGTTGCTGAAAAACCGCTTGCTGTCGACCCCCATAGCCGTGCTGTGGTTCCCATAACAATGCCGCCCAACAGAAACAATATCCACGAAAACCGGCGGTTCACTTCGCGGCCCTCGCTACCAGCCAGTGCAGCACCGCTTCCAGATTCGTCTCCTCCTTCGCGCTTATTCCGTAGCAACTGACCTCTCGATGCACAATCGACTTCAAGTCCAGCTGGTCAATCAGCTCGTCCACCGACAACTTGTTCGGAAGATCGGACTTGTTGCCGAGAACGAGGAGCGGGATAGCTTCGAGCGTGGGTCTTGACATGAGCGCGTGCAACTCGTCTCGCGCCACGGGGATGGCATCCTTATCGGCGGCGTCGACGACAAAGACAATGGCGTTGACCCCGCGGCAATAACGCTCCCACATCGATCGGAACCTCGGCTGGCCTCCGAGATCCCAGCATTTGATCGAGACATGACCCTTCTTCACCTCCTTCTTGTTGAACGCAACCGTGGGTACGGTGTCCACGGTGAACTCATTACCCTGTTATCATCGCGTCAGTCCCACAACGGTAGCTTCGCAAGGATGAGAGCGCGTAACTTACGGCGAGGACGCGCACCAAGCTTGTCTTGCCCGCGTTCTGCAACCCGACTATCGTCACGTCCATCTCGGTCGCCCAAAACATCCACAACAGCCAGTCCCACACCCATGTAAAGAAGCCAGCCATGTTGCAGGATTTCCAAGGGCAGCTGGCGTCTTCATGGGTCGGGAACGCTGTGATGCTGAAAGATGACAGGCGCCGTTTCTTGATTCGTGTGGTGTCGAGGATCTTTTAATCACCAGGCAAAACCATTACTCGGAGGAGACCTGAATGAAATGACCACAATGACTCGTCTCTTTTGAGGAAGCTTAAGGCGAGATGCGCCAAAATGCGGGGACAGCACGTGACATTTTTGTACATGACGTGTAAGTTGCTTGACATTTCCGCCTAGGCCCGGATATTCTTTCCTGGCACCTCCTTTGAAGTCCTCCCTCCCCTTACAAAGGCCTGAGCCACCCCCTATTGTCCCTGTTGCACAATATTCGATACATACACCCGGACAGCTAGCCACGCGATACCCTCGTACCAGTAGCTGAAAGCTGAGACGCGAATGAGGCTGTAGCCAGCTTTGGAAGAGCGATTTCTATACCCAGTATGCGAGTCAGTCATCCGTTGGCTAGCCAACGCCGGGGGTGGGAGAATTCCATCTGAGCTTGAATTACGTGCTACACTACCAGCGGATATGCTATTGTTCTCACGGCATGATTGCTCTATCTAACCTTTCCGACTGAGCACCAAGCACACATCAGACTCCGTATCAGAATCGCAAGTGCTGCTTGTCCGTCAGGGCTCCGAAGCTGTTCAGGAGCCCACCCTCGCGTCTCTTGGCAGAGAGTCCCATGAGTTGACTGGCCTTGTTTTGAAGTAGAGCGGGCTGTGGTAAAGCATTTGGAAAGAAGCACAGCACCCTGTATGTCCCGAGGAGAGCTCTGATCGCAATACAGTATCGGGGAGCATCACATGGGAACTACACATGCGGAGCAGCTTTGTTGCTGGGACAAGAGAAGCTCCAGCCGCTGCTATCGTGGTGAAACGCATGGCGGGACGCATGGCGGGACGCAAATAACGTACACGAAGAAGAGCGCACGGACGGCGCTTCTCGTCCTGTGACCGCCCACATTGACTCCCGGGAGCGACCACCCAATATGATGGGTCAGCCAAGCACAGCCTGCAGCCACGCACCAGCCAGCAACCAGTACCGATGTATGGTATTGATGGTCAGCGAACGTATCCAACTTGCAACCCCCAGCACGCGCGAAACCGAGGAAACCGAACCGTCAGCGTGCCAGGCTCAGACCATGAGGGGCCACCTACTCTCGAGTGGTGGTGAACCATAGATCATCCCCGCCCGGTCGCGAGCCAGCCGAAGCCCACGGCAGTCAAATGACCCCAAACGCACCGGCGGGTGACTGAAGAAGAGTACTTGAGGGGACTAAACCGAACCCGCAGATTCCACATGGCAGTACCGAAGTTCGACACCGCGCCATTCAGCATGCCGGTGGAAGCGCGCATGAGCATGACTAGATACGTCTTGGTGTCGAGCATCGCCTCCCTGACCTGGCACGGGAGCACCTCGTGGTACTTCAGCCCATTTGAATCTTAGATGCCGCCACACAGCAACCAGGTATTTGTACCCGGATGCGTTCGTACTCAGGCACAAACTTGGCGTTATGAGGTCTATCAGGTAAGAGCACCATAACAAAGCGCTTCGTCGAACTCGAGGACCCTTCTGCGACCGCGCTTGCGCGAGTGCATTGAGATCCTGTATTTCGCTTCTCAAGAGCCCTCGCCGAACATCATCGACGGGCTTTGAGTCGGGCCGGGTCGCCCTGTACAAGTACGGGCACTTGAGATCGATCCCTTAGATCTTTTCCGTCTCAGCCACATTGACGAAATTGGCAACCAATAGATATCTTGTTCTTTGAGGTTGATTAGTCTGCGCGTACCTGTAGCTGCACTCCAACGAGGACTAAATGAGCCATGGTCATCCCTGAAACGCACTGGGAATGAGTGGTACCGTGTGTGCTGAAATGTCGATACAGTCATCTGCTTTCGATAATGCTGCTACCTGTGATTACACGGAGCCGCCCGTCATGAGACTCCAATCTGCGTGGTTGTAGGAAAGGCGATATGAGCCAGTCAGTGACGTCCCACTGATGATGGAAGATCCACTTCGCCGGCTCTACGACGAGGTTCCTGCAGGAGCCGATGAGGTACCCGGTACAGGATAGTCTAGTGTGTCAGTTGAGCTCTCGTTATGTCGTGTGAGTTGCCCCTGGTGTGTTCGCCTTGCTCAGAGAGTTCACTCAGCGCTACGGTGCAATCATCATAAAAGGGACACAGGGAAGTGTCAGAGAGGACGAAGGAATTTGCCCTGCAGGCTGTGTTGAGGGACAGCACTTCCTGCCCCTATCCATGTCGATCGGTACCACGTTGTCGTATGTCCACCATTGGAATCTGTCTGCCCTGGATTTAGAGACGAATGGTGGGTTCCCGCGGCAAGGACCATCTGGAACAAAGGAGAAGGTATTTAACCCCCCAAGTACGAGAGACGCAGATGGATGAACAATGGAAGGGCATAATTAATTCAAATGTGGTCGCATTTTGTTGAAGCCTAGAAAGTGACGTACTATACGTAAAATTGGTGACTATCTCGTCTTCCCCGTCTGCCTCTGGTGCCCAGAATGTCCCAGTAGATGTCCATCACCATTACATCGGGGACGAGGGATTCAGCCTCGTCTCACAATCAAGGCCGTCCAAGGTCGAAGTAGACCCAACGATAGTGTTAATTCGGCGTTGAGCCCGTTTGCAAATCTTTGAAGATCTTCCTCTTTAGTGGCGTTCATTATCGAGCCCACGGCTGACAGCGCTCAACCGCAACAAGGGCTGGTGACCTTTCTGCTTCAATTCGCCGCTGAGCGTCAGAACGTCTTGCACTTCAAGCAGCCCGTCGCTACCCGGCTGTTATTCACGGGCTGGAGATAGGTTAACACCGTCCTGGTCGTGATATTTAAGAGCGGTCGTCGCCAACTTCCAGTCCTGCCACCGGAATGGATGGAGAGAATTCCAGTACGAGGTAAGGAGTGAGCTGCCTGTCTGGGAACGTCGCTTCCCGCTACAGTACCCTCGCCTTGCGCCGTACTTGGGCGGTTCACACAGTAGACGCAACTGCAGTCATTACGCAGTCACAACTACTTCTGCAGGGTGACGGGGCTCGCCCAACAGAGCGCACGTAACGTCGCCTCGCCGGATTTGCCAATTGTTGTCATCGCTTCCGCCAAGAGGGTGGGAAATGCCAAACCAATCGCAGTTCAGCATTTCACGTGCGAAACTCTTCCGACCCGGGTAACCCCTGATTCTCCAATCGGTGTCCGGACCGGTGACCGGAGATCAAACCTTCTTCGCGAGACATCTGTGACCGGACTTTCATCGAGGAAGCTTTGCAGAGCAACATGGACTGACTAGTCGGGAATCTAACATCTTGGGTGAGAAGAATCATGTCGAGTATGTGTGTAAACCCTTTCTGGAAACCGACCTAACCATCTTCATCATATCCTCGTCGCGACCCACCAACTAGCTCTTATATACCCAATACACCAATACTGGTCAGATGCGGTTCACCAGCCTGTGTGAGGCAGGGACGCATGATACATACCCCAGTTCGCACCATGCTTACGCGTACGCGTTTACTCAGCGATGTTGTCGATCAGAAACCGCCGTCGCCAGGGGGTAGTCAGCAGTATTCAAGCTTCGCTAAGCTTTCACGCTTGAAAGATACACCGGCGAGGCGAGACGCAGGTTTATGCATGTGCGGCTCGAGTACTTCGAATGTTTTGGCCGGGCTCTCGTCGCCATGGACCTTGCAGGGATGTCCGGACGCGAGAACCGGTGACCCTGCCCCAACGAGTGTAGAAGTCCCGTCGATTTCTGATAGGCCATGCGGTCCCCGATTCGGTGGGAAGAGTCCATGCTGAGATAGGCTTGCTTGACTCAGGTGCCTGACGAGCATGTCTTGACGTACGCATGCAAGCCGAGGTGCGAGTTGAAGTGGGTATTGGGGCCCTTGGAAAGGGCACGGGGTCTCTTGCCGATGGTATTGTGTTCGCAGTGAAGTGGAACAGAGCTGACTCAGTCCGCATTACACCTATGGTTGATGCCGCACTGCGTGCAAGGTAACCCTCCATTGCGGCAGCCACCATCGAGGAGTTAATGACCCTTCCGCCGCAGTGGATCGACTCGGTCCACGTAGGCTACTATTACAGCCAGTGGTGTACCCTGAGTAGTCCTGCCGAGCACCGCGTTGAATCACAGGGGGTTCGGCAGTTCCCTTGGGCTGTTATTCGTTCGAGTACCGTATCGACGGTGTAAGGTGAGACCATCGGGTCATTTTCGCACAATTACCTGGATGTCTCCCACAAAACCTCTTCGCCCCCCACTGGTTGAGTTCTAGCCGGTCTTCAAGTTTCAAATCGATAGTGAGACTTTTAGCGGGCTGGTGGAGCGTTAGAGAGGAAGACGGGCAGGTTCTAGTCCTGAGCATCTGCAAACGGCTCGACTGCCTCCCTGTATTTAGCGGTTGCGTGTCGAAGACGGGGACTTGTAGGACGTGGCTTAGCGGCCTGGCAAGACTTGTTCACCGTACTGGTATTCCGTAGGTTGTTCTTGGTTGGATGAGCCTCGCCAGGGCTAGATCCTGCTCCTGTGGCCCAGACACTAGTATCTGGTTAGGAACAGGACATAGCTGTGCTTCCTTCAGTGTCAACGCCATGGTGTTTTGCTTAAGCCGTGCCAGCGCAAAAAGGCCACCGCGGCGTTCGTGAAGGATGCAGTCATGCAACTGCCATCAGCTCAGACGCGCGGGCAGCATTCAAGCTTCGCCCAGCATTCACGACCTCGTCGTCGCAGTCCGGGACCCCAACCTCGGCAGCCACAGGGGATGAGGATTGCAGGGCGGTACTTTTGTCCAGCCTGCGCGTCCTCCAGACTGCATCATGCTCATGAGCTACCCGGGGCACTCGACATTCCTCTGTGGCCAGATAGACCCCCCAAGGTGACGTCGATGGCTGCTTAGCGAATTTGGCACAGGTGCTACAGAACGATGCAGTCAGCGTCGAATTACTGAATCCACATCTCGGGGCTCGCTGTATTGGGCAGGTAGTCAAGCCTCAAGGCGGTCCATCAAGCCAGTATTCCAGGAAGCTCTCGAGTATTGCCCCGGGTGAATCGGAAAAGGGATTGGCGGAGAGCATGCTCGCTTCGGCAGTGCGATGTTAAGCGGCCTCCCTAGGCTCATGTGAGGTGGTAAGAACTGCCCAATGCAGATGGACTCCAGGCTCTACGCGATGAAGCTTTCCAACAACATAAAGCTCCCTACCACAAGGTCGCGCTCCAGAATGCAGACCAAATGCAATGACTAAGAAACTTGAACGAGGCGACGGCTGACAAAGACACCGGCGCATCGCTACCGGAGCGGGCAAGCAAGTGTGTCGGGAGTCGATGAACCAGCACCTAGGGTAAAGCCGATTATCGCGCCCTCGTGCATGGCGTCCAGAAACCCCTTCCCCGTCCCACGCCCAGTCTAGGTGGGAATGGGGGTCGAGTAAATGGGGAGTTCCGGGAAGTACAGTAGCTTATTGGCTGACTTGGCAGCCGACGGCCTTGTATGATACAAGACCAGCAGAGGAGCAATCCTTTGTGGCCCCCGTCCGGCATGTACAAAATCGCGGATGATTTTCTGCTCAAAGATGGAGAAAAAGGAACGCCCATTTCCTATCCCACTAGACTCGCTCCCCAGCCAATCAACGAAATTTGTATCTTCTCAAAAAAGGGTATAGTGTGCTGTGTATGGTGACAGCACGTTGCCGATTGGACCGACGTCAAAGCCCCAGCTAGTTATCGCCGTTTCGACACCGGGGGAGTTGCTGCTCCTCAGTACTCGCATCCTCGACCGCCACTCGGACGCTAGTTGAAGGGCTATTCTGTGTCGCTCAGACGCGTCGCATACGGGGCTCCATGGATGAGTAATATTCGGAGAGTAGCCGTGCCGACAGTGCCCAAGGCTATATACCCGAGGCAGGAAATAGTACGGTACCTGGCACATCAACTACCAAAAACAACCAAAGCAACATGTCAAGCCGGAATTCAGAGGGGAGGGTCTTCACCTTTGTAGACTACGACATCAACCGTCGCGGAGTCACCGATACGGCTCGGGCGCATTTGATGAAAGATCGTGTGCGGTCGAAACGAGAAGCCAGGTCAGAATGGGTTTCTCGCAACCAGTTCTCGCCGCTACGTTGGATGCGACCAAAAGAGGATAACCACCAACCAAATGCAGGCAGACCAGATGCGAAGTTGTCCAGCTCGGACGAATCAGAGGCGATGACAAAACCTCGAATCTCGCACTATGCGGCAGTTATTGATTTTGAGCGTGACAGCGTGACGGTGTCGCCTTTCGTCAGGAAGCCGCGGTCGCAGTCGCCGCGGTCGAGGACGGGCACAAAGTCCCAGCCCCGTAAGAACTTGGACATGCATGACAACTCTTCCGAAAGCAGTGCCTCCGATCGAAGAAATGGCCGGTCACCGGAAGAAGGCTGTCGGATGGAAATGTCCCGGCTCAATTCCCCCTTTCTCGATGCAGATTCCCCCAGGTCCAATGCAAGTCTCGTCGATTGCGAGCCAATTGCCTCAAACCCAAGAAGGACCAGCATAGAAAGTCGGTCCGAATTCGGTCTGGCACTCTTGGACGGGCTAAGGATTGCAAACACGCCGCCTCCGCAACGACCAATCGAGCTGAACGCCGGATTGGAGGAAGAGTCGCAACGGATCATTTTGCAAGCTCTCCACGAATCCGCTGCCAGATTAGAGACCGTTTGGACGCCACTCGATCATAACCTGCTGAGATATTTTGCTGTAAATGCTGTACCCATGCTTGGGCTGGATGTATATCCAGAGATCGTCCAAAAACACGACCCCGTGCTGCAGCTGTTTCTGCCCTATGCCACCTCCAGCCAGTGGTGTTTCGAAACTATGATACTGCTATTCAGTGCGAACCATCGTCGGAGAAACGAGCCGCCGCCCGAGCATGGTCACCTGGACGACGAGAACCACTACCTCGCCTCTCGGCAGAACCTCATCCTTGCGAGAACACGCGAGAGGATATCTTCCCTGGCCAATTGCAACGATTCAAGCGACGAAGACGTGGTGGCATTTCTGTTCCTGGCTCTTGCCGAGTACTGCACCGGCAACCGACAAATTGGTCTTATGCACTTCAAAGCCTGGAGAGAATACTGCGAGATGCGGCGGGTTTTTGTCATTCGGCCATGCGGACTGCCCTGTAAAACCATTGTCTGGTGGTGTGTCTCGGTGATGTGTGAGGACGATGTTTCCCTGGATGGGATCATTAACCCCACCACTAGAGCAAGGATACGCGAGGATCCGGGAAAGCTGTTCAGGTATTATGAGTCTTTGAACGGCGCAGGGTACGTCGACATGGCGCAACTGTCTCGTCCGGAGCTTTGTGAAAGGCGTATCACTTGTTGAGGCGGTGGGCTTCTATTGGAGCCGGCTCCATTTGAGGAGAGCAGTTCTGAAGCCGATCATATTCTACCGCCCTGGCAAGATGACATTATTCCCCAGGATGGCTTCGGCCATGGCCCATACAGGCAGAGATGAGTCCGCGGATGAATGCATCCCCGCAATCTGATCCTCACGACGAATTGAGGAACCCCGGAATCATGACATCCTATCTGGTCGTCCTCTCAGATAAAACCCTGGTGCCAAATCTGAGAGCGACACAGGCCATGCATACGATTGGCTACTCGGCGGGCCCCGGGTTTCAATGTGGACCAATGTCGTCGCATCGGCTTGGATTCGGTCGTGACATCCTTCACGGACTGCTCGTGTGCGACAGAAACGCGTTGGCAGGCGCATGTCAGAGACTGCACAGTGACTGTGGAGGGTGAGCAAGACCTTGTGCCGTCAATCTCTGAGAAAGTGTGCACCGTGTGTATACCTGGGTGAGTAGTGGTCTGAAGGTACCCGGCATCCTCCAAAATCCAAACACAATCGACCTGCATCAGCTCACCAAAGGGAAAACGCGCAGTTCTATCGTACATAGCGCCAAGACATACTCTCCAAAAGCAGCGATAATGATGACTAATGAATGGCCGCCCAGGTGCAGCCTCCGCCCACCCCACTGCCAATGTCCAAACCTGCCACTCACCGAAGACACGGACACGGTCGCACGCGGTCGTGCTAGAGTTCACTCGCGTCTACTGCAAACGAATTCCTGCCTCGCTCGGTTCCACGGAAATGCCTACCATTCATCCTGTGCCGACAGCCTAGACTCGATAGAGCGGCGCACTTCGCAGCCCTGCTGCCAGAAGTAGAGTCACAATCTCTCCCACTCGTACTGCCGACGACCCTGCAGAATGAAATGCGGTCAGAGGTCCAATACTGCTCGAATTGCTATTAGATGTACCAGGAGACCCCACGCGCATTTCGCTCACCAGTTGTTATCGGACCGCCTCGTGTCGTGTCGACGGGAACACGGATGGAGTGATCGGCGGCACTGAGGCCACATGGAAATACACAGTGGTCGAAAGTGAGTTTCCATGCTGACACTCAAGTACAAAGCAGAGCGCAACGAGCGATCCAGCTATCCGCGACGTACTCTTGCCTGCCTAGCGGACTTGTCAGCCTTTCGCCAGGCCATAAGGATCGATCTGCAGGTACGGAAATACACGAGCGCAAGTACCCAAGTCTGGTAATGGAAGTTGGAATTGTCTTCGACGCTCTTCGGCCAGCCTTGGCCCTGCAGCCTCTCCCCCACCGAGATGCAGACCCAAACTCGACTTGCGCATTTCCCGGCCCGATCCCCCCTCGGACGTGATATTCGCCCGACATCAGTAAGCTGTGCTTTCAACTCTGATCAAATCATTTCGGCTTTCGACTTCAAGCTTATACGCTTGATTTATCAAGCAGCAAGCGGTCGGCACGCTCGTTCACGCTGTGTACGGCCTGACTCTTAAAATTGCCAATGTCGGTAGGCATTGTCGGGAGCCATCAGGAAGCCAGTGTTGATTCGCCTGAAGAAGAGGCTCGCCTTCCGGACAAACTCCACTCGTCCACAAACACATCGCTGAATCCATCAGACACAGCCGAATGTCGTCAATATCAACCAATCATATGCGCTCGACGCAGCGTTGCTGACCAATACCAGCAGCGACTGGCACTAGCAAGCACCTCGGTAATCGTTTGCGCTTATCACAGTGGTGGCCCGGACTGGATGGGTGGATTGTGCCTGTCGATCTTCCACGGATACAATTTTCCAGCGGCCATATATATATTTTCCTTCGTTGTGTGCCGCTGCTGCTTGCACCATCCGCAACACCATAAACCCTTTTGTACCACAGCCGATCGACGACTGCCAGTTTTCCAGATTAACGCAACACCAGCTCATCAAGTCTCCTTGGACACCACTGATAACAAAACCTCATCGAGAAGAATTACCAATCATGGGCTCCCTCTCCCCCACGCACTCCTCGCGCCTCTTCGAGCCCATCAAACTAGGCAACCTCACCCTGCAACACCGCCTCGCCATGGCACCCCTGACGCGGTTCCGCGCCGACGACTCACACGTGCAGCTTCCCTTCACGGCGACGTACTATCAGCAACGCGCTTCCGTCCCGGGCACGCTCATCATCACCGAAGCGACGTTCATTTCAGCCAAGGCAGGCGGCTATCCCAACGTCCCGGGCATCTACACCCCGGAACAAATTGCCGCGTGGCGAAAAGTCACCGACGCCGTCCACGCCAAGGGATCCTACATCTATTTGCAACTGTGGGCACTGGGCCGGGCCGCGAACCCCAAGGTCCTCGAGGCGGAGGGGCCCTTCGACGTGGTCTCCGCGTCCGACATCCCGATCGACAGTGACCATGCCCAACCGCGACCCCTGACCAAGGAGGAGATCAAATCCTTCGTGCAGGATTATGCGCAAGCCGCGCGCAATGCCATTGAAGCGGGCTTTGACGGTGTCGAGATCCACGGCGCCAACGGCTACCTGATCGACCAGTTCTTGCAGGACACGGCCAATCGGCGGACGGACGAGTATGGCGGCAGCATTGAGAACCGGTCGCGCTTTGCGCTCGAGGTGACCAAGGCCGTGGTCGACGCCGTGGGCGCCGCCAAGGTCGGCATCCGTTTGTCGCCCTTCAGCTCCTTCCAGGGCATGAAGATGCAGGATCCGTACCCGCAATTCACGCACGTGATGCAAGGCCTGAAGAAGTTCAACCTCGCATACGTCCATCTGGTGGAATCGAGGGTGTCCGGAAACGCCGACATCGAGGGCACGGAGAAGGTCGACCCTCTTCTCGACGTGTGGGGCAACGCCTCCCCCGTGCTGCTCGCCGGAGGCTTCCGACCCGCGTCCGCGAAGCGCGCCGTGGATGAGGAGTACAAGGACCGGGACATTGTCATAGTCTTCGGACGATATTTCATTTCCACGCCAGACTTGCCCTTCAGGATCGCCAACGACATCGAGCTCGCTCCCTACGACAGGGAAAAGTTTTACAACCCCAAGTCGGAGTCCGGATACATCGACTATCCCTTCAGCAAGGAGTTTGAGCAGGCGAACAGCAGACTCTAGAGCAAGGATAGAGCGGGTGGCATAGATTTAGACCATCAAGATGTTATGATATAATGATATGCATTTCGCATCGCTGCCAGGACGCTAAGACTATGTTCTACACTCGTGGGTGTTAGTAGACGTTCCCTGCTCGGGAGGCACAGAACAGCCAACATAAGAATACGTGCACCAGATCGAAGGCGTGTGCGTTAAACCCCAAAGATGTTATGCTCACATCTCAGCATCTGCTGAACCGGCCTGTGGTGCGGCGTCATGTGTCCTCCTGAATCCACGTAGACCCGCCTCTCGAAGGACAGATCAAGATCCTGCCCATCACCACCTGGCCGATGATCTTTGTATTTGGCCTTGGCCAAATCTTCGGAAAGTATCTGCTCAACAATCTCCTTGGCAGTAACCGGGTGACGATACTCGTAGCCCAAAATTGCGCCGAGTTTGCGCATCTCGAGGGCTGGCGGACCTGTGACTGGGTCTCGCAAGATGATGTCCCTTGGCCTCTTCTTTTCCTTTCTTTTTGGCTTCGGCTTGGTGTTTTCCATCGCACCATTCTCCGGGGGCGGGTCAACATGGCCACCGATTTCGACGAGTGTGGCTCCAGTGCTAGGAGCACCGTTCACGATGGCTGGCAACAGAGGATTCTTCAACCCTCTGACAGGTTGGAGATCGGCATCCGGGACAGGGACATCCTGGTGCGGAGCGACCTTCAAGCCCATTGAAGGAACAATGTGCTGACCTTCCTGTTGATGTTGGCTCGCTTGAGTGGATTTGCTCTTCGACGGCTGAACTGCATTTTCCATGGCGGTGGGCGGCCTAGCTTCTTCCACAGTGGTCGCAGTATCAATGTCAGAGATCGGTTCTTCTTCCTGGAAGTATTTTGTGTCTTCCCAGCCTTTGACGCGGGGAATGTAGGGCGGTCGTCGGAGGTGCATGGTATCCCAGTCAATTCCTCGGAAGAATGCATGGCGCTTGATGTCTTCCGCGTCTCCATCGTAAACAAATTGCCCTTGATAGTCCTGATGAGTCTTGTCCGCGTCCTGGCGGACCATTTTGCCATCCTGGATCTTTCGGCAATAGTCGTTGAATTGGTACTGGCGGCTACAGAGCCGTTTCTCCTTCTCCACAAGAATTGACATCATAAGATCCAAGGCTTCGATGCTCGGTTCTGGTACGTCCTGCGGCTGCGGAAAGATGAGGGTCTTCTTGTGCGAAAGGATTTTGAGCTTGGTCTGGTGGCGGTCGTCGCAGGCGAACGGCGTGTAACCATAGAGGCATTCATACATGATAATGGCGATGCTCCACTAGTCGCACCGCCCATCGTACATTTCGCCACGAATGACTTCAGGAGCCGTGTATTGCGAAGTGCCAACGACGGATCGGGCCAGTTTGCGACGCTGGGACCGGTTCCGGAAATCCAAGATGGGCTCGCCAACGGCAGGATTCCCATGAGACATGGAATCCTCCTTACCACATCTCTTACCGGCATGATGTGGCTGTGCTTGCTTCTCTTGCTTGTCCTGCTCGTCGCCATCAGTGTTGACGCCCAACTCTTCCAATAGTGATTGGCGGATTTGATGATAGAATCGTTGATCGTGCGACCATTCCCCATCGAACGCGAGACCGAAGTCGGAAATCTTCAGATGGCCATCCCAGGCTATGAGGAAATTGTCCGGCTTCACATCGCGGTGAATCCATTTCATGCGATGGGCTTCCTCGACGCAAAGGATCATCTCGGCAACGTACCATTTTGTCGTATCTTCGTTGAGAACATTCTTTCGGATGAGCAATCCCAGGAAATCGCCTCCGATGCAGTACTCCATGACGAGATACAAGTGTCTCCGATCCTGGAAGGCAGCGATTAATGGGATGATCCATCTGGAACCCTCTGCTGCGACAAGGAAATCACGCTCCGCCCGGAGATGTCCCTCTTGGCTGTTCCGGATCATGTCGGACTTGCGTATAACTTTCATTGCGTAAACTTCCATCTTTGGCGGGGCAGAACTTCTTCGCCTGCTCAAAAACGACGATTTCAAATTTGGCCGCGAAGGCTTATTGGCAGGTAACTTTCCCGTCAGCTTGCCCTCGGTAGCTCCGGCTTCATCTTTGCTACCCGGACCTTTGACAAGTCGGACTATCCCGAAACTCCCTTTGCCGAGGACACTGATGGTGTTGAAGCCACCCGGACTGATGCCTCTGCTTGCTTTGGCTTGACTCGTTGTGTTTTTGAGAACGCGGACTTGACGGAGATTGTCACTCTCGGCCTTTTCCCAGGCTTTTCGAGCTCGGTCTTGACTCTCGAGAGGCAGGTGATGCTCTTTGATCATCCTCTCCAGGTCTCGATGGCGAAGTTTCCTGGTAGAGGTGCCGTTCAGCAAAGAATTGAAGTGCAGCTCCAGGTACATCTTCGCCGTGGCAGCGGCTTCGACTGTTTTGATAGTGAGAATGGGGAGACTGGTGGTCTCTGGGATTGGAGCCAACAATCGACTTTCTGTCACGATCGGATGCCTCTCAATGTCAAAAGAGTCCACGCTATCACGACGAACAACGGACTGTGGCGTTGGTGGATGAGAGGTTAGTGGAGTCGACGTGTTGGTATGAGTTTCCCAGAAGCTGTTGACACTGTTGATGGTAGATGGCGTCGGCGAAAGCTGCGTTGAGGTTGCTGCTGCAGACTCCTTTGCCAGTGTTTGTACGCTGGGCCTAGAGCGCATGTTGGCTCTCTTTACCACAGTGCAGTTTGCGTTGCCAAATGCTTGTCGGAATCTTTGACTGACACGGCGCTGCAGCCCCGGGGCAGAATGGCTGCGCTTGCTACTATCCAGCGAGCCAGAGAAGTTGTATTCGTCGTCTTCAACTCTGGTGTGGACACCAGGAGTCACGGGGGCACTTTTGATGAGATCGGAGACTGACGTGGCATCTTGATCTCCTTCATTAACATGAGGCATTGCCGTTAGGCGAATCTTCAGTGGTTGGTGCACAGTCGTTGTGTTGGAGCCGTTGGCAAGCGTGTACGCAGAATGGGTGGCTTGTGTCACTGAATACATAGCATCAATGTTGTGTTGGACACTGCTTCTTTCACCCATGCTCAACATTGCCTTGACCCTCTTCTTGAGCTGCTCTTTCACGCTAACCTTCGATTGTCCAGTGCCTGTGGAATCCACCGAGGGCGAGCCTGGGCCGTCAAAGACATGATTCAGCTTTGATTTCTTGGAGGTCCGCGGGTTGAATGGGCGGGCGCAGATGGCGGGAGGCTGAGAGAGGTCTGAGGGTCGTCGCTTTCGATTCCAGGCCGGAGGAAACGTCATTGCATCGACCAAGTGGGGAGGACTTGGACCAAGTAGAGACTACTTGCTGGGTTATGTATGCATGGCATAGCAATGAACTCTAAGTGAAGCCGAAGTGAGAGTTGTGGATGATGCTAATGGTAGGTTGAAGCAAGCAAGCAGAACATGACAGGCCTTTTAGGAGTGTAAGAACCCAGGCTAGAACAGGCGCGCTTACCTTGAGGTTACAAGCAAGCGGTGAAGGAAAGGCAGGAGTGGCCAAGTCAGCGTGTAAGGAGCGATCACCGTACTGTACGTGAAAAGTTCAAGTTGAGGCGTGCTGCCCTCAGTAGTCGAATACAACACGAGGAAGGCCCCTCTCGGTAATTGCATGTTGCACATCCCTCTTCAGCACTGCAAGTGCTTTCTCCCAGGCCAGGTGGGTGTCTTCGGTGTCGAACTTCTCGTGGTCTAAGAGCATTCCAAGCCAGTTTACCACCGCGACAGCCTTGGCCATATCCCGCTCGACAGACACGACCTTGCATAAGTACTCTGAGAGTGCGGTCACATCTTCTGAATCAGGACCATCACCATCAACAGAGAATTCTTTCACCCAGGCCGAGATCGCGTCTCTCAGCTCGGGCAGAGAGCTCAGCTTTCGAGAAGTAAATGTCGGCTTATCAGGCAGCTTTGGTAGCTGTAACTTTTGTTGACCTCGTGCAGTCGCGTCTGCTTGAGCTGTGACTTTCGGTCGTTTCTTGGTATCGAAATATAACCCCGATCTGGCTTCCATCCGGTTCCTTTTCTGCTCTGCGATAATTTCCGCTCGGATGTCCGGGGGAAGCTCATCGAGGAGGGATTCAGATATTTCTTCCAGAGGGTACGCATTAGACGGTGATTCACCCCTTCCTAATCTCGCCACGGGCCCAAAGTTTGACTGGATTAGGGTAGAAGAAGAGTCTGCAGGTTGCTTTGACCTAGCCTTGCTAAACAACGAGGCCGTCTTCTGCTTCTTACTTGGGGTCACAACTAGTTTCTTGGACACACCGAGAGTCCTGGGTTTTTGGGGGGATTGTGGGAGTAAGCTTTGATGCGTGGGGGTTCCGCTCCTTTTCCCTTGCTGTGTATAGTGGGCCAATATTTCCTCCCTAACGTCTGGGGGAAGAGCAGCCAGAATCTCAGGATCAAGTTGACTCTGGTTCGGTAGTGCAGCGTCATTGTCGGTGGGGTACGGAGAGACGGAGCGTGATATAGGCTCATCGGAAGGCAAAGCGGGTTGGACGGACTTGTTCATGATATCGAGTATACTCTTCTGTTTGGGGGGCAACTTATTTCTGATATCTGCCGGTAATTCGGCCAACACCGCTGGGTCGATTTGTGACGGGAGGACGAACTGGGTTCCGCTCACATTCAGAGGCTTCTGCAAAGAATCATCTTCCTCGATGGTGGGATGAGCATCGGCGGCACCCAGAATGGCTGCGTTGGGCTTCGGCTTCTCCGGTGTAGGAACCTCCTCAATCGGATCAACAGCGTCCTTGATTCGCGGTGTACGAGCAGACGCCTTCTTGCCTTGTTCTGACGGCACCGGGGATGCTGGTGTTGGGTTCTCCGGTTTCTTGAACTGTAACCTCCGCTGACTGCTGTCCATGAAACCGCCAGGGCCGGCCATAGATGGCTTCAATGGCTCTAGTTTCTGCATCTGCACCCCCAGTCCACGGAGCTCTCCTGGAGGAAAATTGTAGCTACGCAAGATGGCAATTGCTTCTTTCCCGATCACTGCTCCGTCGTTTGTGGCAACTCCTAGCACCACACTTTTGTTGAATGTGTCGCACTTGCCATGCCCAAGATTTTTCGGAGGATCGAGCCCAGCATCGGCGGCTTTTCGCATGATCTTCATGGTGAGCTGTCTCCCCTTGACCAACTGCTCGAGGAGGCGCCGTGACAGCTCATCAGTCAGGCTCTGAACAAATTCTTCCGCTTGCTGCTGGTTGACGAATCGAATCCCCCAGTTGATCTCTGCTGAAACTGACTTACGGACGACTTGATCGCCCACTGCTTGCTTGTCGATTCCCCGGGAGTACTCCCATATCTTCTCGCCGGTTTTCGGTCCCAGAGTGTTGATGAGCTTCTCTTTTGTCAACACCCTGATATCCTTGACAAACTTCACTCCAATTTCCTCAAGTTTGTTGCCAATACTCCATGCAACGCCAGGCAAGTCCGTGACCGACAATTCACCAATGAATTCTAACACGTCGTCGGGTTTGATGAGATGTTGTCCAGCAGGTTTTGCTTTCCGTAATGCCACCTTGGCAAGTAATATATTACCGCCAATTCCGACAGATACATCACAGCCAGTTTTCTCCTTCACAGCAGCCCGTAAATCTCGCGCCAAATGCTGAGCGTGCTCTTGTTCGCGGTATAAGGAGCCTTCTGAAATTCCCTTGCCATCAGATCCGCCAGCCTTGATACATTGTTCGCTGACATCGAGAAGAGCCTCGTCAATGCTGATACTTTGCACCACACCATCAACCGCAAGGATGCAGTCGTAGAACTGGCGGCTTGCTTCTTCGTAAGCATTGTAGTCGTACGGTAGGATTTTGAGGTTTGGACACATGCTAAGTGCAGCCTTCATCCACATGCCATTCTTGATGCCGTATTTCCTAGCAGGATAATTGCAGCTTGCAATCTCCGACCCGGGCCCGCTGCCATGTGCGATGACTACAGGCTTATCGACCAACTGCGGGTGTTTTTGGAGAGACACGGCGGCGAAGAAGCTATCGAAGTCAACATGCATGATGTACCGTCTCGCACCAGGCGCTCTTTTCGGCTTCACCAGCTGCGAGGATAGTTTCTCTTGTGCACGTGCCTGCATCTGCGCTTTCAGCTCGGCTTTCCAGGATGATAGATGGTGTAACCTCGATTCGCGGTAGTATTGATTGATGAAGTCAGGGTTTGCAGTGCTGGATTTAGCCATATGGGGATTGGAGAGCAGGATAGAGTTGTGTTCTTCGGCTGTGAGCTCGCGTTTTTCGGGTTTGAGTGCATCTCTTGACTCTGGTGCGAGTGGACCGTGTCCTTTCACGGGGTTTTGTGCATGCATCAAGCCATCTCCGGGGGAATCGGGCGCATCGAAATTCGCGTTGCCGGCGACTCCCCCGGTGGAAGCATCCTCTCCAGCTCTGCTGATTGCCGATGAATCAGCAGGTGAACGATTTTGCTCCTGCTGATTCTGGCGCAATTGCGTGGCATACCAACCCGTTTCGGAGTGTTCTCTATAGCTTCTCGGCTGACTGTTCGCCTGGCTTACCATATGGCCGCTTTCGAAGCCCAGCACCTTCTGCGTGACGCCTTCGTCGACCAGCCTATAGGCATCCCAGGGCAACAACTTTCCTGCCTTGACACTGTCGACTACCCAAGCTGGCTTGACAACGCGGTATTTCCCAAACTCAACCGTCTTCTTGGGCGTGAGATGGCTGGCAATGACATGTGTAGCAGAAGTCTTCGCGTCAAGGTATTGAAGGAAGCCGCCCCCATGGCTTACGACGAGGTTGTGTAGGTCGCTCAAGGGCGGTTGGGTGTAGCCATTGACGTGGACGACTACTCCGCAAAAGATAGGAGGCTTGTCTGCCGAGTTGGCGCGTATCTCAACATCAAGATTCTGCAGCTTGATCTTCTTCCTCCGCATGTAGTCGGCAAACCCGCCGAACTTTGAGCCTTCATATTCCTCTCCCTGCTCGTCGCTGAAGGTGTGGCTCTCGATGCGCTTTCGAACCAAGCTGGAATTTTTCTCTAGTCGGGAGCCCATGGCGGCCTTCGCAACATCATGATGATCGCAGCAACGACATGTGGATTAGCCCGCTCCTGGAATTTCGTGGTCGATCGGGATTGTTTGTCGAGTAGGAGTGAGCAAGAGGCGAGTTTGTGGCGCGTCATGGCCGCGACTGGCATTTCGCATTTCGCAGGCACAGGCAGCACGCCCCACTCTAAACCTTAAAAGTCTAAAGGCTTATCGATAAGCCGTTGCGGAGGTAGCGAGGTAGCAGCCTCGATACCAAATTAAGATTTCACTTTTTTTTCTTGAGTTCTTGAACGTCGTGAACCGCAATTTCAACGTTGCAGACTTGTGCACAGCAACGTCCTCTCAGATATTCTTCTCTTTTCTCATACTTCAACTTTCCATTACCACACATCGCTGGTTTCGTCAAAATGTCCGGAATCCAGCCCGTGGCGGTCTACGCGATGCGAGTCCCTCCGGGCGACATCATGGTTCCTGCCGTCCCCGAGTTTGCAGCTATGGTGAGACTCACATTTTGCTTCCATATTCACGACTGGGGTCATACTAACTTCGCCAAAGTTCCGTGTAACGATGGCTGCAATCGATCCAAGCGCAGAGCCTGAGCTCGAAGATCCCGATGACAAGCGTCCGCCTCGAGCAACCCTGAAGCTGGTCCGCGTCCCCGATGGTATGCTCGATGACGATGATGACGATTCGGATGACGAAGACTTCGGCCTCGACGACGATGACGACGATGACGATGACGATGAGGACGAGGACGAAGAAGTCAACGGTGGTCCCAGCGAGAAGAAGTCCAAAACCAAATCTCTGGATGAGGACGCGGACATGGAAGACGAGGACGAGGATGAGGATGAGGATGAAGACGATGACGCGGAAGCCGTCGCACAGCTGGCCGAGATCATGAAGCTTGCTAAGGGCAAAGGAAAGGCTAAGGCTGTGGATGGCGACGATGATGCTGATGATGAGGATGATTCGGACGACGAGTCTCTTGAGATGGACGAGGTTGTGATCTGCACTCTTGACCCCGAGAAGGTATGACGTCCGCCTCCCGATCTGGTATTGCAAACTAATGTACACAGAACTTCCAGCAAACTCTGGATTTCGTCGTTGGGGAAGGTGAAAAGGTCTTCTTCAAAGTCTCTGGTACCCACACTGTTCACCTTACTGGCAACTATGTCATCCCTCAAGACGATGGCTCCGCTTCCCTGTATGATGAAGAAGATGACGAACAGGACTACGATCTTTCACCCGATGAGGATGAGCTCGATGCCCTTGAAGACGCCGATGAAGAGTCCGACGCTCTTGATGACCTTGAGGACCCACGCATTGCCGAAGTCGACTCCGAGGAAGAAGAGGCTCTCAACGTTGTCAAAGGCACTGGTAAGGGCAAGAATAAGCGTCCCGCCGATGACGAAGACGAAGATGAAGGAGACAACCTCGACGACATCATGGCCAAGTCTCTCAAGAAGGATGACAAGCTCGAACAGACCGCAGCTGCAACTACCAACGGTGAAGCAGCTAAGAAGCTTAGCAAAGCCGAGAAGAAGCGTCTCAAGAAGCTCAAAAAGAATGACGGCGAAGCTGTTGCAGTTGATGCCACTACTCCTGAGGGAAAGAAGGAAGCAGCACAGACTAATGGAGATTCGGAGAAGAAAGTTCAGTTCGCAAAGAATCTTGTGCAAGGTCCAACCCCATCGGCTACCCCTGCAGCCAAGTCCGACAGCAAGCCTTCGGCAGGCGGCAAAGAGAAGTCTGCCTCGGTTGGTGTTAAGGACATCCAAGGCGTCACCGTTGACGACCGCAAGATCGGGAATGGTCCAGCGGCAAAGAAGGGCAGCCGCTTGGAGATGCGCTACATTGGCAAACTCGACAATGGTTCTGTCTTCGACAGCAACAAGTCGGGCAAACCCTTCAGCTTCAAACTTGGTGCTGGCGAGGTCATCAAAGGATGGGACATCGGACTCCAGGGCATCCAGGTCGGTGGTGAGCGTCGGTTGATCATCCCAGCTCACCTGGCGTACGGCAACAAGGCTCTGCCTGGCATCCCCAAGAACAGCAAGTTGACTTTTGACATCAAGTGCCTGGCCGTGAAATGAGTATGATCTGTCTGTGGCCGAGGAATCTATGGTAGTCAACCCGTACAGCAAGTCCTGGTACGATCAAGTCCTCATGGCCTGTGGGAGATGACAAGTGAGAGGCTGTCCCGGCGATTTTTGAAGAAGCTTTTTTAAAGTCTGGTCTGCAACACTCAAAAAGGTATGGCGTTCAGCGGATCATCAAAGAAAAGTTCATTGCGATTCTACGAGGGACGAGGACAGTGCAAAGATCCTTGTATGCTCGAGTGAGCTGAGCATGCTTTCAGCGAGGAGCTTGAGATACCCCAATCTGTACTTGTACATAGACTTGACACGGAAGGCGTGCTTGATCATACGAGCTGGAGGAAATTGTAATCAAATGCATGGAAACGTCTCTGGCACAAGCTCAATCCAGAATGGTAGATTTCGCTGTCCATTGAGGCGTTCACCGTTTCTCCTGATGCATAATAGAAGTCCAACACATCTCGAGAAGCCGTGAACTTATCGTCTGGTTTCTACGCTAGCGGTCCCAATTGCAGTCATGACGACTGCCTACACCATGCTATATGAAGACGATCTCGGGTGATATTACCGTTGTGCACGTCCTTCGGGTCCATATCTCTCACTAGGATGTGACGCCAATGCAGTAGGCTTTGAAGATGTGAACTTTATAAGAGACAGCACCGGGAAGCGAGAATCCAGACGTCTAAGTCCTCGTGAAATGTCCACTGACGAATTAGAAGAATCAACCATGTTCGTATCTGACTCCGAGGAGGTATGATTTATCACTGAGGAAAATCCACATCTAGACAGAGTACAGGGTAAGAACATGAGGATGAATCAAAGTTACTGCTTCCGACTCATCCCTTGATTCGTCCTCCTACACTGCTCCTTCCAGCTTGGGGATCCACGGCGTCCTATGGTTCAAATATAGCTGCATGGCGGGCCTGTCTTTGAGGATCTCGATCGGATCGTCCGAAGTGCCCGCCTCCCGCGGTCTGGTACTGTAAGCGCTGATCGAGACTGACGCGGGTGTACTGTAACTCACCTGTAGGACGACAATGTCTTTCCACTCCTCACTACGCCGCTCCGCGTACATAGATCTATCTACCGCAGTGCGGACAGAAGAGGATGCTAAAGGTGGACGGTACCTTTCCCGAGCCGTCATGGGCGTCTATAGGGATCTCAGCTCCGTGAGTAAGTTTGCCACGGAGACAGCTGCCAACAGTCATGTTATCCGTGCATGGTATATGCTTGAAGTGCTTGCGCTGTTTGATGCAATGTCGAGGAAAGTCACGTCCTCAGCCATGGCCCAGGTACATGGAAGAGCATGATATCAGACTGTAGATCACAGATCACCTGTAATATAAAATGTGCAGGACCGAGTCACCAATATATTGGACGGCAAAAGCCATGAGTGACCTGGCTCGGCGCCAGAAGCGTTACAGATGGTGAAACCCCTGTCGAACACGGTACTGGGCGTCTGATATCTTCTGATCATTCCTCCGCGGAAGGGATGATTATGCACAGAGAGAAGTAGGAAAATATCAGAGGCGCAGATGATCCAGTTGCAAGATAAATCCTGGTCATTCCCAGCATTTGTAATACACCGGGTGAAAGCCTCCGAAGCCGTCTAATACACACACACTGGCTCATGTGTTGGTACAATTGCGCCTCCCCTCCGCCAATGGCCCGAAGCTGCTTCGAATGTCTTGCTTCCTTGAAGTGCTCTCACGACAGCTCGCTCGTGACGTTGGAGAACTCGCCTTTCTCGAGTTTGGTTTGCCAGAAGATGGGATTCGTGTCGGAGAAGCCGTGTTTGACCCAACCATCCTCCTTCACGTGGTAGAGATTGATGTAGCCACCGGAGTAAGCATCTCTGTGCGTAGCCGCCAGAATACTGCGTCTGCCCAATTCAAGAGCCTCGTCATCTTCCAGATCATATTTGTAAAGGGCATCCAGCACGCCATAGGCGAATGTCTGACCAGACCCGACGCAGAAAAGGTTACCAGCCAGTCGTGTTCCATCTGAGTCTATGTAATACAGCGCAGGTCCTTCTTGAGGTGTTACACCGGTAATCATCGTGCCCATCGACAGTCCCATGCCCTTGTATGAGTAGACGAGGTTTGCCAGAATCTTGGAGGCCGCTGCCACCGAAATCCGTCGCTTGTGGTGGAGCTCATGCAACCGGCATTGTACACCGAGATATGCCAACCAGTATTGGCAGTCCTAGTTACTGTCAATGGAGGTGATAGATGAACAGCGGATGTTGACCTACAGCAGCTCCTCCAGCCATGGTTCCCAGCAGCATAGGGTTGATCTCTATGACCTTCTTGACTGTCTGTGAAGCAATCCAATTACCGGCCGTAGCTCTTGAATCGGTTGCGACGATGATTCCTCCCTTGAATCTGAAAGCTAGCGTTGTCGTGCCGTGGGCAATCTTGATCGGGCAATTGGGGTTGGAGTGATCGTCTGTGGTCGCGCGCAGGAAAGCAGATGGCCGAGGGATAGGTGGTAAGGCAAATTTAAGGGACAAAGGAGGTACTGTCTCGCAGAAGTCATTCTGTTCGTCTGAGCTGAAGCCTTCGTTGGCAAAGGGAGATTGGGTGTATTGAGCAACGAGGGTGTCCATGATTACAAGCCGCAGGGCTAGAAAACAGGCCGCGACGGGTTTATGATGAGTGAGTCAAGGAGAGACCCTGGAATAGAAGTGAGAATTGGTGTTGGTACAGAAACAAGAAAGGAAGAAACAAGTGGCTGCAGCAAGGCAGGAAGAGATGATGAAGGGATTGAATGCGATACGAAGCTCAGGTTCCTGAATGATTCGCGTCGCATGATGGCGCCTGATGTTGCCGGAACGGAGTCACGTGATAATTCGGTGGAGTGCAGATGCCCAGAAATGCTTCTCTTGTCATCACACTGTTTACTTTGGACTCACATTCGTCTCATCTACCTCTCATAATGTACAAGGTCCGCCATGTCCCAAGCGTTGTATTAGTAGACTTCAGCAAAGAAGCGGAGATGTATGCATAGTTCGACCGTCAACCACCAAAATATTTCGGTCATGCACTTCTTTCAACCAGAGAGCGAGCACAAACGTGCAGCGCCACCAAGACACCAATGCTGCTCGAGTACGGCTTCGTCTAACAAGACTTCTCAACATTTCGAGTACATGCAAGTGCATCATATCCAGCTATTTGACATCGTTCCTGCTCACCAAGCGCTGAGGCATGTTGGACAATGCACCCCAAGGCAGCGTCGGCCCATTGACTGGCTACACCGGACCTTCAGGCCCCCAAAGACCCCGGCCAGTGGCTGTGGCGTTACCACCTGTCAAAAGTACTGCTTGTGCTAGATACTCGTATAAACCGTGTCTGCATACTGTTCTCCTCGACTTGCCTTTCACAGCTGGAAAGCAGATGGCACAGGATCAGTGGTCCACACCTATACACAGCGTCGGGTATTCGACCAATCGGAATACCCGAATCGACAGTAGAACCCCTATGCCTTGCTGCGGCTGGGAGTCAGCCCAGCATCGTGCATGATGCGGTCAGTTGAATGCTAGCGAGGGATACGACTGCAAGCCAACGCTACCGGCGACCCGTAGACGAATTCAATACGAGGAGTGGAAAAGCTAGGTAAGTAACGTTTACTACTGGACGATGTTCTCTTTGTCCAACCCTCTTGATGGAGAACTACATCTCTTCAGGAATGCTGGAGGCGCTAGGCGTCTCCCACACATCTTCCCAATCTCGTCAGTTGCTGGCCATTGCGAAACCAGACCAGCGTATTGCGGCCCTTGGCATACCGGCCTTCAGAGCGATCCGCCATGCGAATAGTGAGCTTGGACTTCCTCGCAGGGCCCACAGACGCACTGAAACAGTTTGCCAACGTGAGCTTCAACGTCTTCGGCTTGCCTCCGCCTCCTCAGGACGGAACCGTCGTGTGGCAATCAGAAGTGTTCCTCGGTGTGGCGTTCCAGAGAGACGCAGCGGCGTTGAGGCTCGCGGAGGACTTCGCTGGAAACCCGGCACTTGAAGGTGTGCCTGTACTGGCAAGTGCGATGAAAGGATATGAGTTCAACTTTGATTCAGGGAAGTTAGCGGATGGAAAGCGGGAAGATAGGAAGAAAGATGAGTTGTGACATTGAAAGGTTGGGTTGGCGCTCGTTACCGAGGATGTTAAGGCCAGTTGATAGACAGGGCCCAGTTAAAGCGAGATAGCCATTCTGCAGAGCCAATCTGTTCGCTGATGAATCCGCTGCCTGGTCTTTCAAAACATCGAGCTCCCCATAGCATCAGTACAATGGAGCTTTGTTCGCATAACACAGCAGCTACATAAGTGCGAGACAAGGCTGACAATGCCAAGCCACAGCCTCGTGAGCTTCGATTGGGTGGAGCCGATTTGATCGCGTTCAAGTCGCGCCTCAGTTTTGGTGTCGCATATGCAACGACGGCCTCCACAACTGTGAGAGCTCTAGCGCTGTTGCAATTCACCTCGTCCGGGCCTCCCCTTAAGCTACTGCTTCTCGGGATGAATCAAATGATGAAAGATCCTGCAGCCGGAGTGCCGGCGCAGCTGGTAAGTTGAAAAATCCCCAGTACTGGCGACACAACTGATCATTCAAATAGTTGCCGCATCTGCACCTTGTCTCCAAGTATCGCTATCCTATCACCAGCAATCCTGCTGTCGATACAATTGTCGGCTACCTTTTGGAGGCGCCGAAGATCGTGCGCGACCTCCAGCCGATGCAATGGCAGTTCATCGACACTCCTCCCGACGGCTCATTGATCCTCGAGTGGCAACCGCTCGAGTATCTAGGCACAAGCTATGCGAGTGATGGCTTCATCTGGGCAGATGTGGAACACGTTTACAAATCCGAAGTCAGGGGTTATGTAGGTTGCATGTAAGGATACCGCAGGCATGGCTAATGGCGTTCCCATAGACTCTCGAAATGCTTCTACAACGAGCAGGCTACCGAGCATCCGGTGAGGCCATGGCGACTCACTGCAGGAGACGATACCGGCTTCTTCCAGGAAACCCCACTCATGGACTGCCAAATCCTGATCCCAGTCTATGGCTCACCCACTACTCAAAGGCCTCAGCGCGCGATCATGTTCCTGCCGCGAGCATCCCAATTCTGCCGCATGTCCATGCGCTGATCCAACAGCGCAGATTGATACAGAGCCAGGGCCAATTGCCGCGAAAGGAATTCATGCTGCACGACCGATCAAATTGGCCCGTCATTCACCTCCCTCCAGGAGTTGCCCGCGCGGCTGCCCAGGGCCAGATTCCTCCGGGCGCCGGCCACAGAAGAGGGGCGAGCATTGCGCAGGAAGCGACATTGGAAGAGGAAGAAGACGTGTCTCGTGGAGATCTGCTTGACTTCATGACGCTTCGGGATATCAGCCGGGTCCGATACGAACAACACCACGAATGGATGGAGGAGATTATCGAGTCACCATATCCGACATTGTCCATCATCCCCAGTGATCTTGGCTTCGGCCGGAAAGGACAGCTTGAAGAGTTGACCAAGGATTTCTTTGACGCCCCAGTAGCCGCGACAAGGGAGCCAAACACCGGACCACCACCGCGAGTGGGTAAAATGCCCTCTGGTCAGGCCGAAGACTTCATCAAACGAGCTTCAGACAAGCTGGTCGCAATGCAAACGGAACTGGAAGAGATGAGGAAGAAGCACGCTCGACGGATGGAGAAGTTACGCCGCTCCACAACATTGACAACAGCGGAGAAAAAGCTGCGCACGGTGTCCAACGGGCCAGAAAGACAGAGTATTTCCAAGGACGCGGCAAACGGGCTCACCGACTCTGCACCCCGTGATGCAATCGACGAGATCATGGGCACTGTAGAAGCAGATATGGGTCAAAAGCTGACAAAGACTACCACCGTGACACTGATATCCAAGGGTGGTTTGGAGGAGCGAAAGCAGATCAGTCCAGCTCCAGTTGCAACCTCGATTCCAACTCTTCCTCGATCCCAGAGTGCGATCAACCCTGCCGTCTCTGTGGATGCCTCGATCCAACAACACGTCCCGCCACAGCCATCACCCAGCATTGCTCAAGAGCAGAAACCTCAACAGGAGGAGATACCTACTCCGGTGGGTGGACCGCAGACGCCGAGTCAGCCAGCACCTGCAGCTGCTGAAGGAGAAAGTCGGCCATCTGCAGCAGAGCCCAGCCAACCCCCTGCCGCGGAGCAGCCGCCTCAACCCGATGCCAATCCTGCCGGTGATGACCTTCCGCAACTGGACGACATAGGGACAGACGTCAACATGGAAGGTATGGTTGATCATGTTGACAGTACCGACCGGGGTGGAGATGAATGGGTGATGATCGGCGAAGATGGAGGCCAGAACGACGATATCCCGGAGATACAGACCGAGGGTGCCCAAGACCTTGTGCAACCCAGCGCCGAAGAGGCTGCCGCACACGCCAGCGGTCACGATACGGACCTCCAACAGCTACCACAAGCTCAGCTCACCCAAGATGCACAATTGAACACGCCTGATTTTGACATGGGGGGCGATTTCGACAATGTTGAGGTGGACACCGCTGGGGACGCGCTCGCCAGCTACGGCAACGACGAAGATCTCAACCTGGAAAACATGGAGGGCTCGGCTTTCGGAGACGCATTCCATACCGAGGACGAGGAAATCTCGTAGCACGAGTTTGACTTGCTGTTCTAGGATTGTTTGGTCGAGCTACCTCTTTGAAGTCTATTGTCAGCACGTGCTGGCCTTGCAGAATGTATCTTTACTGATTTGCTCAAGTTGCTCAAATGCGCCGTGTAAGAACGTCCCACGTGCAAGTGCGACCTGTAAGAAGTCGAGGAAGCAACTCCGCTTGACAGAAATTTCTTCGGCTTGCAACTACTCATTCAGTAGTAGGTGGCTTGGTTCCGCTCCATTGCTGGCGTCTCGTCTGCCATGAACTAGCTCTTTTCACTGCAGGCGAAGAAGAGGATAAGGGATTTCAAGATCCTGTCAAGCGACCCTGCGTGTGCCTTTGTACCGTCTGCCGAACCCCCCGGGAAACTTATCCGGTGCCCCTCTTCGACAATGCTACGCACGCCGTCGCCAAGCAGCCTCTATGGCTTGGTTGATATGGGCAGGTATGGCAGCACTCCTCTCTGGGGCAGATGTGACCACTCAACTTACTGATCGTGGTCGACCATTAACAGCAATGGAATCCGGTTCTCAATCACAGACCTGTCACCTTCATCGGCCCGTTCTTTACCGACGATTTACCAAGACCGTGAGGGTATCTCCTTGTTCGACGCGCAATATTCTACCGGTGTCAAGGGGCCCATCCCACAGGAAACCATCGACGAAGTCCTTATCTCACTGAACAAATTCAAGACCGCGTGCGCCGACTTCGGCGTCCCTGCGACCAATATCAGGGTGCTAGCCACCGAAGCTACCAGGACTGCCGAGAACTCGGTGGACTACCGTCGCCAGATCAAAGATGCAACTGGTTGGGATGTCGACATGCTGCCCAAGGAGGCCGAAGGAAGGATTGGTGCCCTGGGTGTGGCTAGCAGCTTCGCAACTGTCGAGGGGCTAGTAATGGATTTAGGAGGTATGTTCTGTCTGGCCCATCTTCCCAGTTGGCCCAACGCTGACGCTGCTGGGAAGGAGGAAGCACGCAAATCACCTGGATGGTGGCCAAAGACGGCCACATCCAAACCAGCTCGAAAGGCAGCATTTCCTTTCCTTATGGTGCGGCAGCCATGACCCGACAACTGGCAGAACTGCCCGACTCGCCCCCGGATCCCCACGGCCACCACAAGTCGCATTCTCCTGTCATGTCTCCGCGCGAGCTGCTGGCGGACAAAATGAAAGCCCAGTTCAGACAAGCTTTCGAGGAGCTCGATCTTCCCGACCTTTTACACCACAAAGCTAAACATGGAGGACTGACGTTGTATCTCTCGGGAGGCGGATTTCGGGGATGGGGCTACCTGCTCATGTCTCAGCATCGTGTCTCTCCCTACCCAGTTCCCATTATCAATGGGTTCTGTGTCGCGAAGCGCGAATTTCAACAAACGGCCCACATCACCACCCTCGCAGCCGAAGAGTCGGTGTTTCGCATCTCGAAACGTCGCGCTGAGCAGGTGCCCGCGGTGGCATTCCTGGTCAATGTGCTCGTCGAGGCACTGCCGATGATCCAACAAATCCGATTTTGTCAAGGTGGAGTGCGTGAAGGATTCTTATTCGATACCCTTGACGCCAGGACAAAAGCTCTTGATCCGCTTGAGGCGGCCACGGCACAGTACGGGACTTCCTCTGCAGCTGATCTCGCCGCTCTGTTGTGGGATGGGCTTCCGGGCGTCAACAACCTTGACCGGTCATTACCGCAAACCTTTACTCCATCTTTCGTAAGAGCTGTTGCAGACATGATGTATCTACACCTGCCGCTGCCCAAAGAAACCCGCTCGCTCTCGGCCCTACACGCTCCCATCACGGGAGTTCTTGCGTCCGCCCACGGAGTTTCTCATGCAGATCGAGCCATTCTCGCTTTGACGCTTTGTGGACGGTGGAATGACGACGTTCCGCCTCCACACGACAACTTCAAGGCTCGTCTTTACTCCGTCCTGACGCAACAGGAAGGCTTCTGGGCCAAATACCTCGGCGCGTTAGCCGGCCTGGTTGGTACAGTGTACCCTGCCGGCCACGTCGACGCGAAGCACCCACGGTTGAAGTTCTCGGCACGCTGGGCCGATGGTCTGGGCAAAAAGGGGCTGAGTCAGGGGGTGGTCTTGAAGCTGCACTGCCGGCGTGACGATCCGATGACCTGTCCGATGGCGTTGAATTCGCTCGTCAATGAAGTTGAGAAGGTGGGCAAGAAGAAGAACCGCGTCGGCGGAGAACACGGCTATGGAGTGCCGATCGAAGTTGAGATCGAGAGAGATTTGATCTAGGTTCCAGACCACCTCCATACAGTCGAGTGTTTGCATAAGGGTTATCATGTGCCACATGCTTGTAAGGATGCAATGGAATCGATGCAGTCAGCAGATGTCTTTGCTCGAGGTATGGAGATAATATAGACAGCGGCGTGAATGACGTGACATCTCAGTCAGCTCCATTCTCAATCTTGCTAAGAGATCGAGCTCGTAACGAATGTATATTGGAGTTGGTGCTGGACTTGGCTTAGCGGCCGTGGTATATACCATGCATTCAACAAAAGAAGGAGAAGAGAAGGGAAGGGAAATGGATACGATGATACAGTACTCCGGAGGTAGGTAGATAGAGCAGCGCAGCGGCAGATGGCCTTAATACTGTAGCAAAACGGACCCCCTCAACGGGGGCGAGACTAGATGGACGGATGAGATCTAATTGATGTATACCTAGTAGCCTACTTGTAGACTTCTTCACTGGGCAAGTTGGCCAGTGTTGTGTTGGGCGCGGCGCGGAGCGTGCAGCTCCAGGCCAAAAGGCCAAAGGCCAGTTCAATGACAAAAAGTCGTGCACGGCTCTGACTCCTCCGTTCCTCATCCTTGGACTGGCGCAACACCGGGGCGCAACATGAAAAAGGTGTCTGGCCTGGCCGAGGTGGAATCTTCGTGCTCTGTCTTTGCTCCTGCTCTGCCTTTGCTTCTACTGTACGATATGCCCCTCTTCCCATTCAGCCGCGATGTATGGCTATCGATTTCCGTGGCCGAGATTCTGTCGAGAAAAAGCGTTGCGGCATACTGGTAGAGATTTTCCGCATGCCTCGTTGATCGAACAGCAGTAGCAATAGTCACGGCGATGTCTGTGAAACCTTGCAATTACCCGTCCCCTGTTGCTCGCGTGGGAAGAGAATAGTATATCGTGATAAGCGTAGGCATTGCTATGGTATTTGGAGTGGCTCGGCAGTAGCGGATTAGTGGAATCTCAATGACTCCTGTTGACGAAGCCGTCAATGATGACAGCGCGCTGGCTGGTAAGCCATAGCTTCATCAGACATAGCCCCTTCCGAGACTTAGACTGTCGGCTCCGGCTGAACATGGAGAAACCCATGTCTGACTTGTCGTTCGATGTCGGTGATTCGTCCTCGTCTCATCGCCACGCGAGCAACCTCAAAGTGGTGTGTCCTCGGTGGACTTAGCGCACAGCACAGTCAATTCGACTACCTCACGACATGTTCCGCTTCCTGTGAAGATGAAGTAGAAGTCCCGTCACCGTAGAAGCGGCTGCTCGACTGATGTCGGTTCGCTCTTCAAGGTGCTCACAACTTGGATTTCAGCCACGCCACGCCTCCGACACCAGCGGTTATTACACCTCCGCAAACTTGAGCAGCCCCGTTGACAACGGCTAGTCCGGCACCTCCAGCACCCGCGCTTTGAGCAATCGCGAAGCCGCTGCCGGCCACGACATTACCGATGCTTCCGTGGATGGTCGCCGCTAGGGTCCCTACATGACGGAAACTGGCTGAGCAAAAATACGACTAAGAGCGACAAAACTCCAGGCGAAGAGGCCACTTACCAGCCTGGACTCCGCCAGCCGCGAAACCCACAGCAGAAAGTATTGGCACAGAAGCAAGAGCCGGGGCGGCCATGAGGGCAATACCGGCAGTCCCGACGACAGCGCAGGCGGCAACACCCGGAGTTTCGACCGTCCATGCCGCGGCCTATACATTTCGCAGGGTCCCTCAGATAGTGGTGAAAGATAGTGACTTTTACGGGCAATAGGACTTACTGATGTTGCAGCCTTGGGCCCGTGGTCTATGAACGCCTTCTGCGCGGTCGCTGCGCCTGAGGATGCATATTTCAAAGCGTGCCGACTTGCTTCAACAATGTGGGAGGTAATATGAGATTCGGCAACCATGGCTGCTGCCCTATTGAAAGACATAATGTCGGGTGAGAGTGCCCATGTATGAAGCAGTAGAAGGGCAGGTGGGCTGATTGCAGGCTGAGTAGTACTCTAGTACAGGATGGATACGCCAAGACTTGGACGCCCCTTTCCAATGCGGGGTCAGACGCGTCTTTTCATTGTCACAGAATGGTGAGGTGAAAGTGAAAGTGAGAGTGAGAAATTCAATGCTGGAGTGATCTGAGCGTATCGTTGCGGTGTATCCAAGTACGGCAAAGTTACACCCGACTCACGCCAAAGGAAGTGGATAGAAATACTGTACTGGCACTGCTGCAACCCGAGGCCAGCGACGCGTGAACAACTGAGACAACTGTTCAGCGTAGTGCGTGTTCAACAACAACAAGGTCGATATCTGTTGGTCTGGCACCAGCATAGACCCGAGTAAAATCATGGACATCGACATCGCTGATATTCTCGCCGACATCTCTCGCTCTCAGAACTACACATCCTCCTCATCATCCCACCATTACTCACCCAGCGACACCGACGCCTTTACAGACCACCAACTCCTAACGCGAGCATGGCAGTCCGAGCGCTGCGCCCCAGATCTGCTACCATACCCGACCGACCTGATGACACGCGTCATGTCCCGGGTGCAGGCTCAAATATCGCGCATCGAGGACCTCGCTAGCGGGATGGGCGACGACTACACGATCAACGGCATCGCCAAGCAAGGCGGCATGCAGAACGCGAATCTCGTGCTCGCGATCTTACAGACCGATCTGTCACGCACACAGTTCCTCGTCCGGAGCCTGTTGCGCCAGAGGTTGGCAAAGATCACAAAGTACGCCACGTATTACCTGGCCGAGCATCTGGATTCGGAGGGTGGAACAAGCGCGACCATGTCTCAGTCTGAGGTTGCTTTTCTACGACATCATCAGGCATTGTTGGGTGAGTTGTATGACAGCAGCTTTCTGAACGCGTTCCCGCAGGCCTTGAGGAGGTTGGACGATTCGAGCGGTGGAGTGGCGATGGTTGAGGGGCCAGACGTGAGTAAGGCCGTGATTGTGCGGTGTTTGACTGAAGGGACGTGGAGCAACGAGAGGGATCTTGACGATGCGAAAGATTTGGGCCACGATGAAGGCGCGAATGTTGCGCTGAGGATGAGACGAAACGAGGTTTGGCTTGTCAGGTGGAGGGATGTCAAGAAGGGGGTCGAACGAGGAGAGGTCGAGTTATTATGACGAGAGGGTCTCTTCGAGATGATGAACCGCGACTACGGCAATGAGACTACGAACCACGAGCACGGACGAGGCTTCCACTATACGTTGATCAAGCAGAGATTCTCGAATTTCTACCAGCACACTACGACGAGGGTCTTCGACTCTCGCTGGCACCTCAGCTCTCATTCCTTCCCTACCCTGTGGGCCTCGGCTGGTCCACCTTGCTCCACTTGCAGGACGCCTTCCTTCTCGGCTTCACTGTGTCTCCCTTCCTCATCCCCCTCGCCAGCTCCCTGCAGCCCGACGGAACTGTCCCCGATCGCGTCCGCCGGTATGCGGTAGTAATCCAGGAAATTGACGCAGAGGGCATACGTCCATGCCGCAATGAAGAAACAGACCGGAACGACAAACGCAAAGGGCGTCGAGTTGCGCCAATCGGCCGTCGCTCCCAGGAGTGGTGGGACGGCAGCACCACCGCTGACTCCGCCTAACGTCATATTAGCACGCGAGGCACTTTGCACCCAGTGGCAAGGAAGGAAGAGAGAAGAACATACCGACGATCCAGCCCGCCGCCCTTTTGGTGTGCCGCCCCTGGCCCCGAATCCCCAACGCCACAATCGTGGGAAAGCACACGCTTTCAAAGAAAAGCGTGAGCATAAACATGGCGATCCCGGTATTTCGTCTCTCGGTGATTGCCGCACTGCAGAATGCGATGACCGACGTCATGTAGAAGAGGAAGATGTACCGCGGGCGGATGAAGCGCATGAGGAAGGAGCCGGAGAAGCGGCCGACCGCAAAACAGCCCTGCGCACCGGCAAGGAGAGCGGCCCCAGTGGCGTCGCTGATATCGGAGATCTCGGTAAAGTAGTTGATTGCGTATCTGTGGTCCAAAAGTGTGAGCGCTGGACTAGCGTGTTGGGGACAAGAAAAAAGGGGTTTAAAAGACATACCCTGCCAAAGCCACTTGGGAGCCAACATAGCAGAATTGGGCGAACGCCGCGTGGAACACGGTCTATATGAGTGGAAGTATCAGCCGGGAGTGATCGAGACACAAGGACGCAGCTCGAAATGCACCCACATATTGTTTCCGAAACGGTCTCTTATTCCTCTCCTCCAACCCGCCATGCGTGACACTAACTTGATGCTCCATATCCGCATCCGTGACCTCAGGGATCGGTGAGATGTAGAAGATGAATGCCAGGATGAAGACAAAGATGGCGATGGCGAGGTACACCCACTGCACGTTCTTCAGGCTTTGAATGTCGTCCTCGGTGTTCTTGAAGAAGGCATAGCTGCCCAGCACGGGGCCGACGACCGTGCCCACGGCGTTGAATGATTGAGCCAGGTTAATGCGCAGTTCCGAGTACTTCGGTGGACAGCACACGGCGATGAAGGGGTTTGCCGCCGTCTCGAGACTGCCCAGCCCGCTTCCAATGATGAAGGTGGCTCCACAGAAGCCGCCAAAGGACCGCTTCAACCCGGCAGGCCACATGAGCAGCCCGCCGATGCCATAGAGGGTCAGCCCGAACATGAACACGGCCTTGTAGCTGTAGTGGCGGAGGATCCAGTTCGCGTAGAACAGTGAGGCCAGCGGGTAGGCGCCGAAGTAAGCTGCTTGCAGACCGGATGAGCGGGCGCGAGAAATGCCCAGCACACCTTGGAAGTGTTTGTTGAGGGTATCGAGGAGGCCATAGGCGAAACCCTGGACGAGAGGTCAGCTGAAGAGAGTGAGATGGATCAAGAAACAGACGTGACCTACCCAGAGGAAGTAAAGCGTCGTCACGAGGATTATGGGCAGTATCGACTGGCGAACGGAGAGCTCCGAGGCTTTTGTGACGGCATCATCTCGTACTTTCAGCGTGGTGTGTTTGAAAAGCCCTGATTTCCTTCTCGCCATTGTGCTGAATGAAATCACGCCGAGGAATGGCAAGGTCAGAGATTAGAACTGTAGAGGTGTGGTAGTACTATATAGGATCGGTCACGACTGCCTTAAAACCACGCGAGAAGAGCCACCAACACCGGCCCCGGCATGACGTTGCATTCTGTAGCTTTTGAGGGCAGTCACATCAGCGACGATTGGATTGTAGTCCATGACGTTGTTGGCCAAGCCATGCGCGTGGACGTAGATGGGCGATGGAGGGTCCTTTCGGTCGCAAAATGTGGAGAGAAAACGAGGAGAAGCGGAGGAATGATCTGCAGGCGATCTGCATTCAAGGCTTGCGGCATTCAAACTCGGGTCAACAGTCACCGATGCGATAAGACTGCGACATGAACGCTATTGGGCATTGGACGAGGGTCGGTAAGGAACAGGAATCAAGCCGTGAAGGGTCATTTTTTAAATTTTGTCCTCTCTCTCTCCAGGCGCCAGAAGCTCACCGAAAGATGCGCCAGAAGCTCGTCCAAAGATACGCCAATTCCCAGTCCGAGATGCTGGAGGAAACTTCGTTGTAGACTCCGACGCTAAATGGACCAGGCAAAGCAAAAACCGAAGGGTATACCCGTGCCACATGCAAAAACAGATCATATCGTCTTGGCTCATGAAGCCGTTTCGACATAGTTGGAGGGGAAGACTCCAGTACGACCATCTTCTGTGCGGCCAGTCCACCAGTCCGACTTGCTCTCAGTCCGTTTCGTGATGGTTATGACATCTCCTTTCTTAAAACCGAGGTCTCCCTCTTGATCGGGGTCGAAGGTGAACAAAGCAACGGCTTGGTCTGAACGTAACATGCCCGTCTTCTGCTTGAAGATTGGTTTCGGAGCCGTCGGTCTATTGGGCCTGTTGTCGGAATAGCTGTGGTCATTTTGCAGGGTGCTTGATCGACTGCGGCTGGAGAAGGTGTCGAAGTTGCTGTTGCTGGTGTTGCCGCTGTTGGTACGGCCAGCGGGCGCACGGTCGTAAACATCGTCAGCCCACGTATTGGCTCGTCGAGCCTGACTTGGGTTATCGCGGTAGACGTAGTTGTCGTCCGCCGAGGTCACGGTCGAAGAGCGGTTGTTGCGCACATTGGCACCATAAGCCTCGCCGGTTCTTCCCTCCCAAACAACATCATCATGTTGATCATCGTATATCGGCATGTCGTTGTACATATTGTCGGCAAAGGCCGCACCCGAGAATACTCGGGTGTTTAGAACCCTCATCAACGGGTCGGCCGCGGGAGGAGGTCTGACAGCACCCTCCAAGAGTTGTCTCGCGGTGACTCGACCATTGTAGAGTTTCTCGTTCGCGTCTCGTCTCTCAATCAGGACACTGCCCTCCAGACTGACACCTGCGAACAGCCCTTTTGTTTTGCTGTACGAGAAGACACCCGCGACGCCTTTTAAGCTGGCTGCGCCGGCAGCCTCTGCATTCCGACCAACCGGGCCGGCGGCAATGGAGACGTTCCCACCGAGGGTGACGGAGGCGGCTTGGGAGAAGGATCTGACGGCATTATAGTCATTAAGGATGAAGACGAAGTCGGTCAGTTCGAAGCCTATTTGACCACCAAACCCCCCTCCTGCAGTTGCAATGGCCGATGGGGCCGACCACGAGCCATCCGCAAGCCGTGCGACGACGACGCCGGAACCCAGTCGACCAGAACCGAGGAAGCCGGCTTTGAAGACCGTCAAGACTGCTAGACCCTACAACATGTCAGCCGCAGGTCAGCAAGCATGGAAAGATCATACCTTTGCATTTGCAAGGATCGATGGAGGGATCACTTTATCTGGGCCGAAGCTTTGTCTGGGGTCGACGAATGATGCCAGAATCTTGCCCGCTTTCTTACACTCGCCTGCAAATTGTGAGTCCAAAGCAACAGAGAATCATCGCCGCCGAACTTACTCCGCATGGAGGAGGGTAGCGGGTTATTGATACCGAAAGGCATAATGAGGGGTTAAAGAGGTTCTCGGAGGACGTCGACTTCTCGTTCAATTGGTCGCGTGGTCAGGCCCAGATCAGAGCTCGTGGGCAGCGTATAAGCAGCGAGGTCGAGATTGAGCGAAGGTGAGGGTGAGAGTGACGGTAACGGAAGCCGGCGGGCTGAGCGTTGAGGCTCCCGAGTGACGAGTGTGGGGAGCCGTTGCGGTAGCACAGTACAAGTACCAGGCCAGCAACAGATTTTGAGATATCAAGGTCACCTGCAATAGACTTTGCTCCACGCACAGCGAGGGTGAAATGATAAGGATAATATACACAGGCAGCAGCCCGCTGGAGCACAATTCACAAGCTGCAGCTGCAGCATGGAAGATTCTCTTCGCTAGAGAGAATTGCATTAGGCGGGACACGCTGCACTGCGTCGTCATGGTCTTGGCGTGTCGTTGCTGTGAGGCGCAGGCAAAGGGCGAAGACCGACGCAACGAGACGGTGCCATGATCACGCAGCATTTTGCCGTCGCAACAAGACTTCGCGTCCGCAACAACAGCTCTGAACAGGCAGTATTGCCCTCTCTTCTACGCGGCCCAGCCGGCCCTCCAACAGTGGCCGAGACTGCGCCCGGAAGATAATGACCCTCCCTGCCTGGGCCAGCTAGCTCTGTTGCAATGGCGACGGTGAGAATCTGCGTCGTAGGCGACGAGGGATGTGGTAAGTCCAGCCTTATCACTTCTCTTGTTAAGGACACCTTCGTCAGCAACAGGATCCAAGCTGTCTTGCCTCAAATCACCATTCCTCCGACATTGGGAACCCCCGAGAATGTCACCACCACCATTGTTGACACGTCCGCCCTCCCGCAAGACCGCGCGACTCTAGCCAGAGAGCTGAGGAAGTCGAATGTCATCCTGCTCGTCTACTCAGACCACTACAGCTATGAACGGGTTGCCCTGTTCTGGCTGCCCTACTTTCGATCCTTGGGCGTCAACCTCCCGGTGATTCTGTGTGCGACCAAGTCCGACCTCGTCACAACCTCTACTCCCGCGCAGATTGTCGAGGAGGAAATGCTGCCGGTCATGTCAGAGTTCAAAGAGATTGACTCGTGTATACGGACTAGTGCTCGTGATCACTTCAATGTCAATGAAGCCTTTTTCCTCTGCCAGAAAGCAGTCACACACCCCATTGCTCCCTTGTTTGACGCGAAAGAGTCCCAGCTCAAGCCTGCTGCCGTGGCCGCATTGCTTCGCATCTTCTATCTCTGTGACAAGGATAAAGACGGGCTCCTCAATGACAGGGAGATGGAAGATTTCCAGCTCAAATGTTTTGACAAGGGCTTGAGCGACGAGGATCTGCAACACATCAAGGAAACCATCGATAGCCACATCCCTTCTGCCGCTTCGGCCAAGGGCATCAGCTCTCAAGGCTTTCTGCTGCTCAACAAGTTGTATGCCGAGAAAGGCCGCCACGAAACCATCTGGGTCATTCTGCGCACCTTTCAGTACACCGACAGTCTGTCTCTCCAGGAGTCATTTCTCCATCCCAAGTTCGACGTGCCGGAATATGCCTCTGCAGAATTGTCTCCAGTGGGCTATCGCTTCCTGGTCGATCTGTTCCTCACTTCCGATCGCGACAACGACGGTGGTCTGAAGGACGAGGAATTGGCGTCGCTCTTCGCTCCTACTCCTGGCATCCCCCAATCGTGGGTTGACAACAATTTCCCTTCTTGCACTGTCCGAAATGATGCCGGTCACGTCACGCTGCAGGGCTGGCTTGCGCAATGGTCCATGACCACCTTCATGTCACCGAAGACGACACTGGAGTATCTAGCCTACCTTGGCTTCGAGTCCCCGGATCGCTCCAATACCAGCACGACGGCAGCGCTGAAACTGACGAAACCACGAAAGCGAAGAAGAAAACCAGGCCGAGTTGGCCGCAACGTTCTACTTGCTCATGTTCTGGGTGCGCCTCAGTCGGGCAAATCGGCCTTGCTAGACACACTGATAGGTCGGCCATTCAGCAACCTGTACCATCCCACAATTCAGCCCCGAGTAGCGGTGAATACGGTCGAGCTCCCTGGAGGACGGCAATGCTACCTCATTTTGAAGGAACTGGGAGAATCCGAGGCCGCTGTGCTGGACAACAAGAGCAAACTGCTCGACCAATGCGACGTTATTGTCTACACCTATGACTCGGCAGACCCCGACTCATTCGCATACATCCCCAACATTCGCAAGGCTTACCCTCACCTGGAAGATCTGCCCTCAGTCTACGTTGCTCTCAAAGCAGATCTAGATCGGACCACGCAACGAGCCGAGTATCAACCGGACGAGTACATTGCTACGATCCAGCGGATGCCCCAGGGTCCTCCCATTTCTACCAGTGTCACATGGCCTTCGATCCAAGATCTGTTCGTCACCATTGCTGAAGCCGGTCTTGAGCCAGCCACCGCATATCCACGCCCTCTTGAAGACGAGGACAGCGGCCAGCTAATGAGATACGGGCTGGCGCTCGGCGTGGTCGTTTGTGCCGCTGCCGCAGCAGTGGTCGTGTGGCGGCGGTCGGCCAGTGCGGGTGGATGAAGTGCGAGCATGCTTTGAAGGCCCATTCTCTCGCTGAGGGGGCATAGTATCATCGAACGACGAAGTGGTGATAGCGGGTCTTCAACAGCATCGACCTCACAGCGAGTCTGTTTACTAGCGAAGTGATACCCCTTTTCAGCGCTGACGTCTCTCGGACATCTCCATACGTTACCGACATGTACCTGTTCTGTTATAGTGGATCCGTCAGGCCTACTGCCACGCATCATTTCATCCTTGATACGAAGCTTAGATAAGCCATAAGACTCCCATAGCGCAACCTCACCACATCTAGGAGAATATCCGATGGAGAGATAGACGAGCACGAAATAAGAGTCTCTCGCTTTCTCTCCCAGTTCGATAAAACAACATAGGGACTCTCCATCCGCTTATTGAGCCTTGCCCACTGCACAGTGCTCGGCAGCGACAGAAAGGGCGAGCCGATGATTATCATCCACTCCGCCCACCACGTCCTCGGATATAGTTGAGCCAGCACCACACGCGCCCTGAGGTACCAGTACACACACTCTCGCAAGCACAGTCGTATCCAAACTCTACGTCCATTTCCCCCAATCCCGAACCATAGGCAGGCAGAAACCACACACCCCGGCCAACATGCGAGCCATCATCCCCCCAACCGACACAGAATACGTCTCGTCGCTCCTCTCATCTCCGCCCCGACCACACACACCCGCCATCATGTCGACGATCACGACGCTAAACCTCCAAGACCACATCGAAGGCGGCCACTTTGTCGAAACAGACCGCGACCCGCTCCGCGTGCCAAACCCGTTCAAGTCCCGCGCGCAGGTACCTAACGCCACAGCCCAGGATCCCGCCCCGGAGGATACCCGCAACGCGTCCACGACGATCTATTACCTCGTCACGCCGCGCAGTCCCGTCGGCTACTTCCACAGGAACCGCGCCCGCACCGTGCATACCTTGCACTGGGGCCGAGGGCGGTATGTCGTCTTGCATCATGTCGATCGGGCGTCTGCTGCCCCCTCCTCCTCCTCTCCGTCTGGAGAAGCAGCTGTCCCCGGGAAAGTCAAAGTCGAGGTCGAGACGTTCGTCGTGGGCAAGGATCTCGCGCGCGGCGAGAGGTTGCAGTGGATCGTGGAGGGGGACAAGTTCAAGGCCTCGTTTCTGCTGCCTGATGAAAACGAAAATGAGAATGGCGACGGGACGGCGGGTGAAAGCGAAAAGGGCTGTCTGATCAGTGAGACGGTCGTGCCTGGGTTTGAGTATGCTGACCATGATTTCTTGACGGCCGAGCAGTTCGTCGAGAGTCTCGACGCGGACGCGAGGGAGGAGTTGAAATGGTTGGTGAGGCGGGACGAGCGGGAACGCTTGGACGAGGTGGTGAACGCCATGAGGTTAACCTGAGGGAATGTGATCATGGTAGAAGGCGGTGGCTCGGGCAGCACAGGAGTACGTGGCAATGAAACGAGAGTTTGCGTCGAGTGATCGACTCCTGAGAGGGTTCAAAGGTACAGCTATGGTGTATAGGGGATATCACTACTATGAAAAATGATGCTACCGAGTCCAACTCCACCAAGAGCACGGTTTGATTCATAAATTGTCGTCCTCTTTCCTGCTTCCCTTCGTCACCATGCCTCATCCGCTCCTCGAGGATTTCGCTGCGATTTGTCCCTGTTCCTGAGCATTTGCCCCATCATGAAGTGATTGACATCTTCATCCGCCCAATAGCTCAAGTGACTCGCAATACTGGCTAGCAGAGACACATCGAACATGCCCTCTTGGATGTGGTAGTCGACTCTGCCATTGCTGTTGAGCGCACGGACTTTGGCCTCTTCGCGCCGGAGTCTGCGTGCTCGTTCCTGGGACTGTCTGTACTCGGTCGAGCTACGAGCTTGAGCTTCGGCATCGGGACCTTCGGTGGCAGCTTGACGTTTTTGAAATCCAGAATACAGGGTCTCAAGCTCAGAATCAATCAGCGTAGGTGCTTGTTCCGTCGATGGGGACATTTTAGCCGCGTCGGCCAGTTCTTGCTGTCTTTTTTCGTCCGCAACAGGCAAGTTCGTGTCGACTGTGGGTTGAGTTCCCTGTTTGGCTGCGTCTCCGATTTTGGCCTTGTCCTGTGCCAAAGCCTGCTCTTCACCAGTGATGCCCAGGCTTCTGTTGATCAGGGTAGACGCAACACCAGAGGTGAGGTTGTACCAGCTCGACATAATCTGCTGACCTACTCGCTCCGAGATATTGGAGATACCTGGGGCAGCAAAGAGATTCTTCTTGGTGTATGGGATCGGCTGAGACTTGAGCTGTGCCATGGCGGGCGAGATGAGCGGCTCCAGGCGGTAGGCTATAGGATCAGTAGGGTGGAAGATGTTGAACAGTTCGCTGCATTTCGGCGAGGAAGTCGTGATTGGTATGAGATCTGTCGGACTGTAGGCGGCATTAAGCTTCAAAGAGGGATTATCGAATGGGTCGTTCTTCATTGGATCTGGATCAAACGGTGATGTAGGTACTACCGTGGCCCCGAAAGCGCTGGCTCCGTGAGACGGTCGGGCAGCGATCGTTCTGCCCTTGAGCATCTGAAAGAGGCCGACGGGCGAGCCAAGAGCGAAGAAGTTCTCAACGTCAAAGTCGAGTTTGAGGTCTTTTGTCTCGATGCCGAGCTCGCGCGATGTCTTGCTCGACACTCGTCTCGGACGCGTTTTCAGTTCGTCTTCCTGTCTGCAAAGGATATCGAAGCAAATGGCGCTACCCAGCGAGTGGCCACAGAAGCTCACCTTCCCCGAGAAGCCTGTTCGTTGTTTGAACAGCTGGTAGACTCGATTTGATTCTTGCTGCACGATCGAAGCAATGTGCTCTCTGTAAGCACTTTGGTAGAGGAGCACGTCCAACGCCAGATCAGTGATCAGGTTCCGCACCGCCGGGACGCCTTCCACCGTGATATCCTGCAGCGAGGGGTATTGATCTTCGAAGAGAGTGTCAGCATCGCCAATGTCAAATTCCTGACGGTTCTGCTTGAGACTTTGCTTCGGGAAATCTAGTCTGTGTCGCCAGCAGATGGGGAGCACCTGTACTCTGCAGTTCTTTGGGTCACCACTTAAAGCCTGTAGGTCAGGAGCCGACTCATACACGGCCTTCATCGTCTTGCGGAGCATATTGACATCATGAATGAAGTTGATGCTGTCAAGACGCAAACCTAGCCGCTGGCCAATCCCATGGGTCACAAGAACTAAGTGATCAATCTGTCTTGCCTGGTCTTCTCCGTCTTTCTCTCGGGCGTCTTCCATCTCACGTTCTTCTTGCTCTCGGGCCTCTTCCTCCTCGCCAATTTCGTTGAATTCGTCAGCTTTAGGGAGACCAGCCAGGGAGGAGATTTGTCGCTCAAGTGCCGTACGTCGTGGTCTCTCCGTATCGTCCTTCTTCTTTGCTTGGAGCTTGTCCTGGCCAGGGTCGGCTTCGGCTTCCGAGGGCACTTTGGCGGACTTGCGTTTGTCCTTCGTGGCGGCAGATTCGCCGTCTTTCTGCTCGGCTTTCGGGGGGTCGCCCAATCTCTCTACCCAGCCGCGAACAACTTTAGTGCCCCCATAGCCGACAAATCTTCCGTAAACTGTGCTGCTCACTCGAGAGAGAAAGTCGTCGGTGGTCAGATATGCGACTGTATCGTCTTGGTATGTCACTGTCGTGTTCATATGGGTCCCAAAGAGTCGATACGTGTTGGGGCTGGTAGTTTGGATATCGTCCTGCGACGGGGGCGCCTGGGCCGAGGACCGAGCTGACGAGCTCTCTATAATTTCGGATTTCGGTCGCGCTCTAGGTTGTGAAGCTGCACGCGGGGATTGCAGGTTGATTCGCCTCCAAGGACTCAGTTTCAAGTAGCCTTCCTCAAGCTGGTGGGCTAGATTCTCGTCGCATGGTCTTAGGGGATTTTCTGCGTAGAACCAAGTACCTCTTCGTACTTCGTACACCGGGCCAAGCCAATACGCGGGCAGCAGCTCCCGTTTCTCAATGTCGACGTCGTACAGGTAATCCTCGTTCACTGGTACCTTGGTACTCGTCGCCGGCTCAGCGCTTCCGCCTCTGCTTTGACTCTTCTGCACAAGAGTCTGATACGCCTTTTCGATGTTGATCGAATCCGTGGCTGAGAAAGCAACCAACCTTTTCGGGACTGGCGGTGGTTTGGACTTGTCTTCGGCTGATGGCTCCGGTGCAAATGGCTTCCGCTTTGGCACGTCAACGGCATAATGCCACCGAGCTTTTAGAGGAGGACAGTCCTTGGGGTATTTCGGCAGATTGCGAGGTCCCAGATTAATGGTGTGGTCGAGCCCACTAGACTGCTTGAGAGCTGGAGATTTGTCCTTGGGCTTCTGGAGAGGTGACTTGGGCGGAGGTGTGCTGCTTCTACTCCAGGGGAAAATCGTGCTCGCCAGAGAGGATTTGTTGGCTGCCTCCGCCATGCCCCTCCGGACAGCCCGTATCAGGGCCGGGAATCGATCCAATATGGTAGCATGTAATTGGTAGCCTTAAGCAGGATACGAGCACGAGGCTGCACGGTCTTGGAGAGGGACTTTGGAATACTCCCGCGAGGTTGAAGCTCGGTTGATTGACAGTACAGTTGCGGATTGTGCGATTTCTGAGTCGGCAGGTCTCCGCTACGGGCAGCTAAGATAAGGATATACTGTGGTAGAAGAAAATGGAAGAATGTTGATGGTCGAGGCCAGATCACAAGAAACGGGGAGAATGAAGGTGCCAATGATGCAACCGACGGGAATGGAATGGTCGTGAATGGTTTGGGTGGCAGCCTTGCCGACTAGTGTCCTGAGCCTTGGGTGGCCTATTACATAACCACCTAGCCTGTCCCGGCGTCGCCTGCGCCTGCGCCTTCGCCGGCCAAGTCGCCCGAATTGCTGCGCCGCAGTGCGTCATTTGGCGTCTGCGGCTGCCCGCATCCTGCATTCTGCAACCTGCGTGCTTCGTGATCCCGCTTACTGTGACTTGCCAGCTGAGAAGAGCCTGACGATTAACTGCGACGCCTAACCAGGCACCACCATTAAGAGCGGCCCCATATCTTCTTCTGCACATCCCTTCTCAGTCACTCGTACCTATCGATCGCATTTTTCCCACGCTTCCGACTCTCTTACCACCCCTCATATCCCTCCCTCCCGTTGGGCGCGACTGCCCCTCTCGCCCCCTCGTTCTCGGTCACCATGGCAGCCATCCTCAAGCTCCAGCGCAAGTATCCTCAATTCCAGCAGAATGAAATCTTTCAGCTACAGGATGCGTTCCGCAAACTTGATGTGGACGACAAAGGCTACCTGGACGAGGCGACCGTCATTAAGGCCACCCAACAGTCCGAGAGAGAGTCTTACGACGTGGTCAGGCAGGCGCTGAAGGAGGTCGAATTGGACAGCTCAAGAAGAGTCGAACTCGAAGACTATGTCGACCTGATCGCCAAGGTGCGCCAGTCTTCTCCGGCCCAGAGACGCATATCCGTTGGCCCTCAACAGAGACCAGCCAACGTTGGAGGCAATGGGCTGCCTGCGTCTCCAGGACATGCTTCAAAGCCCAGTCTCGGCGGCGGAGGGAAGATTCAAGTCCAGGGCTCCTCGGCCAATGTCACCCACACGATAAACGAAGAAGAACGGACTGCCTTCACCACCCACATCAACGCCGTCCTTGCCGGCGATCCCGACATTGGCCATTTGTTGCCGTTCCCCACTGATACCTTTGAGATGTTTGACCATTGCAAGGATGGGTTGGTGCTGTCGAAACTGATCAATGACAGCGTGCCGGATACCATTGATGAGCGTGTGTTGAACAAGCCAGGCAAGAAAATCAAGACTCTTAACGCATTCCACATGACGGAGAACAACAATATCGTGATCGAATCCGCCAAGGGTATCGGCTGTTCCGTGGTCAATGTTGGCGCTGGTGATATCATTGAGGTCCGAGAACACTTGATCCTGGGTCTGATCTGGCAAATTATCAGACGAGGTCTGTTGGGCAAGATCGACATCAAGCTGCACCCGGAGCTCTACCGGCTGCTGGAAGACGACGAAACACTCGACCAATTCCTCCGTCTGCCACCCGAGCAGATCTTACTGCGCTGGTTCAACTACCACCTCAAGAATGCTGGTTGGGGGAGGCGAGTGAATAATTTCTCCGGCGACGTCAAGGATGGCGAGAACTACACCGTTCTCCTGAATCAGCTAAAACCCGACATCTGCTCCCGCGCTCCGCTGCAGACACGAGACCTCCTTCAGCGGGCCGAAGAAGTCCTCCAAAATGCAGAGAGAATCGACTGCCGAAAATTCCTGACTCCAACTGCACTTGTAGCAGGAAACCCCAAACTCAACCTGGCCTTCGTCGCCAACCTATTCAACACCCACCCAGGTCTCGACCCGCTGGAGGAAGGCGAGAAACCCGAGATCGAAGACTTCGATGCCGAAGGCGAGCGCGAAGCCCGTGTGTTCACTCTCTGGCTGAACAGTCTGGACGTCCAGCCTCCTGTGAATTCATTCTTTGACGACCTCCGCGATGGCACGATTCTCTTGCAAGCGTACGACAAGGTTATTCCGGGGAGTGTTAATTTCCGGCATGTTAACAAAGCCCCTGCACATGGTGGAGAAATGTCCCGCTTCAAGGCGGTGGAGAACACGAACTACGCTGTAGAACTGGGCAAGCAGAACCGCTTCTCCCTCGTCGGTATCCAAGGCGCAGATATTACCGACGGTCAACGAACACTTACCCTCGGGCTCGTCTGGCAACTCATGCGCCGGGACATTGTCAGTACGCTCTCAGGACTCGCTCAGCGAATGGGCAAACGCGAACTGTCGGATTCAGACATGATCAAGTGGGCGAACGACATGTCTCGCAAAGGCGGCAAATCATCGTCAGTGAGGTCGTTCAAGGATCCTGCCATCACAAGCGGTATTTTCCTCCTAGACGTCCTGAACGGCATGAAAGCCAATTATGTCGACTATGAACTTGTGACGCCCGGCAAGACGGTCGATGATGCGTATGCGAACGCGAAGCTGAGTATCAGCATTGCCAGAAAGCTTGGTACGTATTAGTATTCCGTAGCGAGATGGCACGATCGTGTGGAAGGAGTCGTATGCTGACCCGACATGGACAGGCTCGACGATCTATCTCCTTCCAGATGATATCGTACAGGGACGGGCGAGGTTGGTCACAACGTTTGTCGGTAAGTTGACATCCTCAAAGCGGGTATGTTTTGAATCAGTTCAGTCGGCGGCTAACAAAAGATCCAGGTGCCCTCATGAGAACGGCCGAGAAGATGGGGGCTTAGAGGGACGCTTCCTGACGTCCGCCACGAATCTCCCCCAGGTCCCAGTATGGGGAGAAATGCCGGTTACGATCCTGCCTCTTGTGTCGACCGTGTATTCATGACACCCAGGATAAGAGAGTCATCTGATGAAGCGAGGCATGAGCATGCAGACATGAAAATCCAGGCCCCGTCAGGGATCATATGGCCGTCGTGGACGATATTTTTACTTTGCGAATGAAAAAAGAAGTTCGATCTAAATCTTGCGATGATCACCATGCAGCTTGCGCGTGTGAGTGTCCATGTTTATTTATTCATTTTGCCGGCTTGGCTATGTGTTGCAGCACGGCCGAGGGTGAAGGACTGTTCTATTCTTTCTTCAGGCTTGCGTAACAGCCTCTCGATATATATTTCCGGTTGCTCGACCAGTCACAGCCTTGCCTGCCCACTTCTGCTCCAACCGACGTCGTCAGCACTCCTCTGCTTTGATGCATTGCGTCTCTCTTTCCCGAATGCTGGGCGCCACCAACCCTCACTTCTCGTCACGCATTGGTTTTTGCACTTACTTTCCACCCCTCAAGTGCTCCTCGAACCACTGCACGGCCTGCAGAAAGGCGTTCTCCTTGGCGTACGTCTGGACGCGATCGTTCAAGTCTCCTCGGACGGCAAATCCGTGCTCGACACCGGAATACAGATTGATCTGATACGGCAGGCCCAGCTCTTTGAGAATCACCTCGGTCTCGTGGCGCTTCTCGGCCGGGAAGATGTGGTCGGTCTCGGCGGCGGAGATGGCGAGGGGACCCTTGATGTCCCTGAGCTCGGCGGCCTCGACGAACGAAGGGTGGGCCGTGTAGCCGACGTCGATTTTGCCGCTCTCGGGGCGTAGGTGTCGGACCACGTATTTGCCGCCGAAGCAGTAGCCGACGGCGCCGAGTTTCTAGTACCCAGTAGACGAGAGAGCAATTAGCGCCTGGCTTTCTTCGGTTTTGTTTTGTTTGCGTGAACAGTGGACTCGTGCATCCGTCTCTGCGGTGTCTTTCTGTTTGTTTGTTTTTTTCTTACCTTGACGTTGTATTTTGTCCGCAGCTCAATCAAGCAGGCATCAATGATAGGGTCCACCACTGGGGGCAAGTGAGCCTTCTTGCTGGGGTGGTACTCTCCGTTCAACCACTTCATGATGTCGAAGTCGCCGGGACGGTTCAGGGGGATGGGATCCTTGTCGAACAGATCGGGCATCATGACGAAGTAGCCATTGGCCGCGAACTGGTCGGCGATGAGTTGTGCGTTGTTGAAGCGGTGGCCGATGACGTCCGTGATACTGCTCGTTTGGGGACGGGTGTGTCAGTAGGTAGGTAGTGGCTTGAACCGCAGGGCAGGGCAGGGCAGGGCAGGGCAGGGCAGGGCAGGGCAGGGCAGGGCAGGGCAGGGCAGAGCAGGGCAGGGCAGGGCAGGGCAGGGCAGGGCAGGGCAGGGCAGGGCAGGGCAGGGCAAGTGAGCATGAATGAAGGAGGTCACACCCCGTGGTACGTACATGAGGATGCCATATTCCGTGCTCTTGTCTTCCGGGTACTTTGTGTAGATCTCAAAATCGCCGAGCTGGGAGAACTCGCCGGTGGGGGTCCCCTCGTGCTTGACGCCCTTGTAGCAGCAAGCGCCGGGTGGGTGAGAAGTCATCTTTGCTCGTGGGCTACGGGGGGCCACTTGTGTGAGGGAAGGGAATGAGAGAATATACGTGCTGGCGGGGTAGACTGCGGAAGAAGGCCTGGTAGGAGGGCGGGTTATATATCGGCCGTTTCGTATACAGCCGTTTCGAGCACGCAAGACGCTACAGCCTGGGAAGGTGGGATGGGATGGGATGGGATGGGCTAGGACTGCAATGGCCTGGGTTACTATTCCATGGTCCTCTACTTCGCACCCAGTACCCAGTAGGCAATTGTCAGATGCAGCATGTCGAATCAGCGACTGGTTGCCATGGAGGTGGAAGCATCCAACAGGAAGGAGGGGCACCAAGCACATTGGCCCATGTTGGTAGTGGCTCCGGTCGCAGGTTAGCCGCGGCAGTATGGAGTAGGCGTAGCTGGAGAGAGGTGTCATCAAGGTTCACAACCAACCCGGCCAGCGCCCGGAACGGATGGACATGAAAATGGGAACTTTGCTCGAAGGTTCCGAATAGGCATCGGATTCAAGCACCGCGATACGGAATTTTTCATCGCTGGATTACGTTGGTTGCCCCGCTGGCTTTAACCGGAGATAAGCCTGCGATGGGACCCAAATGATGTAATCCGGTGCAAACTAGTGGGGTTACTCCAGCTGTTGGGCTAGCCATGTCGGGCAGCTCGTTGCCCTGAGGCAGTTTACGGATCTGCTCACTCTGCTTGACCGATTTCACCGATCTCTACCGTGATGTCGTTTCCTTGGTAATCAACCTCGCACCAATGGATGTAGCTAAGAAGACTGGCGAGGACGAATAAGACACGTTGCATGAGATTACATATAACATCCGAAGGTTCGTGCTTCAACGTTGAGGTGGACATGATCAAAGACATACACTATCGAACCAAGCTCTGCAATCGAGAAGTCTCAGGCTGATGTTGGAACTGACTCTGTGCACCCTTCTTATTGATGACCGTGATTCTTGACGATCGTAACCTTGACGATCGTAACCTTGACGCCTTCTTTTTCTTCTCCAGTCAGAAACCTCGCAGTGGTGGGACTGTCTAGCAGGAGGTTTCCTGACAATGTCAGAACAGTTGAAATCAAAGTCGAAAGCTTGGTGTCCGGCAGCCCTTCCACGTGAACGCCTGTGAAACCGCCAGCACAGCCCTCGCGAGTGTACGAAAGGCTAACCTGTCGAGAAATGAGGGAATAACATCGGCCGGTCAGTGCCAGGGCGAGGAAGCAAGGGCCGAGAAGCTTTGGAGGGGCAAGCGCGCATGCATTGATGCGTTGACGCAAAGGTGAGGAGGCTATTCGTATGGACGATGATTACCAGGGTGGCTGTCCCATAAGATAGCATTACCGCATGTGCAGCCTCAGCAACAGACGGGCAACATACACAAGACTTCATGAGCAGCGTCACATAAAAGTCGAGTTTCCCCACGGCCCGGTACGCAACTGCTGGATGTATCCATACGCTGGTCGGCGCAGTCCTTCACGCTCAGCCCTGCCATCCTTTCCACATCTTTGTGCGTGGTTGCTGACGCTGTCGCTGTTGCATCTGGCTTCCCAGGGGATCGCTGATATGCGCGAGGTGGAAAAAGATTATGTGGTCGATCGGGTGTGACTTCAAGAATGCAGGGTTGTTAGAGTGTCAGTTCGCCTTTGGAAAGCTTTGCAAGCTTGTGTCGGCCTTCCATCCTGCTCATGGTACCTGCAGCATTTTGACACGGCGCTGGGAGGTTCTACCTAGAACCTGGTCTCAAGGGCTGTCTCTCAGGCTTAGACAAGCAAACAATGGCTGACGGGCCAAGACGCGAAGGGACCCACCAACCTCTTCTGTGACCCTCGATAACACTGTGCCCCAACATCCTCAGGTAATGATGTTAAAAGTACAGCTTATTATGTTGATGTCGAGAGACTGATTGGGAAGAATTTGAAATAGCTCTCTGGGGCCAGACGTTCAAATCCGAAGCCGGACACGCGATTCTCGAGCTGAGAGTGATTAGACTCGAGCCCTCGCTTAGGAGCGCATTGATCAACCGGATATGCATTCCTTTGACAGAGAGTCATCAATTCCTGAGCGCGCAGCTGGGAGACAAGTTCCTTGATCGATATGTCTAGAGCTTCGGCCTCGGGTAGGGGAAAGAGATTTCTGGCATTGAGCCCCTTAATCAGACTACCTAGTGTCATAGCGTCGCATCTTTTGTCGTTCCGACATTACTACTACTCGCTAATATAGCGGTTCAGCAGGTTTCTTAGGTAGTTCACATTAGCTTTGATATAGGAAAGTCGATGCTGCTCGATATCACCTGTACGTCGACCATGTGAGCAGTGCTGCAAGACAAAAGAAAGTACTCACTTGCCATCCGTTGTGGTAAAGGAAGACCGTTATCGTCGAAGTCCAAGGCGGATTCGAAGATAGCTTTCTTTGTGAGCTCCATGAATCCTGTCGCTTTCTTGAGAACCCCGTAAGATGTGGATGGGATTCCTGCCGATGGGGCCAGAGGGCTTCAAACCACATATCGGTGTATACTTCCACGCATTCATTGAGCTCGTACTTGTCGATCAAGACTGCGATATCAACGAATTGTTCCTTTCCGATTTTGCGCGGTATAGCTCGAGTTCTCCCGTGTATGATAGCAAGCAGGAGGAGCATCGCATCGAGATTATCGTCAGGTTACGGTACTCGTGTCAGTGGTCTACAGCTTAGCTCGACTGCCTCCTGGAAACCGCCGTCGAGCATGGCACGAAAGACAGGTGATGCGAGCGCAAGATGTCTCGAGGATACTCGGCATTCATACTCTTTGAAAGGCTGCGATGTTTGGGGATTTGAAGCATCTGGTTGAGTGGGTTGTGGATCGTCAACTCCAAGCTCTTCGTCCTCGTCATCTTGAGATACTTTGTTGACCTTGTCCGGAGGGTTTGTGGCAGGTGCACTGTCATCCTTTTTGCTGAGCACTAGGAGGACATCTCCCGAAGGATCATATATTGTGTTGGATGACATTGACATTTTCAAAGTAATTGCCAACTATGTAAGGTTGAGGAAGACTCGACGATCGGCAAGACGCGGCGAGACACGAATCCAGCTTTGACGGTGATTGGCTGCAATTAGGTGTCGCAACCACGTGGTCACGTGGTCACATGGTCACGTGGCCGCACATGTGACCTACATAAATCGACACCTACGCAGCGTGAGGATTCTGGGCGTGATATAGCGCAGCTACTCCGTATCATAGCATCACATCATGACAATAATTGGATGTCCCCATTTGCCCAGTATAGTATGGACCAGCAGGGTACGAACTATCCGTAAGAGCCGTACGCCGCGCTAATGCCTCTCATATTGAGTTCCTTATGCTCAACGCATGTGTCAAGGAGAACATCCCGTTCATGACACCATCACACGCAATGCCGAAACAGGTGTCTCCATCAAGACGAGCCGCTGATATAGTGCTGAAGGTACATAACCCATCCAGGGTATCCTCATTCAAGCGAGATAGTTGTATGTTGGCTTTCCAGGGTCCGACCCTCTCTCCAGGTACTCCTTCTCTATCAACCCTTCGATCTTCTTCTTAATCATGTTGACGTCAGGCTGAAACCGCGATGAGATTTGGCCGAGAGTCTCTGTCATTAGCTGAGAATGCGACAAGGTCTTGCGTGATTTCATGATGCGGACGATTGCAGCCTCAATGACGATACCTCGTTCTTCGTCTGTCCGCTTCTGTGTCGCGCGACGTTCATCCTGGTTCTCGACTCGGTTGCCGCCGCCGCCAGCCACCACGCTGACTTTGATCTTGAGAAACTGGCTGCTGAAGTCTTCGTTGAAGTAGAATTTGTCGGTTGGCTTGACATCCTTGGTAACGGGTTCTTTACGGAGAACTCTCCATTTAGCCACCAATGATAATGACTGGAGGTTTCTAATAAGCTCAGGCTTCGGGATGTTGGTCTCCGCAGCAATCTGGTCAAAGGTGAGGGACTCTCCAGCAGGGACATCATTGAAGAGCATGAGGATCACCATCGCGTACGTCGAGACGTTCAGCTCATACCGCCGTGTCTTCCCACCAGTAGTGAACGTAGCTCTCATGTCTGCGTCGCCTAGGCCGGGCATCCAGGTCAGCTTCCGCCCAGTGTGCTTTTCAAGGTAGAAATTCTGGAACCGTTGCCGTACGCGTTCCACCGAGGCTGGAAACATGCATTCGGTTCGAGACTCCTCCTCGTCAGGCTTGCTCAACGATTCGAACGGCCAGATTGTGGTGGTCAAGACTCTGCAGTCGAGGTCGACACGTTTCGGATCAGGGTCACCGAGTTTTTGCACGTGCTCCTTGTACTTCAAGTTGAGATCATCTGAGGTCTCCGTATCTCTGATCAGACCCTCAAGCTTCTGGGTGAACTGGTTGCCGATTTTCATCTTCATTTTCGAGAGCATCTGTCGTTCCATCTCCCGACTGACCGACTTCTTCATTAATAGACGCTTCGCCATGTGTCTCTTGTAGTATATCTCGAAGGTGTCCTTGTTGGCCAGATACTGAAGCAGCAAAATGCCATTATCCAGGATAGCGTCGACTTCAGCCTCGCTCTTGTCCTTTCCGCCGCGCTTGAGGTATTCGTCAAGGAACAAGGACAGGTGCTCAGGACTTCGTTCGTTGATGTTGATGAAGTCCTGGAAGGAGTTCTCCAAGGCCTTTTCCAGCACCGAGTCTCTCTCAAAAGCCTCGATCCAAAGCTTGTCGAACTTGGCCTTCAGCGCCAGAATCTGCTCGACCCACGAGATTGCAGCCTGCGTTTGTTGACTTAGGGCTTTTTCTTGCTGAATGCCCTTGCCATCGGCGCCGGCTTTCTGGGGTGCTTTTGGTCCAGGGCCATCACCCATGACATTGGCCGATTTGTTGATGTCGGTTCCTAACTCAATCACTCGCCTCTTGATCACGTCTCTCAGTGCACCTTTCCGCGGGTCTACTCTTGAAATGAGCTCGTATACGTTGGCCAGATCTTGGATCTTGTCGTTATCTAGCATGTTCTGCACGCCAGTTCCCTCCATGTTGATAACATCTTTGATATTCGCCGAGATCAACTCTTTCTCTACCACGGATTTGATCTTCTGTTCTGTGATTTTGGAGATTGTCTGCTGGCAGCGCTCTTGTTCTTCCGATATCCGCTTCCTTGCCTTGGTGCAAAAGGTAGTCGCATCAGCCTCGACGAGAAGCGTCCGGCCCTCTTTGTTGTAAAACTCTCTACTCGTCTGGAGGAACTTCGGTTCGAAAGAGGTGAGATAGAGCTTGCTAGACTCATCCTCGGTGAATGATTCGTAGAGACCCTCTAGCATGTAGCAGCATCCGCGAACAAGAGGTCGGTCTATTGTCTCGTTATTTCTTTCCATCTTGATCATGTCGAGTAAGACCATCTCCAAGAGGGAGAGCACATTGACAGCCGGGTCCGTGTCAAGGGGGGTGTTCAGCACCTCTTTCTGGAACAGTGCCATAGACGTTGCGAAGATAGGTGGCCGCTTCTTTTCTTGCTCCATGATGCGATCCTTTTTGGGCTATAAGCATCGTATCGGCATATTTTGGGGTGTCAAAGGGAAGCATACCATGTACATGAGGACGTCGGTGATCATCCCGGTGCAGAGCTGATGGTCGTTGAAAGCATCTCTCAGCGTTTTAATGAACCGTTCACCGGCAACTCTGTTTTCTTGGGAAGGGACGCTGTCGTTAGGGGCCAGGGCACTGGCCAGGAGAGCTGGTGTTATGAAGGAGTAGATCTTGACTCGCACGGTGCCTCGCAGCCATGTCTCTATCAATTGTACCACCTTGTCGTACAACAAATCCTGCTTTTTCTTCAAGACCAGCTTGTAGGCATTCCGGAACAGCTCCTCGAATGAGAGTTTTGAGGCATTCTTTGCAAAGATCTCTTGGAAAGCGACGGATAACGTGCCCCAGATGGCGTCGAAGTCAACGTCGTCTTTCGTCAGGCCCTGTAGCCGATACATGTTAGCAATACGTGACGAAGGTGTGCTTGCGCGCAGGGAAACGCATAAGAAACTGTTTCATGTCGCACGCAGTGTGCAAGACTGGAGTGAAGCAGGAGAGAAGCGCCCTTCCACCTTTCACTCATTCTGCCGCACCGCATAGACGACGACCGGTCAGAGGAATCGCAGTCGCAAGACGTACCCTCCTAGGTGCCCGAATCTTCGCACCCCCTTTCTTCGCCAACATGATGGCCAAGGCACTTCGGCCGCACTTAAAACACCCTCAAAATCGCCTCGCCACGACAGAGTGCGCAGGATCAAGACAGGAGGTTGTAGGAGGGGCTCTCTTGGAGAAGGGCGTGAACGAGTGAGTACTGTGGGCAATGGTGGCGACGTTATGGTGGCCTCAAGTGTCTACAAGCGACAGATCGCAAATAGAGAGGCGACAGTCAGTCAATTCATTCTTCTTCAGCACCTCGACTCGAGGCTGCAACGAACCCATGCATCTTTGCAGCGGTTCGTCCCCCAAGCAGTGGCGTGCAATTCGGCCGGCAATCGGAAGAACTTCGGCTGCTAAAGTCCGCTTGAAGGTTCGTAGAAAGTTGCGAACGTTCCAAGTCACTCACCTGTTTCTTTTTAGTGGTACGTTACGTCTCAGTTACCCCCGAAACTCAAAGAGCCGGTTGACAATGCGATCGATCTCACGTCCAGCGTCAAAGATCTTTAGTGGGCTTCTGGCTCCTCAGTCGCGTCGGACTCGTTCCACCCTTCTATCAATATCGCCAAAAGCCCCGTCGGCTTTGCGACAGACCGTTTCTCCCAGATCCTCTTTCGCGCCCTTTCAAAGATACTCATCATCACTGTCTGTGCCGGGCGCAGAACCTCGCGCGGCGGAAGAGAAAAGAGATGAGCCCTCTTACGAGTTGAGCTTCACCTGCAAACCCTGCCTATACCGGTCCACCCACCGCGTTACAAAGCATGGCTATCACCACGGAACCGTCCTCATCACTTGTCCTTCCTGCAAGAATCGCCACGTAATATCGGATCATCTCAGAGTCTTTATAGATCAGAAATCCACCCTCGAAGACATCCTCCGGAGGCAGGCTGCGAAGGGCCAAGATTTCACAAAATTGTTGAAGAAAGGAAGCCTTGGTATCCGGCCTGGAAATTTGATCGGCAACGAAGGCGAAGAGGATCTCGAGTTCTGGGAGGATGGCACCGAGACCGTGCACACGCCGATCGAGGAGAAAAGAAAGAGCCAACCAGCTTCCAAGCAGGGTTCGGTGGGTACCGAGTGAAAGTTGCTCATACAACACAATCAAATGACGAGAACACACCCTGGCCTAAGAGGAAGAAGACGCCTGACTTCCCTGGAGCACCCCGGTGCTTTTCGGCTGGCTGCAACGTCGCGGAGCCCTACCTTGCAAGCCGCTCGAGACTCTCAGATGCCGGTTTCAAGGCGATTCGCACGAGTCTCTGTGCAAGTCCTCCATTGTCAGTGCTGGACCAAGGCCGCGCCCGCCATTGCATCACAGCCATGGCTGCGTCCGCTCAACTCTCCTCCACTGAACTGATTCACAGTCTCCAGAGCCTCTGCTCTGCAGGTTGGTACTGCTGCAGGGCTTTCGCAATGCCTCCTTCGGCGCCGATCTTTTCACCCAAATGCGGTGGTTATATGTGACAATAGATGGGAGACGAGGGTGTGTATAAGATTTAGAGTGTCAACAGTTTGGATGGTAATATGCCAAGAGACGGATTGTATCAACAGCTCAGATGAAGCGACTTATCCTTTTATTGTTACTTCCACTGTTCCTGGTCTTGCACTTCGACGCGAATACAAGTTCCACGAAATGTCAACGCCATCTGCACGAGGGACTACAGCAAGGGCTTTTGAATGCCACTGTATGTATGCATGCAGTCTAATTAGTTGTCTACTCTCCTCTATCTCTCACAATCTCTGCTCTAATGCCCATTCAGAACGCTCTCCTTGATTACATAGACTCTCGCCTCCCACGGTGTCAGGTACTTGCCGACTTCCTCGCCCTCTCTCAAGTTAGTCATCAGCAACTCCTTCTTCACGTTCTCCAGGCCCTGCGGATAATGCATCGGCTGCTCCTCGTCGGAGAAACTCAGGAACACTAGCAGCTGCTCGCCATGCCGGTCGGGATGGCTCTTGGTGAAGGTGAAGACATCCTGGTCGTGGAAATCCCACACGGAGAAGTCCTGCCCGAAGACCATCAGCTCGGCATATTCTTTGCGCAGTTTGATCATCTTCTTGTAGAAGTTGAGAACGGAGCCCCGGTCCTGCTGTTGCGCCGCGACATTGACGGCCTCGTAGTCGTCGTGGACTCGGATCCACGGCTTCCCGGTCGTGAAGCCCGCGTTGGCGGTACCATCCCACTGAACCGGCAAGCGGGCGTTGTCTCGCCCGACGAGCTGCAGGCCTTTCATCGCCTTCTTCAACCACAGCGGGTCCCCTTTGTGGCGGGTGGCGACGTCGTTGTACGCGTTCAGCGAGTCAACGTCCCGCAGTTCCTCGATGCCCCAGTGCTCAGGGTGGTTGTACATGCCGATCTCCTGTCCTTGGTAGATGAAGAGCGTGCCCGTGAGAGTGCACATCAGCGTGGCCAGCATCTTGGCCGCCTTCTTCCGCCATTCAGGCTTGTCCGTCGCGAACCTCGTCAAGCTTCTCCCTTGGTCGTGATTCTCCAGGAACACCGTCGTCCAGGCGTCCGTCCCGCGGATCAAATCCTGGACTTTACGGATGGCGTCCTTGAATTGAGGCAGAGTGTGCCGCACGGTGTGGTGTTTTTTGCCCCCGCCGTGCGTGGCGGTTCCCAGCATGACGACGTCGAAATCAAACACGCAGCTCAACTCCCTCGCCTCGGCGGACACGTATTGCAGCACCTCTGCCGCTTCCGTGCCGGGGAGTTCTCCGACCATGAGCACGTCGCCGTACTTGTCGAGAACCTGTTGCCGCTGCTCTCTCAGCCACTCGTGCATCCTCGGCCCGTTTGTAAAGTGCTCGAATGCCGGCTGGTATTCCTCGCCATGCAGCCTCGTCACCGCGTCCGGAAACGTCACATCCTTCGAGTACAGGTTACACGTGTCGACGCGGAAGCCATCGATGCCCCTGTCGAGCCAGAACTCGATGGCCGATTTGTAGATGCCCCTGCGGACTTCTTCAAGCTCCCAGTTGAGGTCGGGCTGCTCCTTGACGAACAAATGTAGGTAGTACTGGTCTCGTTCTTTGCAATATTCCCACGCGCTGCCGCCGAATATGCTGCGCCAGTTGCTGGGCGGCTGACGTTTCCCGTCGACGATTTTGGGATCCCGCCAAACGTACCAGTCGGCGTAAGGGTTTGTCTTGTCCTTCCGCGACTCTCGGAACCAGGCGTGCTGGTCGCTGGTGTGGTTGATGACCAAGTCGAGGATCAATTTCATGTCGAGGTCATGGCACGATCGGATCAGGTCGTCCATGTCCGCGAGGGTGCCGTACGGCGGGTAGACGTCCTCGTAGTTCGAGATGTCGTAGCCCATATCCTTCTGCGGCGAGTCGTACATCGGGGACAACCATATCGTTTCCACGCCCAGGTCTTTCAGGTACGGTAATGTGCTGATGATGCCGGGGATGTCGCCGATCCCATCGCCGTTGCTGTCCTTGTACGAGGCGGGCCAGATCTGGTAGCAGGTGCTGGCTTTCCACCAGTTGGGTTTTGCCGCGGACATGGTATATCGAGAACAAAGGATGAGCAGGATTCTAGGGAGAAATACGGAAAAGACCGACAAGTGTCGGCAACGTCACGAGTGAGAGGAGTCCGAAACAACCTGACAGATGATAAGTGATGTTTTGCCTTCGAGTCACAAACCTCACTATATACCTTGGGACTCTCACTGCGCGTACAGATTGTCAGCAGCGGACCGCCTTCCAGATGAAGTGCGTACAATGAAAGACTCTAATCGAAGTGAGTGGCACGGCAGAACAGCAGGTCACCTCGATATCGACGATTTACTCGGCGAAACTCCAGGAACAATGGGGGTACTTTGGGCCGACCAACAAACAGGTCGCTTGGACTTCACATATCAACAGCCTCGACTCCATAGTGACTCGGTCGCAATCTGGCCAAGGCACCTAAGGTGGTATGGGGACAGGCGATGTGAAGTGAAGGATTGTCTGAGGAGGCGAAGAATGTCAATGAATTGTGCGGGGAGTGATGGGCAGGTTTGACCGAGAATTTCACCGGCATGAGGCGCGACGGAAAGACATCCAGTCTTGTCGGTCTAGCGGGATTCATTAAAGGAATTACTTTACATTGGATAGACCTGAGACGTGAGGTATCTAAAATGGAGGCATCCACCGGCGTTTGACCGAGGATGCTATATCGGGCGTCTGCTTGTCTAATCTATCCATCGACAAGATACTGGATCTTCCGTCTGGGAACCTTGCGCATCATCTCCTTATTCGTCTTGTAGCGCATGTAGACACAACAGAATGGGAACAAGACCGTGTTGACCGCACACCACGCAAAGAGGACGCCAAAGTTCAGTCCAATCCGACTATATGTGTCGAAGAGGATCGTGCGGCTGGCGTTGACGATGTGGTACAACGGCCAGGCGTAGCCGAATTTGAAAAATCCTGGAGCCAGCGGAATGGCATAGAAGGATGTTGAGACGTTGGATATGACCCAAAAAATCAGCCAACTAAACAGGCACGTCAGTAAATGCTAGGATATACCGGTGGCGACAGGAAGTCTCACAATGCAGTCCACGGCTGGCCAATGACCATGGTGACGTTTTCGCTGGCCAAGCCAAGCGCATACATACCGACCCAATTCAGCATCCAATACACCACAAATGTGCCCTGGCCGAAAGCATCCGGGTTCTTCGCCATCGTGACGTCGTTGTGCGGATAATTGTTCGAGAAGGGAATGAGAAATGCCAGCGACACAAGCGAATAAGCTAGCGACATGAGCAAATACGCTGCAGTCGTCATGAAGAGGCGCACGAGGACCAGTTCCCAGAAATGCAACGGCGGGTGGCCCTTCGGTATGAGAAACTGGGTATATACCGGCAAGAAGAAGGAGAAGGAGAAGAAGGCGATGATGATCAAATAGATCAACCCTATGGTTACTGCTGGTGTGGCTTGTTGAGGCTGGAAAGGGCGGAGGTCGATCAAGGAGAAACCAATGGCTGGGTTCAAAGCCTGTGGTGCGCGAGAATACGTTGCAGGGTCGAGGGAGCTGTTGGAAAGAACATTTCGGATCCACTGCTCTCCGAACCTGGCTGGCAAGTCGATGGCAAGCTCGAACAACTGCGGATCGATGTAATTGCCATATGTTGTCTCATCTCTTGCTGAGTTGACAATTATTTGTCCTGCGCCCAGTGGCTCGTAACTCGCATTTCCTGTGGCAACCGCCTCTTGTAGAAGAGCTGTTGCATTGGCACTGACGATGATTGCCGCCCAAATGTGTTCGTCATACACGGCTTGTCGTACAGCCAAGGGGTCGCCGCCGTACTTTTCCGGAGATTCGATTCTGTAGCCCAACGCGTAGGCAGGAAGTGCCGCCTGCTCTCGTGCAGCCTGTTCGACCACAGGTCCAACAAGAGGTTCGATTCCTGTATAGGAGCCCGTACCATCGAAACTGACGACGGCGACAGTCAACGCCTCCAAGTTCTGTGGGACGTGGAACAAGACGGCCCAGTAGAGCGAAAGCACACAGAGAATGTAGCAGAAGAGGATCATAACCGTTAGGGACCATTTCTTTGCAGCCTGCTTCCACACATTTCTTAACGATGGGTGGAACAAGCCGACAGGTAAAGGAACGTCATCCCCAGAATTCCGCTCTTCATCACGGTTGCTTCCTCCGGGTACTTGGTTATCCTGCTTTTCGTGCTCGTCTCCAGGGATTTCTTCACCGTTGTGATCCCCTGGATGGTCGCCCTCGGACTTGAGAGTATTCTCGGAGCTTCCACGACTCATTTCGACGATGCCCTGGAGCTTGCGGACCCTACGTGAAGGTCAGTTGGGGGAGCGACGGTCGACAAATTGGTAACATGGGCAGGTAGATGACAGGATATCGCAGCCTCATGCTATTTCAGCGACTGGTAAAGCTCTCCTGACGTAGAGATAAACTCGCTTCAGACTGCTGGGCGTCATTCAATGACTGTCACGGGCGATGTTTCACCGCGATGCCAGCTACGCTGTTCGTACATAATGTGGAAATCGGACATGGTCACTCGTATGGAGCCCGCAAAAGTCGTGACGTTAGTAATGTGAACGATTGCGCTGTCCACAAACACAAAGGCACATGGGGGCGTTCGAAATGATGTCACCTCACATGGTAGCGACCCCGTGTCAACAAAGAGGATGCACTCGCTTCAGCAAGCAGACATTCAAGTGCCGCAGGCGTATTGACCAGTGTTTCCATCATAGTTTGTGAGCATCGTGGTGCTGCCGCTGGTGGTGGTGGTGCTGCTGGTTCGTGGAAAAACAAGCCTTGTCAAGGCGGCTCAGCTCGCAGCTGTTCAAGCTTGGGCGCAACCAGTTCGATTGCAAGAACTGGTTATGTGGCTACAGCAGAACAATCGCACCGCTAGACTTGTTCCACGGCGACATGCACCAGGCTGTGGTGAAAGCCATTCAACCCAACAAGATTGATTCCACCAGCACCAAGGAGGCGAAGAGCAGTGAGTGAGCACAAAGTCTTGCTTCACATCACATTCTACTAGTCCACCGTAAGCTACGGTGGACTAAATTACCCTTGTACATAACACAAACTTGGGAGGCATTCTCCGCCTGTCTTTTGCACTTCTTCTTTCCTCAGCCGTCACTGCTTATGGACATGAAGCCATAGCTGTGCCCAACAGTTTAGCTTGGCGTGTGCTGGGTTGCTCATGTCGTAGCAGCGGCGCCTCTTATCGTTCCATGGACAAGCAGAGTGCATCACAATGACCATCTTTCACTGTGGACGATTCGGGGAAGATACTCGGTGACATCTTCCCACTGTGTGGACTTTGAGAAGTGACAGGAGACATGGCTACAATCTATAGGGCCCTGCGCCTCTTCCACGACTGATAAACATCTTCAAGTGACCACAAGGAAATACTCCTATTCAATTAATGCTCGAGTTTGAGAGGCAGTCGCCGCCTGGGTCCCCAGCATCAGCAAACGTCGTTCAGCCGTGTTATGCTCGCCAACACCACTAACAGAGATTGTGTAGACGTCTGCCGCACCTTCCTTCCCGAACCATGATCTTCATCTCTCAAAAGAAGCATAATTCGGCAGAGGAAATGAGAGGGACACCGCGACGACGCGATCCTAGATCTGCCTAGGCCAGCATGGAATTGTCTACTTCCCACTTGGAGTTTCGGTCTTTCAAGTCGGCAACAGCAATATTCGAAGGCAGTTACGACACACGGAATCCATGAGTTCAAGCAATTTCCTAGGTCCCTTGGTCTCATTCATTCTGACATGCTGCAGTGATAATCTGAGGCCATTGTACGTATGCACCATATCTTTCGATTTTACTGCTACTTCAGATGTAACTTACAGATACAACTCGAACTTCCGACTCTCTTCCTTCTGCCCCCCACTTTATCCCTTTTCACCATGGGTGGCATTCTTCAACTCCCCACAGAAGTCATGGAGCGAATTCTCCACCAGCTGGACACGAAAGACCTCAAAGCACTACGATTGGCTCATAGGAAACTCGATTGGGATGTTCGCCCGACACTGTTCCACACCCTTCACATCTCCTGTCTGAACGCCGACCGACTGCGTCACATGAAAAAGTACCCGAGAATTTCTGCAGTCGTGAAAGAGATTCAATTTCAAGAGATGAGCCTTGAGGGCCTGTCGTTGCGAGCTGCGTCGAATTGTCTGCGTCGATGGTAATCCAGGTGGCTCTGGGCTCGGGTACCCTGCCCTGGAGAACGATAGAGCATTTCAGGACCTCAACAAAGAATTTCACCAGCTGTTTAGTGATTCAATTCTTCGCGGCTGGATGCAGCCGGAGGATGGATTGCGGCCAGCACATGGTTTTTTGGCTTTCTGGCGCGTTCTTTGCGAGCTCAATCCTCGTCAAGACGATAACTCGAGACCCAAGCCGGATATACAGCATCTAGAGATGAGACACGACAGGGACCAATTCAACTCAAGGGGTATAAGCTTTGACATGCTCGATTGGCAAGGTGATAGGCTTGGATCATATATGCGAACGCGGTCAAGGGTCAATGGATTTCGAAACCTTAGGACCCTGATCCTCTCTTTCGAAATTGAACAGAGCCGAACACCGGATGGTGCTGGGACCCTCAAACGTCGACGCTAAGAGACGCAGTGGCCGGAGCGACGAAGCTGGGGCGGTTAGAGATTTACCTAAGCCCCAGCGCTTCTTACAGCACCTACGAAGTTCATTTGCAGGAATTGCTCCCCTTCATCACGCTGCCCGAGCTTCACAGTGTTGTGCTGGAAGGTTTCCACTTCGGGGAAGGTACAATATGCCGCTGGCTTTTCATGCAACCGAGATTGAAACAAATTTCTCTGATTAGACCCTACCTTCATGGTCGATGGGAAAGCTTAGTGGAGCGGTGGTTCGTCGAACCCAGTTTCAAGCCGGAGTCAATTGAGCTGAGGAGTCCGTGGGATGTAGACATGTGGAAACAGGAGCAATGGGCAGACGCCAGTACTTCCAAAGTACCATCCAGAGTGTCAAGTGATGCAATTCTTCGGTACGTCAACCACGGCGGGGATAATCCCTTTACTTCTCGGCGATGGAAATCCTTCGACTGGAACGGTCAGTGCGAAGGGTGGGATGCTGAGAGAGACGGCAACACATCGGATTACTCGGACCTTTCTGAGTATCTTCCAGATGACCATCCAAGTCCAACTGATGATTCAGACGGTCCAGAGTACGACTCCGCCTACGACTTTGCCAACGAAACAGAGAGCGATCCTGAATTCGGGGAAGCAGAGAGCGCTGATGGGCGTCGCGAACATGTCGAGGGTGATGGAGATGACGGTACCGCTTCAGAGTAACACCTTGTATTGATGCTTGGAATAAGACAATAGAAATCATGATTGCTGCATTGTGACTAGCCAGCCTCGTCCACGGTGACTAGCCAGCCTCGTCCACGGTGACTAGCCGGTCTTGTCCACGGTGACTAGCCAGCCTTGTCCATGGTGATTGGCCAGCCTCGGAGTTTAACCTCGGCTTGAGTTCAGCTTCAGTTGGGTGTACGAGTACCGAGTGTTATCTATTCGTATTTGTCCTATGGTTTTCGCTCAACATAAGGTGCTGTACATATGAGCGCTGACTGAGCGCAGGCGCCGCGATGGACCGGTCGCTTGCGACTTTGTTGCGGTCATTGCAGACATCAGAAGTCCCCGAGGACGCTCTTCGGTTTGTCAAGCTGTCCGCCGTCGGGTCAACGAGATGCTAAATTGAGTCCAGGTTGCTGCCAACTGCCACCAGCCTCTTGTCGCGTCTTTCGAATCCTCTCAATGTTACTCTGTTGACTTCTCACCTCCTCGCGAGCGATGTTCTGTACCCCCAACCGACCGAGCTTGCCTACTGCAGGCAGATCTTCAGCGTTTTCTATACTGCCGTGTTGCGCTTGATTGAGGACAAATCTAGAGCGGTGCAACAACATCTCCAGAGCAATCTTGCTGTATCCGAATGGACGAAGGCTGTGGTCAAAGGAGCAGATGAGAAATCGCCACGATGGAGGCATACTTTATTGCTCGGGGCGCTTCTTCTCGGCCTGCAGTCGAAGGACTTCGAAGGCGTGTCGACCGATCTCAGGAAGAGGCTGGAGGCTGCACTTGTGTTTGCGTCCAACATGGCCTTGCAGCAGAAAGACGCGGACCCGAACTGCGAGCTGGCTGTCGTCTTCGTCCTCAATCATACCTTTCCTCTACTTTCAGGCTCTCACAGGGCTCAGGTTCACTATGACCTGCTACTCCCTGTGTTGATCGACGCGACATTCTTCTCGCCAGAAGGCTTAGAGCATGGCTACTGGCTAGGAGTTATCGACAACGATGTCCGACCATCTCCAGGACAAAAGTTTGGTTGGCCTACGACTTCCAAATCGTTTCGCAAAGTCACCGAAATCAAGGCCAGGACTCTGGTCGGAGGGCTCGGTGCCCTGTCACGGCTGATCGCCCACAGCATCGACAATGTCAGTGACAGAATGTTGATCGTTCACAGTACGAATCGGATAGCCGATTTTGCCAGGACTCTTGCCACATCCTGGAGACAGAACAAGTTGTCCGAGGTCGACCCTAGGGAGGAAGCACAATATCTGGACCAGGAGACGGTGCAGAAGACTCTTCCGGTCCTGCTTCACATTCTCCGAGACACAATGTTCTCCATCATCGCCACTCTTCGACCAGTGCTAGGACGGCTGCTATGTGACGGGGTGCTAGCGTCAGGTACAAATTCTCCTGGAATCGCCATGCAATGCTTGCACATTCTGCGCGACACCTACTTTGCAGCGCATCGGTTCGGCTTGACGTCCTCTGCTCCGTATGTGTTTGTTAACTTTACTGCCATTGACGTCCTCAGCCAGTATCCGCCACAATCGGAAAACTTCCTGGAAGCCATTCGTCCTGTCGATATTGGCCGAATTGCTCCTCATCCACTTGATCGACTGCAGGACCTCTTCTTCCTCAACACCGCAGAACACTTCACCCTGGTACTGCCACCGCAAACAAACCAGGGTCTTCTTTTTAATGCTGCAGCGCCGTACGTTGATCCACATGGGGACCCACGACTAGGCGAGATCTTCGAGGCCGCACACAGCGTCATGCTAGCTATCCTTGCCGCCCCTCAAAATGCAGAGGTGGCCACGAAAAATGTCCCATTCTACATCGAGACCTTATTCCGAAGTTTCCCCAAGCCACTGAGCGCGCGTCAGTTCCGGTTGGCTATCAAGTCTGTCGTGCGACTCGCGGCGCCACCATCTCCGATTGCGGTATCCATGCCTCTCATGCAGGCCATAGTGCTTGACCTGCTCAGAGAACGAATGGACCACGCTTCGGAGGAGTTGCTGCCTCCCAACCCCGATCTGCCCGTGGAGAACAGCGAGCCGCTGTCTGAAAAGACAGTCCTACTCCTCTCGATCATCGATTGCTTGAGCAGCCTGCCGGTTCCGCTTCTGGAGGAATGGCTTCCTTTGACTGCAGAGTCACTACACAAAATTGGGAATGCAGGTCAAAGACAACAATGCCAGCATCGACTATGGGACACACTCAGCAACGGTGAAATGGATGTTGAGCGAGCGGCTCTCTGTGTGGCCTGGTGGACTTCCAGAGGAGGGCGCGAGCATGTCTTGCTTGGGGAACAGCCGGAAGATCAGGATTATACTATGAGTGGTGCATTGCACCTTGACAGCAAGCTTTGAAGATACAATGGATTACGGGGTCCTCACGAGATCATCGTACTTGTTTGGCACTGTCTGTGGTCCGCTGAAGCACTGCTCGAATTGCTCAACAATGGAAGTGGGAGAGGAGTTTGGAAAGTTTGTGTGCAGCAGCCACAAAGATGGCATGAAAGCAGGATAAATCTCTCTGTGAGGATTCTTCCGTCATCCCAGCTGCATCTACTTTCTCAAACTCTGTGCACCCGTCTGTTCAGGATACCCACACAGAATCAGTTGCTCGCGCCATGGCTTCACAGCGACGTACCAAGAATTTCGCCAATGACCCTCAGACACCGATGTTCCTCTACAACATCCTCAAGCAATTGGATCTTAGGTCAATCAACTGGAGCGAGGTGGCCGACGGTCTCGGCATCTCAAATGGCCACGCTGCCCGTATGAGATACAGCCGCATGAAGTCGCAGTTTGAAGGGCTCTCAAGTCAACCTAAACCACCAAAGCCTAAGAACGAGAATACCAGTGCAAGCAAGTCTGCCAAAAGCAAAGCCAAGGACAACAAACGCCGCCTCATCGAAGAAGAAACCGAGCGACTGGGTAGCGGACAACCGACCATTCAGTCTGCGATGCAACAAGATCATGGTCATAAGAGAATCAAAGTCGAGCCACAGTCGTATACGAACGCTTGGCACAACACAGGCAGCACCTACACCGGGTATACAAGTCAACCTGGTGCGAATACATATTGGTGTCAGCCAAATACCCGATCCGAGCCATTCCCCCTGGCAATGCCAACTGGGGCCCCTCAAAGCATTTCATCGACACCTGCAATCAAGCAGGAGTCGGAAGCGACTAAGCCCTGTTCCACTGATGTGCCCAGTTCAGCGCCAGCGATCAAGCAAGAGCCGGGTCTAGCAGGGAAAGACTCCAATATGGCTGACTCTGACGTTGTCGAAGTAGAACGGGGAGCAGGAAAGAGTTTGACGCAGCGGTCACCTACTACGGCGTACAACGTCCCCATGGCTCCCAGCTACCCTCTAACACGCACCATCAACGCCTACTTCGATCGCAGCCACAGTCCCTTTCTCAGCACACAGCCGCGACCGTCGATGGATAGCATGACAGGGTACACCACATCTCAGACCTTCTCCCATGGCGCATATCCGTACGTTACCCATGGCAATGGCAATACCACGCCGAGTGCCTTGTCGTGGATCGCACGTCCTCTGGGTCACAAGGCAACTGCAATGTCGCTTGAGGACGACTCCCACAACATGATGCTGAACCCCTACGCAACGACATATCAAGACATGCTCAACATGCCCCTGTACCGACGCAGCCCGTCTATCTTGCCGATTCCCAATCCGAGCACGCAACAGACTGTGAGTCCGCCCACTTCCGATCACGCACAACGCCTGGGACGAGAGCAGGACACGAGAATTGCACCATCCGCTACCGTTACACCAGCTCCAGAAGCACAAGGTCTACTGGATACTACGGCTAGCGTCAGTACTTCAACCTCCCCTACGTCTCCAGAGTCTGCTGCTGGCCCACCTGAACCGCGCCAGGACAAAACCATGGGTGAGCAGGCATCCACCGCGGCCAACGCGAGCCTGGGGAAGACTGGCGCTGAGGGGGTGGGGAATGCGGCCTCAACTACGCTAGTCATTGACAATACCGTGGTGAACATCAAGACTGAGGTGGTGGAACTCTGAGGCAGATGGAGGTCAAGCATTGTTGGGAGACTTTGACTGAATACAGCACAACATGGATGCGAGCGGAAGGTTGGTGTCTGCTTGTGTGGAGATGGAGAATGAATAGCACGGCGGAATGATGGGTGATGGAGCAAGACATTGATTGATTGTGCTTTGTAGCGATCCAAGCTGTCCTCATACAGCCTTTAGAAGAGTCAACAGTATCATGTATGGGCGGAAATCAGCTGCTTCTTTCGCAGATGTGAAGAGTTCTTCTACACCAATTTCAGCTATGGATGCCACGGGCACAACATCTGCGAGATCCGTCGTGATTTGTCCCTCCTCTTTGCCTGACGCCGCCTGCTGCCCTTGATGAAATGCGGGGGAGCCAATCATCATCGCTACCCAGTACTCGACTCGGTCTCGGCTCTCGTCCTCCGTGATTATTGGGGCACGTCATCGTCATCGCCATTTCAGCAGCTTCATTCCCGTCGGTGGCTCGAACCTCGAACTCGTACTCAACACTCAACGTCGCTCTAAACAGTGACCTCGCCCTCACCATTCAGCCATGTAATTGTACACAACCTACTAGTGGCCTTCTTGCTCTTCCCCGGAACCTCACAAGGCATAAACATAATAATCATGTTCTCGTCATTCACGTCCTTCTCGCTCCCTCGCTTCGGGTTCGGCCGGGGCTCCGGCTCCGGATCTTCTACCGCCATTGACATCCCCGCCGTCGAGGTGCACAACATCGAGACCTCAACGGACAAGCGAGACCGGACACTCAAGCACCTCCTTAAACTAATCCACACGAACTTTTCGATCCTGTACAATCGGTTGAGGTTCCATAATCATACGCCCCATGTACGTGTTGTGTTCTGTTGTGCTGTGCCGTACCGCGTTCCCATTCCCATTCCTATTCCTGTCGACCGTCCCCTTCGAATCCATTAATTATATCAATCTAGTTACTACACAAACTTTTAAAGCCTATTAAAAACTAACGCTCACCAGCTCCTCGGCTCGGCCTACCTCCTCGGCAGTCCGCCCGAGCACCTGAACGACATCTACGAAGATGCAGCCAGAAACGAAGGCCACGAACCGTGGGTCGACTCCCCCTCCGAGATCGCTCTGCACGACTACCGCGATTTCCTCGGCCGGCGCGAATACCAGCGCGCGTGGGTCGACTTCTTCGAAGACCAGCTCGTGCTGCACGGGTACGAGTGGAAGATGGTCGTCGCGAAATTTGTCTTCGAGCGCGGACCCAAGGGCAGTGCGAACGAGGAGCCCATGTTCTCTTGCTTGACCGCCGGGTTGGCCCACCCGCTGATCCACCTCGGGTATGCGTACGAGTTGAATTCGCGCGAGGTGGCGATGGAGGCCCTGGGGTTGGCGGCGACGTGCTACGACGCGCGGCTGGCGGGGTTGCTTGAAAGCGGGATGGAACCCGCCGCCAACCCGAGGCCGGCCGCGTATTCCACGGGGAGTCTGCTCGAGGTGTTTGCGCGCGTTAACGGTGATGGAAGACTAGATGGCGTGTTCGACCACTACGGGGGCGACAATCTGAGTAAATTGCTGGGTGATGCGACGTTGACGTCGATCCTCATGGAACATTGGTCAGCGTGGAAGATCAGCGACCCGACCAAGGATTTCGCGCAGAGCCAGGCGTTGGCCGCCGCGTTGTTGGTGTCGAGTGCGCCGAGCGTCGGCGGCCATGGCTGGGATTTCTTCCTCGTGCACCTCCTCACGAGCAGCCACGCCGTCAGGATCCTGATCCCGTTCCTGGACGCACAGTATCACGTGCAGCTGGTCCGGGAGTGGTTGCTGATCGCCCTGGCCATCTATATCGCCCAGCTCCGGCCGCTGATCAAGACGTCTCACATTACGGATGTCGACCTTGCAGGCCGGGGCTGGGTCTTTGTCTCAAAGCAGGCGGTGGAAGGACCATACAAGTTCGATGCCCACTTCGTCAAGGCGTGTCGCGCACTGTACGAGGCGGATAAAGTGTGGGGTGAGTCTGGGCCGGACGGAGAAGACAAGTACTGGTTGAAAGCGGCGGTCAAGTTCGCCGGCGAGTTTGCTGGATGGGGTGGCTTTGGCGAAGAGGATGAACAGGCTGAGGAGGAGCTGAGGACGGATAGGGCAGAGAGACAGAAGGCTTGACTTCAGGTATTCGGATGCGGGGATTGTGTCGGAATTGAGCGAAATCATGACGATTGGAACCAAAGGCGACTGGAAACCAGTTCAATTCATCCTTGTGCAAATCTGCAATTACGATCTTCATGGTGTTCAGAGCATATCCAATGGGGGTACACAGCCTCGTGATGCGCTCTCGCTTCAGCCCGGCTTCGTCTCCGGTTTTGGATCGGGCCTGCTCCGCTGCCAAGAAAACCCCCCTTTTCCCTGGACATTAAAATGTCACATTGGCTCCTCACCTCTCTTCTTCCTGCTGCCCTTGGAACGATGATCGGCAGCTGCCGGTGAAGTCGAGTTTGTTGTCTGCCTCATCTGACTTGTCTGAGTCGATCCAGCCATGAGTACTGCACAATCAACTGACGGAACCCCGGATCGCAAGTGTCACGTGACACGGGAACGGGCCCGCCAGTTCGTGCGAGAAGTCCTGCAGGGGAATGGAGTGCCTGAAGAGAATTCAAACATCATAGCGGATTGCTTGATCCAGGCCGACTTGCGCGGTGTCGACACCCATGGCATGAACCGTATCCCTTCTTACATGGAACGGATACGGCATGGGGTCCTGGATCCGGTCGCAGAGCCGGCGTTCCATCAGATCACACCCGTGGTTGGACAGGTCGACGGTCGAAATGCGTTCGGCTTTCTGTGCGCGCATCTGGGCATGAAGCATGCGATTGAGATGGCAAAGACGTACGGCATCGGCATGGTCAGTGTCAAACACTCGAACCATTTCGGCATGTCGGCGTGGATCGTCCAGCAGGCTATCGATGCCGGGATGATGAGCTTGGTCTTCACAAACTCGAGTCCGGCATTGCCCGTATGGGGAGGTAAGGAGAAGCTTATGGGCGTGAGCCCGATCGCTTGCGGTGCACCTGCTGGCGAGGCGCCGCCTTTCATCCTCGATATGGCCCCTAGTGTTGCCGCGAGAGGCAAGATTTACAAAGCGAAGAGACGTGGTGAGAAGATTCCGCTCGACTGGGCGTTGGACAAGGATGGCAAGCAGACCGATGACCCAGCTGCGGCCCTGGAGGGCGTCATGCTTCCCATGGGCGGGCCCAAGGGGTCAGGTCTCTCCATCATGATGGACATCTTTTCTGGCGTGCTGTCGGGCAGTGCATTTGCGGGACACGTCGCCAACCCCTACGACCCAAGCAGACCCGCGGACACAGGGCATTTTCTCGTCGCCATCAAACCAGACCTGTTCATGAGCCTGGATGACTTCAAGGCCCGCATGGACTACCTGTATCAGCGCGTCGTGGGATCCGAGAAGATGGTTGGTGTGGACCGAATTTACTTTCCGGGAGAAATTGAACAGGTCACGGCTGCTGAAAGGTCAAAGACGGGCATTCCGCTGGTGAAAGCAGAGGTAGATGCATTGAACGCCGAGGCTGAGAGAGTGGGCAAGCCTCAACTTGTACTCTTGGATGGCTAGCACGGGCACCTCGTACGGTTATCAGACCCCGTGCTGTGGTGGTGATCTGGTAGCTTCTCGGCATTCGGTGCCGGTCTTCGCTTCGGTCGGACCAATAGTGGTGAGGGCAGAATCCGGCTAATGTTGATCATGCCTTCGATCTCTTTTGTTGCACACACTTCGCATCCATGCTGTTGGAGCTTGGACTGAAGGGCGGACTGTCAACATAATACAGGGCTGCATTGTCGAGGCAGAGGCTTCACCCGCGTTGAGCTGCTTCGGTTGTAGATGAACTTTGTCGCAGGCACGGCGGTGTCCCTGCATGGGCATTTCCGGGCTGACCTAAGAATGGCATCTTTTACCAATGGGAATTTCTCTCCGCCGGTGGCTGGCACTACGTGCTGAAGCCCGCAGGACGCCCCCTGCTGCCGGGAGCCAGTCGCTGGTCGCCCCTGGAGCTTAGCGAACGAGGCACATGTCGTCATGGCGCAGTCATTGCGCTGTCATTCCGTATGTGGCGGTCGTTGAAGGCTTGTCAGCTGCGAGCGCTCTCAAATGCACCGACGAGAAGGGACTGGGGAGCCGCCTAGGAGCACAGCGCTCGAATATGTGATGGTTCGAGTTTTATCACCGGGCTGAACGCATGAACATTGTAACACGGGCTGTTGGGCGAGAAGATCTGCAGGATGTGGCTGACACTTAACTTACCGATGCCTTGATTTTGGTATCTTGATCGCCGATCATCAGGAGCTGCGGCACAGATCTTATCGAGTACTCGTACTTGGACCCTTCACTGCTGGGACCTTAAAAGGGTCCGAGATGGCGAACATCCAGCTCTAGATTGTTGTCGAGACGGTATGGCCTCGTGGGCTTTAGTATACAAGTCACCCAGAGACCGGAGTGGAATTGCGGCTCGTGCAGAGAAGGTGTGCAATGGCGCACTCGTACTACTGGGACCATGGAAACTCGCGTATGAAGCGGAAATGTAACTGGCAATGATGTGCGCGAGTAACAGAGAAATGAATGAAAGATGAAAAGATCCTCATGCCGCACCCAGAGTCCCAGGATCCCAGCGAAGTCAATCCTTTGGTCAGTCTCTGGTCAGTTCCACTCTGCGCCTCGGGATATTCCCTTCGCTCTCCCACTCCTCGACTGCGCATTATTTGCGCCACTTGACTCTTGCTTCACCTCTAGATCAATTGCGCTCTTGTTGATCCCTCAATTCCACCCCGAATGCGCCGTTGACTTCCACGTTGCAGCGATTTGACTCTACTATTTCCTGGATTCTTTCCCTCGCCTCACCGTCAGGACGGGCATTGAATTATATCTCACACACTCTCGTCGACTTGGTCTCTCGACTGGTCACGGTCCGAGCCCACGTGCAGTCATCCCCTCCTTCGGTCCATTACCGTCTTTCACCCCATTGTTGTCCACCCGCAGTCATAGGGCACATCCCGAAAGAGAGGGAGGGTTTCTGAGGAGGAAGGAAGCCACAAACCGAGGCGAATTGGTCTTCAGCACAAAAATGCCCACGCTTGGACAAGTCTACTCATGAATTGTTCGACGCAGGCTCGTGTGGGATTCAGTACAGTGGCCTGGGGAATCTGTACCCCTCGACCCCTACGCCGCCGAGTGCGTCTGCTTGCAAATGTCAAGGCCACCTTCACGTGAGGCCGCAAAGCCCGTTGCGGACCCAGACGCCTCGACCTTGACGGCACCGTCGTCGTCATCCGCGCCTCATCCAATCGGTTCGGAATCACCAATTCGACGCGGTCAGCAACGCCCGCCAACATGGGTGCCCCTTCCACCTATCCCGTCTCAGGTGAGCATGTTCACAGGCCGTTCCACTGGCGACCCGATCGTGGCGACCCCATTGTCGCCCAAGTCGGACGACGGCAAGGCGATATTGAGTCCCGGCTCAATTGACCGCGTCTTTCCGGCCCGTTCTGCCATTTCAATCGACCCTGTCGCCACCCCCATGCCCCGTATGGATTCTTCTGGCGGCTATCCGGGCATGAGGGTTGCTGCCAGGCAGAGGGCTTCAAGTCACACTGTCTCTGGACCACGCCCGGTACCCACGACAAGAACCGCGTCGGTCTCTGATGCGTCGGATATCGGATCCATTTCGGACGCTGCTCAACGGTCTGTTGGCTCCATTCCCCAAGCCACCGGCAACCTCGATCATAAAATCTTGGCCAATATGGTTACGGATGATGCCATCTCCCGTAAGTCAGAAACCTCGAGCGTATCTGGTGGCGTGCCTATTCCAGCGCAGCAGGGCACGGGATTGGTCACGGCGCGGTTCAAGCATGTTGTCACTGACGAAGGCCACGCGGTCATTACTGGACGAGACGGAGAGACGCTGCAGAGATGTGAGGATGAGCCTATCCACATTCCCGGCGCCATCCAGAGCTTTGGACTCCTGATTGCTTTCCGAGAAGAGAATGAGAAGCTGGTTGTCCGAATCGCAAGCGAAAATTCGGCCAAGATCATCGGTTATACCCCCCAGCAGCTGTTCAAAATCGAGTCCTTCTTGGATATCTTCAGCGAAGAACAGGCTGACAACCTGCTGGATCATATCGACTTCATCCGTGAAGAAGGCGCCGGAGATGTAGCTTCTACCGGTCCCGATGTTTTTATGTTGTCGATAAAGCCGCCGCACTCCCGCACCCGGAGGTTGTGGTGTGCAATGCATCTTTCCGAGACAGACGCTGGACTGATTATCTGCGAGTTCGAGTTGGAGGATGATACGACAAATCCGCTCGTCCCCCCAGAAGACAGGACCACTCCCGAGTTCCCTGAAGACACACTCGGAAGTCAACCGACTCACGAAGAGCTCATGGATAGCACGGTGAATATCAGCAAACCCTTGCGCGTCTTACGAAGTGCCCGTAAGAAGAGAACGGAGGCGGCGGCAATGGAGGTCTTCAACATCATGTCCCAGGTACAGGAGCAGCTCGCCACCGCTCCCACGCTTCAGACGTTCCTCAAGGTCCTGATCGGCATCGTCAAAGAGTTGACTGGGTTTCATCGCGTGATGATCTACCAGTTCGACCATTCTTGGAATGGGCGGGTTGTCGCAGAACTTGTGGATCCTAGAGCAACCAAAGATCTGTACAAGGGCCTAAACTTTCCAGCGTCAGACATCCCTAAGCAGGCACGAGATCTGTACAAGATCAACAAGGTCCGGCTGCTCTATGACCGCGACCAAGAAACATCCCGGCTGGTGTGCAGGACTTTGGAGGATCTCGAACGACCTTTGGATATGACACATGCCAATCTACGGGCAATGTCGCCAATCCATATCAAGTACCTTGCCAATATGGGCGTCCGATCTTCCATGTCTATATCCATCAGTGCCTTCAATGAGCTGTGGGGCCTGATATCCTGTCACTCCTACGGGGCCAGGGGCATGAGAGTCTCGTTCCCTATTCGCAAAATGTGCCGCTTGGTGGGAGACACGGCTTCAAGAAATGTGGAACGACTTTCATATGCCTCACGGTTACAAGCGCGCAAGCTAATCAACACCTCATCCACTGCGACGAATCCTTCGGGCTACATTGTGGCATCATCCGATGACCTGTTGAAGTTGTTCGAAGCCGACCTTGGCGCTCTTTCGATCAGGGACGAAACGAAGATCTTGGGCAACCCCAGGGGCCATCTCCAGGAAGTTCTTGCCATGGTGGAGTACCTGCGGATGCGAAGGATGAGCGCCGTCTTCTGTTCTCAGGATTTCAGCAGTGATTTTCCCGACCTACGATACGATCCAGGCTGGAAGTTCCTTGCTGGCGTCCTGTTTGTGCCTCTGTCGACTGGAGGCAACGACTTCATCGCTTTCTTTCGGAGAGGCGTGTTGCAAGAGGTCAAGTGGGCGGGCAACCCTTACGAGAAATTTGTCAAAGAAGGCACCGAGGGTTACCTCGAGCCGAGAACAAGTTTCAAGCAATGGACTGAAACCATCGTCGGCCGATGCCGAGACTGGACAGATGAGGAAATTGAGACCGCTTCAGTACTGTGCCTCGTCTACGGCAAATTCATCGAGGTCTGGCGCCAGAAGGAAGCCGCACTGCAGAACAGCCAGTTGACTCGCCTGCTACTAGCAAATTCTGCACATGAAGTCCGGACACCGCTGAACGCGATCATCAATTATCTCGAAATTGCGATGGAGGGGGCGCTTGATCAGGACACTCGAGAAAATCTGGCCCGATCACATTCTGCCTCGAAATCGCTGGTCTATGTCATCAACGATCTTCTGGATCTCACAAAGACAGAAGGCGGTCAGACATTGATCAAAGACGAGCCATTCAACCTGCTACAAACGATAAAAGATGCCACCAATCCGTTCATTGGTGACGCCAGGCGGAAAAATCTAGAGTACGAGGTAGAGATCTCGCCAAGCCTTCCACGGAGCGTCCTTGGGGACCATCGACGAGTTCGACAAGTCGTGTCCAACCTCATTGCCAACGCGGTCCAACACACGAAGGAAGGAAAGGTCGTTGTGGAAGCGTACCCATGTCCAACGGCACAACCGCAACCGGGTAAGACAGAGATCGAGATCGTCGTTGAGGATTCCGGTGCCGGAATGTCCCAAGCCAAGGTTGATGCCTTATTCAAAGAGCTAGAAGAAGTCTCTTACGAAGAGGATTTGCCGGAATCTAAGGCCGTGATAACCAATCCAGTCCCTGACCAGCCACAGTCAGAGAATGCAACACTGGGGCTCGGGCTCGCGCTGGTTGCCCGCACCATTCGCAACATGAACGGCCAACTTCGGGTGAAGACAGAAGAAGGGAAGGGCTCAAGGTTCGTGATTGTTTTAGGTTTCGATACTGATGGCTCGGATCCAGCCCAGCTCGCGATCCAACCCATGTCGCCGGATCTGAGCACTCGGCCGGCAACATCGTCAGGCCATCAAGAAGGCGAGGTCACTCTGATTTACAGAAACCCGCAAAAGGTTCCAGAATCATTGGGTTCGAGGCCTGCTCCTCCACCTCGGAGGGCCAGTGCAGAAAGCATGAATAGTCTAGCAAGCTTGAAAAGCGCCATGAGCTTGAAAAGCGACGCTAGCCGAAAAAGTGATGCGGATAGACTCATTGACGCCATCCAGCAACCTCTGCAATTCGCTGATCAGAAGACCAGTAGCCCTGCACCGATGCACGACGAAGCATTCCGCCGCAGATCTCTCGAGTCTCCGAGCAAGTCCAAAAGCCTGCCTTCCCCGAGAGACTTGAAGTCCGCTTTCCGGACAGGCGGCTGGGAAAAGGTGAAGGATTCTGGAACGCCACTTCGACCTGTGCGAGTACCTGATGACCAGGAGGACGAGGCCAGTGGCTCGAAGATTGGACCGCGAATACTCTTCCGGGAGCCAAGATCGGAGTGTTCCCAGTCAGATACCACTGAAATCAGCAAAGCAAACCCGGCCGACAACTTCTCCGTGTTGGTTGCCGAAGACGATCCGATCAACAGCAAAATAATGAAAAAGCGTCTTGAAAAGCTTGGACATGCCGCTCACATGACAGTGAACGGTGAAGAGTGTTCCTCGGCGTTCGGAGAACAACCTGCCTCGTTTGATGCTATCCTGATGGACCTGCAGATGCCCATCGTGGACGGCTTCAGCTCAACCAAGATGATCCGATCCTATGAAAAGACCCAGGGCAAGTCGTGCCTGTCCAGTAGAGCTGGACAGAACGGACGAGTACCCATTTTTGCCGTGTCTGCTTCACTGGTTGAAAAGGAGCGCAACAAATATGTTGAGACTGGGTTTGACGGGTGGATATTGAAACCAGTGGACTTCAAACGCGTCGATCTCTTGCTCAAGGGCATCGTGGACGGGGAGGCTCGGAACGAATGTCTTTACGAGCCCGGAAAATGGGAAAGAGGAGGATGGTTCTCGGCCCGAGAAGACCAGCACGATTCTTATGACGTGGACACGCATCCGAGTCAAGAGAAGCCGACTAGCGTATGGGGGCCAGTGTCGATGGGCGATGAGGTGCAGGCATCCTGACCAGACAGCTCTGGAACGCGAAAGATGACTGTGAGTGAAGAGACCGTGGTGCAGCCGAGCTGGAGACAACAAAACGAACACGACCAAGCATACAGTACCATCGACGGCCCTGGCAAAGAGTATATCTATGGGCAGATGGACATCCGCTGGAAAATCCGGATGGGTTCACAAGTGAATCTGTAGCACGCGACCGTCGATACATTACCATCACGCCAAGGCGTGGCAATACCAGTTTTTTTGGTAGCTGAGGCCTGAGCTGGGGCTTGGAGTTTTGTTGTTGCGCTGCACTCAATTGTCATTGTCATTTGCATTGGCAAGGATGGCATGGGTGTGTAGAATATTGGATGTGGTGATTGCATGAGCATGAGCATGAGCATGAGCATGAGCATGAGCATGAGCATGAGCGCCTTTGATGATGATTTTACACAACCGCGATAGACGAGATGACGTGGATCACGACTGGGACGAAGAAGAAAAATACCAAAGAATGCCATACTGCTTCGTGGGGCTGGCGACACAGTGTGGCTCCGGCGCCGCATGGACTTGAAGCCTCGCAGCAAGCAAGCAAGCAAGCAAACAAATGACATTACAGTACTGTAGTAGGTCCAACCGACCCCCTCTGAGAGGAGCGATCGACTTTTGGGCGGACGCAAATGAGACAGACGCCTTTCACTCAGCTTGACATGAGTTGCATACCAGTATCTCATAAATTCGTCTCATCGTTCTGGTGCTTCTACAGCTAGTCGATGCTCTCGTGAGAACCTCCGAGCCGGCCGGCCGGTAATAGGGCTCGACACATAAAGACAACGGGAGATGATAAGTTTGCCCTGTTCCACTCTCCCCTGTTATAGGTCCTAGGACCCTTCCGGCGGCCGCTTTGTGCTCGTCAAGTCCTTTTTCGTGTTAAATCAACGCGGCAGAGGGCCCCGTAGTTTCTTCACCACGGCCATCCCGAGTAAGCTACAGCGTCTAATCTATCTGTCTTTCTTGTGCCATGTCGTGTCCTGCCATGTCGCGTCTTCCCATGTCCGCTATCCTCTCGTCGACTTGCACAGGATCGCTCGTTCTCTCTCTCTATCTCTCTCTCACTCTCTCTCGCGCTACTCCTCGATTCGCGGTATTGCGATATTGACTAATTAGCCGGATCAATAGCGACGGGACAGGCAGGTAGGTGGTACTCATGCTCTTACTCATGCTCTTACTCATGCCCGTGCTCATGCTCATGCTCGCTTCGGATCTCCACTCCTCGTTACAGGCTTATAGACGGCAGGTGTGTCCGTGCCCTCTTGTCATATTCCGGTCCGAGGAACAGGGGATATGTCTGTGTATATGGCGGAAAGGATTGCGGCCTTCACCGCCCTTCCCAGAAGCTGGTGGAAGGGATTTCCAACTTGGCCAATCTACACCCAGAGATGTACTGTACGTGTTTGAAGGCAGCAGTTCATTCTCGTCGTTGGCAGCGTTGTAATCTACACCGAGAGATGTGCTGTATGTGTTTGAAGGCAACAGTTCATTTCCGTCGTTGGCAGCGTTATAGGATGGGGGGGCGCACCATTTGGGTCGCTTCTGTGCATAGGAAAGGAGCAGGTCGGGATGTGGCCGGACTGGCGTGGCTGAGCTGTGGCAGAAGTTGTTCACCGGGAATCCTGACAGGACTTCTTGCGTAGCAGAAGGCGAGGTCTCGTTTTGCCGCCTCGGGAAGTCGATGCCGGGGCTATGGACCCCTTGGCTCGCTTGCGCCCGGGACTGCAGGCATGAGAGCTCCATTTCCGCCAATGCGTCAGTGTGAGCTTTGAGGGTCGTGGATTTCCGCCGCCACTTCTCTGCTTCCTCGTCCATTCCGAGCTTTATCGCTAGTGACGCCAGCAGGTCAAACGATGACAAGATGAAATCTTCGGGGAGGTCTGTCCGATATGCTAGCACCTTGAAGTAGTTGTCAACTTTCAGGAGCGTGCAATAGTAGGCCTTTTCGTAGTCCTGGGTCATGAGGTACAGGTGGCTCAGGTAGCTGTAGGCGTGAGAAAAGGCACCCCCCAACACACCGTCGTACTGCATCTCGTGCATCCGCTGGATATGGATCCATGTGATGTGCTCGGCTTCCTTGTATCGTTCGGCCGCCATGAGGATCTCCATCACACTTCTGGCTGCCCGGAGCGCCTCGACATCATAAGTCTCCCACCCCAAAATGAGGTTACTCAGTTGTGGGCTGTACTCGGCCGCGCCATGGTTTGACTGCATCAAGATGGTCTCGGAGTCCAGAAGAAAGAAAGCCTGCCGGTTGAAATGGCCGGAAAAGGCGTCGCGAGAGCAGTCGTGCGACGCCTGGGCCAGGCCGGCCAGGTCTTCAGCCTGGAGGCCGCTCAGACTTTGGAGCACTGCCAAGCGAGCATCACTATCGCCATGCTCGCTGACCAGATCGCCGAGGTACCTTAGAAGCTGATTAGCGACCGCGTCCTCGCATTTCGCCAGGTACGCCACAAGCTCGACCAGGCAAAGTAGTTGGGACGGTCTTCGAGACTCGACGACGGATTGCAGTTCACGACCCGCTGTGCGCCACTGCCGGTAAGCCTGCGATAGGTCTCCCAGGTTATACCTCATGACACCTCTCTCGATAGACAGGACGAAGCGATCGCGGCAACTGGTCGGATGTTCCGCGCCCACTATGCATGCGAAACCCATGACATCCTTGCCGAGTTTCCACAATCCCGACTGCAGCGAATCGCCCACGAAGACACTGAAAGAATGGAGAAAATATTCGATGTTGCGTAACGAGGTGGGAGGATTGAGATCCAAAGAGAGCGGTGACGGTGGTGGAGTATAACAGATGAGGTCGTGGCCGACTGCTGGCTCAGTAGGCGGACGATGGTCCGGGTACAAAGCCAACCCGGCACGTCTGGCGTATCGCTCGAGATCGGCAATGTCGACATTACGCCCTCGGAGGACAAACTCGGACTTCTTACCAAGCGACCGCCTACTGGCACGCTGCCAGAGGATCTCCTTGACTTCGTGGCGTTTGTTCTTCTTGTCAAGACCCCACCGCGCAATGCGGGATTTGTACATTTTGGTACTGAGTCCGGTTAGTTGTTGTCGAGCAAAGGATGGAGAACATACTCACGTTGCTTTCAAGCCATACTCTTCTGCCATGATCACCATGACTTCCGTCAGTGAGCGGCCTTCATCTCGGTAGAGCCGAGTGATCGTAGCCCGGTGAGGCTGCCATCCCGCGGCGGCATCTGGGTATGTCGCTCTGAGGACCATATTTGGTTTGCAGGACTGACGAGGATGGAAGCCAGATAATGACAGCAACGAATTCGTTCAGCAGAAAGGTGGAGTTCATCTTGGATTGAGGGACTTTAGAGGTAGGGACAGGCCGTGGAAATCGAGGGAAGCTAGGCAGTTACATATGTCGTTGGCGAGAAGGCAGAAAGATGGGGATATTGTAAGGCAGAAGGGTGGGGAGGAACAATACGATTGGTTGTATACCGAAGGGCCATGCATTGCATTAGCTCCCTGGCCTTTTCATTGTGTCCTTACCTGGCTGGTTCGCTTGGAGTCGGTTCCTCTGATGCCGACTGCTAGATCCTGCGTGCTTTATGTATATCTGGCACGCAGATCCAGGGCATTCGTGCGATCTCTCCGACATCTAGCATGCTCGGGGTTTTACCTTGAGACTGCCTTTGAACCGGGGCGTGTAGCTGTCTGTCCAATCCATCATCTCGCCTGTTGTACCATCGTTCACCAAGTCAAATCTGCGAGCGAGGTGGGCAAATGTGGTGTAGAGTTCAGCGTACGCCAAGCTATAGGTAATATTAGCAAGACGGTCGGAGAAGCATGCAGGCGCAACTGTTTGGAAAGGAAGTCGCATCGAACTTACTTTATGCCAATGCAACTTCGGCTTCCTCGCGAGAAGGACACCATGTGTCTCTCAAGTTCATCCGCGTTGGGCTCCATCCAGCGTTCCGGTTTGAAGGAAAATGGATCCAAGAATATTGCCGGATCATTATTGTACAGATAGTGAGAAAAGGAGACACGCGTCTGAATCTTTGTGAGTCTTGGGGAGAAAGGCGTTAATGTCAGAGGCAAACTCACTCCTGGAGCAATAGTTTCTCCGCAAAGCAGTGCCCCTTGCCTGGGTACGATACGGTGAAGACGGGCGGATGTCCCCAGAGAAAATCGAAGAGACTCCTTCACCACACCGCGCTGCACAGTTGCCTGTTTAGCCTGCTTCTTGAGGGAGTATGCCTTCCGAGTTGCGACTTACGAGGAACGGCAATTTTTCAAGGTCGGCCAACCGGCCAATTCCCTGTGTCTCTGGAAGGACTGACATGACTTCCTGGCGCAGCCGCGTCCAAATCTCAGGTCTCTTGATCGTTTCCCAAGTGCCAAACGTCAGCGCGTGAGCCGTTGTGTCGGTTCCCGCGAGGAACATAAGAACAGCGTCAGGAAGTATTGCCCCTTCTCACGGTCGGGGCCGAGAGCGCTACGGAGCATTAATGATGCCACTTCTTTCGAGTCGGGGGGCGCTCGGGCAAGCGAGTCGATGAGATCCTTGCATTGCTGTGACGTCTCAGTTCGGATTTCCCAGAGCAAGGAGCAATTGAAACTCACATTCATGACGTCTTTCATCGAAGCGGCGCCAGCAAACCAAGTCTTAACCGCATTTTCCGGCAGCAGTGAGAAGATTACCTTGTTCAACACGTTGCCGATATTGGGAAAGTCTGAGGCGGCGAGTTTCGCAGGTCAGTCTGTTCATCATTGTCGCTGCTCGAGAGATAACGCTCCTCCACGGGAGCTGCGAGTGCTAGTGCAGGCCTTGAGGCAGGCACAATGAGGGAGACGTGGGAGCTTACTTACACCAGAAGAAGGGGACGATTGGGCCGAATTCGTGAAATTCGACGATCAGTTTGGGCCGGAAGTTGGGAGCGTCGAGCAGTCCCAAACTCATTTGATAGCAATAATACATTGTTACATCTGCGGTCAAGCATTCAAAGGCTAGAACAAGGTCAATGGATTTATTCTGGCTCGCCTCTTCTTGGAGCCGATGCAGGAAGAGATCGACCTTCTCGTGTATAAGCGGCTCAAGGCCGTTGATTTGAGCTTTTGAGAAGGCTTGAATGAAAAGGTCCCGATGAGGTTTAGCAACGCGGCCATCGCCAACGTTGAGGAAGCTGCCATCGACCATGGGGGCATTTTAGAACTCGGGAGCCCGAATGAAGTCGGATCCGGTTTTGAAAACCCTGCATTCGAACCATCAGCATTCTTGTCCAGTCTCGTCGGAGCTTGCCAAGGGTGAATTACATGCGGTAGGCGTCCCAGTCGAGAATGTGCAACTCGCCTGGGCGAACGCGTACAACAGGTCCTACTTCCGTTCAGTATGTCCCTCCGGGTTTCGGGTGCTGCTGACCATATTCGTCATGAAGTGCTTTGAGGTGTTTGACCAGCGAGTCTCCTGAAAGCAAGTCGTAGTAGACCGCATACAGGTTGGTTGCAGCAGCCAACTTGGGACCGGGGAAGCGTGACAAAGGGTGCAAAGTCAGCCTACAGACAACTCGGAGCACCAGTGCCAGTATGAGCAACGCCTGGCCGAGCAGCACGAGAGACAGAAATGCCATCTTGCAATCAACAGAACTGTCAAACAACGCAGGCAAGCAGATTGATTGACCTTGAAGTCCGTCGTATTTCTACACCGGGCTTGCATCTTCGGCAGCTGGTCGCCTAAAGCGCATTGTCGGAGTCTCCTCCTTCATGCTCATCCATATCCCAGTGTTCAAGAGAAGCAGTGGGTCTGTAGTGAGCTTAGCGCCGACGACTTGATCCTGCGGACTGCAATGGTTTTCACCATTCACGACTGTTCACGGCCAAGGAAAAGTATTAGTGCCTGTGAGCGAACATTTGATTCAAAGCGCATGGAGATACGGAACGCGTGTCGATCAGTCAGGCATCCTAAGAGCATCAAATAGGAAGCTCCGAAAATGCGATGGAAGTAAATGCGGGTGAGGCGTGGGTGAGGTCGTCGCAAGAGCTTCCTGGTTCGGTACGTGATCCACAAGTGAAAGTGATGTGATTCTCGGGATCACATGCTGTAGCTATGAGTACACCTAGAGCAAACCTCAGATCTGAATTACTGTACCCTTCACTGGCCCTCAAAAGTCTCAGTGCAACCAACCAGTAAGAGCTGCTGCATAAAGGTATTCTACACATTGTTCTCTGTTCGAGCATAGTGTAGCATGATCTCGATTATACAGATTCAATGCTCGCGCCGAAATTCAAATACAGGTCAGCCATTGATGAACCAAGCCTAACCGCATGATTTCAACACTACACAGTTGTTTTTCGACACCACAGACGACAAATCCGGAAATACTCATGACACAATTTCGCGCAGTGGAATGGCACTGGATCTCATCTACGAGTACCTCGTACGACCAGTGAGCACTGAGGAGCAGCAAGCAGATGGCTCGTACCGAGTCGTGCAAGGACAGAAATAGGAACAATCAACACGTCGCAGTCATACAACCCGCATTTGCGGTACTAGTACTCGTAGGGAAGGGACCTTTACGCGCGCACAGAGAGTGAAGAGACATCATGACGTCTTTTGCAACGGTGCCCATTCACGGTGTCCACGGTGAAGGCGGATGCCACCTGCTTGAGTTTCGGATTGTTTCTCGCATCGGATAAACCATGTGTCCGTGAGTCCCGGCTCGCACCACCACAATAGGACTAGCCATACGAAGCATGATTGGCCGAGCCCCGACATTTCTGCTTTGCTGCTGGCTGCGCCTTCGCTTCCCTGCGAGCTTCTTCTCACTCAGCTGGCGACCGACGCGCCATCTCAGCAGTCCCCAGCAAGGGAATCTGTGGAGGATGCGATGTGTACGCGTTCAGCCTCGATGGCTTTCGAAAGTGTCTCGCATGAACATCCTTATGCGAGCCAATCGTCTCTTTGTTCTACGGACGTAGCTTTCCCCCACCCTCTCCATGTTGCGGCAGCTTTCTGAGCCTCAACGCGCGGGAGCAAAATCGCTCGTCTCGAGGAGGATGGGACGACTGCTGAGCAATGCTACACCTCGCCCGCCACCAAACCTACGGTGAATGCGCATCATAGCTTGAGATCCAACACCTTGCTGTATAAGAAGGTAGGCAGATCTTCACAACAGCTGTCTTGATCATCAGACAACAAACAACTACTACAATCACTACAGCTATTTCCTATCGTATTATTTCCTTATCACAGTCGTTCTGCACAGATACAATATCCTCGCTTCATTTATTACAGCGCCCCAGCAAACAACTCTGATACTTGATCTGCATATTTCAACTCGACTAATCCAACAATCATGTATACTTCCATCGCGTTCATTGCTGCGACACTTGCCACCGGCGCCTTAGCTGTTCCCTTCAGCAACACGTCCACCACTTCATACTACTGCGGCTATGGGACTAATGCCGATGGCTCATGCGTCAGCCCAACTTCGACCACAAGCTCGGCCTCGACTACTTCCACCTCAAGCGTTTATTGCGGGTTTGGAACCGCTCTAGATGGCAAGTGCAATCCACCTCCGTCGACCACGACACCAGCCTCGTCGACGACAACATACTACTGTGGATATGGCACCGCTCTGGACGGCAAGTGCAATCCGCCCCCGACCACATCGAGCACGTCCACCAGTACGTCCACCTCCTATTACTGCGGCTTTGGCACTGCTTTGGACGGCAAATGCAATCCCCCAACATCAACCACGACCAGCTCAACGTCTACCGCCACTTCCACCTCGCACTACTGTGGTTTCGGCACTGCTGCTAACGGCTCTTGCAACCCTCCCTCAACGACCAGCAGCACATCGACGAAGACAACGAGCACCGTCAGCAGCACGACAACAAAATCCACGACTGTGAGCACGACCAGCAGCGTTAGCAGCACAACCACTCCCGTCTCCCACTACTGTGGCTATGGTACAGCATTGAATGGCAAGTGCAACTCAGCTCCTCCTACTTCGACTAGCTCGTCAAGCAGTGCCACCAGAACGACTGTATCTCACTATTGCGGATTCGGCACCGCTGCCAACGGCCAGTGCTTGCCAAAACCCCCTGTGTCTACAACGACTCCTAATGGCTGCCCCACTGCTATGACCGTCACCCAGACCGTCACGGCGACCCCGACCCTGGCTCCTCACTTCTTCTATGGCCTCAGCGAGTGTGTGGAATGTCAGACGGTCACCATCACCATGGCCATTCCCACCTCGATCGGGGCTTGGTAGAGCGGTAGAATAATTTCAAAGGCAACATGATGCGGATTTGGGATGGTGAGGCTGCAGTGCAGCTTCAGTCTGTTTTGTCTTGACATTATGCATGGCGTGGCGTCGACTTGAAAGTATTTCGGCATAGCAAATGGTTGGTTATCATAGACACATCCTCGGACATACATAGCAAGCTTAGTCACTCCTTTGAATACATGCGAAGCTTCCACCTACATTTGAGTCCCTTGATCCCACTGTGAGGCACATCTGAGTTCTGAGTTCTGGGCCTGAAACGGAAAGAGCGGAGATGTCTGCTGGGCAGGATGTGGGGAAAGCGCCCCCGGATAAATGCCACCAACCTTCGCCTCCACGTCGAGATTCACACTCCCCAGCTCGTACACTACTCGGGCCGCGTATCTTCTTTGGCTGGCACTTTAGCCGTTTTCCAGACATGGAGGGGGACCAAAAACCACAGATGCCGCGCCCAGGCTTGGTGACAGCATAGGCGTCACAAGTTCTATGCGAATTCTTCCTCCTTCGCCAACCCCACGCCCACGACACCGACACTGCGCCATGCGTTGAGTTAGCATTTTAACCCCCCTTTGCATGCGGGCAGCGACGACTTGACTCACCAGCTCCATCAGCGTCGGATTATGTCTACGAGAAGGACATGCACAAGGCGAGAGCCGTGACACCTCGGCCGGATCAAAGCGCTGGAGTCGCAGCGTCGCGCCCTGCTCGTGCTGTGGCCTCCAACACCTTCCAGTTCGTCACCGCCATCCCCACCTCCGAAGCCGAACGCTCCCAGAACAAGGTCATTGTTCGCTCCAATGCTTCAAACTACCACTGGCGGCGAGTCAAGAAAGATGAGGATGGATCCCCAAGTCGACCGGTATCGAGGCGTCGCTCTTCGAACCACGGCCAGCGTCAGGGCAAATCCTCCAAGAGAGCGCGTGCCCCTACCACTCCTCAGACGACCGGATCCTCCTCCACAGACAGCGAAGGCTCAACGCCGCAGATAGAGGAGGACCTCGTCGAATCCATCACAGATTCGCCTGTACCAGGAGGTGAACTAGTCTCATTCTCTCCCAGCAGCCTGTCGACCTTGGTGGTGTCTGGCCACCACGATCCATTTGAAACATATCCTTGTGAGTTGCCGAAGGAGTTTGTCAGCCCCGTCCTTGATCAAGGTAAGTGATGGACCATCCGAACCGTACACATTCATCGATGTTGACTGCCCTCAGTGAACAGCTTCCTTTCGTTGATGTTTCCACCCGAGAAAGGCCAGACGTTGAACCCACACTCCGAGAAATGGCTTCAAATGACATTCCACGATCGGACGCTTTTCCACGCCTCGATGTTCTGTCAGCTCACGCGCAATCGAGTTTTCTTCTCCTCCCCGGCTGAGTCCCGAGAGCAGATGCAGTGTTATACGGAAACCATTCGCGGCGTCCACCAGAAGTTCGCCGACAGTTCCATGAGCTGCGAGGATGAGAATATCCTGGCAGTGTATGCCCTCTCTTATCACGGGGAGCCTCGATCCCATCCCCCAGCGGCCGCACCGACACAAGGCCCACTGACTACTTTGCAACTCCTTCATCTATACGGGGGCCGACTTCACACGGTGAATGTGCATTTACAGGGACTTGCCAGAATGTTGACCCTTCGCGGCGGCCTCGCTCAGATCAAACTGCCTGGCTTGGCACAGGCTATATCTTTGTAAGCGATGCACTTGCTTGACATGGTCACTTGCAAAACTGACTCAATGCCATAGCGGAGATATAATTCTAGCCAGCCAAACCTTGACCAGACCAATGCTGCCATATGAACAGATGGGAGACGATGTCATTGGGCCTCTGAACCTAGCGTCGAGGAAGAACCACCCCTTAGTCGGCCTCGGCAGGGGATTTCGGGTTCTGCCAGAGTTGCTGGGCCACGAGACCGTTGAGCACCTCCTGATCGTCCTGAAGTGGATTATCCAGTACACTTTTGCGGTGGATGACCAGGTCAAAAACAGACCAGAAGCTCAGAGGCTGGGATGCGTGTCCGATGAGAGAAACTTCGTCCAGCACAGTCTGATGCTGTTGACTCCCCTCCCTTCAGAAGTACAGGACGAGCACCCATTAATCAGACTGGCGCGACTGGGCACAGTCGTATACAGCCTGCTCGTGGTGTTTCCGCTTCCGGCAATCGCTGCACCTTTCCACCAACTTGCGCACGACATCAAGGCACAGCTTCTCGATCCAGCGATCCAGGCTTGGTGGGGTGAAGCATCTGATCTGATAATGTGGGCGACTGTGATGGGTGCGATAGCGGCTATAGGATATCCGGAGCGACAGTGGTATCGTACCATTCTCGACGAATCCACTCGACAGGTCGGGGTCGAGAGCTGGCCAAGTATGAGGGATCGGCTAGGTATGTTTTTGTGGTATGAGTATACGAATGATGCCGACGGGCTCAAACTATGGACGGAAATTGAGGAGTCCAACCTGTTCAGAGTGCCGAAGTAGGCACTCCGGCAGCTGGCTGGGACGAAGCTGGTCTTGAATGTCACACGACGAGCAGAAGGCAGGTTCTTGGGCAAGTACCGGTGGCTTTTAGATGAAATATTTTAGCACATGGAGCAGATGAGCAACGAGGGGCAATTCGTGGACGGAATACCGCCTCCTCTTTCAATATAACTTCTGATCGACACTAAAAATAGGGGTGCCTATGCCGCCTGTGGTAGCTCTGAACATGCGGTTGTGTCCTTCTAAGGGTTATTGGCGTCATGGTTATAAGTGGTGTGTGCCTATTTCTGGGCATGCTTGTAGGTGTGCCATTGGTGTAGGCATGCCTATAAGTACCTTAGCTGTACTTATGAAGCCTAATAGGTGAGTAGCTAGATACGGAGTACAGTATCACAGTAAAAGGTCGGAAAAGCTGCCTCGGCCATGGGCGATCTACGCGGTGGAGTTCCGGCCACGTTAACGCATATTGGCCAGTGACGGACGTGTCAGAAGCGCATCCTCTGTGCCTTGCATACAGATGTCCTGCTTCTCATCCCGGCCAAATACATCGACATGTTTGGTGCCCTGAACCGATTTATCGCCCGTCTGGACGGCGAGCCGCCTCCGCGGCAAACCGATTCTGGGCCTTCCGACACCTCCTATGGCTTTCAAGTTCTCCGAAACACGAACAAAGAGCTCCAGCTGGAGCCCTGGTTCGAATTCATTATTGGCATGAACGGTCACTACCTGGTGTGTATAGATGTGTTCCCTGTTCCCCGGCTTCTCAAGACCGCGGGGGAACCCTGCTGACGGAACGAGGACTCGCCGGATCCCAATCTTTTCGTCACAGAACTGAGCAACTGCGCAGGCGGATACTGCACGTTAGATCTCTGGAGCGCAAAGGTACGAAAGAAAGACACGGGCACACCGACTTGTTGCTGCACGACCAGGACCGCAAATCCCAGTTCTTCTTCCCACGGCTGTCTGGGGTTTTGTGGCTCAGTTGACCGACTTTTCTGACCGCCGCTGCAGGGCCAAAGAACGCACTCGCTCACCATCCCAGTACCTGCTTCCGGCGAACCTTTGGGGTTGTCCCTCCAACTCACGCCTCTCAACTCCACTCAAAATATATGGCACGTCCTGAGCATACCTTCTCCGTTGTCTCCAGCTCACCAGGCTGGCCTTCTCCCACACAGCGACTACATCCTCGGCTCACCGAGCGGGACATTGAAAGGAGAAGCGGCGCTGGGCGAGTTGGTGGAGGATCACTTGAACCGAAGCCTCGTGCTGTGGGTTTACAATTCCGAGTTCGATGTAGTGAGAGAGGTGGAACTTGTGCCTCGACGGGGCTGGGGCGGCGAGGGTGCCCTGGGAGCGGTCCTCGGCTTCGGGGCCCTACATAGACTCCCTGTGGGGTTGGGAGAAGAGATCCAGGCGCCCGGGGAGAGCCTGTTCGACGCCGATAAAAAGAGCCACGAGAGCGGACAACAGCAGCAGCAGCAGCAGCAGCAGCAGGCCTTGGCCAACAGTTTCCAGCCCGCACCGGTTGAGAATCTACCTACTCCGCCTCCAATGATCAGCCCGAATGTACCTCCGCCACCGATGTTGAACCCCAACGTCTCTCCTCCGTCGACTGCAGCACCCCCGAGGACACGGAAAGGCCGGCATCACGCCGCTGCCATAAAGAATGGGTTCGATGATATGTTTGCTGAGGGGACCAAGAAGAGTGCCGAACAGGACCATATACCTTCGAGGAAGGGCACGCCTCTTGCGCCGCCCCCCAGGTCTGGTTCTGCTGGACCGACTCCCCACTCCGTCACGCGTGAGCAGGGAGATCCCCTTGCTCAGGCAGGCGAAGAGCTAGGCGAACCGGGCGATGCCGAAGAGACGTGAGGGCGGGGGTTTGTTGAAAATTGTTCTGACCACCGTTTTCGAGGACGGCATCGGATGGAAAGGGACCAGTGCCAACGTTCAAGACTCAAAGTCGAGCTGTCTAACCTCCTGGTCCGCCACCTCGACCTCGTCTTTCCACCAACCCATGAAGTCTCGAATCCTGCTCGACCTCTCCCTTGCCATGGCTCGCCCCGCATCTGTCTTCATCATCCCCTCGAGCTTCAGCAATTTGTCGTCGAAATGCTGGATGGAATCGCTCAGACTTCTCGCACCCTTTGCTCCTCCAAAGGTGAAGCACCGTCCGATGCCAATCGCCCCAATGGCATCGAGCCGGTCTGCATCTTGCACGACAGCCAGCTCCGGTATCAGCTCGATGAGCTTCTCTACGCGCTCCGGATTCTTCACTTCCGAGGAATACGACACGCCGTCCACCAACAGTTGGATATGCTCGGCGTAAGACTCCGACAATCCCACCTGGGTGACCGCTTTGCGCAAAGACCCCGCCTGCTGTTCGGCGCTCACGGTGACATACTTCTTGTCCTCGACATCATGCAGCAATGCTCCCAGAATGACGCTCAAGGGATTCAAAGCCGGGAGAGCCTGTCGTTTTCGCTGGTCTTCCACCTTCTTAAGAATGGTAAGCGCGTTGGTGACGACGCGTTTCACGTGCGCGAAGTCATGAGAAGCGTCGAAGCGTGGGTCCTGGAAGTATTGTTCTGTGAAGGTGTAGATTTGGCGGATGTATCCGGTCTCTTCGTCGGACAGCGACGGATAGGTCGTGGGATCCCAGTATGGAGATTTCGGCAGATCCATGGTGGTGAGGATGGCGAGAGGTGCCAGACTGCAGGTGAAACTGATTGGATATTGATTAGGTCAACGCACGAGCAGCTGAAAAAATGGACGCATCACCGAGGTTTCCAGGAGAATGGCCTTATTTAAGGCACGCAGACCATGATTGTGTTCTCGGAGGTCGGTGTGTCCGATGTATCCAACGCTCGTTATGACATTCAAAGTCACGTCTCGGACTGCTCTGCAGACATTGACTTTCGCCTCAAAAGAATCAAATCAGGCGTCGAGCAGATCCGTGCCAAGACGGGAAAATATCGGCCCGTATTGCGTTCCCACCATTGGCACCGTCGTCTCTACTGAGTATGCGCCGCCGTACACGACTTTTCGCGCCCTCTCATGCATCAATCATATTATACATTCAATCTCCTTTCCCTTTTTCTAATGTCAAGATAAGAAACAATCCCCTGCGTTATTTCGTCCGATCAAGGGATACCCACAGCATGCGGGGCTGGTCAATCCGTATGTGCAACAGTCGTGGTGCTGGATCTCATGCTGCTTTGGTTCCCACTTGGAGGTCCTCTTGACACTGCTCAAGCGTTCGAGGCCTCCCGATGAGAACGATGAATCTGTTGACCCCGAACAGCGGAGTCCTTCAAGCATATCTCGTCCGGGTATTGCATCAGCTGTAAGATCACGCTGCATAGATGTACCATCCAAGACTAGTATGAACAGTGCCGAGGGTTTGGGTATTAGGAGTCATAAGAAGACTGTTGGCCGTCATCGTTCTCTCCTCCACCGCCGTGACTTGCATTCTGTACAAGTGCAGTCTTTCTCATCTGCGTTGGACTGAATCTCTGACTGTTGTCGACCTTCGTTTACCGGAAATCGCTGCTCATATCTTTGGCGCGCCTCCCATGACATATCCGGCTCCGCGTCGGTCGCATCTGTGGACCGCCACTTCACAGTCTGAAGTGGAGTTCTCTGACGGCGACGTTTCCGCGACTTGGCTGCCGTGCGGATTGGTATGGGAGCGGAGGTGGCCGATCCTGCGGATATGTCATTTCGATTGCTGCCATCAGCTTCTGCTTCCGCGGCTGAATCGTGGCAAGAGTCGGCTCGGGCGTCGCAGGTGGTGAAGACACCCTCTCGGGGCGGCAACGCTGCTAATGGCCCTTGGTTTGACCAGCTTCGAGGAAGTGATCCTGGCGATGCCATGGGAAAGAGGTAGGTATTGCTCAAGTCTTCCCAGGCTGAAGAAGACGTGTCTTGCGCCCACAGCGAGGGGTTCGCGCGAGACCATGACCAATGCGTCTCGGCGACATAGCCGTCTGGAAGATGCATCTCGTGAAGTGGTGCTTGAAAGCACAAGATGGATGCTGTTCTCTATCTCGAATGTCCCTGGCGCAAGGTGATGTTGCAGGAGGCGGACAAGACGGATATCATAGGGGTTTATCAATGTCTCTTCGACAAGGTGGGCAAGGGTGGAGTCGCATCTCCCTTGAGGGTAGATCTAGAACTCCAGGGATTTGATGCCATCCAATCCTCATGGATCGTGAGTGCTTTCGAGCAAGACCGTGCAGAGAAGGACGCATGGAAGGGTCCACAAGGCTCAGGTAATCGCGCCACATCAGGTGTTGAATGCTCCGTCATTGGGACATCGCGCGAGGCTTGGAGCCAGGAACCAGGGTTGCTGGTCTCCTCGAAAGCTGAGTACAAAGGCTCCTACCAGTGCGCTATCCCCTTGAAATGCATCGCCTGACAGATTGCTGGGGAAATGCAAATACCGCCAGCAATGAGCAGGTCGATATCAAATGTCCACCGATATTCCAACGTCACTGGATACCAACCGGAACGCGCCGATGAGGGTCCAGAACTAGCAAAGGACAACGGTGACCTCTTGCGCCATTTTGCAGGACCGGTTTCATTGGCCTGACCACCACTTCACATGGACACCAAGCAAATGAAACAGGAATACAGTTTGTGGGGGGTAGCAGGTCAAGGAGGAGCCACGATGAGTAACCCGCCTGTTCTGAGAAAGGGGGGTTTTCCGAAGACTATGGTCGACACAATGCCAACAATCCTCCCCCCTTAGGCTCTCCAGTTCGGGCCTCCAACCAGCGAATTCCACCGGATATCAGAACACGCACGGGACCAAGACACGGAATGGACCTAACAGCCGGGAAGCAAATCGAGGAGGACTCAAAACCTGTTCGTATAAGCAGGACTCCACCACCTCATTCCGGCATGGCTTCCAACTATTCGAGGCCGAGGCCGTCATACTACGTTCGCTGCCACCAACCATTCCCATCCCTGGCGTCCTCTTGGGGTCCAATGCTGCAGAAATTCACGCAGTCTTGCGGCTGCAGCCCGTCCCAAGCTCTGTCCCGACCAGTCGATGCCTACGCTACTGTGGCAGCGAGCAGCTACCTCTTCCCCAGCGCATTCTCCGAAGCCTTCTACCGAAGACACGCAGACCTGGGCCCGACTCGTCACTCTGGCCAGTCAGGACATCTGCTTCTTCGACGTCTTACTACAGCCGCTTAGTGGATTCTTCAATGATGCCCACGCGGCGCTTTAGACACAAGTTCAGCTTACCGTGTCTCTTCCCCGCTCTGTAAAGTTCCGGGTGCTGGTGCCCTGGCTGCTTTGTCAGAGCACAACTTTCTCTACAAACACGTTCCCTAGTGCGGTCCCAGGCCCTGCCATGTTGAACCCTGACGTTATGCCGGGATCTCAGTCTGCCAGACACCTTACCCACAGCGAATGGGACATTGCAGGTTATCGCGATCGGCCTGCGTCATTTGCAGGGGGTCTGTACGGAGTATCCAAATCAGCCTCGTTAAGAATACACCACGAACATCTCCAGAATGGTATAATACAACAGAGGCCCGCCGGCCATTCAAATCATCTACGAGATCAACAACTTGTTCCTACTTGCGCCACGCCTTGACCACGTCGAGCTCAACACGAAGTCATCATCAATCATCAAGGCTTATCAGGACAACACTGCTGTACTCTACGACGCTCAACTCATCCGGACATCATCTTCACACTCGATTGCAAATATGCAAGCTGTCGAACAGAATCTGGAATTGGTCTTCCCACCGGAAGTCATCCCTGCTTCATACACCTGGAATATCCTGTCATCGGCGCAGCAGGAAAACAGCTCAATGGATGTCTTGGATCTTTTCCTCGCGTCGCCATCCCGTTCGCCCGTTCTCGACGAGAGCCACACTCGCAAACAAAGTGATATAAACATGGCACAGGACATCTTCTCCTATCCCATGGCGAATGACTTCACTTCGGGCCAGTCGTCGGTCAGTTATGCCAGCAGCGTGCAGTCGGATGACTTCTGGACCGCCGAGGGCACCGCATCCGAAGTCCCGGAACTACCGTCAACCATTACGCCGGCCAACTCTACGACAGTGGATCGCAGACATCGGCGACGCGAACAGAATCGCAAAGCCCAAAGCAACTTCAGGCAGAAGAGGAAGGAAGAGGTGCGCAGTCTCCAGCGCGAGGTGGAAGAACTCCGAGCTCAGCTTGCCGCCTATCACAGGAGAGGCCCGACGGCCAATCTGACCATTTGCACGAAGTGTCGGACCTTTTATCCTGCAGCTGTCGCGGATGCGTCGCACGATTCCAACAATGCAGACCTATTCAGCTAGTTTTACGCAGCCATGCCTTTTGATGTTCACAACAGTCAAGCATCGCTCGTATGCGTGGCAGTGGCAGGACAGCAAGTCAGTGTCAGCGTCAGCGTCAGCGTCAGAGCCATGCAACCAGCACCGTTCGCCAGCAGCCTACGACTACCGTGGTGAGCGATTGGTGGTGTCAGAGCCAGGCGGAAGGTTCAGCAGTCAAGCGATTTCAAGAAATGCATCGTCCGACCCCCGCACGCTGTTTGACTCGAATATGCATACCACGACAGGTGCTGCAGAAGCTCTTCAAGCGAGGTGCTTGGACTGCTCACTGATCGCAGCGCCTTCTAGACGCTTGCAGTGCAAGAGACGCCATTGGACAAGAAAGGCGGTCAGCACACGCCATTCAGCGCATGAACACCAAACACCATTGCGGGTGGTACGCAGATTCGAGACAAGTAAATCATATACCCTTCTGCGCTGGGATCAAAGAGCCGGCATGGGACTTGGAGCGCACGAACAAAGAGCTTGATGGGAAGGAAGTAACCGGGGCCCTTCCTGATGTCTGAGGACGAGGTCTAGTTATTGGGCATCAGGACAGTGCTGTCATTCCCAACCCTCATTGTTAACCCAGAGTCGTGGCTCGGATGCCAGCATGGGGACGCAACTGGGAGTGGGAGTCGAACATCCACTGGTGCTATGAGCGGGCGGAAGAATACATACTATCAGGAAGCAGAATGATGAATTCAAGTCTATTGGTCCTATTTCCTGAAGGAACGACATGCGATGCGATGCGATTCGACTCATCGATCACGTACAGTACAGACACTGGCATTGGTACTCACACTTGGTCCGATACTGGTGATGGAGACGGCAAGATGACAACTGACACCTGACAACTCCACCTTAGCCACGCTCCCTCGGGGCTTCGACCGGCGAGCGATTCAAGACTAGACTCCGTTGATCAGTTGACTGGAGTCTAGTAAAGTCCACATCTCTACATCCCGAGTCAACCAGTCTCCCTTTTGTGTCCCAACATCTCACCCCCGTACTAGGTACGGTGACGGTGACCTCGCCTGGAGGCTGAAGACGTTTATCAATAAGCTTACATACCCTGCTTGCGCTGCTCTAGGCCCGTGATTACCTTGACATTTATCCCTGCCACGCCATGCCCAGTGCGGTATATCGTATATCGCATACGGTGTTTATCTCGTACTCAGAGGTAAATACGGAGTACACATACCTGGTATGTAAGTATATTTCCTCCTCGAGCACGGGGTACTCGCGGTATACGGAATACCCCTTTTGTGTGGAGTTAGGAAATCCCCCCTCTCGTTGGGAAATGGAACCTAGAGATCAGCCCTTCCCATAACTCTCACACCTTCAAGACCTTACGTACGGTATCATAACCGAAAGGTATCGTACATTTATAGGACGGAGTAACTGCCTAGTACCTAGTACGAAGTAACTTACTCTGGACTAGACTCTAGTGCCCAGCTACTACACAGTACCTAGGTACAGTAGGTATCCTTGCTTCAGTCAAATTCCCCTCGTAACAGCTCGTCGTTCCGAGCACAATTCGAGGATGGGATATGCATGACCCAACTCTCGGTATGTGCCTCTCAAGCATCAAGCACGGCCTAGATTCAGTAGGTAAGTCTTAGGTACCTACTCTGTATGATACGCCGTGTCTATATAGTAAATATAAACATACATATCCCCCCTCCCACACACATGTATATACTACATGTACATATATTCTCTCTCTCTCACACGCCCGGTGAGGTCTTCGCTTCCGGCGTGCCCGCACGCAGAGTCTCCATTCCATATAGCCGGCGGGCTGGCCTCGTACTGTAACGAAGCGTGCCAGCGTTGCCAGCTAAGTTATGGACTGTGTATGCAAATTATGTGGGTGTATTGTACCCGTTCACATCCTGGGTAAACCCCCTTTAGGCCGTCCTTCGTTCGATGACGTCCCTACGTTCGCGAGTCGATAAATCTGACAGTCGAGATTTGAACGGTAACACAAAGGGGATGGGCTAATTAGGGTCTATAATCGGTAAAGGTACATAGTGGGAGAAGACTGCCAGTGATGTCTTGCACGAGGGTTTATGATGAGAGGTATATCCCGTGGCACAGGGATTTCGCAGTCAACAATCCCCAACGAGGGTGCCTTCATAATGACCGACCAAGATCCGAGCCCACCCCTGCTGGAACTTGCACAGCAGGTGCTTGCCGACTGCAAGATCATAACTGATCACCTGGCGCGGAATGGTCTTCCTTCGCCGTCCCTCGCGGCCGACGCGTACCCTTTCTTCCCTGGCACGGGACCTCCCGGTGTTGACACCTTCCCGCGGCTGAGCGACGACATCAGAGCGGCGAGGACGCGGCTCCGAGTCGCGGCTGCAAGCCTCGCGCAGCTGGCTGCTGGGCCTGCAGATGCGGCGATGACCTGCCTGATCGGCCACTGGATGACAGCTTGCCTTCAATACATCTATCACTTTCGCTTGGCCGAGCATGTCCCTGTGGACGGGGACATCAGCTATAAATACCTTGCTGCCAAGGCTGGAGTAGTTCCAAATCAATGCGCGCGCGTGCTCAAGTTCGTGGCTACCGAGGGTTTCTTCCACCAGACGAGACCGGGCCATGGCGCCCACACCGCCCTGTCCAAAATGTTGCTGATGCCCGACTTCAGGGACACAGTCGGGTATGTCACGGAAGAGTCATTCGCGGGCGGGCCAAAGATGGTCGAGGCCGCAGAGAAGTACCCGGGAAGTGGGGGGAAAGAACGAGACGTGCTGGAACCTGGGCCACAACGCTGACCTGCCCATGTTCGAATACTTCGAGCACCAGCCGCCAGAATGCAGAGGTTCATGGGGTGCATGCGATACCTTGCCTCAGGAGAGAGCTTCAGTATCAAGAACGTGGTAGACGCATTCGACTGGCAGGGTCTGGGCAAGGGGCTTGTCGTCGCGGAAAGGCAATGCACCAACGACAAGGACATTGACCGCATCAAGTTCCAGACGCACAACTTCTTCACCGCGCAGCCTGTGAAGAACGCCAGCGCCTACCTCCTCCGGTTCATCTGTCCTGACTATTCGAATTAGTATGCGGTTCAGATATTGGGGCACCTTGCAGCCGCTATGGGGCCCAAGAGCAGGATCATCATAGTGGACCAAGTCATGCCCGAGGCGGGTGTTCTGAGCAGCATTGAGGAACAGCGCAAGGTGAGGATCTGTATTTCGGTTTGTCCGCCGAGCAGTACTGACAATGGACGTGGTACAGGATGCTGGACATCGAGATGATGTTAGGTCAGGAATTCCCAAGTGCTGTGCCCACCTAGTGCGCCGAAGAATGAACCTAGCATGCTCGCACTCAATTCACCTTGATTGAATACTGACATGAATGCAGCTTCCACAGCCTGGGGAGGGACGAAGAGGGCTGGCAGTCGTTGATCAAGCAGGCCGATGAAAGGCTAGAGCTGCATAGTATCAGGAAAATAACAGAGAACATCCTTGCTGTCCTGGAGGTTGGATTGAAGCAAAACAATGAGTAGTAGCTTTGGCCAGATGAAGTGACAGTGAGAAGTAAGTGAACAAAAGTGCAGCGGTAGTGGACTACAAAGAGCTTGAGAAGCTCGGCAATTTGTTGCGCCTAGAGCGTTTCGCGTTTCACATCTCATTTTCATCTCACTTCCACCTTTCTGATCCTCACCCCGCCCTCACTTGTGTCTTACTGCGAAGTGACTTCATTCTCTTCTCCTAGAAACACCAATCATCGATTCTTTCGACCAGGTACTGAGGAGCGTGATGAGCGAATGCTGTTTCTCACCGTGCAGTGGCAAGGGCCGAGGCCAAGCGAATTTGTTTCCACCGTTGCCCGCGTCCCTCGTATTCTTGTGCAAAAGCCCGGCCCAGCTCGTCTTCTCGCTTATCTCGCCTTGGCCTCTACTGCAAAAAGCTGCCCCCAGCTGGAGTCATCCTGTTGTCGCCTGCTGTTACCGGCATTCTGGTTCGCGGAAGAAGCCTCCTCGATCAGTCTGGGTCGGAATTTGAGATTGACAAGTGTCCAGGTCGACCCTTCGTTCGTATTGCTGCCGCCGCACGCGTCTGCCTTATGACTTTTGCGCGGGACACGTGGCAGTGCTGGGATGAGGCTGTGTCGCTGTGATGGAAAGGTGTCGAGGTTTTGGGCGGCCCAGAGTCGAACCTCTCCTCAGCTCATGCAGCTTAAGGTTTGCAAGAGTCACGATACAGCATTGAATCCCAGTGAGTACCTTGGCTCGATGTGTTGACCATGGAGATTAGATTAAAGAGGCCACCGGAAGTGGCTCTTTCCTGTTTACCCACCATCGATCAGCTTTGCTCTGGAAATCTGCGCCGATATTCCTCACCATGTGCAGATTCTATCTGGGTTTCATCTTGTGTGCTCTCAGCAGCCTTGTGCTATCATCGCCGGCTCCCAGAGCTGCAACGACGAACTGCTATCCTCTCATCGCCGGCAGCCAGCAAACCCATTTCCCGTCCGGCAATCTCCCCTGTGTCGCAGTGCCGGAAAACTCTGTCACTCAAGGCAACCTCAAAGTATCGACCTACCATTGGGTGAAAGGACCGGACACTGCGGTGGTATATGGTGAAAAGGCGCAGCTCCATTTGAAGAGCATCAACGATGGCATCCAGAAGGCTGTCAAAGCCTATGGAGGTTTTCTGAAAGAAGCCCCACTGAGCACAAACCTGGTCTTCATTCCAGCAGCCTCACTGCCCGATGGTTGGGGTGGCACATGGATGCAAAAGGGGACCACTGCGGCTCAACGTAAATTCAGTGTTCTCATCGCCAACTTTCGGGACGGGTTCCAGCCCGACTATAACAAATGGGCTCGGACAACCGCCCATGAGCTCTACCATTGTGTTTTGATGAGCACCAACGCGCAAGATGCGCAGGCTGCCCATGCCTGGAACCAATGGTGGGACGAGGGAGGGCCTTCCTTTTTCGCGAGCGCACTGTTCCCTGAGCCCCTAGACCCGACGTTGAAGATCTATTCAGACCCGGATCACCCGGATCTGAACATCCAAGGCTGGTTCCAGACCTACAAACCCACCGTATCCTTGTACAACCAAGGATATAGCGCCGAGCTATTCTTTCTCGACATGTACACCCGGCCGACCCAGAGCAGGCAGGATTTGGCGAACATCCATAGCTTCCTCTCGCAACAAGACATGAGCTCAACCGAACAGGCTGAACAGGCTCGCGTGGCTGGCGACGGCTTCACCCCGGATCAATTCCGGGAATTTGCACAGCGCTTTGCGGATGGTGTGATCAAGCTGAGGCGAGATGCTGACGTCAAGGCGGCGGTATTTCCAGTCTACAAACAGGGGTATCAGGAGTCGAAGACCGTGAAGCTGGGCGCAAACGCTGCTCCGGCCACCTGGACCGCCAGCAAGCTCGTTTCGTTTGGCTTCATGCGTCTCGACCTCTCCCTGCAGGCCCCGGACACGAAAAACCAGGTGACGTACGCCATCAGTGCGGCCAGTCAGGGTGCGGGCACGACGATTTTCTATCGAGCAAAGACGGCCAAGAAGTGGACCAAACTGGACGCGGGAACCTCGAAGAAGGTCACGGTCGGCTGCGGCTCGGGTCCTCAAGACTACGTCCTTCTCTTTGTGTCTACCGATGGAACCGATCCTCCCAAACCGGTCCTGACCGTCGCCCGGCAATCAAGCAAGAAATGCCCGTGCACGTCGGCGCGTCGCAGCCTCCTCAGTCTGCGCCAAGAGTCCTGTGAGTCCGAAGGAGCTTGTCTCGATGGCACATGGAACCTGGATCTCGACAGCCTCAAGGCCGCAATCCAGGCCGCCCTAGCCAAATCTTCTGCTGATGCCACTGTGACAAATCTCAAGCTGGGCGGCTCCTCGACCTTTGTCTACGACGAAGCTGCCTCGACGGCGTCCATGTCCTTTGATCACACGACTATAAGCTACGATGGCTCTGCCTCTGGATATGAAGTTCACATTGACATCGACATCAACGGCAAGGCACAGGGTCCAGTGGCTATGACAGGTGACAACTCTTTTCACTGGACCGACATAACGGGATCGGGAGAGTACAACACGGCTACCATACTCAAAGGACTAGGAGACGACACTCCGATCGAGGTGGATATGCCACTGACGGCGGTTTACACAGCCGACGTGGTGGTCAAATACACATGCAGTGGAGATAAATTGACGTTGGAGGGCCTGGAGAATGGGCTGTACATATGGACGTACAGCTACACCAGAAGCGGTGGGACAGCGTAGGGTTGTAGACTGTGGAGACCGAGTGGCGTAACACAACCTAAGAACTGCACAAGCTGCATGATAAGCATTTCTCTTCTATTTCATGATGCTTCAACAGGACTCGCGCGGTGCCACTGGGCGCTCTTGTCATGAGATGTGTACGGAGTAGATGTGGCCTTCTCGAGACAAACGTGCGCCTTGAGTCACAGGCAACAATGCTGTTTCTACTGGCCGGGACACTCAAGCACCCGAAGCATTCCCAGTCGGTCCAAACCGAAGCGGAAGCCGTATCTCGTATTACAGCTGACTGGAAATAGCCGGTTAGTTCGCGACTTGCGCCAGTTTTGGGAAAGATCACGAGTGCATGCCTCGGTTGGAAAATTGCTGCAGTCAGACGCAGGACATGAGGCCAGATCCGATGCTGTGCTCAGCATGTATTGGCCAGTCCAGCGATATATCGAGGTCAGGCACGTGGAGCCAGTCGAATCAATGATGCACTAGATAATGCCGCTTAGCAAGATGGTGGAACGAGGTACGAAGCACATGCTGGCACTCGTAGTGGCGGCGGCATGAGCTGGCTGTCATTGATTCATCCGAAACCGTCGGCGAGGGCGAACAAAGCTATACAGACTGCATACTCCGTACATACTCTGATATCCTGAGTCGTGTCCTCAATCAGCTGCCGTATCCTATCGTCTATCGCAATTGATAGTTGCCTGACCTGGCCTGGTCTGCCTCGGGTTTCAAGACACCACTTCTGTCTTTATTCCTTCGACTCGACACTGCGTGTCTGTTCACTTGACTCTTGACCGCGATCGAGCCACCGCCTCAGAGGCCGCTCAGCCAGCACGATTTTGTCCTTTCTCAAACCTCGGGGTCGTATCCAGATTTACCTCTCCATCGATTTGAAGTCAGACATCTCAAAAACACAATATAGCCACCAAATACCGTTCCGCGACAGTTTCAGTTTCTGCTCGAACTCCGACGAATTAATTACGAGTCCAGTCGCCACAAGCATCGCGACGATGCCGTTCAAATTCCCAGCCTTTCTGAGCACATACCGCTTTTGGGCCGTCTCGTCCATGACAAGCGCCGTCCTGCTCGTCCAACTCGCACCGCAGTACTCGATTCGAGGGTCTTACTCGTGGACCGCATCCACGGTATTCGCCTTGCAATGGCTCGTCTGCGCTTTCTACAGCATATTCATCTACCCGCACTACACGAGCCCGCTGCGCCATCTCCCGACCGCCCAGGGCGGCAGCCGTATCTTCGGCCACTGGAGGACGCTTCTGCGCGAACCGTCCGGGATTCCGCAGCGGCGATGGGCGAACGAGATGCCCAACGATGGACTGGTCCGGTACCTGCACCTGTGGAACCGCGAGCGGCTGCTGGTCACGAACCCGAAAGGCCTGGCCGAGGTGCTGACGACCAAGAGCTACGAGTTTGTCAAGCCGGACCTGGTCAGCGCCGGCATTGGACGTATCCTGGGCGTGGGCGTCCTCTTGGCTGAGGGGGAAGATCATAAGATGCAGCGCAAGAACCTCTTGCCGGCGTTTCACTTCCGGCATATCAAGGAGCTGTACCCGATCTTCTGGGCCAAGTCGACGGAGATGGTGCGCGCGATTCAAGAGGAAGTCAAGAACATGTCGTCCTCCTCTTCTGTGTCGGCAGATACCGACGCGACGACGACGACGACACCTCCGGCGGTCGAGATCGGCGAATGGGGCAGCCGCGCCACATTAGACATCATCGGCGTGGCGGGCATGGGCCAGGACTTCCACGCGCTCCAAGACCCGACGAACGAGCTCAACCGCGTCTACCGCGCCGTGTTCTCGCCGGACCGCACGGCGCAGATCCTCGGCCTGCTCGGGTTTTTCCTGCCGGCGTGGTTCCTCAACGCCCTCCCCGTCGACCGCAACAGCCAGGTGCAAGCGGCGGCCAACGTCGCCAAGGACACGTGCCGCCGCCTGGTCGAGCAGAAACGCCGGCGCCTGGCCAACAAGGAACCCATGCAGCCGGACATCATCTCCGTGGCGCTCGAGTCCGGCGGCTTCACCGACGAAGACCTCGTCAACAACATGATGACCTTCCTGGCCGCGGGCCACGAGACCACGGCCTCGGCGTTCCAGTGGGCGGTCTACCAGCTCTGCCAGTGCAAGGACATCCAAGCACGTCTCCGCGCCGAGATCCACGCACACATCGGGCCCCCCGACAACACGGACGCCAACCACCACCAACCCATCACGGCCGACGTCATCGACAACATGCCCTACCTGCACGCCGTGTGCCAGGAGACGCTCCGGCTGTGGGCGCCCGTGCCGCTCACGCTGCGCGACGCCGCCCACGACACGACGATCCTCGGCCACTTTGTGCCCCGGGGCACGAAGATCATCCTCTCCCCCTGGGCCGTCAACCACAACACGGCCCTGTGGGGCGCCGACGCTGGCACGTTCAACCCGGACCGGTGGACCGCTCCCGGCCAGGCCAACGCCGGCGGCGCGGTCAGCAACTACGCGTTCCTGACGTTCCTGCACGGCCCGCGCAGCTGCATCGGCGCCAAGTTCGCCATCGCCGAGTTCGCGTGCCTGCTGGCCGCGTTCGTCGGCAGCTGGGAGTTCGACCTGGTCGATCCGGACAGGGAGATCGAGATCAAGGGCGGGGTTACGGCGCGGCCCAAGGGCGGCGTGCGTGTCTATCTCAGGCCGGTGGAAAAGTGGGCCACATGATGAGAGGCGGTCTGGGTATCGATTAGACATATAACGTGTGTTCTGTCATGTCATGTCGTGTCGTGTCGTGTCGTGTCGTGTCTTGTACATCCCGTCCGGGCTGGAGGGAAGATATCACGCCATATTTGCGAGTGCGGGATCACGAGATATAAACGATACATCTCATCAGCGTAGCATATTTGGATTGGATTGCATTGAAGTAGATCGTTTGTGGGCATACCCCTAGCCACCCCAACGAAGAGAGGCGAGTCTCGGCTTCGATTGGCTTGGGGTAGGTCCTTGAGACAATTCGTCACTATACGAAACAGGTCAATCGTATAGCGCTTCATCAATGGTTCTCGGATGGATCCCAACCACGATCACTCCTAAATGAGATTAAGCACTAGCGATAGTAATATTGCGGTGCCACGGTGGGTATCATTATATGTACTCCGTAGTCTATTGCCCGGTCAAAGAAGGAAACCGAGCACGTGCCCTGCGCTGCCCTGCGCTGCCCTGCCGACGCGCAACCATCGTCACTGCCCATGTGTCTACCAAAGGAGCTTCTGGCTCACACTCACACTCGATCGCTCTAGCCATCTCTCCCGAACAAAACACCTAACCCCTCACCCTTTGGAGTCGCGCCAGGCACAACCACCTTTTTATCCCAAAGGTCGTTCCCAGCCTGAGTCCCTGCCGAACCCGCCACCATAACAACATCCACAGGCACGGCGGGCGGTGGAATGTGCGGTGTGACCAGGTCAATGCCGCGCGAGTGTCCGGCACTGGTGCTGTACAGCGGATTGGTGCGCGGGGCCAGCGGACGCAGGTTGAACTCGTACATACTGTCGACGCTAGAGGCAGTGGTGGTTGGCGTGTTGGCCAGACTCGGAGTCGTGGTGCCGGGTGTCAAGGTCGACATGCTCAGTGTACTCTTGTGCCGCAACGTGGCCGGCGCACGATCGCGTTTGCCATGATCCAGATGGTCAATATTGCCGGCCTGGGCCTGATGGAAGCGACTCAGGTAGCGAAAGGCCTCGGAACTGGTTGAAGCCCCACGGTGTGGTAATTTTGGCTTCCATTCGGTGGGGTCAAGATCCGACTTGTGGTCGTGGATGTCGACGGGTATCCGAGAAGACGACGACGACGGGGCCGCCTGATCCTCGGGACGGGCACTGGAGTGGTGGAGGAGGGTCGGACGAGGTGACGAGTCGAGAGCAGCAGAAGGTGAGGTGGAGTCAAGTGACAAAGTGGACGCCGACAATGGCTTTGCAGCGTCTTTGCGACGGCATCTGAAAGGTACACCGTATTAGTTCTGCGTGATCGCTGAATGGACTGAGGCACTGGCATGTTTTGACTCACGCCTCGCTGCAGTAGAGGATCGAGTTACACGGAGTCATGATCTGTTTCTCGCACATGGCGCTGGTGATGCTCCGTCAGCGCTCGCCGCATTGAGATCGCGCACGCCAGTTCTGGAGCCTCACCAGAATTGCAAGAAGCTGGCCGCCATGTCTTGCGGCTTGTTCTTCTTATCAACGGGAGCGAAGGCTCGCGGGGCAGAGACCGAGTCACCCTCACCACTCCGGCGCTTCAGTTTTCTGGGCGACGAATATTTGCCATGGGATATTTTGGCGGTGGAAGAATCCATCCCCCATTCGGCGCAGGCGGTCAGCTAAGAGGTATATGTATCAGGGAGAACAAGGGAAAGGCGTCGAGTTGGGCAGCAGCTGATGATTGTACTCACACCGCAACTGATCTCGGGCGCATTCCAGGCTGCGCCCGTGACAGGATGACGATAATAGGTGGATCGTGTCTCTGCCCCCCGTTCCAGGCGCGTGGGCCTGCCCGCATCAATCGTCCCGGGCGCCGTGGCTAGCTAAGCGACACCAACAAAGTGGGCAATGGGGGCATGGTGTCCACTGATAAGTGCGCCTCTAATCGGGCGCCTAAGCCGCATTCAGCCAAGGCACGACGGGTATGCAGCGGGGGATGAGGGATGGTCTGAGGCTGCATCGTTCGGGCACGAGCCAGTAATCAGTTATCCTATTTACTGGGTACAGTACTCAGGCTCACATCGAGTCCACAGCACCAGTAAGAGCAGGTACGAGTACTTTGGTGCTTGCTCAACGGATTTCTGATTGCGGCACCTTTGTCTGATTACTGTAGCACGGTGACACAGCCTCAGCCTTGGACGTGATTCCAGCTTAGTTATCCATCGTAACCTGCTCCACAAGGGTATTTGCGTGATCTCGCATACTAATACTGTGTTCATGGACGTGGATTTTGAAGACAGGCGACATGTAATTGTCTCAGTCATAGTCACCAGTCGCAGTCACGGGAGTACTGTGGAAGGATGTTGACGCTATCAGCCCTTAAGAAACGTCACCTAAACCCCTCCGGCACTCCACGAGCCGTGATGCCATGCTCTCGACCGACATAGCACCCAAGCATGCTGCTCCACACGTATTTGTGCTCTTTCAGCTCCTGGAGCTTCTTGTACGCAGCCGCATTGGCATAAGCGATACCGGTGGAAGGGTCTCGATACCGGACGGGCAAAGCCGTGATCAAGCAGAGTTCCTGGCTCTGTTTCACTGCTCTTCCTGTTCGCACGGTCGCCTTCTTGTTGTAGAAGAACGAGTACTCCTGTCGGGCATCGCTGGAGAGCTCGTCGAATTTCTCCAGGATAACGAGGTTTCGCGTAGAGTCTTCCTCAACTTGGGGAGCATTGGGTTCCGGTACATGTTCAACCACTAGAGGCATCGGGGCGGCCTGTCCTTGATCGAGAGGTGCATGTGTGGGCATAGTTGTGGGTGTGGGTGGTTGAGTCTGCTCTGTCGACGCCTCTGTCTTGATAGTGACTCCTTCCGCATCCTCGCCTGAGATAGTCTGGATTGGTGCTGGCTGGACAGCTGCACTAGGGGACTCGATCTGCGATTCACCACGATCCAGTCTTGGTGCTGGCTGGGCAGCTGCACTGGAGGGGTCGGTCTGCGAATCAACACGATCGGGTGCATTTTCGAGGGGTTTCTCTATATCTGGCTGCGTCACTTCCTTCATCGCGCTGTCCCGTTCCATGTCGGGTTGTTGTGGAGCAGGACTGACTGGCTTACTCTCTGAGGCGTTGCTGTCCGCTTGCAGATTGGCATATTCATGGATGCCCATCAGAAAGGATTCCTGGGGTTTATCAGAGGCAGGCGGCATAACCTCTGGTTGTGAAGGTCCCGCAGCAGCAGCAGGCGTAGATACCATCTCTGGCGCTGGGCCCTGGGCGAGAGGGTCTTGTTGCGCCGATATAGACGTAGTCGTCGGGGTCACTGCGAGCAGTGCTGTCGACTCTGATGCCTTTTCTGCGGCGATCAATTCGAGCTCTGCTTTCGATTTCCGTCCACGTTTTTTCGGCCCAGGCGGCTCTGCGGCATCTTTGGTCGCAATTTTGCTGGGATCCGGCTGAATCCATTTCGCCTTCTGACTTAACCAGCTGATGACAGGGCCCTCCAGCTTCCTGTCCTTCAGAGCCGCCAGCTTCGCGGCTTGTTCTTCTTGCCGCTTCCTTTCCATCGCCTCCCATCGGTTCAGGCTCTTGGCATTCTGGCGCTCGACCCTCGCCGCCTCTGCCAGCCGGTCGGCTTGAGTGAGTTCCCTGGGTGCATCCTTTGCTCGTTCCCTGTCCCGTTTTTCTTTCAACGCTTTCAGCTTCTTGCTCTGGGCTTCGCTTTCCTTCAGGCGAGCAATGGTCTCTTCTCGGTGAGCGATCGTCTGCTTGCGCAGGGAACTTCGGCCGGAATTCTCGTCGTGGACCCATGTGACTCGTTCCTTTTTCTTCGATGGCTTTGAAGGGGCAGATAATGCAGCAGCAGCCGGCCGCCTCGTGGGGTCGGTCTTGAGTTTCTTCCTCACTCCAGCAACGCTGGTCAGTGCCAGATCCGCCTTGCGCTTCTTGGCCCTCTCTTGTTTCGCCTGGTTTTGCAACTCCTTTTCGCCCTCGAGATCTTCCGCCGCGGCATTGGGGCCCTGGTCTTCATCGTCACTCGACGACATATCTGCGTCCTCGTCATCGGCGTCGCTCCTGAACTCATCATCTTCCTCCTCCTGGTCGTCCGCGAAGAGTAACGTGACTTCGTCGGGGTCGTCGGCATCCCGTGTCTCCTCCAGGACCATATCCCTGTCATAGCGGTTGCCGGCGGTCTTGCGCCGCTCTCTCCCAGCGACTAGACTTTCGACGGGCGCATCCTCGGATTCATCGTCGCTGGCGTCGGTGTCTGACAGTTGAGGCGTGTCGTCCATGGTCTCATCATCTGCCATTTTTGGGGGACCAAGGGCATGAGACGCCAGGTAGTGCGGGAACCTATGCGAGGTTCGATCTGAGGGTGCCCGTGCAAATGGTACAAGGCAAAGTGCAAGACGAGGGCGGCGTTGAACTAATGGCGCAGATAAATTATACGGCGAACCATTTGGGGCAATGAAGTGCATTTTGGTCGCGTTCCTCGAGGGCGAAACGCGTAAAGTTTGGACTCGTCATGGATGATCCAGGACTCCAGGAAATATTTACTTGCGACATACCAATCATTTCTCCAGAATTGAGGCATAGCTCTCCTCCGACATCATGCCTGCTCGGCGCAAAGTCATAGACGACGAGGAAGAGTCGACCACAGAAGCACCTCGAACGGACAGCAAGAAGCGCAAGCCGCATGCACGACGCACTCCTAGCAAAGAGCTTGCAAGTCGACCAAGCCCCCGGAGCAGGAAGCGTGTGAAGACGGACGTGGAGTTGGAAGAAGAGGTCTCTACGACCGTGACTGCAAAACCAAACGGCACATTAGAGGTCGACGAGGAAGCCGAGATTACGATCCAGGCCACCGAGGCACCGTCCAAGACCAGCACCCGCAAACGCAAGACCAAGGCGAAGCCCCCGGCAGAGGCAGACCTGGACGCAGAGCATGAACAAGGAGGGGACGACGCAGAAGTACAGACCGCCACACCAAAGCCCAAACGCAAGCGGAAAACCAAGGAAGAAAAAGAAGCCGAAGCCATGCCTTTGGCGGCGCGCACCGTGGGCCTGAAAATGTACGTGGGCGCCCACACGAGCATAGCCAAGGGAGTCGAGAACGCGATCACGAATTGCGTGCACATAGGCGGCAACGCGTTCGCGTGCTTCCTGAAATCGCAGCGCAAGTGGGACAACCCGGCGTTGAAGGACGAGAACAAAGACGCCTTCCGCAAGGCGCTGCTCGAGCACAAGTACGACGGCATGCAGCATATCGTGCCTCACGGGTCGTACCTCGTCAATCTGGCGACCGAGGACAAGAACGGCGCGAAGCAGTCGTACGCCGCGTTCATCGACGATCTGCATCGCTGCGAGGCCCTGGGCATACGATACTACAACTTCCACCCCGGCGGCGCGGGACAGAGCCCTCTCGGCGACGCCATCACTCGCCTGGCCGACAATCTCAATCGCGCCCTGTCCGAGACCGAGACCGTCGTGCCTCTGCTGGAGAACATGGCGGGCCACGGGACATTGATCGGCAACCGCTTCTCCGACCTGCGAGACGTGATCGCGCAAATCAGGCCGGAGTTCAAGTCGCGCATCGGCGTCTGCATAGACACGTGCCACGCCTTTGCCGCGGGCTACGATCTGCGTTCTCCAGAGGCATTCCAGAGGACGATGGATGAGTTCGACCAGACGGTCGGCATCGAATACCTCAAAGCTCTACATCTGAACGACTCCAAAATGCCACTCAACAGCCATCGAGACCTGCATCAGAACATCGGCCTGGGGTTCCTGGGTCTGGGCGCATTCCACAACGTCATGAACGAGCCGCGGTTTCAAGGCCTGCCGCTCATCCTCGAGACACCCTGTGAGAAGCCGGACCCGGACGATCCCAAGGGCAAGAAAATGATTGAAGATAAAAACATTTGGGCCACGGAGATCAAGCTGCTCGAGAGTCTGATCGGCATGGACCCCAAGGGCAGCGAGTTCCAGCAGCTAGAAGCCGAGTTGAGTGAGAGAGGCCGGGCAGAGAGGGAGAAGATGCAGGCGCAGTTTGAGCGGATCGCAAAGGAGAAAGCAGACAAGGAACGACGGAGGCTCGAGAAAGAGCGGAAGGCCCTTGCAAAGGAGCGAGAACGGGGCCAGAAGAGTTTGAAAGATATGTTCGCGGCAAAGGAGGGTATGAGAGGGAAGAACTCGAAGCAGAACAATGGGAAGCGGGAGCAAAGTCCAGCAAAGGAGAACACTGGATTAGGCGACCTGAGTGACCCAGAGTTGGCCGAGCCCGGCGACTCGACAGACTCGCCGTTGACTGACATGAGCGACCTGAGCGACGAGGAGAATCGATGATGAGGTGACAGAGAGGGTAGATGGATGGGCGACTGCGCCTCCAAAGAACGTCTCACGAGTCATAACGCGTATATGAATTACGGCCCAGAGTCAAGAGATACCCTTGCTGCAACATCAGCTTAGGATAGACACGACAAGAGCCCTCATTGCTGGCCCTGCAGCACGGCCGCCGCGGACGACACAACTTTCAATAGTCGCTGCCGCCGGCCTCGCGTCTCTTCTCTGCACCTCGCTCTTCCATCTTACTGCTTTTGAACAGCCCGCCCGCCTTCTCGAGCAACTTGCCTGTGGTGGAATCTTTATTGCCGCCTTCACGCTCATTATCATCGTAGCTATCCCCACCCAAGCCGCCACGCTCCTGCTGAGTGGTGCGCCCTGTGCCGACGCCATAGTTGTCGTCGCGGCCTGTGCCGATGCCGCCGGTGCGGGTTGAGTCGCCATAGGTGTCATCGGTGCCTGGCCCAAGTCAGTGACTGGAAACTGAGGACGAGTCCGAGCGACATACCGAGTCCACCGCCCGTACCACCGCCAGATGAGACGAAATCATCTCCACGACGACGGGTGCTGTCATCACCAAAGCCGCCGCCGCCAGTGCGACCAGACGAGCCATAGGTGTCATCGCTTTGGCCGTAGCCACCGGAAGCCTGAGCTCCGGACCGACCACTTCCCATGCCTAGGACATCCGTTCAGTTTGAGCACTTCTACTTGTCCCCATGCATGACTCACCGTATTCGTTGTCCCGGCCGGTGCTTCTGCCACCGGTTGCAGTTGGGTCTCCATAGGTGTCGTCTGCGCCTAGTCCACCGCCGGTACGGCCAGAATAGCCAAAGTCGTCTCCACGGCGGCCGGTGCTATCGCCACCGGTGCGGGAGCCATATGTGTCGTCGCTACCTCCGAAGCCGCCAGAGGCTTGGGCCCCAGTTCTGCCACTTCCTAGACCTGTGCGATTTATTTAGCTCGAGGGCCCCTTTTGTTTCTCCTTGGGTCTGAGGCTCACCGTATTCGGTGTCTCCAGTGGTTCTACCGCCGGTGTAAGCCGAGTCTCCGATTGTGTCATCCTGACCCAAGCCACCTCCTGTTCTGCGACCAGAGCCAAAGGAGTCATCACCGCGGCCGGACGACTTGGTGGAAGTCAGCCTTGTGGAAGGGGAAAGGGTTGGGCCGGGTCAGCATACGCCGTAGCTGTCGTCACCGTAGCCACCACCACGTCGCTGGATCCATGTTAGCATGTGTCTCAGCGGGGGTCTATGCTTCTCGTCGTACGTTGTCGTCGTCATAGGACATTTTGCTCAAGGTTTCTTCACTTCTTTCCGTAAGATATAGAAAGGCACGTCGTAAGATTTTGTTGGAGCAAGCGTGAGCGAAGCAACTTGCAAGGGCGGCACTTCCATTTTATAGACATGGAGTACAGACAGTCACGCCAGAACCAACCATCTGTTGTTGCTCCCATTGCGTTTGCGGGCACAGGAGAGTCAACGCTTGGGTTGACGCGAATCCAGGGACAGCATACGTAAGTTTCCCCTTTTCAACCAATGACCGGTGTGATCGACCCCGCGTGAGACAAGACCAGGAACTGGAAAGCTGAACTCGGACAGACAGGAGGGACAGGAAACCTGGAACCTGGAAAAGCATCGTGATTTCCTCGTCTCAGTATTGGTCGAGGTCGGAAGAATGCCTGAAATGTCGCGGCGAGCGCGCCTCAGTACTACCTGCACAGTGACCGTGACCATGTGATCCAATCCGCATCCTGTTTGCTATGGAGTGTTGAGTTTTCTGTGCCATGGCGGAGATGCACAAACGCGGATGTAAGGGAGCGTGTGCGATGTTTGGCGCAGACCCCGCAATTGAGCATCGCAGTGACGACATGCTCCGATTGCGTGACCCAGCGTGGTCAGGCATCTTGTGCAGGAGAGGAGCAGAGGGGTTTGAGTTCTGAAGATCGTGGGGGACCAGCTGGACTCGATTGGAACAAGAGATCAGCGTCTGGATGCTTTCTCCTAAGTGCAGATGTACGAGAACCCCGTACTCGTATGGATACGACTTGTAGATGACGGACCAAGGCGCAGTGCGATTGTGGCGATGGCGTAGATAGTCCTCGGCATATTGTCGTCTCCGGGCGCTTGATGCGACCTGCATAAAGCTTCGCTCCCTAGTTGCGTCTCCTGCCGAGCCTGACTGAGACGTTTAGCCACCATAGCGGAGGTGTTTGCTGGCTAAATTTGGGTGGCCTCAGTCGACGTGCAGCGCTTCTATGACTCGCTCCCGTCCTGACAGCAAGTACTCGTACGCGGCGGTCTACTCGCAATACAGTAGGTCGGCTCCGTTTAGCTGAAAATTCTCCAGGTTATATGGCCAGTTGTGAGATGCGCGGGAGAAGTCGAGGAAGAGTTGGACAGTCGACCTCCATCATCTTCGCCATTGTCATGAACAGGCGGTTGAGCAATATCATCGCACGTATTTCGACTGCATCTGAGTTAGTAGCCACAACAGTTTAGACGTGCCCAATATACTCACCATGAACTTCTTGTGGAAATCCGATCTCAGTAGATCCTGTGTTTGGTCAGCTTGCTTCGATACCAATCTCAGCTTTCCGGAGCCCACGCACATTAACGAATTCCTTATTGCCCTTCTGCTCGGTCCCTCGGGCTTGATTCTTGAAGACCACATCGTCGTCCCACCTCCGCTTCACATTGAAGGCTTTCGGGTTGAGCAGAGGGTTGCCGAGTGCTATGTCCTTTTCTCGCTGATCTTCTGCTTGTTTTGCCTGCTCGGCCTCTTCTCGAGCCTTTTGCTCTGCTCGTTCCCTTTTGATTTTCTCCAATTCGCGCATGAGTTCGGCTTCTTCGTCGTCGCTTTCCTCGTCGCTGCTCTCCGAATCCTCGTCCCCCACCGAGTCAGCATCGATATCTCGAGTCTCCTGTAGGATGCGCCTTCGTTTGGCTTCGGAATCTTCATTCCCGTTGTCATCCGAAGCTTGCTCGAGCGAACGCTTGGTAGGATTGGGCGAATCGGATACAGGCTCGGACGTAGTGCCTTTAGTCTTTGCAAAATGTGCTGCTTCTGCTGCGAGTAGCTCGGCTCGTAGGTCTCTTTGCTCTCTATCAGCGGCCCCACCTTGACCAGGCTGCCGAACCTTGAGCAGAGTATGTGCGGGCTGTAGTCGTTGGTGGTAGGCCGGACCAAGCTTGGCCTCTTTGCCTCTGGCAGGGTCAAACGTAGGTCGATGAGCTGTTGTCATTCTGGATGAGGAGCTGCGTGAACTTCGAGTGCAAGAAGAGAAGATTCTCTCGGAGAGAAGGGCACGCCTGGTGTTATAAATCGAAGTGAATTGTAGCTCTGGAAAGAACCTCGAAATCGAAATTCTTCAATCGAGGCGCATGCAATGAAAGCTTGGCAAGGCTGACTCTCAGCCTTGCCAAGTTGCAATGAGATTAACTTTCATTTCCAAGCAGGAAAAGCTATCCATCACAGGCAATTAAAGGCCGGGAACACCATGCTACAGACGCTCAAAGACTGAACAAGCCGCTCCTCCTCTTGCCGAACGGGTAAACAACCAAAGCGCTCAAATACAGTCCAACACTGATTCCAATCGCCACCTGCACCATGCCATAGCCCACATTGAATATCGTCCCACCGTAGACATCTGCGCTCGTTGTGGAGTTTTGGGCATCCAAAAACCCAGCCGTGCCATTGTTGATGACACTGACACCTGTCACATTTCCGGTGATTTGATCGGCGCTCGTGATGCCCGCCACGAGACTGCCGCTGGCTGCCAATCCACTTGGCACCTGCACAAATATCGCTGGCAACATAGCGGCTGCCGCCAACCCGTGGAAGAAGCGGGAATAGAGGTTTGCCAGCGTCCCAACTGCAAAAGCACCGATTCCGTTGGCGACCTGTATATTGTTTGCGAGCTTCGTAGAAACCCAGAAATTCGATTGATATCCGACAAAGGCGATCAGCGTCATGACCGGGATCTGTTTCCATTTGGCCTGGTTGATGATCGCCAGGCATATCGCGAACACCGGCACCCATATAAATCGGGCATATATAAGCCTCGGTCCATGGTTGGAATCGTTCCACCAAGCTGGGATGGGGCACGTCACGTCACTTTGGGCTTGCGGGTAGATGAGACCCATTACCACACTCCCTACAGATACCTGTTAGCACAGCCGCTATCGCCTGGAGTAGGAGAACTTACCAACTAAGATACCAAAACCGAGGAACAGAGAATAGATGATGGCATATACCATCCGCACAGATCCTGAAACGAGACTTTTGCTCTGTAGCTCCAACGCCGCGCAAAGCACCATGTAGCCAGGCAGGATGAGTGCTATGCTGCTCTGCGCAATTGCCGAAAAACAAAATATGGGAGAGCCATTGTTATAGATAGAGCCCAGCCCTCGAGAGACGAAGGCGATGAGGACGGCGGCAAGCACTTCGAACACATGCGAAAATTGTTCCGATTTGGTGACAACAACGAGCTGCAGAAAACCGACTGTGGCTCCTAGGATGAAGTTTGGGGCAAAGTCCACTGGCCGCGCTGAGAACGCAAAAGGCCCAACTGAGATAGCCGCGATGCCGTATGCAAAGATTCGCAGTGCTAGCGAATGCCTCCCGCGCTTCTGCATGATCTCACCGAGATCACGGGTTCCTTCTTCAGCAGTGTACTTGCCATGGATAACCAGCTTGTACACATCGAAGACGTCTTTGAACTTGCCCAGGTCAACGCCCCCGGATTCCCTGACAAGCGTGACTTCGGTACTCATGGTAAGCCTGTCGTTGATGGACACGAGCATGGAGCCCGGCAGATAGAGAAACTCTGCGTCGATGTTGAGAGCACGTGCCGAAGTAGTCATATATTGCTCCAACCGGTGTGATGGCGCTCCGACTGCCATCAAGCTTCGTGCCAGTTTCTTCAGGTACTTTCGACAGGCGATGATCTCAGCCACGTCTAGAACAACTCGCTCTTCGTCCGCCAGTATAGAACTTGATGGTTTGTGATGGAAATAATTGGTGGGGTGTTTGATCATATCTACCGCAGTGGCAATCATGCTTTGAGAAGACTTTGCTCGGTGATACGCAGGCCGCGGGACATAGTTGCTTGCTTCAGGCGTGGCTGTTGAGGCGGAAGCGACCGTCGTTGCGAGCAAGGTACCCAGTGATCCGCTGGACTGAGGCTCAAATTCGCCCTTGTCATACCATTTTGGTCGCTTGGGAGTTACCCTTCCCGACGAGGTTATTGAATAGTCATGGATCTCGGAGCCGTTTCGGGAATGGTCTCTAGAATGATAGCCTTTCGGAGAATGCTTGCTGGATGGAGGCGAGCCAGGATCGTCACGGTAGGTCGGCCCAGTATAGCCGCTATGCTTCAGGGCCGTAAGCTTGTGTATTAGAGCAATGGGACTAGGACGGTAATCGACTGGAGGTGGAACATAATCGAGGTCATGGAGCTGCTTATCCACGGCCGGTGTCTCCGTCCCTGACCTAGGTGGACGATGCCATGTACTCTGATCGCGGCCAGTGATGGTCCGGAGAAGTTGTTTTGCTTCATGGTAGTTCTCTCTGCCGGGCTTCAAGGTTTTGGGATCATCTGCGTCGCTATCGTCGTCATCAGTGGAATCTTCTAGGATTTTGTAGGGGCGTTTGTCTTTCCCAAGCGATTCCAGCGGGATCTCGTCTAGTTTGACAGGCCAGTCACTAATGGGCTTTGTGGGAGGAGATGAGTTAGGTGAGATGAGCGTCTGAGGCGTCATGCTGTGGGGTGTCTTGGATCCGGCATGTTGCTTTTGATGGAGAAGGGCGTCACTCAGTCTGTTGTGCAGCCGACTTGCTCGGTCTTGGGCTTCAGCAGCTGCGGCACCTGTTATTCCGGCCCAACTCGAAGCTGTGAGACTGAGGTTCGCAACATCTTCCGATTCAGACAATCGGATTTCCGGGATATCTGCTCGCCTGCCCGTCTCGACGAAGGTCTCTCGTGACCCATCGTGTTCCTCCTCATCGGCTACGTTTGAGAATTTGACCTTACTGCGTTGTTTTTGTTCTTTTGTAAGGACTCGCTGGTTCTGCTGTATGCCCGAGATCGGGGTTGAGGAGTCGCTGGTGCTGCCGGAATTGGGTGTGAAGTGGTTGTCAATCTCAGCCATGCCCTCCAATTACCGAGGAAAGGGGTTATAGTCGAGATTCCAGCGCTCGAGGGCGTTAACAAGGGAGGGACAAGGTCGAGCGGTGGCACCGAGAGCAATATGCGGAGCTGATGGCCACAAAGGAAGATTCTTGCAACA